TGTTTCCCTTGGGCGGATTGTTGATCGATCATGAATGCGGGGTGGAGAGACTGACAATCACCCGATAGATTTCCTCCCCGCTTGTTTTCAAACTCCTCGCCATGCCTAATCCTCCCAAAATGTGCGTTCTGATGGTTCAGCGCGAATTCGCCCTCCGTCTTATTGCCCGCCCTGGAGATTCCTTATATTCTCGACTCTCGGTGAACGTGCAGTTCTTCGCGCGTGTCCAGCATATCATGAAAGTGGGCAAGAACAACTTCCGTCCTCCACCACAGGTCGAGTCCAGTGTGGTCCGAGTCGAGCCCAAGGCCGATCGTCCGGCCATCAGCTGGGACGAATGGGATGGTATGCTGCGTATATGCTTCGTGCGTAAGAACAAAACCCTGCGTGCGGGTTTCATGGGCAACAAAACGCGCGCCATGATTGAAAGAAACTGGATTACTTTCGCCACGATGTACCCGGAGAAGGTTACGCAGGCGGATATAGAATTCATGTTGGGTAATGGGGAGCCGGAGCCCATGGAGGACGTGGACATGGATACGAATAACGATGCGGATGCCGACGATGTCCCTGAGCTGGACGAGGATGATATTCTAATGGGTGATATGGGGTTCGAAAAGAAGAATGTCCCAGAGATTCCCAAGGGAACTCTGCTAACTATCGGCAACAACAAGGTTTCTCGAATCATGGTAACCAAGTTAATACAGGCCAAGCTTCAGCGGATCCTGGACCGGACTGAACTGGCCAACGCTCGTGCGCAGAAGTGCGACGAGAATGATTTCCTTCGTCTTCTTCATGCCTTCAATAAGGAGGGCATTCACTTCTCATAGTCCGGTGACGTTCAGTGACATTTGATTTCGACGAGCAATGAGATTTGTATGAACGTGGGATGGGCACGCTGTTACGGGATAGCAGCCAGTTAGCGAGCACATTTTTTAGAGTTAATGATATCCTAAAAGTTTTTTTGATGAAACAGCCAACGGCCACTCTTGAAGTTATAGACATTTTCCACACGCTAAAGTGAACGAGGAGATTTATCACAGCCAAAACCTTTATATACGGAATCGGACAATGGAGCCAATAGGTAATACGAGGAACAGAGGCTTAGGATATTGCCACTAGGATATTAAGCAGGATTTTAAATCATGAACATATTATGAGCAGTAATGAGTCGTGTAAAACGAAATCAATAGGGCTGAACACACACGTGACGGTCATCAAAAGAGGTTCTAAATAGAACAGGCATCAAGCTAAGCTTGTGTCACTTGTCTAGTAAGGTGGCTTATTACGTACAGCCCAACATGAAACAAAAACCGCCAGGATCAGAAACTTTGGATTGACAAGGGTCTATCCTGGGTGGTGACTTGTATCACGCAGTCATGGGAACTAATGCAGCCCTAGAGCTGCAACTAACCTTCTCCCTGGAACCAGTCGTAGAAGCATAATCTCGAAAATGATAGCAACGGATAGATCGGAGTCTATGACTTGGGGCACGAAGCAGTGACAATTTGGAAAAAAAGAGGACCCAAGTCCACGTCGAATTCAGTAGGAAGCGGCTCCCATCGCAAGTTGCCGAGCCCGGCCCGAGTTGCACATTCCTCATGCACCCCCGGTTCAAGCATATAGCAGAAGAAGGCTATCGGGTCCGTAGTGTCAAGAATAACTTGAATGCGGGCACCTTCTGTCATCCGTTCAAGCACTTTGTAGGCCACTCCCCCAAAGTGGTATTCCTGTCCGCAGGCAGTTGTCTGTAGTATTTCGAAATTTGGAATGATTCCGAGAAACTGTCCCCCGGGCTTTAGGCTGCAAAAGATATTCTGCCACATTGCCAACAGCTCCGTCTGATTTTTGGCATAGTTCAAAAGCCAGATGCCTAGGACAAGGTTAAATGTCCCTATGGTGAATGGTTTGATGCAGTCCACAACATGGAACTCAGAGGGGTCATCTGGTCGGGCCTGGAGACGTGCGCTGGCCACCATGGCCTTAGAGATATCCACGCCAACAACCTTTTTAGCTCCCCAGTCAATGCTTTTTCGGGACCAGTACCCGGCTCCGCAGGCTAAGTCAAGCACTTCGAGCCCATGAATCACACCAATTCGGTCTTTAAGGGTGTCTTCTAGTAGCCATACGCTAGGAAGATTGGCCGCATCGTTGTAGCGGTGCCCGATCTTGTCGAACTGAAGAGGATCCATATCTTACAGCTGAACTTGGCTGCCTTCTGCCTCTGAGTGAACTGTTTTGGAGATTGACGGAGTCTGGTGAAGCACTGAAACCTATTGTCGGCATAAACAGTTCTATTCAGTTAATCTAGTGAAGAAACCATGTAACCCTGACGTAACTGTGTGTGCATTATATATCATACGATGGAATGGAGGATACGTGAATTTAACTTTAGCCATGAATGTTTATTGGGATAGAGTTCAAATGACACTCTAATGTACCTAGTAATCTTTCAATGCACAAGGCAGTGCAGTTTCTAGGCTGTAGTTCCTGTGGAGTATCAGCTACTTTTGGATATGAGCTCATCTACATATAGTAGCCTTCATAACTAAATATAGACAAGGTAATCTAGTCACTGATCTCGGGAAAGTACTTATTAGAGCTACTGAGGCAGCAGATGTGCTTGCTGATACTGGTAGCGGAGCCCCTGTTAGTTCAGGTGTCATCTATCAGAGGCCTTGCCACGGAAGAATAAGGTCTAGAATTATGACCTATCCATGTAGGTATCACGGATCCGATACCGAATCGGCACATATCTCCTGTAGAGCGCCCGGGCCCCTAACCCGGACCTCTTTGCATAGATCCTGGTCCCGGCCCTTCCTACAGACACCCTGGCCTCGGTTGCAGTTTAGAACCAGCCGAGCAAGGTATCGCCTGATTGATTAAGTCAAACGATGTATGCTACATAGCTACAGCGGTTAAATCTCCCGAGAGCAAAGCTTCGATTTACTTTCGGAAACAAAAATCTCTTTTGACCTTTACTACGCGTAGTGGCTGAGCCTCTATTAGATGGATGTTTTGATATTCTCAAGAATATTTAAGTTTCAATAATATCATACATATTCAATGTTATCGTATAGTATAAGATCAACAATCCATATACAAAAGAACACTAGTTCCCTGAAAACGAGCTTCTTCACAATATATATTCACAACACTCATCAGCCCTTTTACACCACAGAGTAGATCAGCCCAGCCAAAGTCAGCGGAACCAAGAAGAAAACAAAAACATTCCACGCAAAACGTTTCATTCCCCGTGAAAGCACGAGCTGGACTTTTTCATCGAGCTATGTCTTCTCACTAACATGGGGGAAGGGCTGGTCTGCCACCGGCTTCCCTAGAAACTCACACAGCGGCTCTCATCTATCCGACAGTTTGTACTCTAAGAGCCTATCCTTGGGGGTTATGCTCCAAACGAGCTCATAGTGTTGTCTATACTTAGCCTTAGTCTTGCAACGGGCATCTTCAGGATTAGATATCCCCAACCAGCCCTGGAAGGTCGTCTTGTGGATTCTCCCAATCGGATGAGTGAAGAAGCGATTAATATGATAGATGACCATGACAATCGGGTCATAAGTATTTCAATCACACTGTTCATTCAGCTCTCATACCACGAGTCGATATCTCTTTCATCGAGCATGACCTTGGCTTCCGGATACGCTTCGATCAGGTCGTCCGAAAATGCAATAGCTGGGGTGTTGGAGCGAAGTCATGCAGCAGCTGATCGAACTCCTGGCGCCTGAATTTAGGTCCTGCCTGCCCCGAAGAACTTTCGATCCACTGCCTCCTACCACATCTCGGGGTCGCCAAACCGTGTCGACATGAACTGGGTGGAGTGCCAGCATGGTAGCCCCAGAATCTCGAGTGCAGTGCACATGGCTTGTTTCGGTCAGCAATACACTTTCCCTGATGATGCTAGGCCTCCATGGCGATATAAAGGATGTTAAAGTGGACTTACATGCTGTCCCCGTCCGGTTAAAACCCAGACACAGGCATTCTAGAGGCACTGTGCGCTTCATCCCTCTTGGGGACTGGTTGTTCACGGGCCTAAACAGCTCTGGGTGTCTTTATTGCAGTGTTGCCAGTTCGAAAGGCTGATCACGTATCCGGTTTAAACTGAAGTATTGACTGCTATCGAATGCCTAGAGTGAATTGAAGATTATATGCATTTAGTAGATATATCCCGCAGCAAACACAGAGACTCTTGTATAGCAAATAGGTGCCCTGCCCCCCAATGAATATGACAGGAATATATACAAAGCCTTTTAAAAAGCTCAGCAATTAGTCTTTCACGTTCTGCGCCAGAATTCAACTAGCGCTTATTTGGAAATTGTTAGTGCTTACTTGTACGCAAGTTGAGTGGGGGCTAGTACCAATACTACGTCTACCAGGTACGGCAAAGGTCTTGATGCTTCTAGAGACGGTGTATAGAATAGTCCCAGGTCGTTGTTCAGCTCACTGTTCATCTCCAGTGGAGATGCTACTGAGGCCCCGCTGAGAAAGGAGTGCATTTAGTAGATCCGATTCAACACCAGGTAGCTTGGACACCTCAGTCAACAGTTCCAGTCCCTGTAATTCTAAAGCTGGTCGTGTAAAGACCCCACCCATGAATGGGTTCCACCGGTAAGGCAATTTGAATTCTCGCGTACTGTAACGGAGGATCTACTCTACAGGGTAGATAGCCTGTCAACCTCAACTAGGCAAGGATACGTGGGCGAATAGAAAGGAAAGGGTGTATTGACTGAATAGTAGAACGAATCCAAAAGAGACTGATTCGTGTCTCTTCCTATATCTGCGGTCCTTTTCAAATAGCCTAGAATTCTCCCCTTTTCGGTAGGTCTATTCCTGTTGTAACAAGGACTGATTAACTATACCACACCACATTAAAGAATAACACATAGTGTCTGAATATATTCAAGCTACCAGGCGAAATTAGGGTTTGTGTGTGCACGCTTAACCCATGGCGCATAAAGGTAAAATTCCATAGGGTAGCTCAAAGTTTATGCCGAATCAATGGAAAGCCTGTCACCACCGACCTGCACAGTCGCTGTGTACACCACACGCTTGTTGATATCCATCGCATCCGTAAGACCATGGAAGATTATTCTGGTAACCTCCTGATTACCATTAGACGCTGGCTGGAAGCTTGCACCGCCAGGGCCAATCAGCTTGCAACCAAATGCATCTGTAGTCTTAAGCAGCGGCTCCTTGATCCTAGTATAGGGCCCGTTCACGTTCTTCGCCGTCGCATACTGAACATCGTACGTGGGTTCAGCAGTGGAGTGAGTGCTGTAAGTCAAGAAGTACGTGTCACCGCGCTTGAAGATGTACGGAGCCTCTATATTGTTTCCATCAGAAAAGCCTTGGCCGTTCACCCGGAGCAGCTTTTGTGCGTTGCCAATCCACTCGACGCCTTCCTTGGGCCCGGAGCTGCGCACCTCCCGAATCTCCAGCCAGTTCTCGGGGATTTCTGTCTTGTACACGACATATTGCTTGCCGTCGTTGTCTTTGAACCACGCGGGGTCAATCACGCCCGATGAGGTTCGGTTGCACTGTACAAAGTCGTTCTCAGGGTGGTACACGCCCGCGATATCGTCGCTGACGGCCGCGCCGATGCAGTGTTGAACTTTATTAGTACCGATGGTCTCCTTGTCGAGCGCCGCGAAGTACCTGATCTGGCGTTAGCAATCCGTCTCATGGTTACACCCCACTCACCACGAACATGACGAATTTCTTGTCGGAGCTCCTCTGAAAAACATCAGGTGCCCATAAGCCGTAGACGCCGCTCTGCTGCTGGCCTGCCCATGTCGCTTCATCGATGGCCAAGGTTGGGCCTTCAAGTTTGCTCCATCCGCTCTCGAACTTCGCGGATTTTGCCCTTTGGAAATCCTTTCCATTGGAAGTACCGAAAGAGTACCACGTGTCGTTTGTATAATAGATTGCTACAGATGATGTTAGCATTGCTTTCCCTGGAGACTCTACCTTTATCGAACTGACATGGGTCAGGAAAGGAAGGACCAAGAAACGGCCCAGAGATGCCGTGACATTGCTCGGCGGCTGCGTCTGGTGTTCGAGATGCTAATGAGAGAGGGGATGACAGCGCGGAAGCCGCAAATAACGCCGCGAAAGGCAAATAAGAACGGAGCATGTTGGAATGATATAGATGGGGATAGGTAGGGAAGTGGGAAGGTGACTCAGGGAAACTGATGAGAAAGAGTTCCTGGCAAGTGCACCTTATATTGGCTGGGGTCTGGAGATCGAGTAGGGTTTACTTTGATGCTCTGGAAATACGAGCAACCCCCTGTAAAATGCGCATACCCCTCCCTGTTAACACTAAAAATAATTTAGGCCACCCGTAGTATGTAGATCGCTCTAGAGGCGCAAGCCGCGCCGAGAGGCACTGCCTTCCTCCGGATCCAAAGGTCCAGAGAATGTTAGGAAATGCACGGACCTCTTCATAGTAATGTTATTGACGACCGTCAGAGTGGAAGTCTCGTCAAATTGTATAGCATAAAATTCGTTCCTGAGAAAAAAGCCTGCGATTAGATGATAGTTGTTACCCAAAACATGCCTGGTGGATATTGCAAATAGAGTAAACAGTAGACAGGGACATATTACTATCAAGCAAAGAGAAATATTGTCTGGCAGTATGAGTAGAAGACATAAATCTTTCGCAATGACGATGGGGAGTTGACTACTTGTATAGGATTTCACAATCAGCAGCATATGTTGTGCGCGTATACCTATTTGGATCCAGTTGAAAGCATCAGGATCCTCATATCCTAGGTAACTTGTATTGCCTCATCACGCCCTAGGTAGGGTTTAACACATACATGGATCTCAATCATAGTATCAGCACCTGGCGTGAAGGCAATCAATTTAATTCTCAATAAGTTAACGAGCGTGAGTAAGCCTTGTCAAATGCTGATAAAGATTCCCGACATCTACAAAACAACACCTGTACCCAAAGCTAATTCGATATAGGCCTCGTAAGCTTCATTGAGCGATAAGTTCTCTTTAATCAAATATGGATAAGCTGAGGCGTTAGACATGACTTTGTGGAAGCGTATAATCCCGCTACCTCTCGATCGCGCGCACAAGTATGATATATAACCTCCGATGAGTAGGTCATAATGACAATATAAGTCCAGCAAGGACTACTGTCTCAACATGACTCTAGCTATTCAGATACAGGATATGTTATCCCGATCCCGTTTCATAAGCCTCCTTATATTACTTCAATGTATGATAACTGATAGTGAATCCGTGAGTTATAGTAGTAGTCAGGGTAGAATAATATTCGTGTACAGAACTTGTCTATAAAAATCATATCAAGAAGCTTCGTATGCCGGATTGCCATTCATAATGTGCCCGATACAACCATTCGCGGCTTACAGATCCACCTCCTTTACCTCCTGGGCCATTATGCAACACAGGAAGAAGGAAACAGGACAGCAATACCCAGAACACGACTTCTCGATACCAATTTTGTCCTCCATCGTGCCTCTCTTGGGGTAGTGATATATTGCGTTGGTACAAAGCAACCTGTTAACATAATATTCAGGATGCGTTGGACTGGCGATGCGACGAAGATCTTACCTCTTCATTGCAGAAGGCGTAGGGGTTGAAGGTTGGGTCTTTCAGCCTCGCATGTGTTCTTCCAGATGATACACACAGGCAAAGCCGGCTGAGAAGCGCTAGGGATTAGGATTTCAGGTTAGCATGGCAGGGACATGTCTGAGGCCTGGAGAAAGGTGATGAATGTTAGGTTTACTTGTGTTGATGGGGCAACAACAGGTGAATAGACTGAGACCCTATATTTGTCCTTTGCCATATACCTCTTGGTGGAGTGGGATGCTGAGGCTCCTGGATTCAAGTCCATGAGCCACATTCGTCAGCGATGCAAGCCAAAATGGTGGACCAGACAGAGCTTCCAGTCGCCGTCTGCATTGAAATCGTATAGTTGCGGCCTCATATTACCCCAAACCCTCCCCGCTCTGACTCCAACCCCCTCCACGTTCTTTGTATTCACCTCCAACAGCTTCCAGCAAACATGATAAGAGAACATAGGATAAAGACTGTCATACTCCATCCAGCAGTACGAAACGGAAGACTCGAGGCTTCCTAGACTACGACGATTGGTCATCTCTCGCTTCCGATACATTGTTTTCTACATTTCTTTTCCATGGCTTCGATACAGCAGCAGGGGGGATATCACCATGTGCAAATACGGCGAGATGTGGGCGAGAATGAGAACCCTATCTCTGCAGCATGGCCAGAGAATACTGGAAATGCAGAACATCGGTCAAATGCCCCGAACCATCTGCCAACGGTGCGTAGCGCTTGAATTTACATCGTTTCTTTTGTTCATGAGAGAGACACACTAAGGAGAGAGATGGTAAACAGACCACATCGGTAGGGCTAGATCAAACACAGCCTCAGACCTGGCCCAAACCCCAGAGGTGGGGGATCACGATCATTGTTTCATGCTTTACACTCATCCCACCGGTCTCATCAACTATGCTTGCACCAGCCCTCGCGAGCATGGCAGCAGATCTGGGCATCAGGAATGCTGTGGTCTCTCAGCTCACACTCACGATTTTCATGCTTGCGTACGCCATTGGGCCATTACTTCTTGGTCTTTTATCTGAAACGATTGGACGGTTGCCGGTTCTGCTAGTATCGAACGTGTTCTATTTGGCCTGGACTCTCGGTTGTGGGCTGGCGAGAAACAAGGCAGACTTGATTGCTTTTAGACTTCTGGCCGGAACTGGGGGAAATGCACCACTGGCCGGCCCAATTGTCAATTGCGCTACTATGTATGACTCTCGTAGTTCAAGCCGTTTCGCCTAAATAGTTGAGCCAGGACCCAGTGCATCAGTAAAATACGATTACAAATAAGGATGAATGACTCTTGAATAGAAACATACATGGTTGACTGCTACTACTATTGAATCTAGGGCTTTCACGGTCCCCATCATCCTCAAGTTACCCAACGTGTCTGGTTAGTACCTTCCATCTTCATATTCTGTCGCCGGTAGTAAAGCGTCAAGCAGAAGGCCAGAATGGCGGCCAGAAAGCTCATACCTGCATTGACCCCATGGCCCAATCGGTATGCCGGGGCATCCTGGGCTCTGTAAATCCAGACACCAATGATTTGCCCGGGGCCAGAGAAGGAGATGTTGAGTGCGGTTGTGATAGACCGTGCTGTGGTCGTATGGATGTTGTCTCCTACCCAGGCGTTAAGTGAGGGCAGACCCCCAAACGCCCCGGCGGTAGCAATGATGAGGAACGCATAGCGTGCAGTATATGCCTCAGCCGGCAGCGATGCTAGCAGGGCATTAGCATTGTACCGGTGAGACGAGGATAAAATATGACGAATTATTGAACCTACCTTGGATAACGAAAGCCACCGAGGCAACAAGCTGGGAACCACATGCGATGGCTCCTCGGCATTTCAGCCAGTCTGACAGCCACGCAAGCCCTAAAGTCACAAGATATGCAACAGCATATGGGGGAACAGTAAAGAGCTGGGCTTGGAGGTCCGTATAGCCCAGTCCCGCAATGATCGTCGGAGCAAACAGGGACAGTGATGCCACCCCAGCCGATATGGTTAGATACGTAAGGTAGTGAAGGTAGAGTCTTCCTGTGAGAAGAGTTTCCTTAGCGTCTTTCCAGTTGAGTTTATCCTCGCTTCAAAGATCGACCCAACGCGTCAGTAGCCCCTCATGCCTCGAGTGATTGAACAGCACATCGAAGATCACTCACCCCGAGGAACCGCTGTCTCCTAGACGAAGCGCCTGGAACTTCTTCTCTTCATCCGTGAGCCATCCTACGCTCTCGGGGTAGCTTGGCAGAAAAAAGAAAACCAGCAAGCCAGCAGCAACTGAGAGAGACAAACGTCATTAGCTGATTTTCCCGGTATCGTAGACAATGGACTTACTGGTTGGAGCTCCTTCCACCAGGAAGAGCCATCGCCAGCCCTCTAATCCTCGCGCCCCATTCAGGTGGCCGACGCCATATGCGATCGCACTAGTTGTTGTCAGGGACCGTGAACATCCTGAAGGTCAACCGATTGTCCATACCCGCCAAAGGCGCCCGACAGTGTGGCACTGCACATGAATACCGCAATTCGACTGGCGCGTTCCGCGGGTTTGTACCAGAATGTGAAATAATAAATCATACCTGAGGGATGTACGAAAGAGATTAGTATAATGGGACAGAACAGGTGAAAGAGTTCAATGTGTCAGAAGGAGTGTAATGTCAGCAGTACATACCTGGAAATGCACCGGCTTCCGCAGCACCCAGAAGAAATCGGAGGGCTGCTAGTCCGGCAAAATTGTGCGTAAATCCAATTCCCAAGCAGAAGGAGCCGAATGCAATGACAAGTAGCCCCAGCCACCTAAATATGCGTTAGACGCTATGTGATTACCTCTCGTTCGGCTATCTTGGAAAGCCTCACCTGCGCGGGTGAAAGATTTTCAATGCCAGATTGCTCGGCGCTTCAAATACAGAATAGGCCACGAGGAAAACCATCATTGCGATGGTGAATTGATAGTTGGAGATATTGTTGGTCTCCAACAGGGTATCGTTCGTGGATGAATTGAGGATCTTCGCATTTCCTGGGCCATGTCAGTAAGTTGAGGCGCCGGCAGTCGATGCCGTGGCACCTACCAATGTTCGATCTGTCGAGGTAGCAGAGGAGATATATAATGGCAGTCGATGGTAGGAGCCGACAGTCGATTTTCCGAACAATCCTGGTCCATCGTAGGTCAGTAGGTGCCTTCACCAATTCGAGACGATCCCTTAAGGCCATGGCTTGCCTCTTTTCTAGTTCTGGGTCTATTCTGGGAACATCTTCCAGTTCCTCAGCATGCTCATACTTCACGTCTCCATCGAGACTGGCTTCTACGTCGCTTGAAGACATTGTTTTGCGTCGTGCAGTAGAAAAAGATCGGTGTGGTGGGAGTTGAAGACCATCGGGGGTTGTCTTGAATGGTTGGCCGCCCGACGTGTGGAATGTGAAGAAGAAATAACAACCCAGCCTGGAACTGTGGAATTCCTTGAGATTGACACCATGTCCTCGAGCCGACTGTTTGCCATGTCTTCCCCGCAAATCCAGGCCTACCCCAGACCTGTGACCCTGTATGGGGGATGCTTAACCGGGGAAAGCAACAATCCAATTCAGGGAAAAAGTCAAACAAAACAGGACGAGGGAACGCCACTGGCTACGGAAGGGTCAGGATGCGAGTAGCAGTGGCATGATCAACGTAGACACCAAGGCGCCGGGGAGATATGCGATCAGCATAACGCTCTGAGTCTTGCGGGGTAGGGTTTTCTCAGCGAACCCTGCAAGATGGCACGGTCCTCTCGCTATATGTGGTCTGAGCATGGGCAGAGAGACAGCCACATCGCCAGTAGAGAGAGAGAAGACTACGAGATTGACTCTGATTGACTCTGACTAGGGCAATGGCCTGTTCTTGTTAGCCATTCCGGGTGTCGTTTCTGGTCGAGCTTATTTATCCTTCCTCGGAGATGGCAGTATACTCCCCGGTCTACTCATCCCAGGTTTGATATCGCGTAGAGGATGTCAGAGAACCCCCGCTTCTGTCTCGGGGCAAGCATGGCATCCCCGCAAGTGGGGTCTGGTCTGATCTTCCCATCAGTCCCACTATTTCCTTAGCACCACCGATGTGGGGTGATGACAAAAAGTACGAACAGTGCGTGTGAAACGTTTCATTATCACATAAGACGGGGTAGGACCGCTCTGTCCAAAGAAGCGTTTCATCTCATTGACCTTCCGAGATATACCTTGGAACCACCATTATGGATGCGAACAAGCCCAAGCAAGACATCCTGGACCGTGCAAGATCGCGAACGGTGATCATCACAGGAGCAGGGGGAGGTATCGGTGCGGCAACGGCCAGGGAGTTTAACAACCGTGGTGCCACAGTGGTCCTTGCCGATATTCCAGCCCTCGAGAGCAACGCCCGCGAGCTGATTGCGTCTTTCTCGTATCCGGACCATGCTGTATTCATTCCAGTCGATATACGAGATTGGCAGCAAATGCAAAGACTCTTTCAGCAAACTATTCAGATGTTCGGGAGTGTGGACACCGTGGTGGCCAATGCCGGCGTCATGGAATCGGAACATGTTCTAGACATGGAGGATGTGGATAGCGAGGGAAACCTGCGCGAGTCCCAAGAGGCATCTAGGGTCATTGATATTAATATCAAGGGAACTTTGAATAGTACGGACCCCACGCTTGACATGGGTACAGCTACTGACAGTGTCTACTGCTGGACTACTAGCATTGCGGCTGGCCATGCACCACATGCGATTATCATCCAACACGAGGACGGGGCAACCGTCCATTGTTATGGTGGCATCTACATCGGGGTACTTTGGGGGGACTGGGGTCTGTGCATATATCGCGTCCAAGCACGCGGTGGTTGGATTACTGAGAGCATCCCAACTAGCTGCAAAGCGTTATAACATCTCCATCACTGCTGTTGCTCCTTTCTTCACACCAACTGCGATAACCTCAGGCCTAACGGAACGCTGGAAGGCAGCTGGATTGGAAGCCAACACGCCAGAGATGGTGGGGAAGGTGATATTTGGGTCGGCTCTAGATGACAACAACAGTGGCAGTTGCCTATTGGTACGCATTCAATCCAGCCACATTGCATGGAAATAATCCCAAACTAAAATAACCGTGAGCAGGTTGCTGGAAAGTTTCTACGCGAGCTAGAGCTGACCCGGAGCAATTTAATCCCGGAGTGGCTAGGAGGGGATGTGAAGGAGTTCATGGACAGAGCGTTTAATGTAATTCAAGAAACAGGCGGCTATCAACTGCCAAAGATCAGGGCGAAGGTGTGATAGAGATACGGAAATGAGACATTCGTGCTGTAGACTCTCCGATAAGCCAGGAGTCGACTCCATCGAGCTCTCAATAATAATGCTAACGAATACAACAAGTGAGATACAAACCATAGGTGATTTCCTTCGAAATTCATGGAAAGTTGCGATGTGCATCGAATAGACCGAAGATTCAATCCTCGTTCCGAATATCAATGGCCCACCCATGGTTGCAAACTCGTAGACTGGATGCCATGCATACTGTGCCCCATTTTACCTATATTGATGTAGTACCTCTGCTAGTCGATCAAACGGAAGCAATATCAGAGCGATCATCCCAACCAACCACGGTTATGTAAAACATCAGAGCGTGCGGAGAAGCTCCGAAACCTGGCAACCGTGGCGTAATACCTTCCACGATGACGAGCATTGGAGAAACTATATTCCATGTTTCAGCTGTCCACCAAGGATATTGGATGCATTCTCTTACCTATGGCGACTCGGACCTTGGCGGGGACAATCGAAACAACTCCGGCTGAAGTTCAACATGAAGGTAAAGCAACCCCGCAGCGCTACTCGGACAATTGCCCGAGAGTGGCTTCTTTTGAAAGCAGGTCGCTTCATTACCTAGCATGCATACGTTATTTATAACCTATAAACTCACATCAACGGAGAAAGTAGTGCTTGGAGGAAGACCATCCCCCTTTTCCCGATTTTATTGATTCTGCGCCGTCACACCGAGAAACCCCTCCACCACCCCAAGGATTTCACAGATTCCAGCAGCAAACCAATCCTGATCAGTCTCACAATATGGCCACCTTCCCAAGATACCCGGATCTCCATGGCAAAGTCGCCCTGATTATGGGAGCCGGGCAAACGCATGTACCAGGCTCGGAAGCATGGGGCAATGGGGCAGCTATCGCTAGATGTCTCGCACAAAACGGCGTCCAGGTTTTCGGCTGCGATGTGAATCTCCAGGCGGCAGGGCGCACCGCTTCACGCATCCAGGCGGAAGGCGGGAAATGTGATATCGTCCAAGCCGATGTGACATCGGAAGAGGACGTGAGGAGAGTTGTGGACGCCGTGATGGCAAAGTATGGCCGCATCGATATCTTGATCAACAACGTGGGCGCCACAGTAGCCGGTGACCCAGCCAGCATGCCCCCCGATGTCTGGGACAAACAAATCAACCTCAACCTGAAAACGGTCTACCTAGCCTGCCATGTGGTGCTTCCGATCATGGAAAAGCAAGGGTCGGGGTGCGTGGTCAATAATGCCTCCATTGCGGACTTGAGGTACATTGGAAAGCCACAGGTCGCGTATTCGGCGGCAAAGGCGGCGGTGATCCAGTTTACGAAGGTCACAGCGGTCATGTACGCACCGAAAGGGGTTCGATTGAACTCGGTCGTGCCGGGTTTCATCCACACGCCTTTGGTGGATAACTTCAAATTCAGCGGCCAGCAAGAGGTTTATGACAAGATTACACAACAACCCGTCCCTTTGGGGCGCATGGGGGATGCGTTCGATATAGCCAACTCTGCAGTATTTCTGGCCAGCAACGCGGCTAAATACATCACTGGACAGATTTTGGTTGTGGATGGTGGATTTACAAGCTCTGCTGCTTCTCTATAATGTACACCAGAATATGCGGTCCTTCATCACTATGGGGAGTTAAGCGTAGCGCAAAAGGGCAGGGCAGGGTGGCATTTGTTGCCATACTAACCCTACTACCGACACGTAGGCGTGGCAAAAACACCTCTCCCAGCGATATTGCAGGGCATCATCGTATCGTGTTCCTTATGATTGATCTCTTTGTACATACATAGCATGCTGCCCTCTTGTTGGCTCAAACAGAGCCCCCCTACTAAGATTATGTCATTTATACTACCTGGTAGAGTATTGCAATCAGTGATAGCCCAAGGCTTTACATACATTTGGGAGACGTAGCTCATCGTGAGTATGAAAAAGTCCATCGTGGTAAGGATTGGTATTTTCTGACGATAATCAGTACCATATCCTGAACAGGATAGATGTTTAAGTTTAATATATATTCCGCCTAAGACAATTGTATATTAACTGATCTCTACCCGACTGTTCCAGGGTTGTGCTATGCACTTCCCTTTGTATATAAATCCCATACAAAATAGATTCACCACTTGAGGCAACCTAATTATTAAACTTGCAGTGCCTTGTATAGCGCGACCCTAACACGGTAGAGTATTCTGTAGGTGTCGCGACTGGTTTTGCATGGTTGGGAGAAAGATAATCTGACTCGAGCTATCGCTGGAGAATCTTATCCAGTTCAAGCCATGCCGACAGTAATTCTATTCCGATCTCCGGGCCACGCCAACACTTTTCCTAACAACGCCGAGGTGTACATTTACTGAAATAGCCGAAGCCTGTTGCTTAAATATGTGGGGAAAGCGCTTCGGCAGTTGAGCTGTGCGCATTGGCCGGCACTAGCTGTGACTATAAACAGGCCTAAACTAGATATATAACGGTAGCGTGGAACGGCCTCCAATTACTTCATGTAGCTGAAGTGGGCCTGGAGCGAAGGATTCTCGCTACCATGGTTGAACATTATACAATATGAGTGCTGGTGATAGCGATGTGGACCGGTAATTGTGCCAGAATTATACATTGCCGGGCCCCGCCCTCGTCTGCAGAGTTCGTGATTATAAGACCGATAGATAGATCTGTAAGTACCCCTGGATAGGACAGACCTTGTCACCATGACTTCGTTCGATGAAATCGTCAATTCTCTCCGTCGTTCATCTGGAGAAGACAAGCAGCCCCTCCCACGGGTTACGTTGGGTGCCATTAATAAAGATGGTATGGAAACTGCGAACCTTGCACAACCAGCGTTCCACGCCTGCTGACCATCATAATCCATGATCAAGGCTCCTTTCACTATGCCAAGGTTTTTGGGGATGAGTCTACCGACACTCCGGGCACTGATGCTGTACATTGGGTCGCGTCTTGCACAAAGTTTCTGACCACCGTCGCTGTGATGCAGTGCGTAGAAAGAGGGCAGCTAGACCTAGATGCCGACATAGCTAAAGTGTTACCGGAATGGGCAGATGCCCAGATATTGACGGGCTTTAATGAAAAGGATGAACCCATCTTTCGACCGGCCACTAAGGCTATCACCCTTCGGCAAGTCATCTGCATCCTACGTTAGCGCTGAATTATAGATGTTTATATACTAATGCCTCCCAGGCACATGTTGACTCACTCCAGTGGCATGGCATATGTGTTCATGCACCCACTCCTGGCTCGCTACCAACAATTGCAAGGCGAACGACCACTTATCCAGCAGACTGTGGTCAGTACACAGGCCACATTCTTAGTGCCAGAGCTAACCTAGTATGTAGAAAGAGTCCTATCACCCATTCCTGTTGTTCGAACCGGGCGAGCGCTGGCTGTACTCGCCAAGCGTCGATTGGGCAGGGGTCACGGTAAGCTCTGATGCTTCTGACTTGATATGGGGTTTGTGACTGACGACACGAGATCAAAGGTCGAGCGGGTCACTTCCATGAGACTTGGGGAATACATGAAGCACCATATATTTGACGTTGTTTCAGCGAAAGACGCTACCTTTCATCTCGAGCAACGAGAGGACCTTCGCGCGCGGAAGGCTAAGAACTGGGGAAGAGTAGGCCAGAGCCTGGAAGAGGAAAAGAATCCTGTATGGCCCGACCCAATTGCAGAGGATCAAGGTGGAGGTGGGGTCTACACCACAGTCAGCGAGATGCTCAAGATCTACCACGGCATTCTCACCGCGAAGCTGCTCCGACCTGAGACTATCAAGCTCATGTTCCAGCCCCACCTGGGAAGTAACAGAGGCCTTGACAAACCAGATGAGTACCCGTTGCCAGTGATAAATGCAATTTGGAATGCCGTGCCGCATGATGTTCCTGTGAGCTTTGGCCTTGGTGGCCTTGTTAACACCGCTGCTGTCCCCGAGCAACGGGGGGTGCATTCACTCACCTGGTCCGGTATACCGAATTGCTACTGGGTAAGTCATTCAATTGCAGAAGGAAGGTTTTAGCTGACTCTTTAATTGCTGCAGTGGATCGACATTAACAATGGTGTCGCTGGTATATATCTCTCTCAGCTTGTACCGATGGGGGATCAGAAGTCTGTGGAGCTGCTTACAGCGTTCGAAAAGTTCGTATACTCGTCGTTGAACCAGGTTCAGCCAGCAGGTGTACAAGCGCACTCGCACTTGTAGTAATCTACATATACCTCGTTTATATCACTCTGAGGCCCCAGGTTTAACATAATTATAACTTTCGTACAGTGAGAATCTGCGAAGGACTCTACTATGTTCGCTTCCTGGCCTGAGGAACTAAGTCTGTGGATATTTATGTTAACTATGATCAAGTCGCCGCCGTAGTAGTTAGCCCCCATGTTCTTATGAACACCATTAAGTAGGGATTTCAACGACACCACACGCAACGGAATTATCCTCCGGGTTGCCCATGTTGCCTCCGTTTGCAAACAGTAATTTCCTTTTACCCTGCAGGTGGCTACCCTCATACTCCGTGAATAGGCTGACCACATGCCCACGTCCACTGTCTTCCACCCGCCTGGGTCTGCTGAATCCTCATTCACAAAGACTACCTCATGGCTAAGGGCGCTGACAATAATCAGTCCAGACCCATCAGTCCGATCAGGGTGTGGCGTCCAGATCACATATGGCGTGTTGTGGGGTGTGATCGGCTTCGTACCGTTGGAGGCGAGTGGAATTCCCTCGGCCGAATTGAATTCCAAGGGGGACGAGGCGACCTTGTAATACACATCACAGTTACCCTGGCCGCAATACTCGTATGTCATAATGTAGAAATCCGTTGATTCGATGTGCGCGACTGTTGTCATGCCGGGTCGATCGGTCTGTGTCGAGTATGCTACGTCCGGGACAGGGTTCGACCAATGCTGGAGGTCAGTGGTGGTGACGTGGACCAGCTTCTGGCTGTGTAGCGGGTCACGCTGATCAGAGAAGAAACAGACTATCCTCCCGTCATACAGCATCAACCAAGGTTCCCAGAGGGCGGCATTTCCGTTTGTGATGGTCTCCGGGCCCGCGCCGTAGGCGATGTGGCTGACGAATGTCCAAGTTGCGGCCTCATCTTCACTGACATAGAGATCGATATACACGCCGCCCTCGAGAGTGACCGGGGACGATACGCCCGCAGCAAGAATAGACCCTGCGGCGTATCCACCGAAGTCCACCGGCAAGGTGAAGAGCTCGGGTTGGAAACGCATGCCCCAGCCATTTTCCTCGTCCTTGACTGCGGAGAAATTGGTCCAGGTTGATCCTCCATCGACTGATTTGTAGATGGGGTGGTTCACTAGTGGTGGTTCCTTTGGGTAGTTCTCCCACGTAATGAGCAGCGACTCATCGGGCAGCTGGAGAGAGCGAGCGTACAACGTGTGCCATTGTACGGCGTCGACTTCAGGATACCAAAAGATATAATTGGTGAAATCGGTGAAAGCCTCAGGCTTGGGGTTGCTGATAACCTGGCAGGAAACAAGACGGAAGAGAAAGGCAAAAGCGCTGGGTTTCCACATTGTGATGGTATAATTTTGACACTGAGGCCCGATCAGTAAGGTGGTGAATGCATGACCATTGTCAATGCTGTTTATATATCTTCGCAAAGCTGTAGAAGTTGGTCTCTTGATAAAGCGGTTATCAATACGTCTCCTTTTGAGACAACATCGTATGATGGTGACAGATTGATATGTCTGAAGATAGCCTAGGATTGTCGCGGAGTGTCGGGATAGAGTACGAGTGGCGATCGTCTGGACATGCGGAGTGTCGGGAAGAATTAGGGTTATTGGGGGAGTATCGGGATCGCAGCCAAGATCTGGGGTAGTGTCTAATGACACCATCCCCACAGGAGCTGCACCACGTTAGGTTCGCTATTCGCTGGTTTGATATTTATGCTTCAGTCCCTACAGATAGCAAGGCGGGGAATAAGTATATCCCAGGAGGCGTCCTCACCAGCGACGGGTCTCTCAGCGCTGCGAGCTTTCTACATCATCACTAACTCTCCGAGTCGTTATTATGTCAGACCAGAGGAAAGCATCTGTTGAGCATGTCGAACTGGAAGTTGTCAAGGAACCTGGGGTTGGGGAGCGCCATGATGAGCAGACACTGAGCTTTGCCCAACTGCTGAGACAACATCCAAGAATCATCGGGTGGTCGATGTTCTGGTGTATGTGTGCTTTGGGATGTAGGTGGTTTGTGCATGCGCTAAACATGGGGGCTTGCATTGACGATACTAGGGGGCTTTGATACTCAGGTAAATGGTGCCATGGTGAGTGTACCGGCATTTCGTGAATACTACGGGTAGGTCCTACGCTCCTCCTCCCTCTCATGACCCGGGTCACTAAGAAGAGCAGATATGTGTACAAAGGAAACCCCATTATCCCAGCCCACTGGCTTAGTGCCTTTAATGTCATCTCCTCTGTTGGCCAGTTTTTCGGCGGGTTTCTTTGCAGTTATCTGGCTGATCGTGTTGGCCGCAAGAAGAGTCTGTCCGTCGGAGTTGTTATCACTACCGGCGGTATTTTCGGAGAGACCTTCTCGAGCAATGCCGGAGCTTTTATAGTTAGCAAGCTCATCCTGGGGCTGGGTGTCGGATTTTACTTGACCCTAGGGCCCATCACTTGCTCGGAGATCTCCCCCGTTGTTCTACGCGGTCTTTCCTCGGCGGGCATCAATCTGGCAATTGCAGTTGGCCAACTCGCCTCTAACGCGGCCACAAAAGGGTTTGGCAATCGCAATGATGTCTGGGCCTTTCGGGGGCCTTTCCTCGTTCAACTCCTCTTTTCCATCATTCTGCTCACCGGAAGCTTCTTCTCTCCTGAATCTCCCTATTACCTTGTGCGCCAAGGTCGCGTCGACAAAGCGAAGGAGTCACTTAGAGCGCTCTATGGGACAGAAGCCGACATCAGTTCAGTCTTAAGTACGATCCAGAGCACAGTAAATGCCGAACAAGAAGCATTGACTCCGAGCTACATCTCCGCCTTCCGCGGGACCGATCGAATCCGCACACTGATCTCGATCGGGGTTTTTACCTGCCAGCATCTAGCCGGCATCGTCTTTGTGCTCAGTTTTTCCACTTACTTCTTCCAATTAGCTGGCCTGGGTACTTCCAGCGCGTTTGATTTGGGTGTCGGCGTCACAGCATGCGGCGTGGCTGGGAACATCTGCTCCTGGTTCCTGGTCAACCGTGTGGGACGTCGTCCCATCTTTCTCGGTGGAATGGCTGGCTGCACGACCCTACTTCTTCTAATCGGAATACTAGACGTCATACCTACCGGAGCGGCCCAATGGGCCCAGGCATCGCTCACTGTGGTGTATGCATTTGTTTACTTTCTCACTATTGGTGCGGTGGCCTTCGTTCTTCTGGGCGAGGTATCGTCTTTACAGCTGAGAGCGAGAACAACCGCCTTGGCGACTGCTACGCAAGCCATCTGGGGTATCATCATGTTTTTTATTGTGCCCTATATGGTGAATCCGGATTCCGGGGTACGCCTTCAGTCTGTCATATCTTCACTGGCCTAGGGACTTGCTGACTTGTGGCGACAGAATCTTAAAGGAAAGGTCGGGTATATTTTTGGGGGAATCTCGCTAGCAACGACATTGGTATGTTTCTTTTACATTCCTGAACTGAAAGGGAAAACATATGAGGAGATAGATGGTTTGTTTCGTAGTCGGGTGCCGCCGCGAAGGATGGGAAGTCACCACTTCGAGCAGGCGTAAGATGTGTTGTTCTACTCAAGTCACCCATTATACCTACAAACTCGTTCGCCGTGCGTTGTAAGGGGGTGAGGTTGAAGTTAATTCCAAAACTAGTGTTCTACAACTTAGAATATAAGGCGGGCTCTATTGTATGCACTCCCACTCTAGCTGACTCGGTTGTTTCCAATAATTCGTATCACTCCGAGTGAACCCAAGCTTCTCCAAAGCTCCAGCGCTCCTCTTATTAGGCCTCTCCGTCTCGGCGATGAACCTCGTCACGCCGCATGCCTTCACAGCCCAGTGCATGACGGCTTCTGCCGCCTCCTTCGCAATTCCGTGACCCCAGTGTGTCGGCGAAACACCATAGCGAATCTCAACCATTTCATTCCATGGTGGAAGGGGTAGATCGTCAGCCTCTCGTGGTGGAATCGACGTTGTTGTTCCATCACGAACACCAGCGTAGCCAACCCAGGTGATATCATTCAAGTTCTTGATGCTTAGGCCGGAAAGAGCTTCGAGCACATCTCCCTTCAGAATGTCGATATCGTTGCTGGATGATCCCAGTGAAATCTCTGGCGGGCGTAAACCCACGGCAAAGTCACCCATACCGCGTACTTCCCAGCATCGCGTAATATCGCGTGTCTGGATCACATCGCGCGTTTCATCGTCACTCCATTGCCTGGGCGGGAAATGAACACCAAACCCCATTTCGCAGAATGCTTTATCTGCGTGGAGTGACGCATAAAGCCTTCGGTAGGAGCTTGATGCGACGGCTTGTGGGGTAGGAAGGACAATGAGTCTTGGGGTTAAGATGACAAAAGGTTCCCAGGAAGTGCTATCCATTCTTGATGTTGGCTTTGGTCCTCTCTGGAGAGTATCAAATATGTGAAAACTGGATCAGTCGTTCTAGGGTTCGATTTAGGGCAATTCTAAATTGTGGATAGGAACAATATCCTCGGATAAGGGTGTGACTGGAGAAATAAAGAGCATTTGCTGATAGTGTCTGCGATGAAAATTGGGTGGAGTGGTGTACCGAGGGCAAGCTATGATACTACACCCGTAGTGAATAAAATATCGAATGTGAAACCTGTAGAATTTGACGGAGAATGTTAGTGATACCCAGCTTTAAAGAATTAACTGAGAGTTCTAGCGTAAATCTAGTCCAATAAGATTAGAAATATAGACCCAGGACCCTCTCATCGAACGCCGTAAATGGCGGATAGATTTGGCCATGCTCTTTTAGTACTAGTGCCTAAAGCAGTAAGTTGATACCTTAAGGCAGCGGCTCCCTTTGATCAGTGGTTTAGTAGCTTGATCACTTTGTCTGAACCTTCGTATGGACTTCACTTTTGGTAGGATGTATGGGACCGTGATATGATCATAGAGTTTCATAGATCATGGATAAATACGACTTATTTTGGCTAAAGACCCGCGGAATATCGGGATACGCCACGCCCTGCATGATATGTCGACGGCCTCACTACCCCGCCTCTGATACAGGTTATCGCTATCATGGCAATATAAATAAGGGTATACATATAGATCCAAAGCGATGCAACTATACCTCCAGAAACATTAGTACGTACAATGGGTTCCCAAGCAGAATATACCTTCATCGACGCCATCGCCGACCTTAAAGCCGGTCAGACTCTGGCTGAAACGACTCAAACTCTTCTGTCCCAACTGACACAAGAGGAACGCCTTTCCCTTCTCGATGGAGATGTCCAGTTCTGGACCGGTTTACGCTCGATCCTATGCGACCGCTACAACCGAACTCCATACGTTCACGGGGCCGTCCCCCGGAAGCAGATTCCTGGAATCAAGTTCACCGATGGACCCCGGGGGGTAGTCATGGGCCATTCGACGGCTTTCCCAGTTCCCATGGCTCGGGGCGCCACTTGGGATATTGAGCTGGAACGCCGTGTGGGAGATGCTATCGGCCGCGAAGCCAAAGCCCAAGGTGCGAACTACTTCGCCGGGGTCTGTGTGAACCTCCCACGACATCCCGCCTGGGGTCGCATTCAGGAGACCTACGGGGAGGATCCAGTTCTCCTAGGAGAATTCGGATTGGCGCTAACGCAGAGCGTGCAGAAACATGTCATGGCATGTGTGAAGCACTATGCGTTGAACTCCATGGAGAACGCGCGGTTTAGGGTCGACGTGAGTGTGGATGAGGCCGTCTTGCACGAGGTCTATCTGCCACACTTCCGGCGTATTGTGGAAGGGGGCGTGGCTGCCGTGATGTCGTCGTATAATTCAGTTAATGGTGAATGGGCGGGGCAGAACCGACATCTACTGACGGATATCTTACGGGATCAGTGGGGATTCGATGGGCTGGTGATGTCTGATTTCGTGTTCGGCCTGCGCAACGCCGCAGCGTCCGTAAGGAACGGTCTAGATATTGAGGCCCCGTTCACACAGCAGAGAGCCAGAAAGCTGCCCCTTGCCTTGGAATCTGGGGAGCTGGAGTGGCAAGACGTCGACCAAGCGTGCGAGAGGATCATTCGGAAGCAGATTGAGTTTACGGTGCGCACGGAGGATAGCCAGCCGAGTCCTGACGTGGTGTTCTGCGACGAGCATCGCGAACTAGCGCGTGAGGTGGCTGCTCGGTCTATGGTCCTCCTTAAGAATGACACTGTGGAGGGCAGGACCATTCTACCGCTGCAAGCCGAATCTTTGTCTCGTGTTGCCGTCGTTGGTCGCTTAGGGAATATTGCCAACACAGGAGACAAGGGATCGTCCCAAGTATTCCCGCCCAGTGTGGTCACACCGGTCGAAGGAATCCGAGCGGCACTACCCGGTGTAGAAGTCCTTTTTGCGGAGTCAATCAACGAAGCTGAGCAGCTGGCCTCCCAAGTTGATGTCGTGATCTGTGTTGTGGGCTATACCCATGAAGATGAAGGCGAATATGTTGTACCAGCCCTGCAGGACAATCCAGCCCTGCGCGACACGCTTCCACCAACCACTACGGCAGAGGAGCGCGAGACTCTCGATATTTTCGAGGGTAATTCCGATAAAGGAGGCAATAGCGGTATTGAGGCTGGCGCTGGCGGTGATCGGACCTCACTAAGACTGCGCGATCAGGACGAGAGGCTGATATCAACTGTGACGGCCCACAACCCGCGCACTATTGTGTCTATCATTACTGCGGGCGCTGTGATTATGGAGTCATGGAAGGAGAAAGTGCCCGCGCTCTTGATTAGCTGGTACAGCGGTAGTGAAGGTGGCCATGGTCTTGGCGACGTGCTTCTGGGAAGGGTCGATGCGAGTGGCAGGCTCCCGTTCTCCATTCCGACCAGCGAGGCGCATCTGCCTTTCTTCGATCGAGAGGCAGCTGAGATATACTATAACCGGTGGTTTGGACAGCATATGCTCGATAAGATGGGGGTCGAGGCCGCTTTTCCACTCGGATTCGGCCTGTCGTACACAACATTCGAGGTAGACAATATAGTTGCGGAGAGAGTCGATACCGAGTCAATTCAAGTCACGGTCCATGTTCGAAACACTGGAAGCAGGCCTGGACGGTTTATCGCACAGGTATATGCCGTGACGAGCATTCCAGATTTCCCGACTCGCGTGCTCCTTGGTTTCGCTCCCGTGGATCTGGCGGTGGGGCAGCAGACTGACATGAAGTTCTTAGCTTCTACCAGGCCGCTACAGCAATGGAAAGCGGGCAAGTTTACGCGCCGGGCAGACGAAATCCACCTCGAAGTGGCGTCATTCGCTGGCGATACGGCTTCTGTGGGCACGAGGGTGTCTTTAGTCTAACCCCATAGCCCATTAGCAGAACCCTAGTAGTCTAGACTAAGGATAATGTTGTTTGTCTTGCTGATCATCCCCGCAAAGTGCGGGGCAATTTAGCCCTAAGTATTTAACCGCGCTCTGTTCCCGACACTCCGCATTATGCAGCAGTACATGAACTTGAGAATGAAGCGAGTAGCTCCCACCAGTAGAAGCAGCGCGGCGTACCCACGCAAAAGAGCTGTCACTGCTTGCCAGGTGTGTCGTTCCCGACGCACCAAATGTGACCAGAAGAAACCCCGTTGTTCCTTCTGCGAGACGACCGGCGCCGAATGTGTCTTTGATCCCACGGCCTTGTCTACCTTTGACCCAGCTAGTCTCGCAATTCTCCAACGTTTAGACACGCTTGAACACAAGATTGACTCGTTCCAACAACAACCAATCTCAACCCCAGTACATCTTCCCAGACTCAGCCCCAATAATAACTCCAGAACCGTCGACACGGTCAGAAAAACGCCCGAGCATGCGGGTAGCTTGCTTCCGGAGAATCTTGATGCTGTCCTAAAATGGCCGATCTTGCAGGATGAGGATCAGGAAATCACCGAAAGCCCTCATCTTCCCAACCCAGCAAGCCATCATGCCTCACCCCCTCAATCCTCCCTGGACGGTGATGAACTCAATCCCAGTCTCAGTAATGCATACCTAGATAACTTCTTTTCCCACGTTCATCCGAAGAATCCCGTGCTCGACGAGCCGTACATTCGTCGCCTTGTCCGGAAGGTCTCCCTGGAAGGCCCGGGCTGGGACTCCGATTCTTGCCTTGCGCTACTCGTCTGTGCCAACGGGGCGATCACTGGCCCTTTGATGGCGCAATCTGTATCCGCCGAGGAGCTGCGTGCGTCCCCTGGTTGTAGGCTCTTTGCAGCGGCACTGAAGCGCATTGGAACGACTCTGGACTCTGCAGGCGTTGCCCAAGCCCAATGTTTATTTTTTGCCGGTGTATATCTGATGTCCTGCCTCCGACCATTCGACGCATGGCGCTCATTCTTACAAGCACTGGCCGTATGCCAGAGTTTCACGTTCATGGGCGAAGCCACCCAGACGGGTACACCAGCCGAAGAGAGCATCTACTGGTCATCATGGAAGTCTGAACGAGAGCTCCGCTGGGAATTAGGCCTCCCTGACTTCGGGACTCGAATTTCATTGGAGCCGCCCCAGCGCTTTCCCACTCTACCCCTTACAGATGACGAGGAGATCCTCCGCGCGTGGTACTTCTATCTGTCCGAGATCTCTCTCTGGCGGCTCGAGACGGAAATAAGGAAAGACATGATCGCCCGTCTCTCTGAACCATCCAGTAATACTCTCAACGATCTGGCAGACATCAGCGAGATCTATAAGCAACAGCTGGTGGCCTGTCTTCACTCCTTACCATCCACCGTTAGCATCTCCGACCCCCCTTGTCAAGGTTCCGAAACCGATGTTCTTCGATTCATTCTCCAGGGCCGATCAACATATGTCAATGAACTAATCACCTGGCCATACATCGTGTGCGCTGTCAGTGATATACCGTTAGGGCAAGCAGCGCAGGGCTGGGTCGCAAGGGGCCTCCAGGCCCATTTGAAGAGACTGGAAGTCAATCGGGCCGGGTTTTATCACCGGCACCATGGAACCTGGTTAATGATACGCACGTCCACCAGAAGCGCGTGTATTCTGCTCGCCGTCGCAAGGTCTAGTCTTGATGATCTCCTTCCTGTTGGTTGGAAGGAGGCGGTGGAGGCCACGGTTAAGATGCTTGATTTTTGGCAGGCGGACGTTGAGGGTGTGGCTGCATTGGCTCGCTTTTTGCGGAGTCTGTTGTCTCATGCTAGTTAAACACATTCTCCGACGTGGCAAGGTTATAATACCGTCGGGGAGATGCAGGTATCCAATGTGATAATGAACAGTAACTTTTGGTCACTTGGCTGGTAGGCCCTGCATCCATGTCCATATGCTTGGTACTATTGAATCAGTGGTTGTATCTGCTTTCAATCCTTATTTTCCGATGAATATGATTGGTAATACGCAGGTTGTGGCCTAATTCTGATTTAGATAAAGTCTACACATCGACCCAGCTGCTGAAACAACCTGATTAGTAGATATGATCTTTACTACCTGAACACATGTTTTGCCTATACCTTATATTTGTATCGATTAGGCGGTGCCCCAGATAAGATTCGAACTTCAAAGTAACTATGTGGCTAGACATATAATAGCTAGATACTACAGGGAAATAGAATTCTGGTTGCTTAATGAATCAAGGGGTTTCAGTAGCGCTGCGTAGAGAATAAAACGCAGAAATCATGCAGTTGCCGCTCGACTTTTCATCCAACTAGAAATGGGTGGTTGAGAAGGTCGGTGGTTGATTTCCGATCCTCTGCGTGTTCCTGTAGCGCTGACCAAAGAAAGTCTACCAGCTTCTCACTGTTGTCTTGGCCAAAATTATTCGGTATTCTCTCGCCAAGGTACATAGCGAATCCTTGGATCCCATTCTCGAACAAGGTATACATGCGAGATAGCAACATCTCACGACTTTCATCACTGGTGCAACCAAATGATTCAGCAGGGAAGAGTGGTTCGTTTGTACTAAGCTGAAATATCTATACTTAATGGTTAGGTCATGATATGCGGCAAGGTTTGAGAACTCACCAGACACCCAAAAGCCCATATATCAGCCTTCTGATGCCGAGAATGTGGCTGGAGTAACTCGGGAGCTTGTAACACCAATGGCGTTACAGGATCGACATCATGCTGTGTGTTCCATATAGCTATTATGACAGTCAATAATCCATATTCCTGTATTAGAGACAGGGGTTCAGACCTCCGCCCAGATCACCAACTCTGACGGTAAGTTCTGAGAACGCTGTATTGTCTAGCATTCCATCAGGACGTTGGGAGGTCACCAGATACCGCGGTGCACTGTTATCAACTTCAACCCCTGGGCGCCAATGAACATAGGCAAGTTCAGGTTCGATTAACATTTCCTCTGGCGAATCGGAGTTCACAGTGAAGAGTATATTGGCTGGATGGAGGTCTATATATACATTAGTACTAGTCACTTTGAAATTTGGGCACGTCAACTAAGATATATACCTCCATGAATCAAGCCCTGATCATGAATGAAGTCTAACCCTTGCAATATTTGTTTCGAAATCTCGCGAACATAATTTGAGTGACGAGGCTTTTCTTCAATAGTCATTTTATTACCATCAGACAACATGACAGGGAATACAAGACAAAGGTGTAAGCCGTTAGGACCTCTATGCTCAAAATGGTCCAATAATTGCAGGACGCTGTTTCTTCCAGGATGATTTGTATTTGCTTTTGATAGATGAAGGAGGATAGGAAGTTCTTGGCTCTCCCTTGAGGCATCCGCTTTGAGAATCTTTAACGTTACGTATTTTTGAAGCCTAGAAAGACGGGCATCAGTTTGATAGTCACGGGTATAGTATGGCAGGAGGGTAGGTGAATACAACCTCGTGTCTTTAGCAAGCCAAACTATGGAAAACTGCCCATATGCCCACTTTCCAACGACCTGATACCGCTGGTGGAAAGTGTCCTTGAGGTGGACTGGGTGATAGCCTCCAGCACGGTACTGTTCGACCTCTTCAACAACATCGTAAATCCTTTCAAAGCGAAGCATACTTGCTCAATATTGGTGATTTGGGTGTAACACTATGTGGTCTTTTCTTGCTCGTGAGGAGAAGGAATGGAAGGAAGGCAACGAGCCAATTTTGAGTATCAATCATCCCGTAACATTTTCGATGCTCATGAGTTCATTAGTTCGTCATTATTGTCCGCTCGCTGAGCGAGTATCTGCACAGAACTACATCACTATGCTCACTATGCGGGCCCAATCAGGAACACCAGTCGGAATAGTCAATATCTGACTTGATTGCAAGTAGCGGTAGGCTAGAGAAGACATCTGTCAAGGATTAATACCATCATATTGAAGACACCTATAGGTCTCGTTTGCCATCGAGACTTATCTTTGATTATCGGTACCTTTATTGCTTTACCTACTACAAACCCAAACAGGCAGTGTGTCTTACAAGTATTAATCAGGATATTGAAGACATTTATATTTCTTATTCAGCTCAAAACGATCTTAAATCACTAGTCTTATTCCATACCTACTACAAAGAGAGTTATATTCGCAGTTTGACCATGGGCTTTCCTAATAGAATACAACCCCCGGCAATGTATCCTACCCAGCTCGATAGACGGCCGGTGATAGAGATACTGGGAAAGGATGGAAACATATATGAAAAAACACATGTTATGTAACATATCGTCGTTAGGAAAAATGTTCTATTCTGGTGACAACCAGGGGGTAACGTGCATACTAGCAGTCACAGCAGTGACCTCAAAGAGCACGTCAGCGTAGCTCACCATGTTAGAGGCTTCGTCAAAAGAGAGAATCTATCCCATGAGGTAGGGATTGTGGAACAGTGATTTTGGCTAAGGTAGACTAGATAATAGAGGGCCATCAAAGAGCTTGACCATAAGCATATTATCAAGCGTGGCTCGTATACTATTGGTAGATTTAGTAATTCAATGTCCTACTAAGTTGAAAGCAACGGATGCTGGTTCATTACAGAGGAACATCCTATGACCCCGAACTAGTTAAATCAAAGTGGTGATTTTAATACAAAAACATGGCTTCGAAACTGCAATGTATTCGGATAGTAGGGAGCTGGTGGCCCGTACCTTTGCGATTAGCACGAACAAAGCGACCTCGATGACAATGCAGTATAGAAGAATCTACAAATATTTGCCTGTATATTTGACACTTGGACACGGACAATCGGCGGAGCATTGACCCCGCAAGAGCTTTCCTCGTTATAATTGCCAGCCTCCTGATACATGGTCTAGAAGCCTTCCATATGAAGGACCATACTAAATTCTAATTACCTCTCGACCATCAACATACCGATGAACCCACTGGTAGATCAAGTATCTATCAATATGATACTCACATTGTACACGACCATAATTACGACCAGTCACCTTCATCAACCACCGGCTCATGCTTGTCTGAAGCGTCCATGAGCTCCTGGACAGTCCACGGCTTGTAGTTATAGCCGGGAGGTACATTGGTGTTCTGGAAAGGAGCCCCGGTCAAGAGATGATTCGCACACTTGCCGTAGTTATCATAGGCGTATTGCTCTGGGTTATGGCGCATGATCCAGTCAGCAGTAGTCTTGCTAAAAATATCCGGATTCTTTGCTACCGCATCCCAATCGGTATTATGGAATTTTTCCCGGTGGTGGAATCCCATTTTCTGGGCGCACGACACGCGTTCGAACCTATGTATCTGTGGTAAGTATAATATCTTCTTGCTGTGTTTAATTTGTACTACTGCATACCTTAGATGGTTATGAACTCGCACAGCCAAGGCGAAGTTGGGCTTGCCGCCCAATTGCAAGCACGTTGCCAAAGAGTACGCGTCTTCCATGGCCATTGCCGCTCCACTACCAGACGTCGGCAAGAAGGAGTGGGCAGAATCGCCAAGCTGAATGACTCGTGCCTTGGGCGAAGTCCATTTCGGTTGAGGATTACGCCACAGCAGCTTCCAGTCCGTACAACGGTTGTTAGGCGTAGCTTTGATCAGCTCAGTCAGAAAAGGTTCCCATCCTTCAATGTATGTCAAAGCCTTCTCGGTAGAGACAGTTTTATCCCAGTCTTCCTCGGCATTGTGGTCATCCTGTTATTATGGAATGGTCAGTCCATGAGCACCATGAGCATATATGCAGGCCGAAGATCTGATCCGACATACCCGATGTGTCAGCATGTAGCAGATCTGCCTGGATGTTTTCCCCACGGCCACATGTGCCCCGGGGCCTGCATGGATTGAGGCACGATCGACGTAACCTTCAAACTCTTTAGCAATGATCGGATTTTCAAGTGCTGGACCGGCGGGAAAGGTCGCCCTGTAACAGGCAAATCCGGAGCTGATAGGAACGTCTTTCGTTCCCAAGACCAAGGACCATGCCCTGGAGCCGACACCATCAGCAGCTACGACAATATCGGCTGTAAGTATGCTTCCGTCAGCAAGGACCACGCCACCTTCCATGTCAGTTTCGAAGTAGTCTTCAACGGCAGTTGAGAAATCCACTCGAATGCCTAGCTCTTGGACATACTCCCACAATGCAGAGTGAAGCTCAGATCGGTTGAAAGCCATTGACAGGTCCTTTCCGTCACCTAGCGGCCAAACTCCCACCCATGTCCCATCGTACTTCTTCACGTTTCGCTGTGACTTGTATGAGATGGTCTGCAATCGCTCATAGAACCCCGGCCAGTTCTTGATGCTGTGGAGGGCGTTGCATTCTATCAACAGAAGATCGCCTGTTTTCATTACTGCATTAGTATTGGGGTCCGTGAAGGCCAGCTTGATACTGACCATAACCATCAAAGTTCGGGCGCTTCTCTATGATGCGAACAGCATGGCCTTTGCGATATGCCTCGATCGCAAAGGTGAGGCCACCAATGCCACCTCCTGCAATAAGAATGGACAACCCGCTAGGGGGGTATTGCTCCCGGATGGTAGATGCCACTGAGGTTTCCATTACTGCTAGATGAGCCAACTGCGGTAGTTCAATCTATCGATTTGACACTCTGAATTGTTCGATGATACGAATGCTCAGAACAAGGCTTTTCACCCTTTATATATTCCCTAGGAGGCATAATCTCCACCGTAGTTCCCTCAGTGCTCGGAAGCTGCTTGGTTCCGGAAGGACGCCCCAAGCTGGATGAAAGTACATTATACGCAGCTCTATAGCTCCCAATCAGGCATTTGATGCTGTGGAGGTATACTCAGTGCGGATGTGATCTTCATGTGTGGGCCTCCAGCGACTAGTGTGGCTGAGCTTTGATATGTAATTTTATATCACGTTATCCAAAAATCAATAGATCCAGAGCTCCAGACCTAAAAATGCAACACGATGGTTTCCTTAGTCTATTTTGTATCGTATACAACACACAAGCTATTCTTATTGAACGCTATTTTCAAGTTAAAGCATCGTAAAGTGTAAGGTTGAGAGGATTCCAGATGTACATACTGTGTGTTATTAACTCCAGATCTTGGTTCACAGTGCATGTCTTCAATAGCTTTCGGTTCTTTCCGTGAAGAGCTAATACTATTTTAACAGAGCGTTTTTCTTCTTTTCCCAATTTTCATCATAGAGAAGGCTACTATAGCCGATGGAGGAGGCATAGAGCTCGGTGGAGTTCGGAACTTCGCTCCTCACTTCCGCTGAGTCAGCGACATTGCTTTGGTCTTGAAGCCATCCAACAATTCGTTCACCCGCTTGCTCAAAGCTATGCAATTCGTGTAGAATAAATCAGCTCATACCGATGGCCTGTGACATGGTATACGACCTCCCTCAGAAACAGTTCTCGGCCCGATTAGGGTTTGACCTGCAACTAAACTCCCTGAATGCAAACTATATATATCTGAGCTTCCCTCGGACAACAGAGGAGGTAACTCTCTTGGGACTACCGTCTCTATTTTTTCCTTTCCTTTCGTTTCTTGTTTCGCTTTTGCGCTTGTTGCCACCAGGACGGTCTAGTTAAATAGTTACTAGGTACGGGACTTACAAAACCAGGGAAAACCGCCCGGTCGATAAAGATCGACGGCATTCTCCCTATCATTCTCCATAACCCATAGCCTCTACTGTGTCAGTCCGTTGTATTATGTTACGTTTGACAGCGTCGAACTATCGTCACTGAGTAGCAAGTATCCCGGGATAGCTCCGTCACGGGGGTTGAAAGGCGGATGAATGAAGCTTCTTCTGGCCGTAGACTCATGTCGGCAGTTGTCCTTCCATTCTAACCGCCGATTAATTTATGATTTCTGCAAAGCGCGAAGATCCTGCGCTTTCCGGGGGTTGAAATGCGGAGAGGAGGAACCGGCGGCCCAGATTGCACCCGATGCTCTCCACATCCCGAATTAGACATCCTTTAGTTCACCTACTAGCAGTTCTAGAGCCACATGGGGAAGACATGCCTGTAGCTAAACATCATTTCACTATCTACAGCCAATTGTAGCGATTCTATTCATCAACCAGGGGAGCACCAGACACATCCGCATGTTCATCTGGATAATGAATGGCTTTTGTGTATTCGCATGTATGCTGCTGTAGTACACTTTAGGCGTTAAACCAGGCACTAATAAACCAGCTGTGCTACAGTTGAAGAGCTGAGCAGACCCAATGGTAATATCTATGTGACTTTGAGCTGTGTTGACTCAAACAGCTGAAACCAGAGCAGGAGGTTCGGCATGTGGGCATATACCCGTGCTTTACTCGCCACCAAATGGGACAGGGGCCTAGATTCGTATGAAAGACTTAGAGCATACGGGGTCAATGTTCCAAGGCGCAGTTTCTGCACTAGGTGTGTGGTACACACATCCGGGTACATGTATTTACTCTGGGCCTGAGCAAGTGCTGATATACTCACCTCTTTGCCCTAGCGTTGGCACGGAGACAGGTATCATCACATTAACTCTACCGGAATGACTCGGGCGATATGTGTGTATGTCTCGCTCTTAGTATCTGCCGAGTATTAAATCAAGTGAGCAAATATGCCGACAATCCAGATCGGCATACTTATATGGGACAGAGCCATCATCGGATTTGGGGCAGCGGTTGTGGAGCCGAGTCCTCTACAAAAGCCGAAATGGACACCCCATTTGTTCCCCGCAGATACTAGGTTAAGGGTCTTTGCACATTATGTATCGTACCGAACGAGTGCCCATGTGAAATCTGGGGTAGTGGTGCTCCACTCGCTATCAAAGACTGGAGACCCTATATTAACTTGTCGCGTCTTCATATAACACTGCGCGTAGTCCTTGTTTCACAGGACTCGACATAATTGATCTCAATCTTCAGATACTCGTGTTACAGGTCATGAGTGGATTTCGGCACGCCTTTTCTATGACCCGGAAGGAGGTACAGGATGCGGTACCTCCTGGGACTATCTCTCTATCAAGTGAGTACCATGGACACCGCGGCATTACAGATGGCTTCGAAAATGCGGATTTTGGCTAATAGGAACCGCTTCCACCTAATCCAGTTTATGCTCAAGAGTCTGCGGGTAGAACACATCTCAAAAATAATGGCGAACTGGTTCTGTCTCCTCAACCGTCGGAAGACCCGCTCGATCCGTTGAATTGGCCTACATGGCGCAAGTTTGCCGTCCTTCTTGTCATGTCACTGTATGCCGCCATTGGAAACTTTACTTCTGGTTCAATTGCCAGCGCGTTTCCCTTGTACGCCACTCCGATGGCGTTCAATCCGCCGGTGTCAATTGGGAAGCTGGGCCATCTCGTCGCGGTTCGTGCTCGACATGAGTATAATATTCACCCTTCCTTGCCGTTTCTTTTATTTTCTAGCTTTGCCCTTTCGATACGTGCTTGGATGCGATGGCTAAGCTGTATCAGGTTAATGTTCTTATGATGGGTGCTGCGAATATCCTGTGGGTGCCGTTAGCCAATACGTTTGGCCGACGACCCGTCAATCTATTCAATATTCTCCTTCTCATGCTATGCTCTGTATGGGCCGCACGGGCTACATCATTTGGAAGTCTTCTTGCTGCTCGCTTTTTCATGGGAGTTGGCGTCGCTCCAGCTGACACAAGTAAGCGACTGTCCTGTGACTCAATATGCAGTTTTAATGCTAATGATACTGCTAGTTGCACCGAATGTCGTAGGTGAAATCTATTTTGCACATCAGAGAGGAAAGGCAATGGTAGGACACCTCTGTCATAAGAGAAATCATGGTGAGAATTCGATAGACTTACTCCATAGTTTTTAGGGGTTTTATACGGTCTTCATCTGCATAGGCCCCGTCTTGGGCGGCATTGCCGGGGGTTACATAGGCGGGAATCTCGGTCTGGCATGGATCCATTGGGTTAATGTGATTCTGTGCGGTATTCTGTTCGTCGCCTGTTTCTTCCTTGTACCGGAGACGCTCTATGCCCGTGAGACCGTATCTCGACCCATGGACCCCGGGTTCGACGAAGATGGCAAAGGTGAGGACGGGACAAGTTCCGTCAAAATTGAGGATATTACCCAGAATCGCCGTGCGAGTGGTGTCTATTCGGAGCTTACATTCACCCGCTCGCTCAAGCTGTACACCTACCATGGAAACCTACTTCAAAACTTCGTCGCACCCTGGTTGACACTGCGTCTTCCCGGGGTCTGGCTGGTGATGTTCTGGTATGCAGGACTCGTCGGTGGGATTGTGACAATCTCGACAGTGGGCCCAACGCTCGCTGCCAAGCCGCCATATCTATGGGGCAACAATGCTGGTCTCATCCTGGTCGGCGGTATTGTGGGAGCATTACTCGGGGCAGTGGTCACCGCGCTCTCCGCAGATCGCATTGTTACTACGAAAAAGACATTACGGGGGGAAGAAAACATGGAGCCTGAAGCCCGTTTGCCCGTTGCGCTTCCGGGTCTAATTCTAGCAACAACGGGCCTGTGGACCTTCGGATTCTGTGCCCAGAGTCCAAATTCACATATGTGGATCGGGATGCAGTTTGGTCTAGGAATGTTGTCTTTTGGGCTCATGCAGGCACCATCAATTGGTTTCAATTATGTATGATCGTGCATCACCACACGTAACAGTATGGTTTCTTTTGCAATTGACTGACGATTTCTCTTCCCTAGCTTATCGATTCCTATGGCAGCCTTTCAGCGGATTGTTTTGTTGTCGTGACGTGCATGCGAGCGATCATCAGCTTCTGCTGGACATTCTTCGCGAGTCAGTGGGTAGACAGTGCTGGTCCCGCCATTCCCTTTGGTGTCTTTGGAGGTTTGATGGGGCTCTTCACCTTGTTCACGATCCCACAGTGGCTGTGGGGGAAGAGGACGCGAATTGCTACAGCGAGTTTGATACCAAAGTGAACTTCATCGGAATAGGAACTTTCTCGTGGCTCCCAGGATTCCTATCTTGGAGTCGTCTTCGTATGTCAGGCTTTAGTTTCCGGGATTACTACCGGTGGTTTCCAGTGCTAACTTTTGAAATGTCGCTTCTGCAAGTATTATTAAATCCGAAGTCTATCTATATGGAGTCCGCACACATCATTTGTTATGTTACTTAAATATAGTCTGACACTGTACGCCGAGATGAACAGAATGCGATATTATATGGACGAGACCGGGACATCTCGTCGTACTGATTGTTCTTAATGGAGATCTGACGTATTTGGAAGCTTCTTTTAGCGCTATAACGCAGGATTATATCTTTGACACGTTGTTCCATAGAATATGATGGCCTCCCAATGTTGTGCAAGGTTTCCTTATTCTACGTGGAAATTCTCCAATTATTACAGGTGATATAACGAAGATCGGTTTCCTTCCACTACGCGCGGGAAACATACATTTAGAGAGATAAGTGCTAATTGGAACAGGAAAAAGTAAGCCCCTTAGATAAGGTAAAGAAAAGGCTCGTCTGATGCAACCGACTATTTTGTCTTCCTCAAAGCATTGGTAATTTGTAAGGATACGACCAGAACGAACCCATTTCGCAGAACACGAAGGCTTTCACTATCTGGGTTGAAAGCAATAACTGTTCCAGCCCGGAGATACTTCACTGATGAGTTAAGGCTGATACAGAGTATTAAAGTCCCAAATATCGCAAATACACGTAAGCTATCTGCGTTGAAGCTATCTTGTTATACTACCCATCTACCGATTGCCTCAGCGCAGGAAACTATTAAATCGGTGACCGACCGACCAACAAATATCCACAAAGGCTTTTCAGGGCCAGGGTCGGCATATCACAGTGCCCCAGATCTGCCCAAATAAAAGTAGGATTAGATCCCTGATATCGCGTGTTTCGAGCCACATCACTATAGACCTAGCTTTGAACTATCAAGCTGGGCCCAGTGCCGGCTGATTAGGGGTTCCTCCGTCCAAGATTTATGAAGATCGGATTTCGACCCTACAACCATCCGCAGCTGAAAGAACAAGAGTAAGGTGCTGTCTTTCACTTCCAACGGGTTCTACTTGGGGGAGGCTCGCAAGCATGCTGGCACGCGAGAACCATGTCTTTCTGCTACCAGTCAAAGGATTTTGTCCTAGATTCGTCTGTGTGCCTAATTTACCTGCCTAATATTACCAGTATACTGAGATCAGAAAGCGATATAATGCACGACCAGCAGTCAGCTCAATTAACAAATAGATGACAGTTGGGAAGTCCATTTTGAAGTGGAGTGGGGTCATCCCAAGCCTAAGCCGTTGAAGTCATGGTGGTGTTGCCGCATTTTGCTCGCAATTATGCCCCTAAGGGCACAAACAAGTCTCTGGCGGCTACAGGGTTATCAGTGGAAGATCTGGGGGCCTCATGATAAGCCTGTATTTCCCACTTTCTTTCAAGGGGAAATTAATTTCACTCTATACGTTCACTTGTGGTAGCAGATCTTAATGGAATATAAGCACTAAATGAGTCTACCTGTACTAACGGACTGACACAAAGAGGCTACGACGATCCTGTTAAATGGTAGTGACAGTTGAGTGGCCAGGCTGTGAGGAGACCCGTTACATGATACGGTTGTGTCACTACTACCATAGGAAAATGCCCCACCAGAGGACAAATGCCAGCCAGCGATAAGGGTTACTGGGAACAGGCTACACGATTGGAATGCGTGCTCACCAGGATCAGGGAACTCAACGTAGTGAGAGGGTAGTTCCATCCAACTGATGAATTTGTTGATATCCTTTATCCTTCTAAAGAGTCTATCTAGGCTTTTTTGCCATGCGTTGGGACTGTAACAGGGCAATGGTAAGGTTTCTTCAATCCAAACCCTTGGTGTTTCTTAAGTTTACCCCGGTGCTTTTGCGGTAAACCATGCAGCGTAATCTCAACTACGTATCCTCTGGTAAGGGTCTTTTGTTCATGGAGCCTCCGCCATCGACCCGAGACAACCGACGCGTCGTGGGAGCTATGGTAGGCTTGAGGTATGCGACAGCAAATTAAGAGTTACCCCTACTCCACTTGGCTCCTTGGCTTTATTGGTATGATGCATGCAGTCTTGCAGAGATGGTGGGCATATTGCATACTATGTCCAACGTCCCTCCGAAGGGGAAGAAATCGAACAGTTCTACAATGTCTAAACATGTACTTACAGCCAGGCCTTTTTCTGTCTCATGGAGTAATCGTTCGTCCAGATGCAAGGAAGCACTGAAGAAAGGTCGACATTGCAGCGATATTCTGAGGAACAAAGTTCACAATGAGCTCTTGAGGACCGGATATCTACTCCGAAGTATGCGCGAGATATGGTAGCGATGCAACTTCGTCGCCGTTTGCAGTAATATCGGCTTAGGGCTGTCCATGGAACGTTACAAGCGCTGCACGTGACCTTGGTACACTTAGCAAAACGTAGCAAATGTCCAGGAAACCAGAGGGTTTGCGCGATTTTAAAATATAATTCCTGTGATGGTAGGTTACCTAGGTGGGGAAACTTCTGGTTTTCTGCTATACTGTGCGAAAGGGTAACAACCAAGATTTTCACATCTAATATGCTGCCAGCTCTAGTCGTCCTTCCACGACCACAGGCCTAAGCACTCCTTCACACATCCCTCACCTTTTTTTTAAGAATTACAAAAATGCCTAATTGGATCCTTGGGGATAAGTTTGAGACTGTCTATCCACATAAGGGGTCTATCAAGACCCTGTGGGAAACGCGCTGGAAGTTTGCCGTGAGTTATCCGTTCATTGCGCTGCGATCAATTACAAAATGACTAACAGTACGTTAAAGTGCCAGAAAGGGGTTTATCCTTTCCATGATGGATCCTATGAGGACTTCGCACCCATATTCCAGAAGCTTATCTCAGTTCGTCATCAGACGCTCGCAACCCCTCCGCCGAATTCTGTGGCCACTAACCACAGATTCGTAACAATAGGAAAACATCAATGATGCTAGCACGGATGAGTATACGTCTACATTCTTTCCTACTGCAACAGATCTAGAATCTCAAGCCTCACAGGCCCTGGACTCTGGTAAAACCGACCACGCAATCGACCTGTTCCGCCGTGCCGCGGTGGTCTACCGTATCTCGCGCTTCCCCTATGTCGACATAGCCCAGCCGAACTCCATTAAGCGAACTGCATTCGAGCGGCAAAAGCAGGTATACCTCAAGGCCGCTTCTCGATGGGATCCACCGATCAAGGAGGTGATTATCCCGCACAGCAGTCGCGGTGGAAATGACGGCCAAGCAATCCCGATCTACACTCGGGTACCGAGCAATGCTCGCCCCGATAGCCCCGTCCCGGTCGTCTTGATTATGACCGGACTAGACGGATACCGACCAGATAACAGCCAACGGACTCACGAGATCATCGGTCGCGGATGGGCTGTCGTCATCGCCGAGATCCCAGGTACAGCAGATTCTCCTGCTGATCCTGCGGATCCATCCTCTCCTGATCGGCTCTGGGATAGCGTCTTCGCGTATATGGCGACCCAGCCGATGCTGGACATGAGTCAAGTTGCGCTCTGGGGGCTGAGTGCGGGAGGTTTCTATGCCATCCGAGCCGCCCATACACACGCAACCCGACTGCGTGGCGCCATTGCGCACGGCGCGGGATGCCATTATTTTCTGGACAAAGAGTGGCTGAAGCGCGTTGACGATCATGAGTATCCTTTCTCGTGGGTCTTTCACCTCCTTAATAGTGAGCTCAGACAGTTAATGCTATGCAGAATCATGCCGGGATGGACAAAGAAATACGGCTTCGAAGATACCCAGGCCTTTGTGCAAGAGGCACGACAGAAGTTCTCGCTAGTGGACACGGGTATTGTCGATCGTCCTAGCTGCCGGTTGCTTTTGTTGAATGTATCGAACTGCTTTCCTTGTATGAATTGGAAGTGGCGTATCTGACGAACATATAGGGTGTCGACGACGGTCTCACGCCAATTGAAGATTCTCTGATTCTGTTCAACCATGGCAGTCCGAAGGAGGGAAGGTACGGCACGATACAAATCACAATCTTGACTGAAGCCGCGACTAATCAGTACACAGGTTCTTTGAAGGTTTACCGCATATGGGATACCCCGACAGCTTGCCCGTCGCTTACAAATGGTTGGATGATCTTCTGCCTTGTGAGCCTAAGCAGAAAAACTAGAGATTGGCGATGCATACTATTGTACTGTGGAAATGGTACTAAAGCTGACGAGAAGGTACAAAGGCATGCTGGCCGGGGGCACATTTATAATTCACTGTCAAAGTGTACCATAATGAAATAGCTGCAATTCACATTCGCTTGGCCTTCCTAGGCCGGCTTTGATGCTCTGTTTGTGCAGGATAATGACTTTTAGGTCACTGCTGCTGCTGCTTTTAAGTCGTTAACAAGTAGATTTCATATGTTAGACGTATCTTATGATAAAGTACCCAGACCTGTTCTTTGATGTCTGCAGTGGCTATATATCTGTATTGGAGCCAAGCTCGTTAATCTATGGCGCGCAAGGTTCTCAAGTCTTGGAATAATAGAAGTAATGGAGCATTCAAGGATCCTTTACATGGGATAGCGTAGGCGATCTGGCGATTACAATAACCTGGATAAAACACTTTGTACCTTGACTGGCAGCACATGCGAGGTTATAGTTTCTTCATTGTCTGCCCTAGACATAGTTGCTAGCTTATCTCAAAACATTCCGACAAGGATAAACCATAGGCCACGCACAACTCGACTTAGTGTCATCTATTTGTAGTAGAAACATTGGATATCTTGATACTCAAAGACTCTAAGATTGGTCATACTTTCTGCACTTAGGCGATGCCAGTAACATAACATAAGTCGAACGGCGACCGTAGCACATGCAGTCATTCTCTGCTTCTTAAAGTTCTACTAATACTTAATAGTCATTATCATCCACTGGTATCCTGCATGCATAGGCAGCCGCTGTTTCATAGAAGTCGGCTACTGCAGCTCCAAAGAGAGGGACACACTACGATTAAGGCATTTTTGTGACGAAGCAGAAGTACAAGAGAATCACAAGATTACAGTGCACGGAAGAGTTGTATTTGAAAAATGCCACGGACGTTTTCCGCATATATCAACCATGGGTCGATAGACGCACATTGATGTAACTCCGAGATCCATACTACATACTAAAGCTGCCCGAACACAACTCCATTCCTTCGTGGACGAGATGACGAGGTACTGTCTAGGCCAGATCTCCGCTCATCTTTTCTTGATATAGTATGTTAGAATACAGAAGAGAAAGAAAACCAGCCAATGCAATATCGGTTTCTGCTTGTACTATTACACCGACGTGACGCGCTCACTTCCGCAAACATGCTCTCAATGTTAGGTGATGTCAAGAAGCATCATAGTAGTCAATATTCTGATCATTGATGAGGTCAGAACTTCAGAAGATATTCACTGACAAAAGGTCTATAAGTATGGCGTTCGTTCCCAGACTTCTTGTTTGAATCTCATTGAATAACGCAACTGTGCTCATGATATCTCTATATTCGATCACCCTCCAACATTATCAACAGTTTTAAGGCTGTACACCTGACCTCCGCCTCAATGACTGACAGCAAAGTCTACTGGAACCAAGATGCACCATTCTACGCTCATTGGACTTTCCAACGCACCTCAGATGGTGTTACTGGCAAATGGTTTCGATTTATCGTGACAGCTGCCTCACGCGAGGATGCAAAGACCTTCTTCAGGGGTGTGGAAAAGTATTCGAAAACAAAGGACGCAAACATTGTTTCTGTGAAGGCCGTTAATTTGGCTTGGTGGACCTACGATATCAGCGGTGGTAGCGGCTGGAATATTATGACCCTTGTCCAAAACATTGATCAGATGAAGGCATCTGATTATGGAGATATCGATGAATTGCGCCACAGCCGCGGCAAGATTCTGGTTTCTATTCTAAACGATGCGGACGGTGGTAGCAGGTCCTGGCCGATATTGCCTACCCAAGATGTCTCTCTCAGTGACTATCAACACGGTTGATATCTCCCTCTAAAGGTGGACCGTTCGACTTTGTGTTGTGCTTTGGTGGAATGCTGTATTGATACTGGGTGTTGTTATTGGGGCTCCTGCTGTTTAATTATCTGTTGGAGGCGTTGTTGAATTGACATTTATAAAAGCTACTGTAACCTTCAGGATAATACTTGAAGAAATCAGACCGTCATGAACAATTTTATTATACCATGTATCGCTATCTCGCCCTCAGACATATATACGATTCAAGCCACCGGACATTCAACTAGAAGCACAAGGAAGTTAGATTTAAACCGGCAGTAGTAATAGATGGTGAGTCATACTGATAGTTTTGATTGCCATCTTTCCATCCGGGCCCACGCCGGCCTTGGTTGTTTTGAATGCTTCGCTGGCATCCTTAAAAGAGAACCTAGTTATCATTAGCTATTGGGCGCAGTGCAACTTCCTGGAGGTACTGGGGATACGAACTGATGTGTTATTAGGAGATTTAGGTTAATACGACCCTGCCTCACAAGGTCCACTGCCAACGCGTAGCAACCCGGACCGTACTATCTATCTATGAGTTAGCACACCGCAGCCTCCAAAACGCAACATCATACTCACCCGGAAACTACCAATCAACTTGACTTCCTTATTGACAAAAATAGACACTGGTATCAGGTTGTTTGGCAAATTCTAAGCGCTGAGACTGAATATCGATGGCCAGAATACGGCGAGCCCCGAGAGCTTTGGCAACTGCCATCGTCCTGTGTGGTTTTGTTAGCCCAGCAGGGATAATGGACAAGACGGTGGCTGGCGTCGCTCACAAGAGACCGACAGGTCCGGCACCGAGAACGGCCACATTGACATTGTGTGGCATCTTTGCAACACTATGCACAGCCATCACAGCTATAGCTAGAGGCTCAATCTACGAAGAGATAAGCATCTGCTCCCGGGTTGTGACAAAAGGGAACCCGACGTACCAGTGCTCCCTCCGCCATACTGACGTTCGCGGGCAATTTGTAGCAGCTGCGCTTGGGATTAACTACAACCTTCGTGGTAATCGGGTGGACCAAAACCTACAACTGCTCCGGGATAGAGAAAAAGCCCTGTAACGTCCCATTGAATCCATCGGCGGCAGCAAACTTGAAGTCGCCGCACTGCCCGTCTATTCGGCATTGGTATGTATGGAAATCTGGGCGCAATCTCTTAGGGACGTACAAGAACCACCGAGGCAGAATTCACACCAAAGACAGCAAATACCAGGCTAGCGGAGGAGCAATTAATCAAAGTTAATTGATGGACGAAGATTGGCGATAGTAAGAGAAAGAGTACCTCCATGGCCACTCGGCCTCCGACTCAGCGATTTCACATGGCTTCCGACTGCAGTTCGTCAGTACTGGGCTGAGCAGCCTGAAAGGTGTGGCTTGCCTTTCGCAACGACACCGGCTGATTCGTGGCCTAGAATCAGAGGTTGATCAAACACTGATTCTCCTGCCTAGTGTGTCCTCGTTAACAGCGATCGAAATGGGAATAGAGAACGGAGCCAATTACCCGTCCTTCGAGGAAAATGTGCATGTCAGACATACTCAAATGGGCCAGGATCTTGTGGTACGGGACGCTTCTCGACCTTCAACTCCCCCAAGGCCATCATAACACACGCATCGTTGTCTTTCGGAATGTTGGTTTCCTCCATGGTGGCTACGATACAGCTCAACAAGACAAAAGAAACAAGACGATGAAGGGGGGGTATCTTCAGTACCTCGATGTACACAGAGCAAGAAAAATAGAGGCTTTTTGACGACTTGATCCTGCTAGAAATTGCTTCTTAAAGAAAAAGAACCACCTCAATTACTGTTCTCCATAACTTTCCTCTGGAAAAGTTCCCCCGTTCATCCCCGCAGTCAGGAAGCTCTACTAACAGGCTGAGGCCGAACCCTCGTCTGCTCAGTGGAGGTGCTTCGGGGTTTTACCCGCCTATCTGCTCAGCCGCTGAGCGGCATACCAGCCCACACAAGCACCACCGAATTCACCGCGAGAAGAGAACGGCAAATTTATATAGGCACATCGTACCATAGCCGTCGACCTGAATACAGGTGAGTGACACGCCACCGCAATACTGACTAACCGAAGAACGAGCCGAAAGCATGTCAACACCCGTAAACCGGAGGAAGGTGAAACCGAACGACGACAATGAGATGCCAGCTATTGGGCTGGGGACCTACCTTTCGCCGCCCAGCGAAGTCACCAATGCAGTGGCTGCGGGGTGGAAATGTGGAATGCGCCACTTTGATTGCGCTCAGTTCTACAAGGTCAGTGGTTTCTAGACTACCAAAAGCCATGTGGCCGTGTTTGCTAATCAGGTCGGTATATGGACAGAACGAGTCAGAAGTTGGCGAGGCCCTCCAAATGCTTAGCAGTGAACCTATATATTGCCGTGAAGACCTATTGATTACCAGAAACGTTTGGAACTCGTGAGTGGCTTGGATATCACTTCAAATTTGCCGGACGTGTGTCTGAGACATAATTACAGGCATCATCGACCTGAGAACGTTGTCAAAGCTCTCAATCAAACGCTCAAGGATCTGCAAACGGACTACGTTGACCTTTATCTCGTCTGTTGTTTGACATTCCTATTCCCGAATATTGCTGATACTGCCATCTAGAGATTCACTGACCCGTTAACTTTGCTGCTGTCCCGGACGCTAATTCTCCGACAGGAGTGGCATTAGAGCCGTCTGTGGGAGGTAATATGTTGTTGGACAAGGAGCTGAGCCCAGTGGGAACGTGGAAGACTTTGATCGAGATCCAGAAACAAGGAAAGGTCTGAAGGTAATTCCATATGAACTTTTCATGGGCGATTGCATAGTTGTCAAAAGTATTCAGTTTGCTCTGAACAGGCAAATTCTCGGCCGTCCAGGTGCTCGGATCATGAAGGTCAAGCGGGGTTCCGAATAACTACAACCAGTCGAAAGCACGCTGTTGATATTGGATCGCCCGATCCCGAGGAATAGCCTGCTTGATGACCACAAAACCGTTGGCGTGAAGGTCGTCCCGCCAGTCGCCGTGACTAGACTGTACCCTATGGCATGTTCGTTCAGTACTGGTGCAAAGCCATCTGGATGTGATGACCTACCGCAAGGGGCCCTGAGTAATGGCCGGGTTTGCAGATGCCAGAGTTTGAGTTGTGGGCATATTTCTGATCAGTTTATTGAGTAGCCTGAATATCAGTCACCGTTCGATGGCCTTCTTGGGGGAAATCTCTGAGAAGCGTCATATAAATACAGTATTGAAGCCGTGGTTGAACGACGTAAGAGACGCGATGTGCGTCCATCCCCAGATCGCCTGACATCTGAGTATACACGAATGATTGTCAACTATGGCGTTTCTAGTTGCTTTTTATGACGGCGCGCATTGTCCTGCTCAAGCATCCCATGTGGGCGTATGGGCGGGTATGCGGCTGTAATTCCGCGATGCCGCTGAGAGTAGAACTAGGTGGACATAGGCTCCCCTAGTATAACATATTTTCCTGAACTCGAACATCTCAAGCCGGGCTAGCTCAATCGGTAGAGCGTGAGACTCTTAGTCGTCACGGTATCTCAAGGTTGCGGGTTCGACCCCCGCGTTCGGCTTTCTTTTTGCCTCCAGCACATGTTGAGGCTTTTTTAGGGAATAAAATTCTGATCTGATTGAGAGTGTTACAAATAATAGGAATTTGCTTGATGCTCTGATTGGTTGGTAACTGTGGGGCAATGCTCTATGCGGGTAGGCGGCAGCTACTGGCAGTCTGGCGAAAGTAGTGGCTGTTTTATACGAACACTTGGTAATCCCAATCGCACTTTTCTCCACCAAATAATATACTAATAATCCTTGCAGTTTCTAGGGAGTTACATGATGCGATCTATATCATTATCTTTACTATAGTACAGTCAAGAACCTAGTAGGGATTATTATTATCTGGAATCCTGGTTTCCGATCCAAATATATATATTTTCGTGGACACTGTCCTCTGTTATTGCCCTACTACCTACCAATAGAACAAGTTACACATAACTAACTCAAGGTTTCCGGGCTGTGAATTAAAAAATGCTTTATACTTAAATTGTCTAAATCATATATAGCTTCGTTGAGTAATGTTGCTTTGAAACATATCATAGGTTGATATGAAACGGGTGTTTGAACTGCGGCCAATATGGAAGTTATGCAACCCTATGCCCTATACGGATGGGACCTTTCGTCCCCACCGTTGGTCATTATCCAACAAATACCGCCTTACATGCTAGGGCCATATGTGCACGTTTGTGGAGTACAAGGATGATATATCCAAAGCGATTTGCTTTCACCGAGGAAAGACGACAGCCGATACCACCCTTGCCCAACGTATACAACAGCCAAACGCCTCCACGAGAGGATCTTTGATCAGCAGGCGCTCAGACTTTAATCCTTGTCCATTGAAGTGTCATCCAGGATACTTCCAACGTCCCCATTATCTGTCTTTGAGCTATTGTGGCTGTGGCTGAGAAACGAGGAATCCTTGTCGAACAATGCCCCAATTTCTTCGATAGTCAACCCTTTGGTCTCCGGAAATAGGAACTAGATGAGAATCAAGAATACTAGTTGAAGGGCGATATACACCGCATAGATGTGAGTTGGTGCTGACAAGTGCGAGCGACAGACTTTTGGCAACATACTATTTCCATTGTAGCGCTTCCATCGCCACCGGGTTGACCCAGGTATTCAGAGATATGGATTGAATGCTCTGTGTCATAGTACAGTTATGGTAGAGACTGCAATTTGGTAGGCCGCATAATCCCGTATTAATACGACTGCTGTTTGTGTTGTCATTCGTGGCTCCTTCAGTATCACGACCATCATGGTCTGGGGTAATCTGGGGTACTCCGGGGCTACAATATCCGGGGCATTCTTGCCGACTAGCCTGATTCGTTCGTAGGACAGCCACTGCATGGGAGCCTAGTCACTGGGAGACAGTGGGCGGTTAGGCGGAAGGATGAGCGGGACGCATTGCGCTATGACATGCGATGAGCAGAGTTACATCTTGCGCGTCCTTAGCGGCAACACGGTAGCGACAGTCATGGTTGCAAATGGAGTGATGGGCCTGCTCCATCGAGTAGTATAAACCCCTCCAGAAGCCCATTGATCCTTGTTGGGATAACTGATTCAACTGCAAGTGCAGATTCATCTTTGCTGTTAAGTTTTGTACACCCACCATCCTCTCGTCATGATTGAAAACGAACAGATTGGAGGCCGAGCCGTCCCTGTCGAGGATGGGCACGTCAAGGCGGCCCCCAATATGCAATACGTCCGTCTGGGGAATAGCGGGCTAAAAGTAAAACTTCTGCATCCATCTGGAACAAGGTCAGTGCAGAATTTGCTAATGAATGCTCAGGTCTCCCGTCTAATCTTGGGCACTGCCACTTACGGGCCGAAGACCGATGTGGCGTGGCGAGTCGAGGAAGGGGGAAGCACTGAAGCATCTCAACGCTCGTCGACTTATACCCTGGACAAGCATTCATGTCAAACATTCCTGGCCCAATTAGCGAGCCTGGCAACTGGGTTTCAACACGTTTGATACCTCTAACTTCTACTGTAATGGCGTTAGTGAGGAGATCATCGGGAAGTTCCTCAAGATAGTCCTGCGAGAAAATGCTGTAGTCATGACCAAGGTATGTTGTTGCATCTCCACTAGTATAACATGTATCCACGGATCTAACCTGAGCCAGTCCTTCTTTCCGGTGGGTGACTCGCCAAAGGCAGGACCAGCAGGACTTACGGTCTCATCGGGAAACAACCGGAAGGTCCCGAGGAACACCCCATACTCCGGAGCCTTCACCTAATTTCTGTAGCACATATTTGAGAACGTGAAAGCCGGCCTCAAACGACTCCAGACTGACTATATTGACGTTCTTCTCGTAAGATTCCGTCTCCACTGCCGTCTATTTTTACTAATAGTGCGGACACGGTTACACCGATTCGACTACGAGACTCCACTGAGTGATTGATGACTGTCTAAGATAACACAGAACGTGAAGAAATTGAAGGATGTGCTAGGTGCATTCCTAGGAGCAGAGGCAAGAGCAAAGGAGGCAATTGAGGAGTTGGCGAAATACGTGGCTCTTTTGTAGATAGAGATTATTACACGTCATTGAACGCAAGTGATTAATATTATCGATTGTGTCTTCTTTATTGCAATCGCTTAATCTTTGTATCCTATTTATCCGGGGTTCGTTCTCTGGGTATATATATTCAAGTGAAGCACACCTCAAACCCCACCGATCCCAGATGAATGCAATGCGACGACAACTTGGATACCTTTCTCTTCAGGCTGGCAATAAAATACAAAAATGAAAAAAAAAAAAAACATACAACAGGAGGGATTCGCTGGTGGTCACCCACCCAACTACTAACCTCCCGGCGTGTGGCTTAAGTACGGCTGAGCGGACGGGAAGCCCTGTTCTCCACACCCTGTGGTCGTATGTACTCGTTTCTCTTAACTACCGGAATAAATCCAGCCTGTTGTTGGCTCGCTCACATTGTCTAGGGTCGGGCACCTCAGGGGTCGTCAGCGATGCCGCAAACAAAAATCCCGGAAGTTAACTAGATTCGGTACAGCATGTCTATTTGCAACCGCTCATCGGTCTCGGGACAAAGGAACAATCGATCCAAGACGCCGATGCTCAATTTACCATCCTCCGCATGACCTAACCTTGGTCGTTTCGTAAAGCTTCCTCCCCATCTCGAGGCCCAGTACGATCGCCATGTTGCTCGGGGTGTGATCTTCATTCGTCGCAGGGAATCATGCGTGCAATTCTCTAGATCCTGTAATCCCATATCCCATTCTCCCGGGTTGTTATTGTCTAGATTGTCAGGAACCTCATTGCCACCTTGTTGCCTCCCCACAACCACCGGTTGAATCCTGCACTCGGGCGTTGAACGCTCGTAGTACCCTACTGGATCGCACATCGAATCCGGATCAGGCCAGCTCAGCAGTATGAGAGCCTGGATCACACTTGGAGGGCGGAGAAAGACCTTGCTCGTGCGGAATGCCTGTAGTCGTGGAGTAAGAGGGATCGTCTCGAAGGCCTTGCGGGCAAGAAACTCCCACACGAAAACAGTTACCTGCAGAATATCCAGCCTGTCTCGCAAGGGAGGGTGATTTCGACTGCACCACTGAGCGTAGATAATTGCATGCCATTCATTTCGTGACTCGGGGGTGGGATATACCGTGGCCTTTGCAAGGGTCAGGCATTCAATAGAGAGCCAGTGGGAGGTTAATGCTTGGTAGAATCGGTGGTAGAGGATGCGCTTTTGATCGGAGGTGCTATGGATGGTTCGGCCAGAGAGCTGGGGAAGCGGGTCGTTGCCGAGAAGTACAGGGGTTTGAGTGTGCCACCAGGGGACCCAGTCATTCATGTATATGTTGTGGATGATTGTGTCACTGTACAGGGAAAAGAGAGATCTCGTACCGTGCCAACGGCAGACAATTCCCCATACCTGTTCGTCGGATAATTGGTGTGGGTGGGCTGGGAAAAGTCCTTGGTTGAGGACCTCGGGACTAGGCCTGGCAGCTGTCGGTGCAGGGCTCGTGGTGGAATCTAGCGACGAGTAATAGGTTTGATTACAGGATTGAACAATAGTCAACTTGGTGTCAAACTGGTGTTGATTTTGGCTTTGCTATGTAAAGGTTAGCCAGATGGGCGGATCTTCCAGGAGGGCGATACATACAATGATGCACCGGAAGATGTTTACACGTGACGATGGACTGTCAAAGATGGTATATAGCTGTTCACAGGTTCTGGCGAGGTGCAAAGCGTCATCAATATCGTTGAGACTTTGATAAATGAGGAGAAGAACCTCCACTGGAAGGTCGAGGATTGGCATGGCAGTTCTATGACCTTGGGATTTGGATATGGTAAGGTTTTCTAGGTAGTTCTCTTTGGGATGTCGGGTGTGTTTGTCATGGGATATTAAGCGGCGGGTGAATATGCTCTTATCAACTACATGGAACTGTTCGTTGGGTGTAACCTAGAGTGCAGAATGAGCTAGATACAAGTAAGAGAGTGAAGTCCATCCAGCCTGATGCTTGGTTTAAGAGCGGTACCACCACCAACTCGCGGTCGCGGCAGCTACGGGCAACACGGCCCATGTCAGACATGGCTTGAGCACCCCGGCCAGCCGTACCCAAAAAATGATATAATGGAACTTTGTAATGAAATCTCCTTCATTAATATGGGGGAAGGGATGATTCGGTTTCTCCTTTTCCTTTCCGAGAAACTGGCAGAGGGGCTCCCAACCATCTTGGACCTTAAATTCCAGCACCTCGCGTCCTCGCTTCCGTGCAGCGGTACGTACTAGGTCATAATGGGCAGCGAAGCCATTAGATAGACGACTACTGTCTTGCCAGCTTCCTCCCGTCCACACCGACAGTGCAGATCGTAGGAGTGGGATGTAAAGGCCAATGTAAGTCTGGTGGAGCGTCTGTTAGTAGCAGGAGAAGAAACGAGGGACGGAGATTAGTACAGGATCAATGAACTCCAACAGGCTCCACCGTTTCCAGCTCAGAATGGCGTAGAACGTGCGCTGCATGGAGGCCAACCATGGCTCAACGGGGCGGGTGGTCAGCACGATGCGTGCGTCGGGATAGGCATCCATCAGCTCCTCAACAAAGAGAATGCAGGGAATATCAGTAATAGCCTGGAACTAGTGTCAGTCCGCCCATGTTGATTGACCAGCCGAGGTAAGGATTCACATCGTAACGCCAAAGCATCTGGTCAAAGTCGGCGCCTGCAAATTTGCGACCGTTCCCACTGAACTTCGCATCTATGGCACGATTCCACAGACGTAATGAATCATTCTGCTGGTCGAGGTTACATTCGGCCATATGGTAGCAGGTGTATCCTAATTCCTTTAAGGCGACATAAAGAGCTTCATAGACTAGTCAGCCATAATCAAGCCATCATTGTAATGATTTCCGTACACATGGTCCCAGTGCGGGACATGCCTAACGCCAGGACTTTCATCTTCTTCTCACGGTGAGCCGGAGGCTCCATCCGTGGATAGGGCACGGTGGGAAAAGGGATGTTTTCCATCTTAGAAAGGTCAAATCACGAAAGTTGAACCAGGACGGTCAATATGGAAATCAAGCGGCTTAAGGAGACTAGTATACCACAAAGGAGGTATAGTTCGCACTTCTAGGTGGCGTAGTGACTGGTCATCCGGCCAATAAATCTGTTCGGCTATTTGTTGCTACCTCAGAAGGAAAAGCATGGGGTAGAAAGGAGCGGTAAGTTAATAGATTGGCGCATAAAGCCGCTATCCACAGCTGTGCTGTCAACCACTCAGTGATGGCATGGACTGGCCTTGTGGAATGGTTAATGCATGCATCCCTGTTATAGTGGGGGATAACGATGCGGCGGGATTGGAGACGCTGACAATGCAAATTAAACTAATCACAGCCACCCTGCAACTTGTCTACTAGGGCACAGTCTCAAGTCCGAGTGGGAAATCATCCTTACAAGGCGGATACTAAACAACTAGATACAGGGAAGCCTTTCGTTTCGGTCCATAGACAACCTTTTGATGACACCGACCAGCATCACCGCAATCACTAAATTCTGGAAGTAATTGATTGGCGGAAGGTTCGATGAACTGAAACAACAGTGAACTAAATCCTTGTCTGTTAACTCTAATCAAGTAGGAATATCCGGTACTCTTCCCGACTTTATGTTAACTATTCAGATAAGTAGCAGATATGATCTACATACGCGGTAAGCTACAAGGCGTAGATTATATATAACTTCAAGTTCGAAGTAGGACACGATGGAATCTACGAGTTCGCGAACTATTCAGGACTCTAACAATTCTTGCTCTGTTCTGGCTATATTTATTCACAATTACATGCGGCTGAATATCTGGTTACGTATCTGATTTATGATAATGCTCTGAGCTGAGATGTGGATATGTTACTGGGTAAGTTTTCCTTAGGGTATGCCTACGCACCTGATTCGACCTCGTCCAGACCCTGAGAATTGACGACCCACAATACTACCACGGATCAATATCCAAATCCCCCACCTCTTTGTTTTTGCTGATCATCCTCTATTAATCAATCTGTACTGCCTTCTCGGCCATACCTACAGCAAAAGAAAAGTCCATATCACTGGATCTTTGGCGTTACCAAGTCAAAAGGTCACCCACATCATCGCCATGGCCGACTCGCAGAAACCAGTTCTGACTCGCGACCAGCTGGCGGGGTTACCGCGAAGCTTCTTCAATGCGGTGGATGCCAAGGACCTCGACGCTGTGGTGTCGCACTTCGCCCCGGACGCGACATTCACCATCCAGACGGCTCATGTCACATCCACGGGCTCCGACGAGATCCGCCGCTCGTTCGCCGACTTCATTAATAACACCAAGCACATGCTGCATGACATAAAAAGTATTGTGGTCGATGAAATAAATGGAAAGGTCGCAACGGAACAGCACTATACTGGCGAGCAGTTGGATGGGTCAAAAAATAATATGCACAACTGCAATCTCTTTGATATTGGAGCAGATGGAAAGTTCACGCGGGTGGTTGTTTTTATGGCAGGCGTGAGCCCGATTAAATAGGCAGAGAGATGAATAGAGTGAAAGGGTGTAGCAAAGGCTATGGAGCCCCATATGTATCGACTCTCAGTATGGCGGCTTCCTTATCGAGTCTAATAGCTGTCCACTTTGTTCCTATGTTCGGTACGCCGTTTATTCATGGGCCTAATGTCAACGTCGTTCACTGTACTCTGAGATAATCCAATGGCAGAATGATATGATCAATCCCGAGACTGATACATCTCCTGCGCGATTTCTTCCCGCCGTCAACTTGATAGATTTAAGCAACAAAATTCGTCTAATCAAGGATGTTACTCTTTATGACTATTTAACAGGCTATGAGCCCGGCAGCCTGGGAAATCACCTCGGAAGTTGTATTCTTCACTTATGACACCCAACTTTTAACGATCTTCCTCATGTCCGACCCTCTCATTCCCAATAATTGACCCAACTGTAAGCATGGTCTTCTGTTATCTTCATGTTTTGTTTCGTGTGGCACTTTGTTCTTAAAGATGCCACAGAAATCTACTAGCATGATATATATAGAAGTCGTAACGAATGTGCGCCGCAATCGTGGCAGAAACTGCGAGGGGTGTTTCAGGGACCAGTAGGTATTTCCTATATGAAACATACTAATACTATCAAGCATCATTCTGTGCATGCGTCAACGTCTCATATGCCACAAAGAGACCATTGTTTTCAGCTGGCCGCTGATTCACAGTAAGGTTCTCTGTCTCTGGCATATCAATTCCCATTCTAAACGACAGGGCGTTAAACCCAACTTCCGTAACCGCACGCAGAGATAACTTCAGCTCTCCACCACAGACCCAGGAAGGCACCGGTTTCCCATTGTCAAACTGAGAATGGAACTCTAACGCATGGCGAAGTCGCGTTCCCAAGTCCGTTTCGTAGAGATCAGTACCTTGGATGCGGCTGGTCTCTGCTACATGGGCCATGGATGCAAAAGAGTAGCCAGTGTGCTCAAGATCTCGGCATGTCTCTTGTGCCTGGCCATCCTGCTGGAATGTGGTTTGATTATACCACCAAGCAATGATGCGTCCGGGGAGGAGCTTTGTCCGCGTGCTACGACCGGGTACTCCCCGTCACTCTTCAGGTATACTGTAGCCGGAACTCGTTTCAAGAACCACCCCATTGCGGTGTTATATGCGTCAGCGTCCTCGAGGAATACAGCCATCAGGATAGCTGCTTCGGTCATGACTGGTTCACAGGGCGGCGTTAGCTACTGCTTCCCTCTGTCTATCCTACTGGTTGATATCATACCTAGCTCCCAATTCGCATTGTTAGTCGTTCCGTTCACCGTCAGTGGCATATACACGTTACGCAGCATATCCTCGAACTGTGCGATACCATCGTCCGACCACCCGGCGTTCGTATAGCGAATAAGTTCACCCGCTCGTGCCCACACTGAGCCCACCCAGCCGGATTGTAAGGGTGCATTGGAGTTGTTATGGCCTTGGATGGTGGAGGAGTACGCGTCCATAATCCGAATCGCCTGGCGAGCGTATGCATCGGTGCCATTGATCGCCCAAGCCAGAGCATTGGCATATGCTGCTAGGGAATCATCGCGTTCCGCCTTGCATCCAACATCCAGGTCGGAGTAGGGGCCGCACTCGACGATGACATGCGGCGATGGGGCCTGGGGGTTACTGACATATTCGTCTTCCATAAGCGCATCGTATGCTTCCGCCCAGGGCTGCTCGCGCTGGTTCACTTTAGATTTGACAAAGTCCAATTGTGATTGACTGATCATTGCGCCAGGATGAACCCATTCCGTCGGCGCTAAGTTAGTCGTCGAGATGTCTTGCCCATGTCCTGACTGGACTATCGCGGCGAGAACTAATGGAAGAGCTTTCCAGGATATCATGTTTGCGAAGTTAGTGAGAAATGCCTCCGGGTGCTGACTGTCGCTTCAATATGTTGCTCTTTATAAATGATATTGTTCTATAGAGTGGCTCCACTTTGATCTCGCTTCGGTCAAGGATTACGTTGAACTGCCGATCCGCGTTTCAGGTAGAATGAAGCACCCGGCATGGGGCAATGCTGAGGCTCGGCAAGAGCATTCCACCGATCGTGAGGAATTCAAAACTGTCCCGGCCAAACAAACCCCCCGAGCGAAGTTTGTCTTGAGTTGCGCTTAGTCGTAGAAGCGGGGTGAGCGCCAAGGTTGCATTTCTATGCTAGTAGGGCTTCTTGATATAGATAGGATCTGCAATGCAGGGGACAAGAATATAAACAATGACTCCTTGCATGCGGCATGCCTAGGAGAGTTCAATACACAGCTCACAGTCCCCCCTTCTGTGAAAATGATTGCCCCTGGAGCTCTGCGACGGAGTAGCGCTATCGCCCTTTTCGCTTGCCTCTTGCAACTTTCCTCCGCCAAGGATTTATATCTCGATTGCAGCTCTTCTAGCAGCGGTGGCGATGGCAGCAAATCAAACCCCTTCAGCTCTATTAAAGAAGCTAACCAAGCTGTATTAAGTGCGGGAGACAGCTTGAATATCAAATCGGACACGACATGCTCTGGCACTCTTTCACCACAGGGTAGCGGTACCCAAGAGAAGCCCATCATCCTCACTAGCTATGGCGATGGTCCCGTGCCCATCATCAATGGTGCCGGAGCGGCAGAAGCAGTGAGCCTTACCAACCAGGACTATTGGGATGTCTCTAATATAGCCGTGATCAATCCGGCCGCTGACATCGCCTGGCGCCGCGGCATCCTCGCAACGTCGTCCGACGGGACCGTGCACCGGGGCCTATACATTCACGACGTTACAGTCTACAACGTCGCCGGTGAGACCAACAAGGCCACACAATCCGATGCATTTATCGCCTCAGGCGGAATCCTCGTCAACGGCACCGAGCATCAAAGCCGCTACGATGACGTCCAGATATTCAACAACACGGTCTATGACTGCGGGGGTGGTGGCATCAAAGTCCGAGTGGGCCAGATGGACAATCGCGGCGAAGGAGTCCACGTGTTCTCCAACAACATCTCCTACGTCGGTGGCGATGGGATTGTGGTATCCTACGGTGTTTCACCGCTCATCGAAAGCAATCTTTGCGGATTCCTCGGACATGGGCAGTATCCTTGGACCGGGGGCAATTTCGCTGGAATCTGGGTTCTGGGCTGTCGCGATGCGGTCATGCGATTCAATGCCGTGCATGACTCCCTCATGTCGGAGATCGACAGCGAGGCGTTCGATTGTGATTGGGGGAATGAGGGCACCTGTACTGTCGAGTATAACTACAGCCATGACAACGCTGGCGGTATCTTTCTGAATTGTGATGGCTGCGGTACCCCTGGCGGAGCGAGGCAGATCGTTCGCTACAATATTTTCCAAAACGATTGCCGCATGTATAGCAATGGAGACAATGTGGAAATGGACTTCTATAACAATGTTGTCTATTGTCCGGATAAGAAGTTTGAGATTGCAGTGCCGCCAAAGACGAACTTGTCGAACAATATCTGGATTGGCACTAAGGATTCCACCTTGCCCACTGGCGATTCAATCGAGTGGCATGGGAACCTTTTCCAGACTGTGCCACAACCAGATGATGCAGCGGGCCTTGTAGGAGAGGCACAGTTTATGGATCCGGGGACCGGGAAAGACACCATTGACTCGGTGGATGGATATAAATTGCGATCAGGGAGCCCTGCTTTGCTCCAAGGGGTTGTCGTGTCTGAGAACGGAGGGAGAGACTTCTGGAATAACGCAGTGTCATCCGATACGCAGCCTAACATTGGCTCTTACAATGGCAAAGGTCTGTGAGGGGGACGAGAACTGGACCGGTGGATGAGTTTGGATTCATTCTTGTTGATAAGATCATCCTTGTTATATACACTCCTTGTATATTTTGCTGGTAAAACCGTTGCTGCGTAGTCAGAAAAACAGCCACCCTCTTGAATTCCCTATCCGCCCTAACATCAAACATTCGCTGTGCACTTCAAGTGGTACGACCACTATCGGACAAGGAAAATCGTAAAAAGTTTGGGTTTATAAGTGCTGAATACAAACGTAGTTATCTATAAGATACCTGATATCTAGTACTTCATCGGACTGCAATTCTATCTAAGACTCAAACTAACCCCATGTCTAGAAGGCGATTCCCCAGCTCAAGAAAGTAGTAATCCGCATACACCAAGCCATGATCCCAAGCACGATCAGGGTGGTTGCCGTTGAAATTCGCCGTGGACTTCTCAAGTAGTGCATCGAAGCGATGGCCCTTGGTAGCCTCGTATGATTGAATCTTCGTAACCCCGTCCTGCTCGCAAAGCCTCAACTGCATCTCATCACGATTGTATGCGAGTTCCACGGTATCTTTTGCGATGTTCAGCGCATAGCTTAAGTACCGCTTAGCCGCCACTAGTTCCCCCATTCCTGCTAGCTGTCCATACAGAATCAGCATCCCGTTGGCAGCGACTAATCCAGCGGAGACATCCCGCAACGGGCCCTGATCACCGTTGGTGCCTGTATGCGTGATCGGTGCGTCAAAGTCCCATAACGGAACGTAGCGCCCCCGACCTTCCTGTTCCACTACTGCCGGGGATGATTCCATGCGCTGTATGAAGTAGTCGGCAAGCCCCTTAGCAGCGTCAAGAAACTCTCGCCTCTTAGTCCAGGAATATGTCTGAGCGTATCCTAAGATCGCCCATGCTTGGCCACGGGCCCATGTCGAGGTGTCAGAGTACCCTTGTGCGGTGAGCTTTTGTTTGACATTCCCTTCATCCGATGGAGCGAAGTTCACGACATGATATGTAGAGTAACGCTTGTCACCGCTCGACCCGGACTCGACTCGGAGATGCGTAGATAGTAGAGTAGTAGCATGAGTAGATGCTATAGATAGTAGGCGCTCAGAACGGAGATAGTTTGCGGCGTAAAATAGTAGGTCAAGATCTAATAACGTGTTAGTCGTGCCATACTATCCCAAGGGAATGCTAGTTTTCCTTACTGCATAGGCTATCTATGATCACCAAGAAGTCATCATCCATGCTGTTGATGTCATGGTGGGCATTGGAAAATCGGTCCCAGCTTCGAATCGCCCCGACACGATCGTCAAATCTAGTGGCGAGGCTTTCAGCTGCGGTAAGAATAGAGTCCAAGCTCCGTTTGTTTCCAAAGAGCTCCCAGTGTCTTTGCAGCGCAGGCTGGATAATAAATCCGATATCATGGGTGTCTTTTCGAAGGGACATGGCGTGCAATGGCTCTGACCATTTTTGACACAGATCGGTAAGTTGAGAGATAAGAATATCGTAATTCCGACTTCCCCTCACATCTTCACCAGATTCTATATGTGTATCCCCTGAGAGGCTGGGCAAGCTTGTGCCCGGATACTTCCTCACACGTTCAAGCAAGCAATATAGACTACCGGGGAAAAAGCCGCAAGTCCAGAATTCAGCGTCTCTGCATCGGCACACGCCTTGGTCAGTACCTGATTGTGGTACTGTCTCCGGAAATCTGGTGGGAGGATCCTTGAAAAAGGTAATAAGTAAGCTGTTCTGCGATAGTCAACGATGACTGCCTGCTTACATTGTTCTCAAGGAGTGTTTCGGCCACACCCATGAGCTTTGCAAGATTATTTTCGTGGAAGAGCAAAGCGAGCTGAGTTTTCAGATCGCTGTTGCTTGCTTCTTTTAGAGGAGGTGGCTTGGCAACTGCCTTGTGTGTCCGTCCGCCATCCATGATGGGAGAGGTACTGAGGACGTGAGGCGCCATAGCGAACAGGAAAGAGATGCTTTGCGGTTGTCGTAGAAGGCTAGCTCGCAACAACCTGTCTGACCAAAGACGAACAATCTTCCGGTTGGCCAGACTTTTTAACTGGGAAAGGTGTATAGGCACCGTGCAGCTCGGGTGGATCCATCGCCCGAAACCCGAGGATCTTGATCGGTTCACAAGCTACATGAATTTTGCCCCTCGTACGGGATACACAGAGAAAATATACACTTCTTCTAGGAAGCATCGACACCACTCAAGGTTTAGCGATGATTTACTGAAATCTGAGGAACACCTTCCATTTGCCTATGTTATTCATGATCCACAATGCTCTATAGTTACTAATGAGTGAACGAGTCCTGAAAGCTGATGATTCGATCCATATCCAGATATTGAGGGTCCAGAAGGAAGTTTGACAACGCTGCAAAGCTATCTGAGCCATCAAGTGGTGAGGCTGCACCAGCTGAAGGGAATATACCATCCATTGAGGCGTGTGGGCCCGTCTGGGGGGTATATACATTCCGAGCACGCGCCGTACTTATACCCTGCTGATTTGAGGTCTGATACCCATTCCACTGGCCCATATCTCTCATTGTCGCGCCTGACACCACCTGGGGCCCAGAGGGTGTCGTGTTCGCTGATGGTGCTCCGGTAGATTGCGATGCGGGGTCATGAACACTACAGTGATCGGGTCTCTGCGCAGAAGGACTGCCATTCATATAGTGGGACCGCTGGCCATTCACCGGTATGATGCTATGGCGCTGTTGGGCACGTCGCTCCTTGACCCACTGGCTCTCCCCTATGCTGGCCGGTGGGCTACGTATTCCAAGGGCAAAGCTGACTTCGATGGCATAGCCCAAGGCGTCCAGTTCAAAAGGTTCAACGTACTTGCACCGCTCCTGCAGCTTTTGAAGCTGAGAAAGCAGGCCACTGGCAAGGTTATCAGTTTGCGGTGTCAATCTTAAGCTGGGGTTCGATGACACCCATCGGGCTGACATTTGCTGCAGACTCCATAGAAGAACGCTGTATCCATCCGGAAGCTCGGTGCGGTGGAGGTGTGAATGTACTAGCATTTACGATTTAGCGAGGTTGACCAAAGGCAATTCGATTGATACTTACCGAGCATGACACGGGCGCTGACGAAAGCACAAAACACGAACTGGGCATTGACAAGCCCTACAAAGGGTGTATATTGTAGATACTTCTGAACAATATTGGCTGTTTCCGACGCAGCGAGCTGGCACGTTTCGGCACTCGAGATACTTGCTTGTTTTAGCTTATCCACGAGATTAGCCCGTGGATAGGCAATGCACTGATGTAAAAGAATCATTGAGGTGTTGTGGGTGATGTGAGCCAGTGTCAGATTGGGATCCATATGCACGAAAGCAGGCTCCTTGGAGATGTTAGAGTCTTTCCACCGTCGAGGGAGGAACATCTTCCAGCTATGGATGTCACAGAGTATTAGTAAGAACAAATAAGTGATTGTAGTACAGGGCAAGTCTGCGTACTGGATAAGCTGGAGATCCAACTCCTTGAAGCGGGTCAGCCAAGCACCGAACTCTTGCTTGCTCTGGAAGTTGACTGGTCGTTGGAGAAAATACTTCACAATACGATTGAGTGATTCAGTCGCCTCGATGCAATATGCAAAGGAGCCTATTGTTGACAGGTCGACTGACCGGGCTCCAGACGTCTGCACGACAGGGGACACACGTTCGGATCTTGAGGGAGTAATATCAGCATCTTTCTCCTTATCAGCGATCGAAGAAAAATGGCCGGGCAGAAAAGAGACTGATTTTCCAATTTTCGCTAGGGATGTATCCCATATGTTAAAAAATGGTGTAGTGACTGGCTCCTCTTTGGCCCAGTACGTGCCATCACTGGGAAGACGGAGTTTCACATCGTCACTGGACAGGCTCATATTCCATCTATTATGCGCGTGGGGTATAGTTTAGTACAGTCAATCATGGAAATGGAGGCTGTGCATTGCATACCCAGTGGTAAAAGAACAGAATCTGTATGCCTGTAAGAAGATAGATACTATGAACGGAGGTTGGGTTTCTTACCGGTCCAAAAGAAAGACGTTCCAGAATACTCGACGTCGCTCCTCCATTTCTGTCCACACCCGGGCTGGTGGCAGATATCGGAATGATTGGACGCAAGGATCGCCTTGCTGATCCTCATCTGACTCGCAGTGAAGTCCCATATATACAACACCTCTGGCCAGAGCTCCAACAATTGGCCACGCTTTGCTTGCGCTACCATCGCATATATGCACAAAGGCAATAATAATCAGGGACTGTGCGCCCTCTACCGACAGGCTATCTATACTTGAGAGAACTACAAAGTCTCTGGACTTCTGGAGTGCGCCTGGGTGGGATGTACTCCACTCTGCAGCAAGCCTTTCGTTTGCAACGTACCGTAAGGCAGATACCACCATTGCATGAAGGATGGGCATGAGCCTTGGCCTTTCAGCAGGGTCGCGAAGACGAGATCGGAAAAGTGGTTCATGCAAAATTGGGATAAACGGATGAACGACCGAGAAGTATGCATCCAGGATGCCATTGATCAAGCTATCCGGGGGCAAGTCCACTTGAAACATAGAATCCACAGAGCTCCTGGAATCTGGACATGGCCTTTTCCGTGAAGTCCCGGTATTTGAAGCCGGCATGCTGGACTCGTGCACATCTCGGTCAGGAGAGGAATTAAGACGTTGATCTGGAACGCTAGTTGGCGAAGTGTTATTCTCTCGCCACTCCTCCATCATTGATGACACTAAGCTTCGAAGAGCGTTCACATCCTGAACTGTGCTTGCAGGACTTGGGATACCACTATGAGCCTGATTCTGGGCGCGTAGTACTTCCAATTGAGCTTCTAATGACTCTGGTTACATCATATCAGTAGCCTGGTCGACTCATCTTGTAGGGTTAGCCTAACTACGTACCCACTCGCTGAGTCAGTGTCTGGATGATGCCAACTTTGACTCCGGGTTTATTCTTTGTATAGTCATAGTAACACTCCACACCTATCATATCATTAGGCTAAACGCCTCGGTAACAAGACAAGGGGGTATTAACCAAGGCGTTGACATCGCGCGCACGAGGGAAGATCCCTGGAGCACCGCAGCTTACGGCTCCGGCATGACTGGCAAGCGGGTGTTTCTGGGTCCGAAGTGAGAGGTGCTGCACTCCCTCGGACGTCGGGGGATTCCATCCTGTTGCGACTGGTCGTAGCAAAATTGAGCCCAAGAAGCAGGTCAATGCCGGCAAATGATGGGGGCATGAGGTCCCTTATCCCAGCACCCCCACCTTCTGCGGGGTTTAATGTAGTCCATCTCGTATCTTTTCCCCGAAGTCTGGGGCAATTGTGGGGAAGGATCGCATTAGCGATGCAACTCTGCCATCTCACGGACGAAGGAATCCGCCGATGTCACCCCACTACTCGTGAATATTATACCGAGGATAGAGTAGCGTGGTACTAGTACTACGGGGCGATCCTTCCAATAAGCATTGACTTGGTGATTACAGCAGGAAACTTTTTATCTTTGACGGAACCGCGGCGCTGTAGTCCTGTAATCATATCAATCATCATACTGGACACAGCGTGAACACTCGGATGCAATGCCTCCTCTGCATGGATTTTCTGACAATCTTTTTCGCGATAAAGATGATGTGATTGTCGCGACAAAGGCCATTGTTCAGGCCCTTGAACCATATTTTTCGGCAGGACAAGCGAGGGTACGGCTACCTACTTACTCAGGAGCACATTTCGATGAATCAGCGGCAGACCTAGAAGGCTTTGCACGACCCATCTGGGCTATAGCTGCTGCGTGCACAGCATTATCCCCCACGGCGGACCCAACCCTCAAGGCGTACGCAGATCGCTTGGCATCAGGGCTTGCCAACGGAGTTGATCCAGTGCATCCGGAGTACTGGGGGGCAATAGAAGACTGGGACCAACGCATGGTAGAGGCAGAGGCAATATCATTTGCGCTCCTTCTAGCTCCATCCACTTTCTATGAGCCATTATCAGCCCAAAGTCGCAACCACTTGGTCCAATGGCTATCGGGGCTCAATGGGAAAGTGATGCCCAAAAACAACTGGCGCTGGTTTAGGATCTTTGCAAACCTTGCGCTCCATAGGGTATGCGGCCTTCCTTACGAAAATGTTAAACAATCAATCCAGGAAGACTTCGCTCTCCTCGACACGTTTCAGTTGGGCAGTGGCTGGGCTGCGGACGGCCCTTGGAGAAAGGACGCGACAGATGGAGAGGAGACATACGGTCGCCAGGCAGACTATTACTCCGGTAGCTTCGCCATTCAGTTTAGTCAACTGCTGTACACTATATTCGCTGCTGAGTCGGATCCCGAGCGTGTATCTCGATACATCCAAGAGGCGCGACAGTTCGCCGATCAGTTCTGGAGGTATTTCGACGAAGAAGGCGCACCCATTCCATTTGGTCGATCCTTAACCTATCGATTTGCTATGGGCGCATTCTATGCAGCATTTGCACTGGCCAAGGCCTACGATTCCTCAAGCCCTTACACATCGCCAGGATTCATTAAGGGAATGCTGCTTCGCCATTTGCGGTGGTGGGCCACCCACTCTGATAATGTCTTCGCTTTGGACGGAACCCTCACCATTGGTTACCTATACCCGAATATGTTTATGTGCGAGGATTATAATTCACCTCAGTCACCGTATTGGGCTATGAAGAGCTTTATCATGCTAGGACTGGCGACCAACGATGATTTCTGGGCGGCAGACGAGCTCCCTCATCCATTGACCTCTGCTGGCGAAACAAAGTCACTTGTGTCAGGGGTCCAGTTGCTCTCGGCACCTTTCCAGATATTGTGTGATCACCCAGCAGGCCAGCATCACTTCATGATTTCTGCTGGCCAGTTTTGTGTCTGGCCCCTTAAGGCGACACAGGCCAAGTATAGCAAGTTCGCATATTCCTCCTCGTTCGGGTTCAGTGTTCCAACTGGGCTTTTGTTGACGCAAATTGCTCCAGATAGCACCCTCGCTATCAGTAATGATGGGGGAGAGACCTGGACCACGCGATGGCAGACAACTGCCAGTCCTACCATTGAGACGCTTCTGATTGAACATGAGGAGGTTCAATGCCTACGCAGCGGGTGGAGGCCATGGCATTCAGGCAGCACAGAAATCCACACACTCCTTGTTCCTCCTTGTGACAAGTGGCCAGATTGGCATGTTCGAGTTCATCGTATTCGGGACACCCGGCCCGGATCTTCCACTATTGAAAAGCTTAGACTCGTTGAAGGGGCCTTCTCGATAGAAGTGAAACAACCACGTCACATGCCCGTCTTAACGGAGGGCTGGGCTGCAACAGCAGACAGCCAGGATGTCGTCCTCGGGGGTCGCATGGAATGTGACACAGGTTCACTAGTTATTGGCGATGGTGACGCCACCGGCATCAAGAATTTGTTCGCTTCGGGATGTTCACTAGAAGGCAAAGTGCTAAAGCCGGATCCAAACACCAATCTAATGGCCCCGCGAACGTTGATTCCTACTATTGAGCATGAGATCTGCAGTGTACCAGGACGAGAGGTCATCATTGCTACTGCCGTATTCGCTGTTAGCAAGGGCAAGAGACGGTTTGCCCGTAAGGAACTTTTCGAGAGGTGGTGCCAGCCTCCTAATTTACCGGAAGAAGTCTTGGCGCTCGCATGTATGTAATACAATCAGGTACGGCCTTATATTCCATCGCATAACATATTGTCTGAACTGTATTCTCTTTCCTCCTGTTCCCCATCAACGTAAGCCTATGCAAGATACCTGCACCGAGCCATGTTAGCTGCCGCACACCGAACAAGGTAGTAGGATAGACTTAACATCAAGGTACTGTATATTAGAACTCATGTTTATGAGTGGCAATTGTCTCGGAGTTTCGGTAATTGATCTTAACATAGCGGGGTGATGTCCAGATGGCTGTTCAATGCCTTTCGTGCGCCAGGAAACGGTGCATGGTGTCTCCCAACAATATGGCCATGGCTGCAATACGAAGTCGACTGCCTCTCGAAATTCCCCGGTAGTCTATCATAGCTCGCTTGTGGAAAAAGAGGAGAACGCAGTGTCGGACGAAGGCTTCGTCCGAGCAGCGGAGGAATCCCCGCCCGAGTATGAATGCGACTTAGGGTTAAGCTTCGGTTGGAAACGTGGACATGGGCCCACTAGTATAGTGACATTCTCGCGCCTCGTAATCGGCATCCGTTTTTGTGTCTCCATGGCCAATAAATAGGAGATGCTATCTCTTGTTCCAGGAGTTGCTGCACGAATGGTGTCGGAGAAACGACACGTAGGTACCATTACAAATATTCGCCATGGAGACTTCACATCCGGTTGATGAAGAAATGATCGACCAGAAACTTGCCATCGAGACCACCACAAGCAACACTAAAGAGACTCCCAGTCGCCAGGCCCTAATCCAGGCTCTTCAAGCGGAGAAGCCGTCACCATGGTCTCCGAACCTAAGAAAATTATACATCTTCTGCCTGATCGCATTTCTGTGCTCGACCATGAACGGTTCGCAATTTACGGTGCCCCGCTGTAAGGAGAGAGATGTGCTAATTCCCTTACAGGGTATGATGGTTCCATCTTTGGGTCCCTCCCTGCTCTAGACTCATTCCGAGAGCAGTTTGGGGTCGAGAAAAACGGCGCGAAAATCGGGTATATATCCGCCATGTATACGGTGGGTGGGATTTGCTCGCTGCCATTCAGTGGGCCAGCTTGCGACTTTCGTGGCAGACGATGGGGCACTTTTATCGGCTCCTTCATCGTTGTGGCCTGCACCTTCCTCTCCGCACTATCACATGGAGTTCCTCAGTTTGTGGCTGGTCGTTTCTTTCTAGGATTTGGTGTGAACATAGTGCGATCAACGAGTTCCATCTGGTGTGCTGAGGTCTGTCCGCCGGCATATCGTGGAATCATCATGGCGTTTTACAACTGCACTTATGCTGTCGGATCCCTCATCGCTGCGGGGGTAACTAGAGGGTCAGCTGGATATGCAGGCAATAAATCCTGGCAGATACCATTGTGGTGTCAAATGATCTGCCCTGGAATCGTGCTGGTATCTGTGCTGTTCTTTCCTGAATCTCCGCGGTGGCTTTATTCCCATGGCCAGGAAGAACAAGCGCTGGAATTTCTTGCGAAGTACCACGGGGAAGGCAATCCTTCCCACCCTCTTGTTCAACTACAGCTGCAAGAGTACAGAGAATTCATATCGCTCTCCGGCTCTGATAAACGTTGGTGGGATTTCCGCGACTTCTACCAAACCAAAGCAGGGAGATGGCGTTTTATCAACGCTTTGATAACCGGGATTTGGGGTCAATGCTCGGGAAACGCTGTTGTCACGTACTATCTCCCTGCGATGCTGCTCACCACCGGCATCACCGACTCCAATCAGGTCTTGAACGTGAATCTTGGCTATACCGTTGTTTCCACAGTTGCATCCTACCTGGGGGCAAGCCAAATCGAAAGGATGGGTCGTCGGCCAACCATTATCTGGACTGCTGTCGCCTGTTCAATTTGCTTTGCCTGTATCACCATCGGTTCTGGTGTATTCGATAGTACCGAGGCTACCCCCGCTGCCTCTGCTGGGATCGCCTTCATCTTTATCTTTGGGTTCTGCTACAATTTCGGGATGACACCTCTTCAAGCATTGTATCCAGTGGAAGCGCTCTCGTACGAAACGCGCGGGAAGGGTGTCGGCCTGACTTTCTCCATTGCGCACGGCTTCACTTTGCTCAACCAATTTTGCTTTCCTATTGCGCTCAAGAATATTGGTTGGTATACATATATTGTGTTCATTGTGTGGGATCTGTTTGAGGCAGCTGTCAGCTACTTCTTCTCTGTTGAGACCAAAGGACACACGCTAGAAGAGCTGTCAGAAATATTTGAGAGCCCAAATCCGGTCAAAGCTTCCCTTCAGAAATCTATATAGGGGAAGGATGATATCAATTGGGCATGTTATTACCGCCTAGTTAGGGGTGAATACTTTCTAATCCCATTTATATTCCAGCACCTTGCATCTGATATACTAACTAATGTATTATGAACGTTACTACGTCATACGGTAAGAACTGGTACACTATAAATGTTCCTCATAATTCAAGTGTAGGTGGGTACTACTCGCGAGGCTAAGGAAGCACAAGCATGAAACGTATGAATTTCTTTCCTAGCCACATGAACCCCTGAGCCGCATATACAGCCGGCTATGTAAGTGATAGGTGTTGCTCCGAGGTATTAACGCGCCTGGCGCTTCCCTGCTTCCCTGCTAATTTCTTGTGCGGAGCCATCCTGATCATGTACCCTTTTATCTTTATTTTCAGACTCTTGTGGTGCTGCTGCGCTAGGTCGAATGGTTGGAGGCTCGGAGGGCTTAATTTTATCCAGCCATTGTTGCACTTCCTTCTTTTTATTTTCAGCGGCCATACTCCTCCATTTATCAATAATTTGTCTTGTCTGGGGGGGCAACCGCCAGCCTTCGCTCTCTGATGCTTTGCCCGGTGACTGTTGGCTTGACGGTTGTTGACGTTGCGGAGGTTGGCCCTCTGGCTCTTCGCGAGGGGACTTTTGACTCGTTATACCTTGGCTCTGCGGTGGTTGACCTGGCGATTTGCGGTCCTCCGTATGTCTGTCCTGCGACTGATGACTTGGGCGCTGTTGACTCTGGGACTGTTTAGCTCGCGATTGTCGGTCGTTATAAGAGCGATCCTCCGCTGAATGTCCACTCTCCAACGGTAGCACTACAAATCTCGATCGGCGAGACATCTCGATGAGCGTGCGTCGTGTTTATTGTGGTTTAAAATGTTAAAATATTTCGCTCCAGGGAGGTTCTGAAGGGGCCTTTGTAGTTATTATAACTGTCCGTCGCGGAGCTTAACTGCCATTTTTCGATCAGATTCAACCGACAGCGGTTCGATCGCGGAAGTTATAACAAGGTCCTGGACTATGGCGACTCCTGTCTGCTATGCTCCTTCATTTGAATTAAGGATTACCCTAAGATCCTGGGACGAGACTATCTTTGATAGGTAAATCCATAGTGGACACGGAACCGTCCATGATGGCTTTGTCGGTGGCTGCTTTGTTGCGAATGGACTGCCCAATGGAAATTCTATTTCCCAAGCCACTTTAACTTGCCACAAAGAATCATTTGTTGGACTTCGCATTGTCATCCGCCACTGCATCTGTCTCGGTATATTCAGATGGGGATACCCGAGACTCACTGGGTGGTGGCGGGTTTGCCTGGCAGTTGGAGTAATTGTTGGATCTTACGGCACTTACCAAGAAATACTCGAGCATCACTCTGATCAATTAAGTATCTTGCGCTATTCTGCTATGCACCTTGAGCGTAACAGGGCGTTTGAGACGTGGATGGAGGAGTAGTTAGTTAACCGAGGCTTTTAATATAAGCAGCCGTTATCGACAAAAGCGCATATCCAGTCCGACTTCGACTATGGAATATAAATAACCAAGACTCCACCCCCGCTTCAACCCACTTCGGCTTCCACCCTCTTTCGCTATGCCGCCGGACTACCCAACCAAAGCTAGACTACGCACTCGCACAGGCTGCCTGGAATGTAGGTTAAATAACACCTTAGAGAAGACTCAAGAAAAGAAAGAAACTATGCTTATAGCAACCAGGTCGCAGTCGCCGTAAAAAGTGCGACGAGAAGCCACCACAATGCGGAAGCTGTGCGAAAAAGAACCTCATTTGCACCTGGCCGTCGGCCAACAGCCAGACACTTGATCGTAGGCGACGCGGCGCAAAGCTTGGCAATAATATGGATGGCAATCCCCATACTGACATCTGTGGCCTGGCTTTCAGACCAGAGCAGCATATTGAGATGTACACTCATTTTGCCACGGTGGTGCTGCCATGTATGGTCCGGCAGAACTGTGCTGCAGAGTACAACGACCAGACATATATGCTCCAGCTTGCCCTCGACTTTCCTCCGTTGATGGCAATCATGATTGGAATCGCCGCGGTATATCTCGAAGATGAACAGTTGGCCTTGGAAAGTTACCTCTTCTCCCTGCATGGCCTACGGAGTCGCATGGCGCATTGCGCGGATGCTGCTAGGGAGGATACCATCTTAGCTTCGACAATCCTGCTTTGTGTTATGGAGGCAATAGAACTCTCGCCGTCCGATTGCTATGCAATGAAGCTGACTGATACTTAGAATCTTCGCCCTGGCGCAACGCCCAACATTGGCCTACATGCGACCGCTGCCGGAGTGATATTGTCACGACGAAGCTCGTCAGGGCTAACGCAAATTGACCTTTTTGAGCGCGTTTGTCTAGAGTCATTCCTGTATCATAGCACGCTTATGATGCTATTTGAACCGTCGCTCGATATCCTACAACGTGTGAACCCTACCATGGACCTTGCTCGATATTTCAGCGACCTCCCCCCTCCCACGTCGCAACCTATTCTAGACGCATCGTATCCATTCGTCCTTCTTATTGCTGACATTACGCGACTGGCCCGTAGTACGCGTCTCGTGAGCGACGTTGAGATTCAGAGTTATTCGCACCTGCTCACCAAGATCTCGCACTACGATCGGAACTTCAACGATGGCAACTCGACCATGAGCTTGTACCTGCTAACCATGCGAATATTACTGCTAAAGGTGGATCCAACCTTATCCGCTGTCGAGGCGACAGAACAGATATATCAATTATCATCCAACGGTTTCTTTATTTTAGACTTCTTGGACGTGAACCAGTACCTCCTCGGATTTTCCCTGTGGCCCGTAGCGGTACTGGGAGCCATTGCAACTACAGTCAGTGAACGACAGATTGTGAAAAGCAAGATGGCTTCACTAGCTCGCAGGCAGCACGGACAGGCTATGCGCCTACAAGGTCGTCTCAAGGAAATTTGGACAACGCCGGAGGCTGAGAAGCTTACATTATCAGTAGACCGACTACACATGCTAGTGAAAGGAGTGTGATTGCAATCTGCTAACATGCGTTCTACCCTTGATCAAATCGATCAGCAAACTCCCAAGCTCATGCCGACTTTCCTGCAAGAACGCTCTCAACTATCTTGGCGTGCTGCATCAACCTTTCATCCTTCAGGCGGCGGCCAATGAGCTGCACGTGGCAAGGGGCGTTTTCAACCTCTTTCGGGACATCTATCATGGTCAATAAGTATATATTTCATCGCTAAGTCGCTCGTCATGTTGAAAGAAAAATTTCTTACAGGGAGGGATATATGCGACATCGCGCACGTATTCCGCATCAGCCGCCTCGTTAGCCTTTCCGAAAGGAATAACGCAGGCGGGATACTATATGCAGACGCTTAGCTTGACCTCCTCTTCCAAGCAATGAAAAACACTTACATCAACCAGATTTGCGAGGACGGTGTACACCGGAACTCCATAGGTGTCGTGGGGCCCAGCACAGCTCTGGTTTCCCGGGCCGATGATCACGTCGAGTCGGTTCTCGACATACACACGGCGCATGACCGCCGCGACGTTAGCCCGTGCCACATTCAGATCGAACAAATCTCGCAGTGTCGGCTCTGGATCGTCACCTTCCAAATTGTAGGTGTAACGCAGGGACTTGATGTAAGGTTCTCCGCTGCTCGAGACGTGATTCACCTGTGTTTGATCGGGATCGATCCGGAAGAATCGGAATGATATATCAGACGCTTCGTGGATACATTGGATCTGACCGGAGAGGTCCACAATATGATGGCCTGCTGCTGCCAGCCTTTCAACCGCTGTTTTCAAGGTGCGTTGCATGTTCGGATGCAAGGGAGCCTGCGGGTCTTCCGGGAGAACGCCAATGGTGAGGGTCGGGGTAGCCAAGGGGGCCGGTTCTGTCCAAGGAAAGCCAAGGACCGTGTCATCGAGGTCGTCAACAGGCGCCTCCATCACCACGCGTAGCAGAAGCTCAGCGTCACGGGCAGAATGACACAAGGGTCCCGCCACGGGCGCGATGCCCGTCATGCCCGGACGAGCCGCGCTTGCTTGGCCTGCGTAGGGTACGCGACCGACACTAGGCTTGAAGCCGAACGTACCGCAGCACAACGCCGGGATCCGGATGGAGCCCGCGATATCGGTGCCAATGCCTAGAAGAGATCCCCGCAAGGCCACAAGGGCTCCCTCTCCACCGCTGCTACCGCCTGCGGTCAGGTTGCGGCGGTGTGGGTTCAGCACACGACCAAACACATTGTTCTCGGAATCGGCCGTCATCATCGTCTGAGGCACATTGGTCTTGACGTACAGGACGCGCCCGCGGCTAGGAGGATCTCCACTAAAGCAGAGTTGTGGCAAGCTTCGGGGCGGTCGAGGAATGAGACCAGACCAAGAGAGGAGTGCACGCCTTGGACATTGAAGGTCTCCTTCAGACTAATTGGTACACCGTGCAGTGGACCCATCGGCTTCCCAGTCGTAAGGAGGTACTCGTCCAGCTCCTTAGCCCGTGCCAATGCTTGTGGAAACATGGTCTCCGTCAGGCAGGAAGTAATCTGTTGCGCAATGGCGGCGCGCTTGCAAAACGCAGTAGCGACCTCCACTGCTGTGACCTCTCGGGCAGCAAGCCTGTCTCGTAGAGTAGTAGCGTCTGCAACTTCTGTGATTTCCAACTCCTTGGGGGTGAGGATCCCGCAGCGCTGAGGAATGGTCAAGACTCCTTGCTCGTTTTCAAGTACCTGCAGGATGTCTGCAGGTACTCGCCATTCTTGGGGGATTTTAGCAGCCGCTTCAGCCTGTTTGGCCGCAGCCTTCTGTTGCCAGTTGAGAATAGTCATGGTTTATTCAAATCGAACGAGGAAACTGGATCCAAGAACATGTCTATCCACCGAGTAAATAGCATTATTTATACCCTGGCATGAACCCCGCTGTAGTTCGTTCTGGGTGGGAGGTGGTGTGCCAGCCAATCGTAGACTTTTGCGCGCGAGAAGTATAAATATCGTCTAGTAATCGATGGACCCACAAGAAGGAGGAAATATAAGCAAGTCACAGCGTGCGGGGTTGGCAAGTAGAGCCCCACAGACTAAGAGAAGGCAGGTAAATCCCTCAGTAACAGATTATGCACCTGGTTATGAACGATGCAATCTATCATATACGTCTCTGTACAAACAGGTGCCCACTTCCTAGATAGAAGGCCACCTGTAACAGCCCACGCTGTAGCCGCAATGATGGAGCAATAGTGTACTAACTAACCGGTACGGTTTTGATCGTCAGGATTGAACCCACTCTCTACTGCATTAGGGCTTGGAGCTACTCGGTTTCACGCGTATGGACTAATATCAATAACTCTCTAAAAGTGAACCTTCCTTTAAGACTATTCCATCATACTCTATCAGGACTCTGATCACATCTCCCAGCGGTATTTATTGCGCAGCTGAGCGAAGTGTATAGGAGAATACTCAATCGGATCTGTATTTTAATTAATCTACAGTTCTGGATTCTGATTGGACAAGAATTCACCAGTAATACTATTTCTGTTTTATCTTATATAATTATCTCAAGCAAATTTCTAGTATTTTTAAATTATCTAGATTTCTCGAGCTTTTGAACAGTGTGTGTAGCCTAGAAATCTCGGACTTTTGAACACGATATAATAACTAGATTTCTCAAACTTTGAAATACAATACAATACCTAGAATTCTCAGATTTTCAAATAGTCTATATAGCCTAGAGTTCTAGAGCTTTTAAATATGATATAATAACTAGATTGCGCAGACTTTTAAGTAGCCTATATAATCTAAATTTCTAGAACTTTTCAACGCGGTACAATATCTACATTTCTCGGACTTTAAACGTAGTATAATGTGTAGATTCCTTAAGCTTTTGAATCGCCTGTGTGACATAGAATAGATAATCTAGATAGATAATCCAGACAATATAGTATAATCTACTTAAATAATGTTAATAATTTAGATAATATAATAAAAGATTATATAATACTTTCGCTGCGCAAGTATTCTGCCGGTTCCTTGAGCTGGCAGCCTCTAGTATAAAAGGTTAGTGCCGTGGATTGCTAAATTAACGATTCCCTCCCAGCCGATCTTGCTCTACAAGGACGAACCCGATGGGATTGCAGAGCACGAAAAATGGCCACGTATTGTTGGAAGTCAGCGCGGGAGGCTTGCTCTCTGTACCATGTGGCGACCCCGACTGAGCGTATAGTGGACTACACGCTTATCCGGGATCCAACACATCTGACATCTGCCATAGTCAAGTCTATGAATTATACCCACTTGGCCCTTCCCCGTTGTCAGGATTGGGCGTCTTCCGGTGATACATGGTCGGCCTGCGGATCTGCGCGATGAGGCTTTTGAACTCGTCTAACGCGGCCATCACGCGATCATATTGGGCCAGATGGCGACCGTTATTATGCGCTTCGATGAAGGGAGCCTGTGCCTCTCGGATGGCTTGTCGTGCCCATCTACGCGCGTCTCGGATGGCTGTGTCGAAATGATCGTCTGTCCACACCTCCCACCAATCCTGTAGGTTGCTGGTTGCTGTCGTCTCCTCAACGAAGCCCAGCTGTTGATGCACTTTGTTATACACATCGTTGAATCGAATCTCGAACTGATTGTCGCGTATATACTCAAAGGCCGCGAATACCTAGTCGTCTTCATTAGTTGCTGGTCGAATCCAGTCCAACAAGAGTGGGATTCCCGCTTACCTGCTGAAATAATGAGAGCAACTCATCGGCCGCCTGTTCTGTGTCTTTCTTCACGCACTCCTTTGCCTTCTTCTTGATCCTTTCAAGGTCAACTGGGTCATTGAGCTCAAATATCTTGCCCTTCATGACGTTGACCTCACTCTGTACGGCCATAAAGGGGTAAGGGTTATACCTGGACCCAAAGGCCTCTGCAACACGCTCATTTGGTTTAGCCGGGCGTTTCCCCTTGGGACCGCCTACGGCTGGCTTATTAGCAAGGTCATGATTGGCCTCGTTCCATACATTTTGCCAGAAGTGAGCATCGATCGGAGCAAACCCGCTGAACCTAGACTCAGAGGAAAGAGTTCCAGTGGCAGCGGTTCTAATGAACTTCTTGATCAGCATTTTGTCAATTGGGTGCTCAACGTCGAGGCCACGATACTGCTTCTTGGTTGGCAAGACTGGGAGGTCCCTCACGTCCAACACGGAACTCCCACAGTAGCCAGTGCGCGCCCAGAAGGCTTTCTTGAGAACCTGCGCCGCCTTGGAGATGGTCCAAATCTCACCGATGGACGGATACGCCGCAACTATGACAGCAATTGTAATCTTCCCAACCACAATCTCTTCTACCTTTTTACCACCGCGTTTGTCAAGACTTTGTTTGTCACTTGTCACCGTATTGAGCTCAGCCGGTTCCCGAATGCTCACATCTCGTTTCACATGGTCATCATCATAGCTGCTCTCTCCACAGTACTCAATGTCCGTAGTGCAGAGTCTCGTGGTGCACATGGCCTTGGGGGTTGGTGCTTTTTTCACGGTGCAACATGCGGCTCTGCTACGACCCCCTATTCAGACATTATTTAGTACACAGCAGCGACGATACTGGAGAAGACTTTGAGATGCCTTACAATCACAGGTGGAATAGCTATCGCCCAATGCAGATTTTGCAATCTGGAGCTCAGTCGAATTACACTTAGCATTAGCGCAATCTCGGCCACTTGCGCCTCCTTCCCAGTGGCATTCCGTGAGCTCGACAGGAGTTGGACAGCAGTATTTCCGTCCTTTGGAGTAGCACTTGTCGTAGTTTGTGAGAACCGCTGCTTGTCCACTGGGACAATCCTTTCCACTGCATACACTCACCGTCAGATAATGTATACAAATGCGCGGCCTGTCGGCACTTACCATTCCGCGTAGAAGCAGCGCTTGGTGACTTCTTTATAGTCAGGGTCCGGACAACAGAACACTTTGTATCCGCGACCACACTTATCAGTATCGCCATCGTTGGTAAAGCCACCACCCCATGACGAGCGGATACCGTTAATATTCATTTCGCCTGCCTCACACTGCCCACTGCAATCTGCACGAGTGCCGGGCTCGCCGGTGTTATCCCCCCGCCAACTGCACCCCTTTGGGGCAGCATTTGATGGGCAACAAATCGGCTTTCCGCAATGCTGGGTCTATGTCAGCCGTGGAATCCAAAAGAGCCCGCACGAGCTGATACATACGCAGTTTTTTTTGCCACATCCAGCATCGTCCCACCCGACGACGGTATAACCACTGCCACAGGCATTGGTCATCGCTTGATCGTCATTCAAGTTCACGCACTTTCCGGAGTAACGAAAGCATTTCTGACCGTTGAATGCCGCTAGGTCCTCGATGACGGACTTTGGATTCGATGCTGCCTTGTTTATACTCTGGAGCGTCGATGTAGAGATAATCTCTCTGCCGAGAAGGCCTGCGTGAGCAGAGTACTGATCGTCATCTACAGACCTTGTCAGTGTTCCAGCTGGGATGCCGCAGTACTATAGATGTTGCTATGCGTACCAAGGTCTGAGGCCCAGATCAGGGCTCCTCCCAACCCAATATCATTTGCCCAGTCAATCTTCTGCTTGAATGTTGTCTTGTCATCATATGAGATCCATTGGTTATCATCAAAAGTGAAGTAGTTGACTGCAGCCTCTTTATCGTGAATTGGTGTAATCGTGTCTCGTTTGTTTCCGGAACCTCCTTGTAACGCACTCATGATCTCATAGTACGCAAGCATACCACCAGTGTTCGAACAGGGTCCGGCTTTGGAAGCACCACTAAAGGGACAACCGGGTGTATTGCAACTAGGGTCTGCCAGAGTAAATGCGCGACCATAAAACCCGATGCCCAGCACAACTTGCGCTGGTGGTATATCGACTCTCCAGAAAAGCTCTAGCGCAGTTTTGATCTCGGTCAGATTGGTATGTGCCTGCACAATACTCCCGATTGGGTTTGTAGAGTCCCAAACCCCATGGAGATCGTATGTCATCACGTTAATCCAATCCGCGTATTTGATCATGTTCGGCAAGTCGAACCAACGGAGGTACCAGTATGAAGAGGGGGCAGTGAAGGTCAGACCAAAATTACTTCCACTATGGTCAAAGGTCTCTCTCAGCGTCTTGAGCAAGAGGACATAATTTGCAGTGTCCTCAGGTTTGCCACCTCTGTCACCCGCACCAGGATATTCCCAATCGAAATCAACACCGTCAAACCCTAATGCCGTAGCGTCAGTGGTATGCTATCAGTATTATTTGGGAGAGGGAGCAAAGTGCGTACCGTATTCCCTCAAGAAATTCACCACGTTGTTAGCAAATGCCTTCCGTTTTGTCTCATCAGCAGCAATTTCTCCAAGCAACGGCTGAGTTGCGGTTCCATTGTCCGAGAACGTCCAGCCTCCAATACTAACAAAGACACTGATGTCTTCTTTGATTGATTTGATATTGGTCGTCTCTTTGAAAAGGCTCTCTGGGGTTGAAGAATCCATCGCGACCACCTCATACGACGAGGGATCGACAAAGGCGAATGCAAAATATACACTATTCATATAATGAGCGGTTGTATGTTGTATCATATGTCTAGAGTACTCACTGGGTCAGAGCGTCTAGGGGCAAATCGGTCGGTTTCATCTTGTGACAGCTCTTGCGAGCCATCCACGCCTCGTAGTATCCTATAACCTTATTTTTCAACACGCTTACTGAGGCTTTGCCTCCTGGTGGCTTAGGATTGAGGACGCAGTTGCTTTGACATCCCTCTGAGATATGTTAGCGAGGCTTTTGTTTATATTGGTTAGACAAGCCTACTCCCACAGAAGTCCTTTGTCGTTCCACACTATAACCCGTAAGTCTTTCTCCAAACTCCAATGTGAACCAGAGGTATCACTAACAAACCCAAATTCACTGCAGCATGTATTCAGTGGACAGGTCTCTCCAGGATTCTGTGCATACTTTCCACACTCGGCTTTCGCATCACATTGCGAAATGCACCCTGTGCCGCAGTATGTAGGGCCGTACCCGCAGATGCCAGTGGCTCCGCAGCAGGCACCATTGCTGCAAGGATTGCTCGCGCTGCATGAATAGTCTCGACGGGTGAGGGTATGATTCTTGTGGGCTCCTAAGCTGCTGGCTCTGTCGTAACTATCATGACGATGATGGCGAGTAGCATGCCTCGAATAAGCATTGTGGCTTGAGTGGGATCCTATACTCTCAGTTGTAGCACCATCCTGGATGTCCTTCCTAGTAACAGCAATGTCCTCTAAGCTATGAGACCAAATGATCACGCACAGCACACCGAATAGGATACCAAACAGGATCACTCGCAACAAGTGTCCTCGCTTCATGGGCGAGGTTTGATCAGAAACCATGCCGATGACAATGGATGGCTCTCAGGACAATATAAGCATTTAATTGACAAAGTGAATGTGCAGGGATCAAATACAAAGAAGAAAAGGGAAAGGGAATGAATTTATATAACTAAAAGAATGAATACCAACAAAAGTCCTGACAGGAGGATAGCAGCAAAGGAAGGAACTTTGCATATCAAGCACACACTATTAGGATTTGGAAGGAGCTTTATTGCATAGCAAACCTCTCGCGAGCAAGTATGTGCTAGTAGTTTCTTCCTCCGTGTATTTCTCTCAAAGGCATACTGTACGTTCCTGGGAAGCGGTAGAGAGCGTATGGTGCCACGTCACGTCAAATTTTAACTTGACCCATAATGTGAAGGACAAAGTATCACCCTTCACTTAGCTTGCGTTGACTATGAGGTGGGACTCGCAGCTATCTGGGACATATGTTACATCCGAGGCGACTTCTTCCACCCACCCCAACAAGTCCTTCCGAGCGAACGAGGGCCCACTATGTACATAAGTAGCTCCTCCTTTTGGGCACTACAGATATGGTGGTTTCAGAAAAGTTCTCATTCAGGAGTTGGCTAGGTCTTGTATGATTTAGAATCTCTATTCGCGGGATTCTATGAAGCTTGGAAAGAGGATTTCTGAGCCACTATGTGACGAGATTACATAGAACTTCAACAATTTAATATACTATAAGTTGAAATATTTTACGGAGGCTTCTAAGTACCTAATTAGAGTATAGTACCTCGAAGTCATCAACCTGTAAAGGTCGATAGAATGTAATTAGACAATCGGCCTGCACTATTTAATCTGGTAAAACTTAATGGCTAGCTTGCCCTCACTCAGTATATTATTCCTATATAGGCGAGTGGCCTGATCAGCGCTGTAACGCCCCTGAGGCTCGAGTCGATCAGCCGGTGTAACGGAGGGTCAACTAGACAGGGTATGCACCCTGTCAGTTAGGTAAGGAAGGATACGTAGGTGGGAAGAAAGACCCCTATCCCTGACGGGATAGTGCAAACCTCTCTCTGTTACTATTCGTAGATAGTTCGGTATCCTCCCTCATCCCGAATGGTTCCGGGATCGGAAAGTAGACTGATTGATTGGCTAGGCGATGCCTTGTCAGGCCGGTTCGTGCTCCGTGTGGTTAACGGGCCGAACACGGTCTGGCCCGTGTGGGCCGGCCGTTCTTTGGCTATCACTTGGCCAACCACGTTAGTTTGAGTAATTTACTAGATGCTTTGAGGCCCCTATCGATCCGCCCAATAATAGAAGCTTTCAATTATCCCCATCTGTCCTCAATTCCCGGAAGCCCGGAACATACGAGGGAAAAACTGAAAAACGTTGAATGAAGAAGAGAACCATGTCGAAGTTCAATTGCTAGTTTGGTAGCGGGTGCAACATCCGGCAGCCTCGCGACCCACTGCAACATGTGTAATAGGCGAACAGGGCCCTGACTACTAGTAGTATGGAGATCATGGAGATGATGTGGATCATCCGGAGGTCTAGCATGTACGGAGTACAAATTTCGTAGTGATACCCAATTGGTCGATAGTACCGTGACTATTGACCCCTTTGTTCGGTGACTTTTGGAACTGGCCTCCGTACACTCCGAACTTAGTATCACAAGAGGAATGTCTTAGGTCTCGTATCGGCATTGCTTTTCCACGGGTCTGTCTGAGCTCTGAATCCTACTAAACGCCTCTATCTGCCACTTACGAACGGTGGTTACATCCGTTCCAACGTTTTCTCTCGTGGACATTGATAGCTTGTTCTCAAGCCAAGATGAGAGGGCTATGGGCTGCCTTGCCAGCCCTGCTAATTCAATCCGCACATGGACAACAACCTGCTGGTACTCAGATGTTTGTGAACTACCCAGGGCTCAGTGATGGATGCAAAGAGGCCCTAGCAACCAATGTGACTTGTCCGCCATTTCTCCCTGCTGTCTCTCAGGAGTGAGTAAAGCATCAATCTACATTCTTTGTTTCAATACTAAGGAAGGTTAGTAATGCCATTTTGGATGATGCTGCAGTCGGTGAGCTTTGCGTCGACAGTTGCTATAGTTCCCTAAACAGAGCTAGAGCTACTATCCAAGCCGCTTGCACTGCAAGTACCGATGTGATTGTCTACGAGGACGTAGCATATCCGGGTAACTACCTTCATCCCAGACTCGGCTCTTTGTTAATGGAATTTCTAGCGACGTTCATCGCCGATAACTACCTGTTAACCTTTGAAGTGTCTTGTAAAAAGGACAAGTAAGTGACTTTGCTGCCGCCCTCACTATCTAGTGCTCGGCTCTGATGTCCTTTTCCCCCTAGAGAAGGGAATTACTGTGATCCTCTGTTCCTCTCCTGGCAAAACCATTCCGTTATACCAAGTGTGACCGCCGCCTGCTCGGACTGCTCGTTAGGAGTACTTGAAGTTCAACTAAACCACCCTTTGGGATATGACGAGGGCATGGAAGAGAGGTTCAATTCTTTGACATCCAGCTGTGGTGTCACGGGTTATAGTGTCACTTCTCCAGCCCCATACGCTCTCAACGCAACGGCGACGGCAACTTCAGTCATTACCACTGCTACCTCTAAGCCAGCCTGTGATGTGTCTTACGTAGTGAAGCCCTCGGATGACTGTAACTCCGTGGCAAAGTCTTTAAGTGTTTCTACATATAGCTTGCTGCACGCTAACTACTTGGACCTCTATTGTCAGACTTTTTCCCGGCGGGTGGGTAAAACCCTTTGTGTACCACCCAAGTGCACTACACACACCTGGCAGGCCAGTGATACATGCGACAGTGTGGTCGGTGGCCTCGGCAATGTAACTCTGCCGCAATTCCTCGCGTGGAATCCCAATTTCAACTCTCTCTGTCTCAACAGTCCATTCTTCATTGGATATGAGGTCTGTATAAGGTAAGCAAATGCCGGCGGTTTGGTTGGCAATAAAGATACAGTGTGTGCAAAGTCTGTGAAGATTCTAACTTTCTCTCATCAGTCCTCCAGGCGGCTACCTCAACCACACATCAAACGACAATTCTAGTCCTACAGTAACTGCTGGTAGCAGCGGTGTCGCAGCGTTCCCGACCAATGCCGTAGATGGCAGCTCCCACAACTGTAGTCTGTGGTATACAGTAAGTGATGATTGGCCTCTTCATACTTTTCTTCATCGTAGAGATCACCAATGACTTCTTTAGGTTGTGGAAGGAGATGAGTGTGGCCTGGTCACCCTCGCCCAATCCATTTCTCTGACCGACTTCTACTTTCTTAATCCGGAGATAGACGAGAATTGCAGTAATCTGCAGCTCAGCAGGGCGTATTGCGTGAGGCCGGTTGGTTCTATCACCAGCTACCCCAACTATACCATCACGGGGGTTTTGCCAATCACCGTCCCGCCGGCCACCTTCTCTTCCGTGAATACTGCCATACCAACAAGCACCAACGATCCTGGCTATGAGTACATCGAGCCTCCACTCCTCCCAACTGCCCCAGGCACCATTCGAGACTGCTATCTATACCAGAATTCCCCTTCCTTTACCACCCTCTGCAGGGATCTTGCGCGGGATAACGACGTATCGGGTGAAGACTTGGCAGAGTGGAACCCGAGCCTTGAGAAAGACATGGCCAACTGCACTCTCACGTCAACTTACAGTTACTGTGTAAAGAAGTACGAGAATAGCACTTGTGAGTAGCACGCCACTTTTGAGATAAATAGCAATGCTCACCGTGCACACAGCGACTGAGGACATCTCCTCTTACTGCCTGCCTATTGATGCCACGGAGGCTGGTACAGTTTCCAACTGTAATTGTTTCACTTCCATAGACGGTTATGATGCAGGAGGTATGGACTCCCACAATCCGTCGAGAATTACTATTAACCCTTAGGACCAGACTACACATGCGCGGACATGGCTGTCACTTACGGGGTGAAATTAGTCGAGCTTTTGGCCTGGAATTCTTGGCTATCAGGCGACTGCGACAGCGCTCTCTTTGCAAATCTCAACAGCACTTCCAGACGCGCCGTTTGTATTGGTGTCGGCTCCAAGAGTGCTACTGCCACCACCACGACTAGCACTAGATCTGGAACAGCCACCAGCGCCACAGAATCCATGGTACCCACTCAAACTGGAGTTGTGTCTGGCTGTCAGCTCTTCCATACCGTGGTGGACGGTGACGACTGCCCATTGATGGAGAGTAAGTATGGTATTACCCTAGCTCAGTTATACCAATGGAATCCGAGCATTAGCAGCACCTGTAACAACCTCTGGTTGGGATACGCGTACTGTGTCAAAGGGCCGGGCTCATCCACCACGCCTACGGCCACATCCTCAAATGAGAGCTCGAGTGGTCCCACGCAGACGGGAACTGCATCCAAGTGCAATCAATACCATACTGTTGTGAGCGGTGATTCATGCGATCATATCGAGACTACGTACGGCATCAGCTTTGCGCAATTGTATGAGTGGAACCCTGAGATTGGTTCGAACTGTCAGACATTGAGAGTTGGATACTCTGTTTGCGTAGCAGTCTCCTCCGCAAGTGCACCCACACAACCTGGGATTGCATCTGATTGCAATCGCTACTATACTGTTGTGAGTGGAGATTCATGCGACGGTGTCGAAACAAAGTATGGAATCACCTTCGCACAACTATATAGCTGGAACCCTGCCATTGGATCAAACTGCCAGACTTTGGTAGTAGGGTACTCAGTTTGTGTTGGGGTTTCCTTCTAGGCATATTTATATCACTATCGTTAGTCATACCCTTGAGAGAATCTGAGAAGCTGTCCTCCTACATGGAATGATGTATACCAACAGTCTCATCTCGTTAGGGCCTCTAATTCGGCTAGGGAGTCACACTACTAGTAGTAAGCGTTGCCTGGCTTCCCTAACTCCGAGCAATCCAGATCACTAGCAGCCTAAATATTTAAGTAATAGCGTTCCCATGCCCAAACCCACATTATTGCTTAGTTATTTTACATATACATCGGTGGAATACAGTTTCCACCACGCGATTTCCTTCAGGTAATAATAATTACATAAAACAAAGGGGATCATGTGTTGCAATACTCTGTCACATGATTGTCTCTTTGCCTGCCCCCTTTTAACTCTGAACCATATTTTCTATTTTCTCCCCCGTTATCAACCACCGACCCTGAATCAAATACTCTCTCACAACGTATAATGAATACAACGAGGATTATTCTCCCTATCTGCAACCGACTCAGACTCCCCGCCGTACGTAGCCTACACCTCTTCGATTGCTTCCCCACCAATATCGGTCGCGCGTTGCATCCAGTCAAACGCCAGTATTTTCACCAGGTGCGAGCGATGATGAATATCCCCGACAATTTTCGACCGGGTACCCTTTCAGAACGGGACCCTACGAGGGAAGCATCCTCCAGTAATGCCGACAAACTGGAACGACTCCTCCAAATGGATGGATTCAAAACCTGGGGCTTCGTGATTTATCGCTGCACGTATCAAAGTGACTCCGACTGGGAGAAGTTTATGACGCGCTTTCTCTCCCCCGTTACTGAATCTCTCGAGTACTACAAAGGTCTAGATCTATTGGACAGTTTCGCCCCGACAGTCTTCGAAGATCGTTCCTTTGATGGCGCGACTACCTCTCTTGTACGCGAGCATTTCCAGGAGTGGGCTGCGACGGCACCGCAAGTGGAGCAACCTGTGGGCTATTCCTGCCTCCCGGAGTCTGGTCGGTACAAATTCTTTATTATGGTAGACCAGGAGTCTTTAGAGTCGGTTCTGAATGCACCTGATCCGGACGATTGGAATGACGATGGATTTGTGCGTCTGGTCGATGGATTTTGGGAGCCGGAGGAACTGGACAAGGATGAACTAGCAGAGCTTGGAGTGTCTAGCCAGTTAGAACTTGAGCAGGAGGAACCTCTGGAAGGTTGTACATTGGAGGATGTCGGCTGGATGAAAGTAGTTTATTATGCCGCAGAAACGTGGGCGTTTCTATATATGCGTGGTAACTTGGAGTGGATGAGGTATTACCGGCGTCCTCCATTGATTCAGAAAAATTTATAAGGTGTACAGGTGAGCGAGATGATAATTCGCACCAATTGGGATGGGTGTCTTCGTTTTGTGATGTCTTTATCTTTATCTTTATCGAGAGCCTTTATTATCTGATCCATGGAATCAAATTCCTTATTTTCCTGTTCTTTTCCTATCCTTTTTGTACTTGCTGTGGCGAAATTCGATGTACAACCCTATCACTTGTGTAAAGAGTAAATGCCGGATAGGAGTCTCTAGTTCCTCAGTCGAGTCGTTTTGTCCGGCTATCCGAGCCCTATTCCGTGGCCAAGGTGTTATCCGAGTGATTAGGTAGACTCACCTCATTGAAAGTGTCTTCTTGAATCTTGGACATCAACTAAGTTGATAATGACAAAATTCGACGTCAAAAAGGAAATATGGCGGGGACATCTAAGCAAGTAGCCCAAGAGGCGATTTATGAATACATCGCGGGTTTGCAACCTACTTTGCGCTGGTTCAACCTCAAAGTAATATACTACATGACACGATGATGTTGATCTTTGGCTTTATCGAATTCTGACAACGATCTTAGATACGCCAAAACCCAGAGCTAGGCTACAAAGAATACCCAAGCCCATAATTTATGATGCGAATTCGTGTCAAATTCAACGCCGAATACGATGCTGTACCTGACATCGGACAGGCATACGGCCACAACCTCATCGCGGCTGGCAGCGTCGCCGCATTTATGGCCTTGACCTTCGCCATCCAACAGCAGGGAATCAATGCGCTCAATGCCGCCGTGACTGCACGCAACAAGATCTCCATGCTGCGACAGCAGGTGTTCCCCGATGAAAGAGTACATTGGGCTATCCTATCAGCATCTAGTATCACCAACGCCATTCCTGAATTCACAATCCGCAGTCGTAAAAAGGGGAGACCATGGCTGCTTGCCACTCGAGTGAAACAGCGCTTGGAAGCGGGAGCCCTAGCCACGGGGTGCAATATTGAACTCCAGGAGGATCCAATTTATGGGGACCTTGTAGTGAACCCACCACTTTGTAGAGCTTTAACACAGTACGTGGAAGAGCCAGGGCATACGAGTTCTCGCAATCCAAGACTCTTTGGTGGATGGATCCACTAACCAGGCGAATGTATCGGAGATTAGGCCAGCTCTGCATGCCGCTATCGGTATTTCGGTCAGCAACGGCGCTAAGAACCATACGCGACAATTTGCTGCTGCTGTACTGTTTCTGTAAGTGCTAGCAGGAGGATCCTACCCTTGAACGAAATACTAGAGAATGTGCCATTCACCATTCGCAAAGATGTTAAATTGTTGCAGCTCGAATACTCAGCACAGCAGTGAACTTGTTCATCATCCAAGTGGCATCATTCTAGTGATTCCAAACTACGCTCCAAAGATCGGTGACAAAGTCTCCACCTTCAACAAGCATCTCTAGGAACCGCTCATGTTCACCGACTTGTCTGAGAATAGAAACCATATACCGGGTAGCCAGGTTTCTTAGAGGATCTCTTTCCTTGGGGTGCGATAGTGTATTTGCATAACAAAATTTCACAAAGTCCACTAAGGTACCAACGTCCGTCTCATGAACAGTGAAAACTTGCAGAGTTCCATAGATCTTACTGAGCACAAGCTGGCGAAGAGGCTCAACCCCATACGTATCAGCTAGTATATACAGCTCGGCATGACCGCAGAGGACTGGTCCGAAGTCCTGCGAGGGGCTGGTGTTGCACTTTGGTGAAAGGTCATGGCTGGATTGGGGAGGTGGAAATGAACAATCTGAAAACGTAGTTTTGAGATGTTTCTCTTGGATGAAATGCCCTGCAGGTGGTAGCATCCGTGTGGCAGATGCATTATTCACCGGTTGAGGGGTTTTTCCCATCCATGTTCCAACATTTGAGGCTGGTCTGCCGAACGGGAAACCCCTCTGGTCAAACGGAGGTTTTGGCGCTGGGTCCGGCTCCAGTTTTATCGACATAGGTGACACATATGCCCCTTCCTTAGGTAAAGGTGGGCTGTAGTCCCCCATGTACGCAAATTGACAAAGTCGCGCAAATGTGTCCTCACTAATGTGTGACCAGTCGACCTGTTTCAGCTTCGCTTCTCTCATAGCACCATTCAGGAGAGCGCTCAATGCTGGAGATAAATCCGCCAGTGGGCCGGAATGGACCATGATCTCTTTCCTTTCTGATCCGACGGAGAAGGCAACAATATGAGAGGCGATGTGTCTACCACAGCACAAGAAATCAGTATGACCATGCTGCACAGGGGGGCATTAGACATTCTTACTTGCCAAATAAGGAGTCCATAGCTGTAGTGCTTGTTTTGAGCTTTGTAATGTGTTTGACTAACTAACGTTGGTTACGGAGCTTTACTGAAAGACCGATTGCACAGAGGGGATGGAAAAGTCAGGCCAAACTGTGGAATGGGTGGAATCTACGAACACAAGGCTGAGATTTTATATTAATGTGCATGACGTGGTTTGCTATTATTCGTTACGGCCATCACCCCTGCTACTCCATCTAGCAAATCTGTTCGATTACCCCACCCTCCTCCACCGGAACAAGCCGATTGGAATAACATTCCGTTCTACGGTATATAAGCCCTGCCTTTGATCCTGCGCTTATGTATCTCCGGAATGCTACCCTTCTGTCCAAGCCATTCAACTTTGCACAGTTCTTCCCTTCAGACTAGAATTTAGAATGAGATTAAGGATGGGTGGCAAGTTGGCCACATATATGGCATTAGCTAGAACTCATGTGAGAGGTCACATGTATAGTAGAGAATTATATATATGAATCTTGGCGATCTCAAGCCATTTTTTCATAAAGAGATTAGAAACAGGAGACTTCAGCAATAGTAATCTACAGTGTACCGAAAATCCTATAAGGCAGGGTGTAGTGCTCCGTTGGAAGGCAGAATCCCAGCATTCTCAAACGATTTGCATGTATTGATATAGGACTCGTACGTGGGACCCTGCATCTTCCAGTCCTTGTATATTTTCTTACACCAGTTTTAAATTTATATAAACTGTTGCATTTTTTTAAAGTTTTTTCGATCAGTGGTTCAGTGTATTAAAAGAATCTAAATAGATTGGTGTTTTTAAGAATACTTATGGACGAGGGCAGCAACTTGAAGTGTAGTATGTTATACTAAAATTTGAGGAAACATTACATTATATCCCATACCACACGCGTCATATAGCTCCTATCATCCAGTTAATCCGCGAGGTGTACGGCTTCTCTCTTACAACCTTCTTAACAATATTCCCATGCTCATCAAATTTGCCTTTGACAGCCACTTCCCGCCAACCGTGACCCCAGTCTAGTTCCCACTTTTCGTCCTTCTTCTTGACCTGACAAGAAGCCGGGAGCCGCTGTCCAGACTCTCGTGCGCGCTCCACGGAAGCGTAGAAGTGGAGCGTCTTTTGGATTTCTTTTATCCGCTCCCGGGAGAGGCTTTCCGTAGATGTCTCCATTCCATTTCTGCCATTGGCATCCTTGATACACTCGCAAGCCCAACAGAGACAACAGGTATACGGCTCTGCAAACTGCTTCATCCATATATCAGCAGTGGTGGTCTCCGTTATATTATTTGCCATAGGCTTTTCGGTCTCCAAGCGCGTTGGAACTTTTGTGTAGCTTAAGTCTCCTCTGAAAGGCCGACTGGCGAACGTTTGGAAATTGTCTGCATAAAGTTGATGGGTTCTCAAGGCGAGTTCAATATCCCAAGTTGGCGTCAAACTCGTACGTCTGTCTGGATGTAGCTGTACGAGAAGGAGAAACCGTTTGTATCTCTCCATACAGCGGGTCAATGATCCGGAGCATGCTGGCGAGCGGAGCCAGAGAAGCTGATGTGTGTCATGAACAAAGCTGTCTTGCATGATGACTGCGTGTTCAAGGTCAACTGAGTACTGGGCGCCCACCAACGCGGTGTATGGAGGTGGGGACGCAAGGCAAGAAATAAGGTCCACAGACTGTGATGACATGGTCGTAAACATATTCGCTGCTGCAGTCGGCAAGTTGTAAACAAGCGTATTTCGATCAATGACTTCGTAGAGGGCGTGCCAAGGAAAGCAAAGCATGAATGCGTTTTGTTTACCAAATTCCGCACAGTCAGGAGAGTAGGAAGGGTGGAGAATGTAGCTGTACCACACTAGCAGCACATCTAATGGAGGGAGGTAGTTTTTTGAGAGAGTAGTAGTGTCCTGCTGCGCTACAGCAGGGGTAGTGTATGCTTTTGCATGTCGTATTACCTTGTCAATATTTTGCCACCAAACATCAAAACGGCCCACGGCTGCTTTTACAAACAGCTCCCATTTCCTTCTCTGGCTTGCACGAACCATCTCCGCATCTGCAGCCGTAGGGGGTGTTTGGGAGCCTTGAGTATTGTCTCTTGGGACAAAATGGCTCGCAGTTGGCCCGATGACAGCGTCCAACTCCTTGGAATGCATAACGTCGTTCTTTAGCTTATAGAAACATTCAATGAGGCATAGATGCATTGCTAGGTGATTCGTCGATGGATATAGAAGGTCGACTTTCCCGATGTCCGAGACATCGAGAGGGCTGAATGTGTGACTGGGAGGGATAGAAATTCCTCTAAAGATCTCTGGGTCCGGAATCTGTACTTCCTCTTCCCTGGAGCCTGCTGGAGCTAGAATGGTTTGGCTTATCTTCCATGAATGCTGATGTGTTGATGGCTCCTGTCGAAATCGCAATCCACTGAGTATTGATGACATATTGTGTCGCAAACTAGAATAAGAAGAACTTGTTTCCTCTGGAATGATCTGTTTTAAAGTGTATAGTTGTAACAGGATATGGCATCGACTGTGCTACTTATTCGTAAACGATAGGTGTTTCCGTTCAAAATTGTTACTAGTCATGGGCCAGCGTCCTCTTAATTACTTGGCTGGCAGATTTGACCCGTGACAAAAGCATAGCCACAGACCATAGCCACAAAACCATGGCCGCAGAGCGCAGCCGCTGACCATACAGAGTACTAGTAGACGCAGACGATAGGGCGAACTAGCAGAACACAAGCCCCACAGGCCTGGTTGTCTGTCAACCTGTGACGTAACCGGTGGCTGGTTCGACCATCACACCAGATTTCTACGCATCATGTATTTTGGAGCTACTCAAGCACTAACCATACTACCCAAAATGTTTAAAAATTCAAGAAATGTGGTAGCGCAAAAGGGATGGTTTCTATTAGCGATTTCTGCTTCGAAAACGTCAATTTTTTCTAGTATTTAAACAGCCGCATGTGTATATAAAGTGCTCTTTTTTGTTTTAGTTATCTAATTAAATGAAGGAGAAGTAATTAAATAAGAAACTATATTTTAGTAGTTATACACTAACTTCAAGCAAAAGGATGCAGTAATATACTGGATTTTATTACTACATCAGTATAGAACAGTTGTTTGATCTGTGCATAAGGTGTTGGTGTTGCACCCGGAGCTTCGTCCAAGGACTCGGCGACCAGTTAGCTATCTTGGTTAGGTGCCACACCGACGATCTCTAGAATTCACTAGAGATCAACGACGGAAAGGGTGGCCGTAAGGCCCGAATGAGAGTGCAAGTACGAACCGATCTGAAGACCAACAGTCCAAGGTTGAAGGGCCAGGTCTATTGAGTACGTATACTCAATAGTTAGATACTGTCAGCACCTGCGAGACCTGATGCCGGAAGAACCCGAGAATGCTGTTCGATATTGGCTGATATGGAACTCATAGCTGAGAGTTAAGACAATATATAGCAGAACCACGAGTATTCAAAGTCGTTCGCTACAGTAGCTGATGTTCAGGAAGTTAGAAGTCAATGGGCATCATGCTGTTACTACTAATTGCGCCATAGGAAGCAGATGTGTGTATTTCATGTTAACGTTCCGCACCACATCGTTCTGAAATATGGAAATTTTCCCCGGGTTGCTACACCGTGGCTTTTCCCGCTTCCACCCCGGGGTATCGTGCTCTATTCTCCATTTTTAACCTAATACACCCCATGGATAATTGCCTCTAACGTGATACTTGAGCCACCTGAAACCCCAGTGGTGTCTGGAGCGCGGATTAGCGGACCGCATTACTCAGTGGACTTCAGAATTCTGGTGGACATTGATTAGGGCTTGCTAAGGAGACGGATCCACTTTGTTCTCAACAGACAACTTCGCTTTCTTTCCATGGACTTCGGCTTATCTGACTGATAGGTTATCGACACATCCTAAAGAGCTTCTCGACTTATTATATTGGTCTTTCATCGTAGCTTCCTATCTTGGCCATAATAATATGCCTCCGAGCCCACGACCCTAAATATAACCAATGATTAGTGAAGACGGTCAATTAGACAAATGGTACTAGCTGCGACTCTTCCAGAAGTAACTACGAGGTTCTTAAATCCTGACTCAAGTATGACTCAGAGATATGCCTAGTTTTAATTTATTTCGAGTTTCTAAGGTAGTCAACCCCTCCAGATCTCTCTACTTTAGGATTATACAATACTAGCTGGAACTGCCTCAGGACATATCTTGCCCTGCCTTGAGCCAGTCGCAGCTAACATCCACTAGATGACGTTTTGAAATCCTTCTTTGTCATGGCTGATCAACCGCTGTTCGATTTGAGCTCCTTCCACCCTACCCCAGGCATTACTCATGTTTGCGCTGCCGGGGATAGCCTTCCACTACGAGCTCACAACGATGCCCTGTCAAAATACATGACCGATAAAGCTGGGGGGCATAAAGGTTACGAGAACCAAACCAAAGTTCTCGATAAAGCACGGGATTTGATTGCCAGCTCCTGGAAGGTTTCTGGTGAAGAAATTGGATTCACGTCAAGCGTTGCAGAAGGGATTTCCATGATTCTAGAGTCGCTGGACTGGGAGGAAGGGGATAATGTTTGTATTGACTCCGACGAGTACCCGAGCCTGGTGGCTCCTTTCGCCCTTAAATCCCAACGGAGTCAGGATTCATCTAATTTCAGAACACCAGAAATGCGCTACTGCACAGGAGGAAGTATGAATACCATAGTCAACAACAAAACACGGCTGATCGCAGTGAGCTATGTATCGTATTTGAACGGGGCTCGAATCGATCTTTCTTTCTACCGTGCCCTCGCGGATTCAGTCGGAGCCATTCTTCTTGTTGATTTTACCCAGGCTGCTGGGTACAGTCCCATCGACGCGTCTGTTGCAGACTTTGCATTCTCGGCGTGTTACAAATGGTTACTGGGCACGACAGGAACAGCAATCGCTTTTTGGAACCAGCAGCGTCAGCCGAACTGGAGTCCCGGGACAGCCGGATGGTATTCTCTATCGCTGGGAGCGGCACGGCCACGGTGGGAGGCGGATCGGATTGATATTCGCGATGATGCGATGTGCTTTTGTCGTGGCAGCCCCGCATACTTGTCCGTATATATTCTTGTGGCTGGTCTTGAATACCTGAATCAATGGACCACTTCCGACATTGAATTGCATGTTCAAACACTGACTACCAAACTTCTCCAAGAACTGGAAAGGATCGGGATCCAGTCAACAACTCCACGATCGGTGGAGCGCCACGGAGGCAGTGTCGCAGTTGACTGTGTTGGGGCATCAGAGATTGTGGGTGAACTATATAACAATGGTATTTACGCATCCAATGGCAGGGGGCGCGTTCGTTTCAGCTTCCATGGCTATAATTCAGTGAAGGATGTGGAGCAGATCATGCAGGTGTTTCCTGGTCTGTGGAAGAAATGGAACCAGTGATAGCATGTATACCAACTTCAAAGAGCACAAATCCACTAATCTCATAACTGGACACTTCTCATTCTGCCATACCAGTCGTTGACTCCTGGGGCTCTCAGGAATAAGACAAGGCTGGTAGTATTAGGAACAGAGTCCGTGTGGCAACGGACATGGCACTTGGTTTGCATCATTCTTCCATGAGCCTCAAAGTTGCCTATTTAGTGCCATCTCTCACTATCGTATGATATGACAGTAAGTGAGGTCTATCGTATAACACTGTACAAGTATCCCGTTCTGAAAGATCCCGGAAAATCGGTGTCTGATGCGGACAGGCGATTTCTCTAAGAGCGGGGAAATTAGCTACTCTGTTTTCCACCTTTCTGGAGCATATGCTTTATATACATTTCTGTCTTCACATATACCCAGTGTTCATTCCCTTACCGTGAGACAAATTCATCGATCTAAGTTGCATAGTTGTAGATTTACCAAAATGACTGTCGTCAATGGCCGGGTCTCTGACCAGGGTGACCTGGATAGCATCAAAAATGGGCCTTTCCTCCACCGCAACAACTCTGTAGAAAAGCCTACTGCAGATGATTTTATGTATATACTTAGTTGACCAGTATACCAGACCTATAGCATATAGTCAGCACACATCAATACAGTCGATGCAACTCTAAGAAGTTGCCCCTCGCGATCAAGATTCTAGGCTGTCCTTAAAGGTATTATCCATAAGCCGTACCTAGTGTAGAAAAGCCAGTGAAGAACTCAAGTTACAGAATATCAGTATATGACAGTATTTAAATACCCTTTACAGACTCTCTGAGCATTGGTGATGAATCCGCAGTCACTAAAAATAGTAGGGCTTCTTCCATTCAATAAATAAGCGGCTGCTTAATCTTCCCTAGGAGCTATTGGAACGATTTGTCCACTTAGCGTTCGGAAGAAGAGTCGCATAACAACATTTGTCTCTTTAGTATACCAAGATGCTTTGCCCTTCTCATTAGGCTTACCTAGACCTTGGCAAGTCCCATGGGAATTCGTTACGCTGTGGTGCACTGACAACAGGACAGTGTGGGTAGACAGAACGGCCCAGGTAGCTGCTATCGTGCCCTACTTCAACTTTCCCAAACTACTGTACACCTGAGTCTCAGTGGCATCTTATCCACGGCAGATGTCGGTCAACCTACTTCTGATTGGGGCCGTGATGGACGGCCTGGGGTCGCTTACTGCGACGCAGGCTCTGCGCCTCGGATTGTACCCTCCCGCATCGACGAAGTGTGGCATTTGGACTCCTTCAAGGCGCCCTATTCTGTGGGATTGCGCCAGGGCCCAGTGCTGCAGCGTATTTGATAAAGAATACAGGCATTACTTTACTAGTCTTCAAAATTGGGCTTTTATTCCATGTGATATTCTGCCTAGCATTTTACTTCATCGTCCCCGAATCTCTCTCTCAGGACAGACAGCAAGCTGCTCGCGATCGGCACCGCGCTCGGAGGGCAAACCCAGACCCTAGCAACGCGACGGGCTACTCCTGGAAGGCCTTGAACCCAATCAGCCTCATCGCACCACTCAACGTCCTTCTGCCCGCTGTTGGAGAACCCGGTGCCTTGTTCCCTAACCGCCACGGTGCAAATGCCACCCTTCGTCGAAATATAATCTTACTAGCTACCATGGACACCGTTGTCTTCGGTGTGGCCACGGGTACCGCGCAAGTCATCATCATTTATGCTGAGTACATGTTTAATTGGGGCAATGTGGAATCTAGTCTCTATGTGTCGATCGTTAATGCCGTCCGCGCGGTCGTCCTGCTTTTGGTTCTCCCTATTCTCTCATGGTTCTTCCGGACCCCGTCCGACAACGATGGTACTGGAGGATCTAACACACTGGACATCGTCCTCATCCGCCTGTCGATCGTCTGTGATTTCTTGGGTTACATCGGCTACGCGCTGTCGAGATACTCATTTATGGTGATCTGTTCTGGCACCATCGCCTCGCTCGGCGGTATGGGCGTGGCGGCCTTGCAGTCATCTCTTACCAAGCATGTGCCTCATGAACGCGTCGGGCATTTGCTCGGCGCCATGGGGCTCTTGCATGCTCTCGCTCGCATCATCGCGCCGACACTCTTCAACCTGACTTACAGTTTGACCGTCGCAACCTGCCCCCAGGCAGTGCTTATGTTCCTCACAGTTGTATTCGGGCTCATGTTCTGTATGAGCTTATTGGTCCAACCATACGGTACGTTGTCCATCATTTATGTGAAAATTTCAACTAATCGGTCGATATTCACTCTTGAAGACAAGCAAACAGCATATTTGAGTGTTGATCCCAATGAGCATGAAGAGAGCGAGCATGACCCGCTCTTAGTGAGATGAATCTTTCAAGCCAAACAGGGCCATGCTTTCTCAGTGCTTTCCCAGTCAGTACGAATTGATACTGAAGGGGATCGGTTACGATTCACATCTTTCTATGTCGGAGGTTCTGTTAAGTACTGCACAACCATAGTAACATGGCTGAGTACGCACTGGGATATCCCAGTAGCAGAGGAGTAGGCTGCCCTTGATGCCATCTGTATTGCCGGATTTCAGCCCATTTGGAGGCCCCGTTTGATTAGGGCCTGCTGGATTGACGCACCCTTGGACTGTGTCAAATGGGGTTGGGGCATATGAATAAATAGACTACATATAACTTCAACATCATATTAAGCTGATATTGTACAATGTTGAACTGCCACGAGTTTCAATTCTCCGCACATGGCATGATTAACAGGTCTCCAGCCTAAGTCTGGCTTCAATACAATCCAGAATGCTCGGTTTGATCGAGATGAGACGAGGAACCATGCAACCAGGCGAAAGTAAAAAATTAAGATATGTCCTACTTGAACAAAGAAGCTATACAATTAATGCAATCAGGCAACCGGAGGGTAGACAATCAACCCCAGATATAGAATTACAGTCGCTTGCTACCAGTGTATGGCTGGTGAGACTGTGATGAGCTCATTTATCAGGCACAATCCAACCATCGACAAGCTTGCCCAATTTTTCCAACTGTTTTGGGCCAAACTTAACCGCCTCAATGCGTGCAGAAGACTTATCGGATATTGTCACACTAGCATTGGTTAATCAGGATACTCTTTCGGATCGACGGCTGGGATATAATTACTGGTAGATGAAACTGTTTGTACCGGCAGCAGCCGGTGAGCTGTTGAGGCGAGTCACTCGGCCTCCCATTTTGGCAATCTCGGAGATATACCTACAATAATGGAGAATTAGAACCACCCACAGAGCTACATCAATGCTGGTCATTACCTCTTCTCCCATTGCGTGGTCACCTGGTTCAACTCGTTCTTCTGGAACAGCAATCGCATAGCCTATAACGATTAGTGGTGCCCAGACACGGGTAGGTTGGATGAACCGACGTAGGTCTTCGGCATGTTGGAAATTGTTGGATGATTTGCTGCAACTGGACTCTCAATGACCAAATTCGAGATTATTCAAAGACTCAGATGGCAATTTATGTGGACGTCAATCGATTTTTTCACTAAGCGAATTGTAGGGCGGGACACGTCACTCGATCACCGTTTGATGTGACGTGTCCAGGAGAAAAAGCAACAGAGTCCTATTCGGGACTCAGTACTCAGATGGCTCAGAACTATTATGCACGGGTAAAATGTCAGTGGATAGTTGGGGTTGCTAGATGATCATGAAAAGTCCCCGCCTGCTTCCTGTCGTATAATGGAGAGTTTTCCTATTTCGTTGTTTCTGCCTATTGACAAATGTGACGCGATATGCGGAAAGCCTTTATAGCAGTACAGGAGATAATCTCCACCACAGAACATCAATGCGCAAATTTTTATAATCCTAGGAACATTGTCATTTAAGTACTGGGGAGACGCTATATCAAATAGTGTATAGCCCATAACTATTGGAGCTTTGGAAGGTTGGTCTTTGTACCATGAATTTGCCTTATACAGGCCAAGTTAGGCTTCCCGCCTCCAAACTAACCTGATACGGAAGCCTATCCGCTCTGCAGTGCACGACGGAGTATCGACTGAGTCGATGTCAAACTCCGAAGACGATAAATATTTTTGGCGAGTAGAATGGCTGCAGGGGAATGGAGTGATTGCGGAGGTCCAGAAAGTCTAACAATCCTACTCTAGATGAAGGGGTGGGGGAGCAGATGTTGATAATTGCGGAGCGCGAAGAGAAGGGAAATCTGGCAGTGCTACCAACAAGGACCACTCTGTAGTCTATAGACTACGTTCGGACTCGTGGGCCGCCCTTAATGTAGCTGGAAACCTAGATTTCCAGTGCTCGTGAACCCCTCGGGCAGTCATCATCTGGAAGACGGGGTTGCCTGGCTGGAGTCCAAGCTCTTTCCAGTGCTTAAAGTAAGCTGTGACATTGACTGAACCGGCGGTATGATGATTACGACGGACAGACCACAGCTGATTAAAGTTGGTCACACCGTACATTCCCGGTACATTCCTGTGGAGAAGCATATGGACGTCATATACGCCGCCGTCAACATTGACCTGGCCAAGGATATGGCCATTACCTGGGGTGCCCGTCCCGTATTGCTCAACGATGTACCACTCGGTGACAGGGTCCGTAGTACAGCCATAGGCCGCCAGAGTGTAGTCACCTTCCGCCTTGAAGTTGCCATCCCATGTTAATTTCCTAGCCACGGACAGATGTCAGTGAAAACGCAGCTGGGGCTAACGGAACAGTTTACTCACCGAGTGCTACCGCCACGATAGCCCTTACCTCCTAGGTACTCTCTATCTACGTTCCATTTCAGTTGGAACCGGCCATTGCCAGGGTACTCAGTGTAATCGGCGCCGGCATGGTTGTCATTGTAAAGAGAGTAGTAGTATCCCGCGGCATTTACACCATCCTTGCTGGCTGTGAGTTCTATAGCGCGGCGATGAAGTCCGTCGCTTCCTGTTGCAATGAATGTATTTTCTCCGATTTGCGGAAGCTCGTATGGCTTCGTTGGACGTGGGGTCAGTGGGACTTGCCAGAACACCCAAGAAAGCCAGGGAAGCTAGAAGCTGAGTGGCTGATACCATTTTGGTAGGTTGATTAGGGTTCTTTGTAGAACGGAAGTTTGCTTTGGGATAAGGAACAGGGTTGGCCTTTCTTCCAAGAGTGAGCTTACATAGCTCTAATTTGTTTCCTGTTACACCCCTGGCCTGGAAGATCATGTCCTAAGCTGATGGTTCGATGGAAGGCTTAATTCAACTCTAACCCAGGGGTCAGTAAGGCGGTACAACGGCAGGTTCCAACTAATTACTCTTCTTTAATTGCCTGGTCAACTGAGACTAGCTGTCTCGAATTAGATACTTCTCTGCGTTGGCTCATCATCGCACGGGAGCCACATCAGAAGGCCAATGGGAATGTTTCTATTTGATCAGCCAACAATGGACGAGGGATTGGCAGTTGAAGTTCTGGGGCTGTGGAGCAATGTACATCCTCGGACAGCAATATTAACTTGGCGAATCATCGTGATACACAATTCGGAAAACTTACGTTCGTTGGTGTCAACCGAGGCGACGGTCCGAGCATTAGGAGCTAAAATCGCGGCCGTTGATGGTGGACACCATTGGCAAGCGGTTATTTTTTACCGCAGCCTGAAGACATAGTGCCGTGGATCGAAGTGGGTCAGGAGTGTATGAAGGAAGACGGCTTGAGCCGTTCCCACTTAGTGAATGATATCACAGGAGGTGAGACTTAGGGTGACAAGAAGTTTAATTGGCTGTGCAATTGGCAATTCGGGATATGGAACAGCAACTTCATGATTAGTGATGTGCATACACGCATGGTTGCATTATATAACCGCCAGACTGTTTCGGCGGAGATATCCCTGCCCACATAGAAACGAAGGCCCCCATGAATATTTCTTGGAAAGGAGGTATGGCTCGCATTCCTCACCCGTGTGAGTTTGCAAATCTCAGCTACTGGCGGAATCTAGTCGAGACCAACGCCTGTTCATAACCACTGTCTGGAGGACCCTGTATATCGGACAGGACGTCGTCTGAGGCAATTGTAGGGTGGCATAAAGATACACATATCTACTAGTCACGAGAGTACAACTCACCACATGAATTCGAAGGTAGTTCACAAGATGCGGAGAAGTAATCATAGGCTTTCACAGAACATATCGTCCGGATTTGCGATCATCGTTACGAATGGCTCAAAAAGCCAGGCATGGACGAATAAAGCCGACTCAGGTCGTTTGCATCATCTTGGTTGATTCATACTGCAACAGGTTTTGAGACTCAATATGCAGGGGTTTTAACTAGGAACTTCTGTTGGGTCGGTATGCGAAGATCCCATCGGTAATGGAGTGTCATTGGCTTTGCCGAATACGAGCTGTGCTCCCCTGTCCCCTAGGAACTCGTTAACATTCACTCCTTATGTTACGGGCTGGTTACCGGTAAGGCTGGTTCGACGGAGGCTAGCCTATGCCTTGTGGGCCCTATTCACCTTAGTAAAGGCTATGTAAGCTGCTATGGATCAAGCTACTATTTAACCCTTGTGGGCCGGGTGTGAATGCAGAACAGTGGTATGAATTAATAGGAACGATTTAACGTAGTTCTTGAGGTTCTATTGACCGCCACTATTTTGGCATATAGCCCCCCACTGTTTTGAGCACTCAGCTACGCCATTAAAACCATTGGCCCCCTAGAGACCGAATTCTGTATGGTGCCAAATTCTGTATCAAACAATGTATGACCAACATTATCCAGTCAGTTATTGAAAGGCTTACGCTGGGTGTAGTGCCTTAGACTCAGTTTTGATATACTGTTTACGGTGGCTTAAGAAACGCAACATAGCTCATACCATCCTAATAAGGCTAGGAGTATGGTTGTGAATCTAGTTGCAGGGATTGGAGAAAACCAAGGGCTACGGTAATATTTAATCCTTCTAGCTAGTAGGCATTTGATGTTTCAAGACTTGGCATTGGCAGACCCGCAGATCTGAGACACGGGCGACATGGCTAGCCGATAGGGCTTGGGCCTCGGCATGTTTCTGATATAGAGATGCTCTGTACTGTCTGGGGGAAGTGTCATGGACATCGGCATCATATTGATGCCAGACCCTAAAGTGCGTATGCCACACGTGCCATGCTCATAACCTATATAGGACCGAATAGACTCAGAGACCAAAGACCTCAACAAAGCCCCTGTGTGTCCATCTCTTTCGCTCTCTTTTGCTATAACACGCTCCCTATTCTGTCTGGGCTGATCCTTTCATTCACCCGTTCCATCCTCCTTGTATTTTCAACATGAAGCTCTCTCTTCTCGCCGCTGTGGTTATCGCACCCTTAGTCTCGGGCCACTACTTCTTCGATACACTTGTTATTGATGGCCAAGAAACCACTCCTAACAAGTATGTTCGTTTCAACACCCGGCCCGAAAAGTATAACCCGACCAAATGGAAAAACACCCGCGACGATATGACCCCAGATATGCCTGATTTCCGATGTAACAAAAGCGCCTTTACCTTCGCGGGTCAGACTGGCACGGCGGAGATTAAGGCTGGGGCTAAGCTTGCCATGAAGCTTGGTGTGGGTGCTACGATGAAGCACCCTGGCCCTGGCCTTGTATACATGTCCAAGGCTCCCGGTGCGGTGAACCAGTACGAGGGCGACGGTGGCTGGTTCAAGATCTATGAAGAGTCCATCTGCGATAGGAGCAAGGATATCAAAAGCAATGCCTGGTGTACTTGGGAGAAGGACCGTATCGAGTTCACTATTCCTGCGGATTTGCCGGATGGCGAGTATCTTATTCGGTCCGAGCACATCGGTATGTCTTTTGCTACGTGTCCAAATACAAACAAGAATACTAACGCTTAGGAAAGGTGTTCACGGAGCACATGATGGGCAAGCAGAGTTCTACTACGAGTGAGTTATACTTCACATGTCGATTATGAGTCTAGTTAAATACTGAGAGGCCTCCAGATGCGCGCAGGTCAAGGTCATCGGCGGTGGCAATGGAACACCCGGACCTACCATTAAATTCCCTGGTGGTTACAAGAAGGATGACCCCTCGTTCAACTTCAGTATCTGGGATGGCATGAAAGATTATCCTATGCCTGGCCCGGCCGTCTGGGGTGGCTCTTCGGGCTCTAAGCCTGCTTCCAAGGTAGCTAATGTCGATGGCGCCTCTGCTTCCCACCAAGAGGAGGCAGCAGCCTGCGGGAGCCACTGTGAGCATGCTCGTGACTTCAGCTACTAAGCACCCAGAATAGATTCATCACGAATCTCTTATTGATCCGCTTGGGTGGAATCTGTGTTTCCAGCATTTGGTCAATGGCTTTGGCGTTTTTGAATGGGTTGGAAGGGGAACTCCTTAATCTGTTCCAAGTACAGTCTAGTCTCCGTCCGGTGGTGGTTGTCGCGCTTGTCAAGTGCTTCGTTTTGGAGTGGAGCGGCGACTTTTCGTTGCAGATATATTTAGGTAGACGTTCTTTTGAAATACATTCTATTTGTCTATAAGATATACAGAAGACTACGCAGCTACAGGGCAGCTATACGAGAGCTCAATGGTGCATTCGCCATGACAAGTCGCATTATGTCTGTTCTAGGTTTCTGGCCGCTGGATACTACTGCTCAGCATACATTCATTATCAGACGATCTCCAGTATATGATCACGTCTTTCCATTATCCGACCTTGCTCCAATAATCCCTTGACGCTCAAAAGAAGAGACGGTGCATAACCATAATATGGTTCGCGATTTCGCAAGCTCTGGATAGCCTACTGGACAGAGTCGTACATGGTTGAACCCTTCCCGTTGACAATACTCTGAAAGAACGACTCGAGACTTGTGCCCTTCTGAAAATCTGGAAACAGCTTCCAGAAATCCAGGTACCCCAGGTATTCAGCGTACTCTGGTGTGTTATCTCCTCGTACACACCAAGATATGCGATATTGCCCCATATTGTAATTAGCACAATCCATAATATTATCTGGATGCTGCATTTTATGGGGGCTATTCTCGAGTCTTTTTCGACAAGCCTCGATGATCTCGTGGATCTGTGCCAAAGATACCTAAACAAATAGGAGAATTAGTCAGTCACTCCTGTATATGGGACTATGTTGCCTTCGTGAAGGGATCATCAATGGTGACATACATAGTCCTTCTCCGGTTCTTCGCCCGTGACTCTGGCCATGGTATCCCAGATTTTATTCATGCTAAGCACCTCTGTGTATGCAAACACATGCTTGTTGATAGTCCTAGGATCCGCCACAATCTGTGCAACGTACTTGCCAACATCCGCTATATCAATCAAAGCGAATTTCTGATTTCCATCGTCCACAATACGGTGATCGATATAGGACATATGGGCCTTATCTGACTTGCCAGACGGGACCTTAGGCACAAAAACTGAATACCAACAACCGACGTCAATAATAGTATAGGGTAGACGTGCCCGTTGAATTGCGCCCAGGATTTCAAGTTTCTACAGGTGTTGTTAGTGAATATGGTCATTCAGATACCTTAAGAGCAAAAGCACACATGGTCTTTGATCCAGTGGACACCTTTAGGGCATGGTCCCACCCATTCCGAGGGAACAAAACGTTTCACCCCAGCCTCCTTTGCGGCTTCGATCCAAGGAAGCTGCAAGTCGAGATGTTCCCAATTTATACAGGAGATGAGAACATCGATGCTCTTTAATTGATCAACGAGCTTTTGATGGGGATCGCTTAGATCGTAGCCAACAATATAAACACCCTTTGCTTTGAGCCTTTGGTTTTCCTGGCGGTTGACCGAGGATTCTCGAGTGAAGGATGTGATAGTCTATACAGTATGGGTTAGCACAGCTTGGGAAAAAAGCGTCAGGTACAGGCAGCGTACAAAGGCTATTGGTGAAGATAGTAGACCATTAACCACCGTCTGGCCTGCATTGCCAGTTGCTCCGATAACACCAACAGTTATTGCAGTCATTTTGGGGAGGGATCCAATGTTGTATTGCTGCAGACGAAAAGAAGAGGGGTTTCGAAAGGGGCAGACTCGATGACTTATATAATTTTCATTAAAGGTTTATTAACCCGCCACGGTCAGCGGATCTGAATTTTGGCTTAAGAAAAATGGGTGGTATCATCTTCTGTTTGGAGCACAGCTTGAGGCTTGAAATCTGGTGCTCCATAGCCCCAAGTCCATTTCGTCCGAGGACCCACCAGGTAGCCGGAAGTCAAAGATTGATCACTTCGGACGAATTTTGCGCTAGCACGCAGGAACTCGGACGAAGAAAAAGTACATCGTCCAAAGTCTATTTCGTCCAATATGTAGATTATTTTTCTTTTTCTTTTGGTGAATCAGATTGAGTCAGTATTACTCATATTGAGGTCCACGAGAGGCAGACTCCAGGGGGTAAAAGTACCCCTGGATTAGGTCAAAGCACCCACCATCCACCTTATTCAGAGAATTTACAACCCAATTGTCGTCACCATCTACGTAGATGGTAACGAGATAGGTGGTCCAAGCCAGATATGGGCAGTGGTACTGGGGGAGAAGATGGAGTGGAAGGTCTCGAGCTATCAATCCATCTTGTAGTTTCTGTACTTGGCACCTACTTAATGCTGTAGGGTGACAGACATCCGTGTGAATTTTACTTGCGGTTACCTATGTTCGATTTGAAAATAAGGAGCCGATACCCATTTGCCTATCTTATATCACGCTTAACATTACAGAAATCCCAGAGAACATGTACCACTCCTGTTCAAATCATTCTGGTCCTGGCTTCCTACCATAAACGACATATCTCGAGCGACAGTTAGCAAAATATCACCTGAAATGGAGTACCAAAGACGGAATCCCGAGAAACGTACAGCTTCCCATAAATATGTAAAGACCTATCACGAAGTTGCTGCTTCACAAGAGCCTGATGCAACTTCGCCTCGGATTCTGGCCATCCCAACACCTGTGTGTACAGACGAAGACCGTATGCCTCCACGCCCTCTGGGGCCTGCGCATATTGCCATTTGCCAATTTCCTTAAGGTGAGGATCCTTAGGCCATAGCCCATACGGAAGTGCGTAGACCGCCTCAGTCACACCCTTAAACCCAGTTTTCTTCATCCAAGCCTGCAGAGATGTGGCAACATTCATTGGTCTTCCTGTGATCTCACCCGCTTCATTGAGGTTGTCGATATACTCTCGATAAGGTGACTCTTGTTTGAATGTCCCATCGTCGCTGAAAGCGTCTATGACGAACTCGGCACATTCGAAGTATCCGTTTGGTTTCAGATGGTCGTAGGCTTGTTTCATTAAACGTTCCCAATCTTGAACACAACTAGCCCTAGTGATCAGTTTACTTAAATCTGGACGCTCAGAGCCAGGATGTATCGTATACGTACCCTGAAATTGTGCGAGCATGAATATAATCGAAGTAGTTCCGATCGTGCATCCATACATTCTCGAAATCATCGACAACAAATTCGACGTTTGGGGGAACCCAAGATGGCTGGATGGGGCTCAGGTCATTCCCGATAACCTTGGCCGTGGGAAACTGACTATATATAGATATAGTTAACCGTGTCTTGCATGGAAACTTTTCCAAAATACATACTCAGCAACATCTATCGCCCAAATACCTGTACCCGTTCCCAAGTCCAAAATGGTTTGGGGATTCTTGACGGGCGCGAGGAATAGCTCTCCGTTGAGAATCACAGAAAGCCTCAGTAATAGTTAACGCATGATTCTCCTCTCCCAGGATGAATTCAATGGCTCACATATGATGCACCTGCATAGCGTCAGCAATACATAAATTCGTTGCCATTGGATTAATCTCTGACATACCAAATCGAGGCGATCCTGCTCTGCTTCATCGTTTGGCATGCTATATTGTAATTCAAGTTTTAAAACGTGTCATATTCCTATATTACATGTATTGTGCCTTTTATAAAGGTTAGTATAAGACCAATCTTACTGTTCAATATATCAATACCTGACCATATTTGTGATATCGCCGGCCGTTCTCATATTCATAATTCAGTACTGATGATGACAGCGAAGTGGTATCCGATAATAGAGTCTCGTTATAGATACTGAATTCCTCCTAGACCCTCTCATTAGAGTTACTTTCATAGAGATAGAGTCCCTCCATCTTACATCAATCGGTATCTCATCGGCTGTATTAGCGTATAGCTGTTGGGAGCGCGACGGCTGTCCTTGTTCAGGCATCATTAGAGCCTTAAGGTAATATCCGAAAGTAAACAGCAAGAGCAAACTTTGGCAGGAAGATGAGGGAAGAAGTAGTCATACAATAGTGCAGAGTTGGAGTATTCGTGAGTAACCCTACTGATTCCCCGAGCCCTAGCTGCGGGCCTAAACAATACCCCCGACATCCTACTTGGCCAACTCATGCTACACTATACGCACATTAGTAAGGAATAAACCAATGCCATGACCATTTAGGGGATCTTGTCCTACTTGGCAAACACCATCACTCATGCACTGCACCCAATATGACCAGATGGGTGACCCACTCTCAACGGTCATTGCTACCATTGGCTTGCTTCCGATATTGGGTTGTATTAACCACATGGATTGACTGTTAAGTGCAACCTCGATCCCCAACTTCCGAGTCACAGTGCTACGTGTCCATTGGTCTAGACAAAGAGATACCGGGTGGAACGCATTCCTTGCAATAAAGGTCCTTTGTACCAGGAAAAGATCCTTCGCCAAAGGATTAGAGGACTCAGGCCCAATTGTTCCATAAACCGATACCCGTAGGCCTTGTCCATTTACCAAACTCTCTCACTCAGTAGCGTATCTCTTTTGATAGAACCAAAACCCATCGCCCGAAGGTCAAAAAACTCCAGAAACAATAAACAAACTCAAAAGATCCCACCTCTATAACCCCATGAACAGCCATTCCCTTTTAACACAAAGACGCCCGATTGCCATACGAAACCCGAAACTCCGTAGTCTGAACAACCCCATCTTTATCCTCGTACATAATCGCCGAAAAGCTATCCACCGACCTTGGTCTACTGGTAACGGTATTCGTCCTCGTTTGTCTTTGAGTTTCCTCCACATTGCTAAAATCATTAAAGGCCTTCCGCGCACCGCTTCCTTGCGTGTATCGGTCATGGAGTTCGTGTTCGTAGGCGCGCCTATTCGTGAGGCCGGTGCTGCCAAAGTAGACTTTGAATAAGGATCGCATTGCCGGGACCGAGGCGCAGATGAGGGACATGTTTATCTCGAGACAGGTGGTGAGTTCGGCAGCGGACCAGTTCCTAAAGATAGCATATGAAATGTGAGATAGCGATACTAGGGAGATATCCAAGTTCAAACAAACCATTGGAAGTCTCTTGATCTTAATGCGATCACTGTCGTGATCTGTCTTGCGATCGATGCGCAGATGGTTAGGATACCGATGCCGAAGGCGATTATCAGGCCGACTATCTTTTCTTAGTACGCTTGCTCTTCTGTCGTGGCGGAATACACAGACTCACTCTTGCGGCGATGATTTGTTTGCAGTTTCTTCACGATGGGGATGGGAAGAAGCGCCAGTAGGACATCCGTCGTAACATGGAACGCACCGTTGAAGTAATTGAAGCTCATCATGTCGAGACAGCCTTGGGGGAATTCGGGTCTCCATAAAACAGATATAGGCTCACAGATAAAGGATGCCACCTAAGTTTGTGAGTAACGCGTTTATGGATGCGTTTGTCGAACGACAATAGTGTGAACGCACAAGAGTCGCCGCAATCCCGTGGCTAAGTATGACCGCCCCAACCCCGTAAAGAAACCTAATATGGGTTTTATTAGAAGCTAATCGTAGATATAGTGCGACCATGCTACCCTTCGCTAGTCTAGATATTCGGTTCATGTTAACGTTAGCCAAGGCCTAAAGCTGATGTTGTGCATTAAGGGTCGTGATATGTAATAGTACCCGAGACTGAGAAAGTAGAGAACCTGCGATATCCACGCCCACTAAAGCGAGAGTCAACGTCGTGGCCGAAGTATGGCATTCGAATTCATTGAAGGCAACGGACCTTTCGCGTACATTCATGTTCTTTCGGTGTCAGTTCCATAAGGTGACGGCCAATCCCGCATTCGTACATTTTCGGCACAGTTACCAACTCGCCAATGGATGCAAGCTATAAGATCCCGACGAAAAGCATCATCAGCCAATAGGAATGAACAAGTAGAGATACACATACCGAAGCTAGAATGATGAGCATGTCGTCAGGCCCCAGCTTGCCCAGCAAGAACTGCCTCGCATATAACCTACGCAATTATCCCAGCTAGATTAGTGGTGTTGGCTCAGCTCTTCCCGCCCACTAGAGACCACACACCTCATGCCAACCATAATCATGGCAACCCCAAATGTGACATAACTCCCAATTTGGAGGTCTTGCTGCGACCCCGGCTGAATGGAGACCATGCTGGCTAACAGACTATCACATTAAGCCGAAAAGTGCTGTTAGCTCCACAGGTAAACCCAAGTCTTATAGATCTCCGCACGTGGGTGCTGCATGACTTTATACGACGGCAACATATTCGGAAAGGTTCCGATTTAGCTTCTTGATGTGGGTTAACAAGCGCAGATATGTGCGTTTAGACCTTGTAGTCCGTTTCTTGAACTGTGGGCCGTATGCACCCAGGGACCCTGCGCTATACCCTGGACGGATAAAAGGTATCGGATAGATTAGATCTCCACTATTCAAGTTTACGCTTTCAGGTTAAAACCTGCTGGGCATATATACAGTACCCTTCTTTGTTATTCTTCAACCTTGACCTCGCCTACATCATCACAGTATTGCATTTCGGGAGAGAGCGAGTAAACTCATAGCAATTCAAATCTACCATCCCAGAACTTACACGTCGGAGTTTCTAAAGCAGCCCGGTCAATTCCACACTAGTAGAACACCCGACGCTGGACACAGGATATAGGGTTGTCTTCACATTGTCCCTGGCACGTGGGGTTCACCCTTCGGGATCTAAAACTTCCCAAATAGTTAGAAGGTGGGCTACTGAAAGACCAGGAGCTTGAAACCCCTCCTGATAGACCTCTGAGGGTCAAACATTTAACCCGGTGACGTGGTCAAGAGAGTCGATGCGGAGCTCGATCCATCACCGACGCTGTGGCGATCATTGCCAAACCATGGTCTTGCCGGAGGACTATGAGACGGGGAAAGTTTTGGAACTTCGGAAATTCATAGGGGTTTTTACTATCGGCCAATCCATGGAATATTCCACTGGATAAGCTAATTAGAGGAGAAGTCTAACGTGATGCATCTCCATGGTCAAGCCTTAACCAGCTAATCAGTCCTCCGCAGCCAAGATTTGAGGATACACGACGTACATCGTATCTGTAACCCCTCCTACCATTTATACAGTTTTTCCATAGGTTATATCTATATTAATACAAGATAATCACAGCCAAGGCAGGAGGATCGATCCTACATACACAGCCTCACGAACGGTGTTCCTCCAGTCTATTCATACAATCGTTTGTCGGATCTCTATAACTTGCCGACACTTGCAGGACCTCGGAGTAAATGCTATTACTAGTAGGTAGTATCCGTGCTCCACAAATTAATAGACTACTATACTCCGTAAATAGAGTCGCATGCAATATTAATGAAGCACTGGTTATCTCCTTTCTATGCTGTGCACCGGCTAAGCGACTTCTTCATACGGCTTTCTAAAAGAAGGTGCCCTGCAAGGTTGTCCCTTAAACGGCTACAATTTTTACTCGTTTGGGGGAGTAATTAATCCAGGGCGAAACAAGTAGTGGGCGTCTTGCATACTACACTATCGCGTTAGCCATGGTCTAGGCGAGCAATCGGGCCATCAAGAACCAATAAACGAATCTTGGCTTATTTGACGGCGGCGCCCCTGCGGAACCCTAACATGTACCATTCGTTATTATATGATTAGTATACCTAGACACTATTGGGATGACCGAGGCAACAGTGCTATGTCTTCCCCTTTCTTCAGCATGGTAGTCTCGTTTCCATTCGGATGCCGCGTTTGGATGATGTAGCGACGACTTTGACGAGTAGATACAAGTCTCCTCGTAACGGTGTAGTTATAATCGCCGTGGTGAGTTTCGGGCTGCGTGTTGGAAACGAGTTCAAATTCACAGCTGATACTTCCACGATGGTAGGAAGAGGGTTGAGGGGGGAAACTACGGAGTAATTATCACCGGATTTTCTCCGACAAGGAAGGATGCAAGAAGACATACCAAAAAAAAAAAGGCAAAAAAGAAACGACCGAGACGCGACTCGAACGCGCAACCACTGCCATATTCCGGAACCGGAAGGCAGCGCGCTACCATTGCGCCACCCGGCCGTTTGTTGAGATTTGGTCTTATTTTCTTGCTCTATAGGCTAAAGCTTAATTTTCAAGTTTGCAAACCTATCTTCACTTTCGTTTCATGCTGCGATGTCGAGTATTCTTGGGGAGCCGCTATGTTCTCCGATTTAGAAATAATTATCTCTGTCTATTACATTCCCAGGCACTCTCTATTACTCGTAGGCAGCTTTATGGCCTGTTTTCGCCCGTTTTATGACCACTCTGTTATGGATTGACGATATGTAGTCAGTTATATATATCATAGCTGTACTGAGTGGCTCGACCACTGGACCAGAGTTCTACGCGGTATTTATTTTCGAGCTCATCAATCGCTAGGCTATCATACTACCAGAAGCCTTCAACATATCGAGATACTCAGTAGAGTAGGAGGGACAGCTTTTATTAGCTACTAGTATCTCTGCCCTAAAAGATGAGTGTCAGAAAACCAGACTGCCTAATCAGGCTTAGTTTAGTGCCTTGTTGCCTTGTAGGTTAAATTTGAATCGCGGGTATGGGGTCTTGAGATTAAATAAAGCTTTGTTTAACCTTAATTCTCCCTAACCACTGCGGTTAAGTCAACCCTTCCCCATAACCTCCCCGCTACGGTTATGTGAGAGTAGGGGAGGTTCATGTGGGTACTAGGTTAATCAAGTCTAGCTTCAAACAGAGAAATACAATGCAATGGAACATGGCCTCGTGTTCCGTTCATACTTCTCGATTGAAGAGAATTGATCTGAATAGTGTTAAACGAACAAACAAATATCGAGATGAATCCATTGGACCATTGCATTGAAAGAAGACTCACTATCTTGATAGGTATCAGTATTCTATCTTTTCAAAATAAGAGAAGAAATGAAATAAAATGATCGCTGCCATTCCTAGCACTCGCTCCTTCATAGCAGTTATTCAAAATTTTCCAATTAACTACAACTACGCCCACCTGACCACATCTACATACGAGATTGAATATGATAGAACCCCTACGATGCGCATATATTCAGGGCGATAGACCAGCAGACTTTAGTCAACAGGCTGAGGTCATACAGGTGTTCAGGGTCAGCCCTATCTTAAAGACCGATGGTCGGCGACTGGATCCATACTTTCTTTTTCTTTCTCTACTTCCAAGGCGCCGGTCGTTGCACACGTCGACCCATCTACAAGACTAGTGAGTAGCTACATATGCATGTGTGAGGCACTATTGATAACTAGGTCACCGGCTAGATCCGTCCCTACCCCACAATCAAAAGCGGATGACTCTGCTTGTCCCGGTTTTTCCTGATTATTGGACTTTTGTTGTTGTCCTGAGTCTACTCCATACTCAACGCTTTATATAAAACCAGTCAGAGACGAAGGGGGAAAAAGGGAGGGGTTAACCAGACAACCAAAACCAAGGTCCATGATACCAAAATACAACTGAATTTGAGTAATGGTTCTAGCTGACTAGCTAGTCGAGCGACCAACTTAACTAGGAAAATGCGTTGCTTTTTCTTCAGCTGGTGGAGATCTCAGCTCGTAGTGGAGTACAAGCGTCCTAACTAGTATCAGAAACGAGTGGACCGATCAACCCTGACTATGACCGTACTGCGTCTCGAATGCATTGACGTCACAGCATCCAAGTTCTTTGTACCCCGAACCTTGGATATGGCTACTGAGGTAGACTAACTATCGTCATAATACCTACGTTGGGGAGTGACACACCTCCATCTTTAGAGAGTCGCTAGGCAGGTAGCTTTCTGATTCGGTATTTCTAAATTTACGCGTTATAGTGGAGCGCCCTTGTATGCATCTATTGATCGGACTGAGACATTATTGACATTTCCCTTAGACAGAAGTACTTCTGGAGACAGGGAAATAGTACATGCGACGTTGCCATAATCATATGAGCATCACTAAAGTGGTATAGTAGGTTTGAGTGCGGAGTAGAGAGGGTATTGTGGCCAGGGAGAGCAAGCCCTTGATCGAATTGTGTTCGACTTCATGTCCCTCCCTATGCATCAACAGTGGTACGGCATCGTGCTAGTTTGGGAAACTATGCGATGTGATGCAGATATCACCGTGGACATGCTCAGCTCATCGACCTGCCAGGGAACACATCTTCGCCACAAAAAGGGAGACGATTTGGAATTGACTGTCTAGCGTCCCTACTCATCCAACATATATAAACCCCTTCGTCGTCCACCAGAACTTCCCCTCAAATCATCCATCGCACCCAAACTTTCTTGCAGTCAATTTTTCACAGCTCAAATATCCAACCTCTCGCTCAGTTCTCAAGTCACCGAACCAATCTGTTCACCATGCACTTCGCTGCCCTCATCGCAGCCACTATGGCCCTGGCAGGCTCTGCCACAGCGCAGTGCCACGCTGGCGGCACTGCCGATTGCAAGCCGGGCTTCAACTACTGCGCCAAAACCCTGAACGACCGAGGTAACGCTATACGTTTTTGTGTCCGTCTTATCCGGCGATGATGACTAACTTGATTGCCCATTTCAATAGGTGATGCGAACTCCGCCATCGGAGACGCGCTCAGAGCGTCGGGCCATGAGGTGAAGGCAGGCCTTCCTGGCACTTGGGATAACCTCATCTTTCATTGCAATGATGATTACACGCTGAAGCTGGTGGAGCAGTGTAATGGCAGCTTTTGTGTGGATGGTGGCCTCAACAAGAACGATTACTGTGGCGAGAAATGGAGTCCTTTCTGAATGAATCTACGCTTTCAGGACGAATCTTTGTGGCTGTCGATGATGTTGACCGGTGGGATTCGTTGCGACATGAGGGGGTACTCATTTTCAGCCTAGGTGCGGACGCAATCAAGGGATTTAAGATGAGATTTTGTTTCCATTCATATCAGTAGGAACCCAAGCTGCAGTATATGTCCAAGTAATAGTAAACTCTGGTGGAGTAATCGGTGTGCCAGGCAACCACGGTGAACATTTCTCTTCAGCCTTGCGTGTTCGTCCAACAGTACAACTTGTGTATGTATGTATGTATGTACCTGTACTTTAATCCTTGGGGGGTTTGTCCTGCCACCAACCAATGTTGACCGCCCTCACACGATTTGATTCTGCTACTGATTCTTACTACTTACACCTTCTCCTACTACTTCTAAAAGAACTAGAGATTTACAACAACAACAACAACAACAACAACAACAACATGATCTATGGTCGCTTCGAGAGAGTGGTTGGCGAGCATGGAAGCTACGCAGCCTCGTCTCCCAAGTGGGTGCCTCCTCGGATCGATCGTCTACTACTAGTAATACATCGCTGGACTAAAACCCCGGCGGCGCATGAACCCCTCCAGCCAGCCTTTCTCCCTTGGGATTCAGCGACAGGAAGGCTCCACGCCAATCAACCATTCATGGTCCGACAAGGATATTTCGATGGTCTTAACTAACAACGCACGATCTTCTGACCAGTTAGCGCCCCAGTGATGATCCTTGAAGTGCATTGCCCATGCCAATCACAACCAGCCAAATGCTGTGCCGCCGAATGGCTATGACTCGCGATCGCATTCCCCGACGAGAATGTTGGGCGATAAATCAGTGGCACAACTGGACCAACAGGACCAGGTGTTAAATATTCTCTCCTCCCCCCCTCCTCGCCCTTCTCTCCCATTTCTGAACGCGCACGACCTTCGAGCATAACCTAGCAGCATGCTCACTTCCGTTGCAATGCCCAACCCTAACATTGTCGCGGACACCTTCAATCACATCGCATTTCCTCCCAAGCTTCCAGGGAAGCGAGACGAACAACCGTCACAAGTTGATCTCGACCTCATCAGTCGCCTTCGCCATGCGGTCCAAACTATGCATCGCATCGCCGATGACGATATGAAGGCGGTATGGCAGTCTCTCGAGCTAGTGTTGAGTACATGTCACGTAGTGAACGAGAATGGCATGGTGAATAAGGTCGCGTTGCTAGACGCCTTCGATAAACTACATACAGAACCCGCCGTTATCGTGTATATCGCGGAGCAAAATGCAGCACTTCTTTTCCGAGAGGCCCAGTGAGACATTCCCAGCCCGTAAATAAGTAGTCTTCATGTTAATGCGTTCACCTATAGGGACAGTGATGATGTTATCATCGAAGGCTTCGAAGCTTCCCCTAGTGCGGAGCAAACGCTTGCTGCCTCTGGGGCACTTAAATGGCATTTCCCAGGAACAGCAGTATCCCTTACGAGAGAGGAATTTGGGAGCTCGGATCTCCAACAGAGCCTGGCAGCGTTCCTGGAAATGGCCAGCACGGAACAAATAGATGAGTTCGCGTCGAAATCACGGAAGGCGGGCGTGACGGTGGCCGAGAGTCGAGATGTCGTCGACCCGGCACTGATCTCAGAGTTCCTGATAACGCTTCTCGGGGTAAATGGTAGGCGTATATGCCCGCCATTATTATGTAAGCGCATAAAGGATGATGTTTGTTGGGATAATGCCGAACTCCCATGGCGACGCAGTCCATTTTGGTTGGTGCTCCGGGTCTGCGTCCAACGATTGTTATACCTGCGTCTGGGAAGTGAACTGGGACGCTTGAACTACAAGTTCCTGCTCTGTGTCGTGTTGGCTCTTCTCTTGAACGACGTTACCAATGCAAGAGCTGTGCATGTGGAGGATTGCAGCTGGCTTAAAGCCAAGCTGTGCCGTCGTCTCGTCAAACTAGAAGTGGCCGAGACAAGTTCACTCCCAGCAGTGCAGATAGCAAGCCTTCGTCTAACCCATAACCTGGCGCCCCTTTTTGAACAGTACCTCGGGAATGCTGATATTAAGATTAAGGAGCAATGGGAGGCATTCAAGAGAGCTGTTCAGCGAAAGATACCACTGTTGCCGCTCTACGCCCAGCCGAGAGATACGTCCTTGAGTCTGCCGAACAGTATGTCATACCTGCAAAATTCCCTACAAGCGACTCGGAGCGACACCCGCAGAAGCCAAGGCATAGACTCGGCAGTTTTGGCTGAAAGGGCCCGAGGAAATACTACGGAGCAATTTGCGTCCTTGTCAGTAGAATATTCCTCTCTTACAGATCTAGAATCTCGATTGCGGTCTGGCTCACGGGAAATTCCCACTTCCAACCTCAAAAGCCAGGAGCTTTGCATTGACATTGCTCAACGGATTAACCGATACATCAGTTCTGTTGGAAATGCTTATAATGGAGACCAGGAGCAGCTGAGTGAATTCATTTTGAACCTATTTGAGTTATGGGTTTATATGGATAAATGTGCTCTTGGTGCATATCCATTGCTTGGGGAATATCACCCTGGCTTCCGCCCAGAGCTGCTGGATGTGTTACAGTTATCTAGGTTCACCGATCTAGAGCGTTTACAAGAAATCCAAAGATACATTCATACGCGCTGCACTGGCGCGTCGGAAAGAGATATGACTATCTTCACAGATCCATCCCCGGAATGCTTTGCGGATCGATATCTGAGAACTTCCATGGGAAGAGATCTAGTCCACTTGCAGGACCAAATCGAAGCCGCATCAGTGGCCTCCCGACATAGGAAAGAAGTAGAATTGACAAAAGTAAATCATGAATTTCAAGCTTTCTCCGAACAGATCTCGCGGAGCTCGTGCACCCAACGGAGACACCCCGATGGAACCCATGACATCCGTGGATGCGATCACTGCCTCCATATTCGTCGTCGTCGCCGGCTGAGAATCAGTGTTCACGAGGACTTCCTGCCCACGGGCAACAGAATAGCTGAGAAACGGGCTATTGTGTTTGAACTGGCAATCCCCAAGGCCTTCTCTGCGTACCGCGGCACTACGTGGAATATCATAAATTTACTTGGTCCTCAAGGAGAATTAACAAAAACGGAAGCGCCCCGCCTTTTACTAGAAGACTATACCCAGCTTGCCAACTATAAGAGGATCGTTCAATGTCAGGGGCGATTTACTTTAGCCTCCTACACAAAGTCGTACCTAGGTACACACTACAAGTGGAGGAAGTTGCCAGCGGCTGCAAAAAAGGTGCTGCTTCCACAAGGCCTCTCATTCCGGTACTATGATGCAGAAAGGCGATTATGGGGAAAGGATAGGGCCCCGTTTACACTTTCTCACCATTTTACTCTTTCTCTTCCCCCAAATCATCCATTCGCTAGTCTCTACTCGTCGTCCAGCTTTGCCCCTGAGGGCCCGGGACCCTCATCATACGAAGCAATTGCAAATGTCCGAGACTGCCCTTCCACCACAACTGTTCATGAGTTCATGGCACACCAAGCCCTGATGGCCGGAAAGTACCGTCGATGGATTTCCATTCTCATTGAGCTTGGCTCTTCGAATATTAACCTTAGCTCATTAGAGACGATGATTTTGGTGCGTCATTTAGCATTACAGGCTGGCCCTGGGACACCAAATGATGCCCTGCGAATCACACATTCAGTGTTCAGAGAAGTTGGATTCTGTAAGAGACTCATCGAACAAATCCATCAGCATCTCTCTATTATCACGCCAAATTGGCGGGAGACTATCTATATGGAGACAATCCTTACCTTGACTATTCAACTCTGTAATCTTGGGTGTTCTGAAACATCTACAGAAGTCAACAATTTACTCCTCCGAATCCGGAGTATCACACTTCAGTGGATCAATCACCTGCGTAATGAGGCTCGAAATGCTTCAGAGGTGGATGTTGCGGAAAGGGCGGCTCGTTATTGCTTCCTAGCTGCACTACTTTGTCGACGTACCTTCTCCATTCACTGTGATACCCATATCCCTCTGGATATGAAAAGCGCTCAGTGTTTTATTGAAGCGACCCTCGCCCTCCAGGAAAGTCTAGTTGTGGACATAACCAAATTTAGTAACCTGACGCGCAGCATGTTGGTACGTGACATAAAGATGTCCGCTAGGCTTCGCCAAATCATCCAAGACACGATTAAGATACACCCCAGCAGCCTCAATTGCGTTCTTGATAAGGTATGGCCAAGTAGCTCCGGTAGAGTGTACACCACCTGGGAGCATTTGGAGCATCCATATGACGGTTGGGTTACCGTCACAGCAAAGGGAACTGAGCAAATGGTACCGCAAGCTTTCCATTTTCACCTGTTAGAGGGCCATCTTTTGGTAGATGGGAAAGCTCTGGGGAAGCTACCCGCTGACATTCGCGACTCGGAGACTCTTAAAGAGCTTTTTGGAAACCAACGTCTGATTGCTTTCCCTTCGAACATGCCTGGGATGAATTATACCCTGGGTCTCCACAAGGAAGGGCACCAGATTCACTTAGGATATCGAAACAAGAACCTAGTTATTCGGGCCTGGAAGGGTGGCAGAACCTTTGAACTTATTCCGCGTTCAGTGTTTGAGAGAAAAGGTAGACTTGATTTGCCTGTTCCTTTAGTCTTCGACTGCGTACATTGGGTCGATCTAAACTCAGGTATCCTCGAGGCTAGACGTATGCCTGCCATTTGGAGAGAAAGACCTTCAAATTGGAAAATTAATATCCGAACACGCCGAGCACAACGAGGGAGATCTTTGCTGGTTGATCCCCATTCCCAACTAGCCACCTCAATTGCTAAAATATTCCGTCATTTTGAACATCCCTCGATGCTGACGATATACCAGCCAGCTACAAAAACTCTTTCTATTGAGTTGAAACGCATGAACTTGGGATTCTATGTGAATAAACGACAGCTTTTGCAATGCAAGCAGTTGGCAGCTGAAGTGGATCCAAACCAAGAAGCTGGCACTCTGTACGGACTCCAAAGTATGCTGGTGCTTCGAAATGTCTACAATCGTTCGCAGCGGAGTATCATTACGCCTCTGGGGAAGCTTGAGTACGAGCGTCATGGGATCCATGTCTTAGTGCGCAAAGGGAACAATGGAGACTATGGAAGGTATATAATTGACGATGTCCTTGGTCGATTGCATGGACCTGTAGAGCCATTGATGCTGTATACACTGGCTCAGCTTCACGCATTCACGTCGTTTACTATCCCTGATCCCCTAACAGGACGTACAGGAACAGAGGAAGCACTATCTTACTTGAGATCGGGTTATTCTCAGCCGTGGACCCCTCTCAGCCAGGGTAATATCGATCTCCTGCATGAAATGTCGTGTCTTACCCCACATCGGGAGTATTATCCCCGGGGCGTCAAGCGACAACAGGTTGTCAAGTGGGATCACAATCTTACAGTGTCAATTCAACACGAGGCATATCAGCCGGTTATACAGTCAATTCTTACCAAGTCTCAGAGGCTTTCGCTGTTTCACGTACAAGCAGCGCCTCCCTTGATTGTTGCAGCAAAGAGCGATAGGCATCTACAAGAAAGGGCCTGCTGGCGCCGGTGCCTTTATGAGCGTATAGATGCATCATGCGAAGATATGATCGAAGTGCTAGACGTAATATATACCTCTCGTTTCAGATATTGCTCATCTAAGCAATCCTTGCGCGTTCGCGAAATCATCACCCTGCTCAAAGAGCGGCCAGCAAAAATCCACACTGCACACAAGCTTTCTAGCATTTTGAAGGAGTGGTCATACATAGGTGGCTTTGCGGACGTTTTCACTTCATATAGCCTTGAGGGGACGCTATTTATTGATTTTGCAGCTGAATGGGGGAAACTGGTCCGCCTCTGTATTGATTCCGAGGCGAACAATTCCCGTTCCCTGATGTTTTGCCTTGGCTTGATGGCTTATGGAGATGGTGTCGACTTGGATGCGATCCGCGTCTTAGCTGCTTTCTCCATACTGGATGACCTTAAGCAGTTATCGTTGCCCATGTATCCGTCATTTGAGAATTTTTGTGACCGAGGGCGTCCTGACTTCGATTCAGTCCTGGCATTGGTACATCCCTTTTGTACAAAATTCAAGGACCCGACTCCACGTAAGAAGAAAGCCAAACAAGCCCAGAAGGCTGCCGAAGTTGCTCGGATCCAACTTGCGAAGGAGAATCACGACATAAAATGCGCAACCGAAAGTAACGACTTCGTTTCCTTTATCTTACAACAGTGGCCTTGCGCTGAACCTTCGAAAGGTAAGTTTTCTGCCTCATTTCTCAACGTCGCTGGGGCTCTAGAGGCAGTCAGCCACGATTGGTTGCGACGGTACAAGAACATGAGACTCGCGGCCTATATAAACGATGTCCAAAAAGTCTTAAATGCCCACAGCGCCAAGAAAAACAACATTGGAGATCCCCCAGTTACATCGCAGCCTGTCGTGTTCATATCTCAATGCCTGAGTTCCCGCACTGCCGCCCTGAAGCTCGGACAGGATCTTATCACCAAATCTGGTCCAAAATTAGAATCGAATTCAAACTTTTCTTCCCAGCGCGATGAAGGGGGAATTATAAATTCAGCCAGTCACCAACTGAATGAATTTAGTCGGAAACTTCTATCAAAGTGGAAAGCGGCATGGACACCAGAGATCAGTGAGATTGAGCAGATAGTGCACAAGATTGCCTACTCAGACTGTTCTGTTAGGTCTAGCTATGGTGAGGATCTGCAGCTGAGCATTACTGCACTGAAGGAAAAAGGTCAGGAGCCAGAGATATCATACCAATCAGACATACCTTATCATGAGGGAATGGCAAGATGTGATGCCGACATTAGGAAAGCGCAGGCGATTGTGGACCAGTATTACCGCCAGATCTGCGACGCTTTTACAGCTGGGGACCCGAGGTTCATTTGGTTACAAAAAGGAAATCTATGGCCATGTACCACCCCAATAACCATCCTACAGCAACTTCGATCAGTTTCTTCTACGAAATTTGGACCGAACATGAAGGAAGCTCTGTTATCATACGGGATGGCAATAGTCAAATTGCAGCGGTTCATTCGCATAAAAGAGTTTTTTGCTAGACGGGATAAAAGCAGACTAGATCAGGAACACTGCCAATCATCCCATTCTACATGGGATTACATAGCATTTCCTGACTGGGTCCTTCTTGAAATCGATTCCAACATACAGATACGCCAAGAGCAAGTGACGGTAGCCCTCGAGATGGTGTCTCCAGCCTCAGGGTCCAACACAGTTTTGCAGATGAATATGGGACAAGGCAAAACATCAGTAATCATGCCAATGGTGGCAGCTGCCCTGGCTGATGGCGATATTCTTGCCAGGCTTCTAGTACCGAAGGCACTCACAACTCAGACCGCACAAATCCTACAGGCTCGTCTGGGGGGGCTTGTTGGTAGAAGTCTTGTCTATATTCCTTTCTCACGACGTACCCCAATAACTTCGAGCGTGATTGGGGAATATCGTGCCCTTCAAGAGAACATGCTTGGTGAATCGGGTATTGTTCTAGGGAATCCTGAACATACCTTATCATTTAAGCTAAGTGGACGGCAGCTTGTTTCAGATTTGAAGATTCCTCAAGCTGTTGAGATGGTGGAAATTCAAGACTGGATCGACCGTGTGGCCCATGATATCCTCGATGAATGTGACTTTACATTGGCTGTAAAAACACAGCTCATCTACCCAGGTGGCTCACAGCTTGCTGTCGATGGACACCCGGACCGCTGGGAAGTCATCATGGCTGTACTAGCGTTGGTAGCCCAACATCTCAGTGATTTAGCGCGAGAGCTCCCGCATAGTATTGACATAGTTGAAAGAGCCACCTCTGCGTTTCCAATTGCACATCTTCTAAGGGAGGATGCGGAGACTGCTCTTATCGAGCGAGTTGTTAAGGATGTCTGTTCCGGTCAAAGCGCTATTCTTCCGATCCAAGATTGCAAGGATTTTGAAGTAGAGGCAATTCGACAGTTCATCTCCCGACAAAGTGTTGGTAGAGCGATTGTCGAACATATCAATGGTCTATTTCGGGATATGCCAAAAGTCCGCAAGAGGGTCTACCTGCTTCGTGGAATTTTGGTGCATCGTATCTTACTGCTTTGTCTTAAGAAAAGATGGAATGTTCAGTATGGTCTCCACCCAAACCGAGATCCTATGGCTGTCCCTTTCCATGCAAAGGGTGTCCCCTCCGACCACGCAGAATGGGGTCATCCAGACGTTGCGATCTTGTTCACATGCCTTGCGTTCTATCATGAGGGCTTAACCCAGGAGCAATGCCGACGGTCCATCCAGACTATTCTCAAATCAGATGATCCTGCTCTAGCGTATGATCGTTTGACACAAGGATCAGGGACAACCTTTCCGGAAGCCCTACGACATTGGAATTTGATTAATATTGATGATCACGGCCAGGTTGCAGAGATTTGGTATCATCTACGCTTCTCGATAACAGCTATTAACTATTTCCTGAAAACATTAGTTTTTCCCATCCATGCCAAGCAGTTCTCTATTAAGCTACAAACCTCAGGATGGGACGTGCCTCTTTTCAACAATTCATCTACGCTGTATCAGGACCAGCAAAAGAAACGTTCTGGATTGACAACTGGATTCAGCGGAACAAATGATAACCGCAGGCTTCTCCCATTGACAATCCAGCAGCGTGATCTACCGGAACTCTTACACACTAATGCTGAGGTTCTCACGTATTTGCTTCAGAAGAGAAATCGGGGATATAGACATGCTGCAGTCGATGGGAGACGTCTTACCGAGGCAGAACTTCTGAAGAATCTGACGAGGAGTGGAATCCGGATTCTTATCGATGCAGGAGCTTATATTCTAGAGATGGACAACCGGACTCTCGTCAGAACTTGGCTAGACCAGGATATCGAGGTCCAGGCAGCAGTCTACTTCGGAGGCGACAATCAAGCTTGGGTTCAATATAGAACAGGGAAAACGGTGCCACTTTTTGCTACTCCTTTCGCTGATAATTTAAAGGGTTGCCTCGTTTATCTGGATGAGTCCCATACAAGAGGCACTGACCTAAAATTGCCCGCCGATGCGAGAGGTGCCTTGACCTTAGGGCTGAACCAGACAAAGGACCATACCGTGCAGGGTAAGAGCTCACTTTCTCTTTTGCTTTCCCTTCCCTTTGTCGTTTCCCATCAAAGTTACAATGTAGATTCAATCTAATATTTATACTTAGCGGCCATGAGACTCCGCCAGTTGGGTCAAACACAATCTGTTGTCTTTATCGCGCCGCCGGAGGTTCATCAGAATATTTTAGACATTTGCCAGAAAGGAAGAGGCGATATGATTGATTCATCAGATGTAGTTTACTGGCTTCTTTTCCAGACTTGCGCTAACAACAGAGAGCTACAACCCCTCTTCTATGCTCAAGGAGTTGATTTCTGTCGTCGTATTCAAGCGGCAGTACAATATCCCAAGTTTCTCAGCGACCCCCTTCACCAGGAAGCCTATGTTGGTGTTCTACAGCAGCCCGAACAACAAACGCTGGAACAGCTATACAAGCCACAAATACTCGACATCGATGTCAAAGGACCTACGACCGGAGCCAATTCTTTCCCATTCAGTGGAAGGGTTGGCGAATTTATGCAGGTGCTCCGCCAACAACACGAGCATTCCAAGCTTATTCAAAATTCAATTATCAGTTCAGCGTTAGAAGAGGTCGAGCAGGAGCGGGAGGTTGCCTACGAGATCGAAGAGGAACGAGAGATTCAACGACCACGGCGGCTGGAGGCTCTCCGGTTTCATGGGTTACATCCATCTTTGTCCCGTTTTGCAAAAACCGGGGTTCTGCAACGGTCTGGGGTTGTCTCAGCTGCCAGTGTGCTCTACACAACAAACTTGGGATTGAAATACGGAAGCGAAGTGGCTGATCTCCTTCCTCGCCTGTGCGTTTCTTCTGAGTTCACGAAGACGGTCAAGCTGAAACCCGGCGAGAAACGGGATGAGTTTATGGTAAAGGAGCTTTCGCCCTACCATCTGTGCATGCTGGCTAATTACTTTTGATAGCGACCTGTCACCTGGTTATTATGTAATATTGCAACAGAGGCTATCATCATAGTTACCCCAGAGGAGGCGGAGGAATTGATTCCTATCCTTCGCACGACTCCGGCGCCATCGATGCATCTCATAACATACGCAGCACCAGTGATGAAGCGTATGCTCCACTTTGACCACCTAGATTATTATGCAATCCCTGCCTTCCCTGCACCGTGGGCTATACCCGACTGGCTTTCCCTTGAGGTCGGGATCTTCGCAGGGAAGCTATATTTTGCATACACAGACTATGCTTATCTAGTGCAAAAGATGCAGCCAGGACCAGGAGCACAGAACTCCAATGGGATCCTTAGCACAAGGCGGACAGCACAATCGAGCTTTCTGGAGGAATGGTTAGTCCTGCGTCGTCAGGGCCAGGATATTTCACATACGCCCATGGGCTATTTGTGTATGAATAGGTCACTTTCTATTGACCACCCATTCTTTGCGACCGCAGGCATACAGAATACCGAGCCTATCTTCCACTCATCTGGATACACAGTGGGGAGCGAAGAGGAGGAGGATGAGGAATACTATGAGAGCGAGGAAGAAGAGACTGGCCTTTTAGAGACCGAAGGCGGTGATCAGCTTTTATAAAGATTGATATCCTGGATTATTTACGGAGGGGATTGTTCTTAATATCAAGATCCTATGCCATGCATCTATGCGATGACCGCTCGCCGTAGTTAGTGACCGACGACGTGAACGCTGACTATCGGGGTTTGACGAAAGAGCGGTATGACGATCTTCTGCCGCTTACTCCGTACAATAAACCGATTGGCAGAGATATATTCGATCCACGTTCATTGGATCCCATGCAGTCACGAAAAGATGTTGCATCTGAGCAGCTAAGCGATCAATCCAAAAAACTATCCGAGTGAAGTATGGCCTCCGCGACAGTATCTAAGTCCCAGAGGTTATCTTCCTCCTTTCTGGTGTCCTTCCGTTCAAAATCGAGGGGCCAATGTTTGACGGAGGTGTCCTTGTTGACTGTGCATTGAATGAATGAGCTGTATATGTCAGGATCCGGGTAGATGCAATGTTTGGAGAGTATGTTAATGCAGACCACAGAGTACGTAGAGTGATATCCTACCTTCTGTTTCCAAACATATCTATTTTTAACAACTTAAGATCTTATGACAATTCGCCCTAACGATGCTTGATATCGATCTGCAGTCCCTTGTTGTAGTGGGCCGCATCCAGATTAGCCGAAGGGATTCGACAAATCACACTCACACGCACACGTGTATATATTCTACTGTAGTACATTCGACAGGTTCTTATCGTAGTGAATTTCACGAAAGCAAACCCTTGACCCTATGTATCGGTATGACTCGCTATGCGACGTGGCGTAGCCTTGCGCTGCTGTTTCTGGGTGAGTATCTGATAGTGCGTCCTGGTATTGGCAAATACAACGAGGCAGGAACTGGTATGGAACTGAATTAGATCTTCATGGTCAACAATATGCAAGATTCGTAACACAAACTTGGATTCACCCCGAGATACACCGAGGAATCCAAGCTACCGTGAGATCGGCGGTTCCTACGATTTCCATATAGTGGCCAGAGCTGCGATGTTCTTGGGAGCAGTTGTTTTGATGATTCTTCCAGATGCGGTTAGCCTAACCTATTGCGGTATAGCGCCACTACAAGCCCTGAGGCACCATTCTTTTTTTTTGGAAATCTCTGCGCCGCAACTGCCTCGATTCATCAATCGACCAGGTGCAAAAGGCCGAAAGCAAATAAAAAAAAGGAATTAATTCACTTACTATTTTTCCTTCAAGCGGTGTCTTTCCACATTGCTGTATTGGTAGTAGAATACAGGGAAACTGGGATTGTATCAATGATAGCCCCACATATTGCCATCAACAAACATTAAAATTCATCCCAACTGCCACTACGGGTTCGCATTTTCACCAGGCAATAAGTTGCAATTTCTTCGAGATATAGAGACTTAGCCGTTATGGACGGTCCCGGAAACAACGATGGTGCGCAGCCGTACGCAGCCATGGCTGGGAAGCTGGACCCCAAGCTCCTGCAAGCCGTCAAGGTGATGGGGTTTGACTATATGACACCTGTCCAACACCGCGTGTTAACAGAGCTTCCAAGCTGGCGCAGTGACTGCCTGGTCCAGGCCAAGACTGGCACAGGCAAAACCCTTGCCTTTTTGCTACCTACATTGCACTGTTTAGTTCAAGGCCATTCGGCTCCACCAAGAGGCCAGGTCGCGATCTTGATCATCACGCCAACACGAGAGCTTGCTCAGCAAATTGCAAAGTCATGCGATCAGCTTACCTCGCAATTGGCGACACCTCGTGAGTGCCACATTGCAGTGGGTGGAACGGCTCGGGCATCTGCTCTGTCGCGTTTCATGAAGGGAGCACCGTCCATCCTTGTAGCAACTCCAGGACGCCTGAAGGATTACCTGTCAGAACCCTCTACTGCTGAAAAGTTGTCGAACATTCAAACGCTGATTTTGGATGAAGCCGACACGATGCTTGAGAGTGGCTTCCTCGCTGATGTGAAGCGAATCCTCCAACTCATTCCACCAAAGAGCACTGGCTGGCAAGGTATGTGCTTCTCAGCCACTGTGCCACCCAAAGTCAAGGATGTGGTTAGTGTAGTGTTGAAGCCAGGCTATACGAGCATTTCGACAATTGAAAAGAATGAAGCGCCAACGCATGAGAGAGTACCCCAGTACCACGTGTTGATACCGTCCGTGGCAGACACCTTTACTACGCTTGCCTCCCTTCTCAATCTTGAAATCAAGACCAGCTCTAAAATCATTGTCTTCGGGGTCACGGCAAACATGGTTGCTCTTTTCGCTGCAGCCTTTTCTCAAGGCTTGACGCCTTTGAGGGTGTTTGAAATCCACTCGAGGCTGAGCCAGAGCGCTCGCACGAAAACTACGGCTCAATTCAAGGAGGCAGCAACAGGCATCATGTTCGCCTCAGATGTTATTGGTCGTGGCATGGATTTCCCGAATGTCGACTTGGTCATTCAGGTTGGTCTGCCATCGAACGGCGAACAGTACGTTCATCGTGTCGGTCGTACAGCCCGCGCGGGCAATGATGGCCGTGCTATCATCCTCCTCACCGAAGCCGAGTCTTTCTTCATGAAGGTCAACCGTCACTTGCCCATCCAGCCCCATCCCCAGACTGACACGATCAACGCGGGCGCTTCCTTATGCGCCGATGCCGTCACTCAGGCCATGTACAGTATTGGCGAGGACACAAAGCAACGTGCTTACTCGTCCTACATAGGTTTCTTTGCTGGATCGGGTCTCCTGAAGCAGCTTCGTATGGACAAACCCGGCCTTGTTCAACTCGCCAACGAGTTGGCCATAAAAGGCATGGGATGTCCTGAGCCTCCACCAATGGATAAAAAGATCATTGGCAAGATGGGGTTGAAGGGTGTACCTGGATTTAACTATGCAAGTGGAAATGACTTGAATGGAGACCGTCCAGCTAGACCACGCGGCCGCCCTGGGAATAAGACTCGTGATGTATTAAGTCCCGGAGCTGGTCAAGGAGACCGCAGAGGTTCAGTCTCGAAGAAACGTGGAGGAGGTCGCGGTGGAGGGCGTGGGGGACGTGGAGGGCGTGGCGGGAAGCCGAAAGCAGCATAGGTTTTTTATAGTTAGAAGCTCGTCTGTGCCTTTTTCTTCTCTAGTTGTATCTGCATATCGGCAAGCATTATTCTTTAAGGATCACATAATAGAACTCCAGACGACTGTTGTTTTCCCGTGCACACAACTTCATTTCCTTGCGAGATCTCTAAGCCGAAATAGCCAACTAATATTCCCGTCGCTCTTCCGCACCCATGGTGTTGCAAAGGCCCTACTAGCAGCCATTCTCGGTGTCAATTCCGTAGGTTCTCCAAACCTGGTTTATATACCACTTTAGAAGTTATACTCGAACGATGACTCATCTCATCAGCACTTCAGAGCAATCCTGTTTCTTCTAGTGGTCCACCTTATGCATACACGTAGGTTCGTACGTCTACCCCCACATCTAATGGTACCATCACAGTACATGGAACATGAAGCTCCCATATCACTAAACTAGAGGCGTGTCTTCCGCCAGTAAAAGGTTATCCCATATGAGGCCAAGTTCTGAAAATGGCGGCTGCGAGACATCGTTTCTTGCAGCGAGATCCTGAGGCGGTGGATCATCGCAATATGGGAAGAGACAATTCGCTTCAGATATAGACATCAGTGCGGCTTCCTGCCTCAAGCTTGTCACCCATTTTGGATTATCGGCATATGTCTGATCAAAAGGGTCGTTGCTTCCATATGCTATCTCACGAGCTTTGTCTTGAACCATCTGATCGGTAATGTGATTACCCACGGCAGCCTGCTCGCGTAGATACACGATAAGGTCGCGTCTGAGGTTTACATAGCGGCTTAGGGCATTGGGGATATCATTGATGAAAGGCAGGACTTCGTTCCCCCCCGTATCCAGAGCATCCGTTGTTTTCCAAGGGTCCATGGTTTGCCGTTCATGCCCCACGAGGTAAGGGGGCATGGCATTTTCCACCAACTTGGTAACACCAGGCTCAAATCCCCAGCAACCCTTCCATTGAACCATGTCTGCACCCTTCTTAAAGTGGTCTGCGACATGATCTACTCTCTCTGGCCATGTGTCAAATCGTGCATTGCAGAATCCACAGCGAGACTTAATGTGCGTTAGAGACTCTCGCCACTGCTCCATCGAAGGGTGATAGTCGACATAGTGTGTGAGTTTTAGGTGCTGTCGAAGATGATCCTTTCGAGTAAATGTTCGTTGCTCTGATGACTTCTCTCGACAGGCGAGGTAATCATGGGTTTCGAGATGGTCGCAGTCTACGTCTGGGGCCTGGCAGAAGACACAGACGCGGGTACCATCAACTTCGATAAGTCCGCCTTGGGGTGCGCAAGCCCATCGATCCACTGGTAAATGAAGAGCCTTCTCATGCCGCTGCCAGTCGTATTTGGTATTGAATGTATCGGAACAGAACGTGCATTGATACGGTCGCTGTCCCTTCGAGTTTCGTTTGTTCTTGGCCTCGTTCGGATGTGGAGGCTTCCGACGACGACGACGAGGCCTTATATTGACGACAGGGGTGGGTGGTCTTTGGGAAGGCCGATTTGATCGATTCAACGAGATGTCAGAGCTAGAGGACTGACTGTGTTCGTAGCTGCTGATTGAAGGTACCCCTACCACGAACGAAGCGCTGGAACTATTGCTTGACACGGCATCCCTGTGGGCCGGATATGTGACGTTGCCGTCAGAAGTATATGGGATATCTTCCAGAGCTCGCAAAATGTCGCATGTCTCAGCCGGTTCACTTTCTGGGGGCGAGTTTTGCCACCGCTCAAGAGGTGATAGTAGAGAATTATCGGCGTGGTGTGTCTCTGTTGTAAGTTTACTACCGACCACTCTGCGCCGGCGTGCATTGGTGAACCAATTCGAGATCTGGGTGACGTCTAACCCCGTCTCACACTTCAGTTGTTCCTTTTCTTGCTCGGTAGGATACGGATAATCCTGGTGTTGGTTGAGCCATGATCGCATGATACTCACTGCAGTTGTGGAAAATCGGCGGTTCTTTCTTCTAGCCCATCTCCTGCTGCTAGACCGTATGTTAGTGCTGACGGAAGGCTCTAGTTGAAGGCTTTCGCACGAAGAGCTCATGTGTGAATGCCGTTCAGATAATACATCCGAGGCTACCCTGTCAGAGAGCCCGGAATGGTCAAACGTCGGCAAGTCAGGAAAATCCTCACTCAAGGGGTTTTGGTAGGCATAGTTTAGATCCCCGTATGGCCCGAGCAGTTCCGTCGGTAGGTGCGACTGTATACTTGATCCTTGAGACGCCACCTCAGGCTGTAGCTCATTGAACGAGCCATGGCTTGAAGGTCGGCCGGAATGTGCCAGTATCTCCTCTTGGAACAGTCGGTAGTCTATTTCACTGACCAGGGCATCGTTCGAGCTTAGAGGTGGGAGCAACAAAACATCTTCGTAGTAATGGGGCGTGTCATTGTGAGCGTGCTCCATCCGAGTATGGAAAAGCTGGAAGATACTCCGCACAACAGCCAGTCCTTTTCTTGATCAGAACTCGTTGAACAGAATCAAAGCTCAGGACCTACATACCCAGCGTGTGGTTGAACAATAATCCTGGATCGCTGGGTGGTAGGCTGGTAGCCACAAAAGCTTTGAAAAGAAAACTCAACTGGAGGCCGTTAATACTGTACACGACGGATTCCGTGGGTCTTTTACGCCCTTTAATTGACGGGGTTTTTGGCTCCACAGTTGCTCGGCTTACTCTAGTTGGGCTGTAGAGCGTTAACCGTGGATCGGATCTAACAGACAATCCTAATTTTCTGCCAGACTTATGTAGATTGCTGACCATTCACACATGACAAATCCCATGACCCAGCAAGCAGTCTTCTGTATATGGAAGGCGGTAGAGCGGCTACAGTCTTGACCGCCTGATCCCATGACGAGACTGCGCCCTGTGTCATTGTAGAGTCTCCACATCCTCGGTGATCCTCTCGCCGTAACCCTTTAGCAGATGCTTGCAGCGAGTCTTGAGTCATTCCACCGATGGGGCTCGCAGGTATGGTTCTTGGGCAGCAGGTAGCGAGCAGCCAATACCACTCGCCACCATCGAAAGACCATTGTTTCTTCCCACCCTAGCCTGCTCAGGTTAATCTGCATGACTAATACGCTGTGGTCAAGACGACCTCGACCGAGACCTTAATGATCGGATGTATCCCGAGTGTACAAACCTGAATTTTTCGTTCGACTGCTTCTTGCGTTGTACAATACCTCTCGTTGGCTTCTCCACCTGGGGACACCTGTCAAGCCGTTAAGCTGATTCAATATATCCCCGAAGGTTCACTATATCGGAACAATGGCAACAATCACCCAGTCAGTTTCTACAGCAGTCGAGTTGCAGGAGCGCAATCAGGTTGGAGGGAGACTTACCAAGCATACTGGGGATCCGACACCACCGGAGAATTCAGATGAGATATTACAGGCCTCGCTCGCAGCGGACGCCGAGGTTCCTGATGGGGGCTACGGCTGGGTAGTCATTTCTGCATGCGCAGTAATTACCTGGTGGTTCATTGGAACCTCCTATTGCTGGGGTGTCCTGCAGGCGGCATTGGTTAGGGAAGGGCTATCGTCGTCTTCTACCCTGGCTTTCATCGGCTCGCTTGCCACAGCATGTATTTCCTTTTTGGGCATAATCAACGCCAATATCATCCGGAGATTAGGCACTAGGATCTCGGCCGTACTCGGTATCTTCTTGCTCGGCCTGGGACAGGTTCTCAGTGGCTTCGCCACCAAGAATGTAGGTGGCTTGTTTGCGACTGCCGGTGTTCTCTTCGGCCTTGGAGTCAGGTAAGCAAGTCGTTTTCTGCTCCCCGTATTATCCAGAGAGCTAAATCGCGATAGCATTTGTTTCATGGTGGTCTCTGCGATCCCTGCGCAGTATTTTAGAGCAAAGCGCGGTATCGCTAACGGGATAGTTTACGCCGGAGGGGGCCTCGGGGGTACCGTCATTAGTTTCATCATGAACGCCTTGCTTGGTAAGGTGGGAATAGCGTGGACCTTCAGGATCATTGGTTTTATGATCTGGGCTACGGGCCTACCAGCAGCGTGCTTCATTAAAGAGCGGGTCCCAATTCGGCGCACGCAATTTGTGGAATGGTAAGTTCCTCTCGAGGCTTTTGGGACATGCCTAATGCCGGGCTCTGTTTTTAATTCTCTCGCAGGCGACTCTTCCGTGACATTCGATTTTCCTTGCTGTTCGCAGCCGGCGCGATTGCAACTTTCCCGCTTCTTGTTCCCCCTTTCTTCCTTCCGTTATACACTGAATCGATGGGAATGACCTCGGGAGCAGGCGCAGGAGTAGTAGCTGCATTCAACTTCTCCTCTGCGGTGGGAAGGCTGATGTGCGGCTTCTGTAGTGACCGGTTGGGGCCGCTGAACACCCTTTTCATGTCTCTTTTGCTCAGCGCCCTCAGCATCCTGGTCATTTGGCCTGTTTCGACGTCCATCGGCCCATTAATTGTCTTCGTCATTATTAATGGAATGGCCAATGGTGGGTTCTTTTCGACCATGCCGACGGTCGTTGGAAATGTATTTGGCTCCGCCCGAGTAGGCGTCGCAATGGGCATGATCGTGACCAGCTGGGCTGGAGGTTATTTGATGGTACGTTCCGCCTCCCTTGCTATTGTTTCAGCTATGTGCCCCATGTCCATGCGTTTGCAGACGTTGACGGTCCCATGCAGGGCGCTCCAATTGCTGGGTATATCTTAAACGCGTCTGGCGGAGAGGATGCTGGTATTGGAGCCTATCGTCCGGCCATATTCTATGCAGGAGGCATGACCCTGAGTGCATCTTTGTTAGCCATGCTCATTCGTCTCAAAACCGATGCACAGCCGTTCAAGAAGCTCTGATAAGGATGGGGTATACCGGTTTATATATAGTGTTGCAGCTTCTGGGGAGTCGAGGTATGTCTTGGTTGTCCCCATTAAGAGTTACATGGCGTCTTGGTACCTCTCATTATGCTGTAGCGTCAGCAATGCGTGTCTGGTCTCCTGGAAAGCTATAGAGGCTGAGGGTACGAGAATGCTGAAGCATACCTCTACGAGATTATTAAGGGCCCTTGCTTTCTGAACTATCACTTAAGCAATGGACCATCAAACACTCCTTGAATGTCTGGCCGTCAAAGATAGCTCTGTATTATAGTCCGTTTTTCTACTGTTTGAGTCTCATAATGGCCGAAAATTGACACTTTCCCCGAATCAACACTTCAATCAGGTTAACGATAGTTTTCAAGCTAGTCCTTCATTTGCCTATAGTATCACACGGTTGGACTAGCCAGTCAATCCTGCACCATGATCATTACCTCGGTACAGACACTTGGGCATGCCCTGCCCATCATAGTAACCTGCCACCGCTTGTACCACGCCGCGTCACGCTTCGTGATGGCGAATCCAAGTAGGGGACCAATGTAGAAGTTGCATCCACAGCTTTCTCCATTCGTCCGAAGAGTAGCTAGTGTGACCTAGACACTTATCAACGAATACTTTCTCGATACCGACTCGTCCTGAGCCGTAGTGGGTCGGCTAAATGATCCACCCCTCTCGCGATACTCGGGAGTACGCAGCATATACCAGAACGCCGACTTTGGAGAAGCCATGAAAGACAACACAAAAGGTTCTCAGAACCCCCCTTGACCGCTATGTACAAAATTTGCTTTTTCAATAAACAGACAGAGAACTATTCTCTCATATCGCTCAACCAAACTGCCGCCTTACCTAACAGCCCGGCGACGCAGGACTTCTTGTATATTTCAACATTCTTCTAAACGTTATCCATAGAAAATGTTCACCAAATCCTTCTTCACCCCCTTGGCTTCCTTGAGACACTCGTTGCGACCTCGCTACAATGTCTCACCACTCCTTCCTCCGCCCAACAATGTCCTTGTCCGGTATAGTTCCTACTCGCCGTTAGGCAAGTCCTCTTCGGATTCCCGCAAGAAAGTAACCGTTCAAACCCTTCAAAGCCTGCATAAAAGGGGTGAGCCCATCACAGTACTGACAGCCCACGATTTTCCAAGTGGCCACGTAGCCGATGCTGCCGGGATGGATGTGGTTCTTGTGGGAGATAGCCTGGCCATGGTGGCGTTAGGCATGGAGGATACAAACGAAGTGACGATGGAAGACATGCTGGTCCATTGCCGAAGCGTGTCTCGTGCTGTCAAACATGCCTTCACTGTGAGCTTTGCTTAACACAAGTCACTTGTATCCAACCTCGGACAGATCTCTGACGCCGAACAGATAGTAGACCTCCCCATGGGCTCCTACGAACTATCCCCTGAGCAGGCACTGCAGTCCGCTATTCGGATGGTCAAAGAAGGCGGCATGAAAGCCGTGAAGCTAGAAGGCGGAGAGGAAATGGCACCCACCATTCGGCGAATCACCCAGGCCGGGATCCCCGTCCTGGCACATATCGGACTAACGCCGCAACGACACCATTCCATCGGCGGGTTCAGGGTCCAGGGCAAGTCTGTCGCGAGCGCAGTAAAGGTAATGCGGGACGCCCTTGCCGTGCAGGAAGCCGGGGCGTTCATGGTTCTGGTTGAGGCTGTTCCAGGGGAGGTTGCTGCTTTGATAACGGAGAGGCTTCGGGTTCCGACAATCGGGATCGGGGCTGGGGTTGGCTGTTCGGGACAGGTGCTGGTGCAGGTGGATATGCTCGGTAACTTCCAGCCTGGGAGGTTTGTGCCTAAGTTTGTGAAGACTTATGCAGACGTTTGGGGAGAGTCGATTCGGGGTATTGAGCAGTTTAAGCGCGATGTTAAGAGTAGGGCTTTTCCTTCGCCTGAGTATACTTATCCAGTTTCTCAGCAGGAGCTGTCGGAGTTTCGGAGTGTTGTGGGTGAGGTAGTTGACCAGGGCAGTGTACAGAGTGAGTAGAGTCGGATGGTTATACGTCTGGTGAATCGTGCTACCACTTCTCTTGCTACTTTATACGATATCTGCTACACGTATTTAGGGAGGTAGAACAGCTTTGGCCCGGGCAAACACCCTGTGTGGAAGGCCCATAATTATGCAGAAATTCTATTTGGAGCAGTGGTTGAAGTCCAGGGTAACATGACAGTGGGCCTTTAGTGAACTCATATGCAAGCAACGAAAAGGCAGACAGTGAAAGAATTTACGTATCATCGTTGGAAATGATAACAATGGCCCGGTTGATTAATGACTCGTCCTCCTCCCGACCAAGCCGACAATATCGAGTGATAGTGGGCTGCACCATGAACAGGACAGTTCTACCCTTATCAGCAGGGTCAGACTTTTCCTTCGCTTCATGTTCAGCATAACAGTGCTTCTCCATGTGTGGAATGTCCTCGTGGAATACTCCCAGGGAATTGAAAGAGCCAAATTCGAAATCCATCTCATTAGTCCACATCCCAATGCAAAGGTCGCCGGCGATCTGATAGATATGGAGAAGCTCCTGGAACCGTCTAACCTTCGCCGAGTCAGAGACTGTTTTGAGCAATGGATGCAACAAAGCAGACTCGTGGAGGAAGTTGGACGCGAGTTGATACAGTCTACAGTCTCTCAACACCTTCATGTGCCTCGCAAGCAGTGGGTCAAACGTGGTTTCTGGCGTAAATGCATTTAGAAAGCGGACTGTGATTTGAAGCCACTTTCTCGAATTCCACTTGTCTCGTACTCCAGAAGGTTCAACTGTGATAGAATTAGCACCTGAATATATCGTTGGGCTTGCTAATATACCTTGTTTACACCATTGCCATAGGTTATGAACCTCAGTGCGGGAAGGAATAGAGACTTGGCCGTGCTCGCCAGTAACCTTCCCACCATCCTCATTGAGATAGAAAAATGGATCCTCAACCACATTCTGAAATAGGTCCTTGGCCACCAAAGCCTGCGTGAGAATGAGGGGGAGAAGCTCAACAATATTGGAAGGTAATCTGTCAACCAACGATGCCCAGTCATCTTGGAGACAATATCCCTCCAGACCGGCAATTAGCTTCCGCTGGTCTTTGTCGGACAGTTGCTCTTCTACAGTTGTCCACTCCACTGACCATTCTTGCAGACGCTCTTGTACGACGCCGAGCTTCTTACGAATTTCATCATCATCGTAAGAAAACCACGTAGCCCCACGCAAGTAGTACCCAGGACAATCGGCTGGATCGGGATACTGCGTGCCGTCTGTATCGTATGGCTGGGTCTTCTCCTTGGTAGGATCAGGATGTTTTGACTGGCGTCCATCATCGCGCGACGAGGCTTTATCCGCATCTTCTCGTTGAGTCTGAACTGGATCTTCCTCCGGAACAGAAGATTGGGGCGCAGGATCCGAAGACTCTCCTTCGATCTTTGTCTTCTTGGGCGGAGATGGTGGAGTTGCGGGAGCTTCCTCAGTGGGGGAAACGCTTCTTTTGTTCAGTCTCGCGGATCGTCTTTTTTTCTTGAGTCGTGACTTGCATTAATACAACGAACATTGTGTAATTTGGATGGTAAATTATCTTACCACGTCATGCTTCTCTTTCTGGATACTAAGCACTGGACTGGCTTCCTGATGCTCTGGTTCTGGGGTAGTCGGACGTTGAGCAGTCTCGGGGGGTGCAATGTGATCTTCCTGTGATGCCCCAACATCAGTTCTTTGAGCCCAGCTGAAGAATGAGTACGGCCAAATGGGCCAACTGAAAAAACGTGATGCAGAATAGGACCGCCATACTTCAGCTTGCTTGGTGTCGGAGCCCCTAGCTCCTCGCTCCCCTTCTTAGTCATGGCGAGCTTGATAAATAATGGAACGAGATCACCAGTTGATGGATGAGAACGTAGACAATCCTGGCAGGGGCACTTTGATGGGAATATAGAAGAATAAAAATGAACTGGGGTTGATTTGATATTCTCATGTTCGTCATGGGCGAATTCAGACATTCTTATACGTAAGACCTTCTGGAACGGCATGAGATCTGATAGTGAATGCTACCCTGCTAGCAGCCTAAAATGCCGCACCAAGGAGCCAGTCAAGTCGTTATTCTAAAAATAATGAGGTGATGCAAAGATCAAAAGACTTGACAAAAGTGCTTTGTGCAAGGTGTTCATTGCTAGACTTGCGCAGTTGGCTCGTTTGAACATCGTTTATTTTGCCACCACATTTCCTAACATAGTATGGCAGAGGTTATAATGATAGAACCGACCATTTATCTAGAATATCCTTCGCATAGATTGAAGGAGGTTGAGCTTAACTTGTAACGGGAGCTTGTGAAACAAGAATCTAGGCAAATATAGGCTACTCTCTCTGTTTCCCTGAGCAAACAAAAGCGTATAACAATCGTATGAAACCCCCAAGTTAATCACAAAACAGAGAGTGAAAGAGATAGAAGACACGTTACATCCTTTAAACATAAATACTGGGGTGCTTTCATGGTATGTGATTAGCCATGCTAGAGATTGATCACAAAGACTCTAGATTTAAACTAGGTGACATTACGGGGCAAACCCTGCATGATGAAGTTGGAGAAAGCGAAAGAAGTTAGGTTATAACTATCAGAAAAACGCCAAATTACATATTTTGAGCCCAAGTCTATTGAACAGATGAGGGAAAACCGTACCGTGATAGGACAATAGTGGTTAAAGAGCAATAAAGACCACCCCACAATAACAAAAAGGCTGCAACTTCAATGTCAAGCTATCGACTGGAAAACTCAAAGGTCTATTAGATTGTAAACACCATCTGCAATGACACAACTGTGTGTTAAGTAATTTCTCATTTTCTTTATTTCTGGGTGGCGCAGTCTACAAGATAAGGATGTAAAGCTTGTATGCTGCTTTTCTTGTATTAGGCACAAGGCTTTATATTTATCTGCACCATTCTGATGCTGTCCACCTTTAAATCGCATATATCTTGGGTAGAACAATACAGATTGTAGAAAAAATAGCGAGCCCAAAGTCTGCGATCAGTATTGCATAGGGGCTCCATTTAATTTGAAGTATCCCGGCTGTAGTGTTTGATAGACGCCACGAGGGTCGTATGTTGCTGCCACTTTCTGCAGACGGGCCTTGCTGTCTGCACCATATCCCGCAATGACATCTTGGAACTGACTGCCATAGTTCATATAGATATACTGATGGGCAATCCCACGCTTGTTTGCTTCCTCGGTGATGACTTTGTAGTAATCATAAATGAAAGCGTAGACGGCATTGTCATCGGCTGCGTTATCCCACCAAAAGGCCATGTTGAATAGAATCAGCGGCCCTTGTGATGTATCCAAACCCAGCGCATTGCCACCAAACTTGGTCATGTTGGCCAGCATCGGTTCTGTCAGTGCCTGGTAAATTATTACAGGGTTGCCACCCGAGATGTTGGCTGCTTGCGGCATGACCTCGAAGAAGTATTCAGCCGCCCAGCGGGCGAATGATTCATCCAGCTGCGTCGCAACCGTCCAGTACATCTCCCGGTGTCCGTCGGGATTTTGGTCATTGATATACTCGCAGTAGTCCACTAGGCTCCTGGACTCGGTCGTGTCGGCCAATGCAGGGATGTCTCTGTATGGCTTAAAGATGGGCGGGTCTGTTTCATTCAGCGCGTATGAGAGCTCTGCGGATGCGACAGTCACTCCTTGCATCCGAGCGAATGCTACGTACTGCTGGGCGTTGCCATCAGATGTTGCGCCACGGGCGACACTTGCGAAAGCACTGACGACCTCCGGGAGTCGAGCTTCCTCAAAGGCGCGCGTAGTCCCGCGCATTATCGAACTCGGGATTGTATACAGGTTGAACTTGGTAACGAGACCAAGGTTATTGCCTCCGCCACGGAGAGCCCAGTAGAGGTCCGAAAAGTGAGTTGCGCTAGCAGTCACAATATGGCCACTGGCTGTCACGATCTATGGGTCGTAAGTATGTGATGTTCACTTGCAGGATCAAAGGAATAAAGACTAAAGTAAAGGGCTCACCTCGAAGCTTTCCACATTATCCAACGCCCAGCCATATAAGTTTGAGTGAAAGGCAATGCCACCGCCAGTAACAAAACCTCCCACGCCGAGGCTACTCTCACGGCCGCCGACAACGGCCAGCCCATACGGTTCGAGTGCCTTGTAAACTTGGCCCCAGAGGTTTCCTGGGCCGACAGATGCGATCGAATGATCATCATTCAGGCTCACATCATTCATGTCAGTGAACCAGATAGTGATTCCCCCAGGGCTGCTGGACGCGCCCCGGAAGGCGGCGTGGCCGCCGCTCTTGGCCGCGAACGGACACCTAGTTAGCCGGGATAACAACACAACTATGGCAACATCTGTGTTGACGCCAGGCTTGAAAATACAAGATGGGCGAACTTCTGCCTGCTGATTAGACCAGAAAGAGTCCGTGAAACTCGTATAGCTGGTGTCCTCCTGAGCTAGGACTTTCTCAGACCCAAAGATGGAGTCGAGGCTAGCGCACTATTACCATGTTAGATACGCTGCGTTGTTTAGGAACAGATGTGTTCATGGATAGAAACCTACAGCTGCAATGCAAGACGATTCTGTTGATCGCTGCACCAAATTTGTCAGGGCAGGTATACTGGATATCTCAACGCCATAATCTTTTAACGCTGCAGTGACGTTGAAGTTGGCCGGCTCAAAGCTGCTGTCGGCTTGCACTAGAGCAGTGCCACTGGCAACGAGCCAGGCGCCTATAAAAGAAAGTGTTCGTATCATCAAGCCAAATAAAGCACTGTATGAAAAGAGACCCCAAGGAAAGTAATACTATGGGTAAGCCCAATGGTGTGAAGAGGATTATATGTGTTGAACCCGTATCAATAGAAACATAAGAAGATCATATGATATATTAAAGAACCCCGTTGCAAGAGGGGAATAAATTAAATCTATAAATATGCCAAATTATATGGATCTGCCCATGGGCCAGCGAATATTTCTGTTCCTGAAGGATGACGGAGCAGAAAGAATGTAACGCAACCTGGCCCCATATGCCACGTTTTGATCCAACTAGTCTGCATGAAACCTGCACTAATCATTTAGTAAACCATGTGCTTTCTATCTTGCACACAGCATCCTTCGGTAGATGAAATATGATATGCCGCTTCGTGTCAACCTGCTATTTTTGTAGCGAGACTTTAGTACGTTTACTAACCGAGCGTTCTCAATTGAACCAAGGAATTAGTTCTTACTCAGACCTATTCCAATTTAAACCTAGTGTATATTGGCCCCCAAATAATTATGGGCGGGCCCCCTGCCGATCTTCTATAGTAATGTTTTCTAGAAGAATTTTCTTTGCCCCTCCATCGATTGGCAGTTAGTATCACTAGCCATGCTGGCTTTTAGTGCTTACTGTCTATGGCCACGTATATTTTGACAATAGTGGGTCCATGTAAGGCTGTATTGTTATTTCGTTATTTGCTACCGCAAGGCAATCGCAGAACAAGATACCATAAAATACAGACCGGGTGGAGTTTTCAAAATATTCGTGGCCAGAGATGGTGGGTGAGGCCCCTACCAATCTTCTACTCTATGTAGTTACTAAGTCCTCTAGCAGAATTTTACTGAAACCTTTCTATTTTATATTAAACCACACACTTATCTAGTAGTACAGTGGTACTCTGCTCTGTAGAATATACGATTGTTTTCTATAACTAATATACTATTTAATTATCTAATACACTTGATTAATAGATAACTAGAGAGATCCCTAAAGGCTCTACTATAGCCTGGTCTAGATTCTAGAATCTAGCAACGGTACTATAGTTCCAGAAAGAGGCAACTTAAGATAGAGACAGTTGCTATGACGGAAGTGCATTTTACTGCGACTTGGACCTGTTATTACGATCGTCCAGTTTATATTCAACTGTGGTAGGCAGTAGCCGCTCCGAACTCGCTGGTTTTCGGGTGCAGCTAAAGAAGACGCAACCCACTCCAGGTATTAGGTTCTATTCGCCCCGTAACCTCCTTGAAAAGCTTACAACTAGAGCGAGAATGAGCGTCTAGCTAATATGAGTAACATAAAGGTGTCCAGTATTCGTCCGCCAACAAATTCAGTGGACGTGCTGGTGCAGACAAAGACCCTTGGACATTCAATGTGGCACACTTCATACTAAACTACCAAGGGCTCACAGACCCTCGAGACGGTTTGTAGCTCGGCTATTGGGCGCCGCCTTCCAACTAGGCTGTTGTGGACATACAGCAAGTTTTGTGTTTTACCACTACCAGCACCTATCATGGAGCGTTTTTTAGCGCGATAGTAATGAATAAGTATAGATGCCTTTGTTTCGATCCTAGGTCTATGCTGTCTGTCATAAGGAATGCAGCCCGTCAAGCAAGGATTGAAATGGTGTATAAATATAACACCCGGGAACATCCAGGCCTATACCTTTGCAATCATCGCTTGTTCTTACTGTGTCAAACGTTCATATGCTTCCCATTCCGCACTAAACTAAAGCTACGCTTGAGTATGACCTACGTGACCAGATGCTAACACGTAGGGTAGTCCCATTATCATAACGAGAAAACCCCGATATGACAGCAAGTTCTGGGCAAGCAGGTTCCTGCAGGAACTCAAGATGTAAGCACTGGAATAACGGGCATGGAAAATTCACCTACAAGAAGGCTGGTTATCGAAAACAGTGGAACATTTATCAAACTGGCGACCACGGGATTTCCCTAAAATACGCGATGAATTCCTGTGAGCTGGTCCCCTCCATACTACCTGATTCGACATTATCCTCGCCCTTATCGTTAGAGCTTTCAATATCAATCCATGAGTGCTGGTATATGGGCTTCTCATTAACTGGATATCCTGTTGACCGTAGCCAGTTGAATATTCCGCGTGTAGCCGCCTCTGACAATAACTCCAAAAATAATTTAAGGTCGTGTCGTGCTAATAGATATTGTTTTTGTATATATATATTTAATTATTTTCGTTGCCAGAAACAAGACTTATACCCAGATTTTCAAGTTCTTCACTATTTACAAGACCCCAGTTCCAAGAGTGATACTCAAAATAATGGCATCCGCAATATATATACTGCTGGACCTGAAGTTCTGTGTTACACAGCAGAGTCGCACCAAAAGGGTAAAGAGGAACTCTAGTAAATCCATCGCAACCTGTAATAAAGAGAAGTCGACACTCATCTTCGCGGCGTATTGTTATACCGTCACTGTGGCCTGGCTTCAATGTCATAAAGGACTGTTCCGTACCAGTCCAGACAGCGGCGTTAAGATCCAGCGCTATAAACCTATCCCGAATATCCCGCAAGGTAGATCTGGCAATATCCATGATAATTACACCCAGCCACAGACTGCTTAACTTAGGTTCCCGACTTGCTAGGACCTTTGCGAGCATAGGTATATTGTTCGCTTCAAGAAGAGAATCTATTATTGCGAATACAGGGTTTAGTCAAGCGCTGACCAGGTTGTATTCGATATCTATATTAAAGAAAGTGCTGCAGAGCAGAGACCGTATATCCCACACATTGGAGCTCAGTGTCATATAATAGGGGAGGTGTTTTCCATACTCTCCAACGATATCCATATCTTGTTGTGCAAATGTTGCGGGCGACTGTGGTCGTTAGACTTGTTTTGGAATTGAAAGTGATACCGACCCCCCACTAAGAAAAGAAATATAAAGTACCGCAGCCAGAGCAGCAGAACATTGGCCGTACAGGCGATGATGGGAACAAAACCGGGCTAGATATACAAGGGCAGTGCTGGATGATGGCATCTTAATACCAGAAACAGAAGGATCTCCGATAACACCAATGAGCAGTGTATCTGAGATTGTAACAGACCACGGAGATAAGTACGTTCTCTGGTTATAGCCTGCTGTTATGTACCAGCAACCCCCGGAAGACAATATAGCCGCCTAATAACTAGCTTCGTCTTTTTCAGTATGATATCCTAAGTCGATCTCAGCCGCACGTTGATGGCTGGATACCATAGCAGATGGTTCATTTTCAGTTGTAAAATTGATTTTGCAACCCGGTACACACGTTAATAGTTCTGCCCATCGTGCGGAAAGAATATAAGCCTAAGCAAGGAATAAGACTGCAAGATAGTTGTCTTCATTATAGTCTGGTATTCCTTGAACACTCGGCCACTCTATTATGGGAGCAGAGTCGGAGATTTGCACTGTGAGTGAATTTTGAACTCCCAATATTAGGTCAGCAGGCATGGATTTAGGTTCAAGGGGATTATTGCTACAGAAAGTCCTCCAAATCGAGCGACAGCTGGATGTAAGGCCATATTGGCCTTCTTTGGACCCTTTCTCCACAAAGCTTCAAGGGAATATAAGCATCTTGGGGAAACAGGCCGCATCCAAGAAAAGAGGGAGTTTGCCTGTGAAGCTTCTTCAAGTCAATACAGTCAAACGGGAGTACTAGGGTTGTAGCATTGGGTGTGTTGAGATAGGAGGTCCATAGATTGGAGCTTTCGTAGAGAACTCAGTCAAAATCCTCCCGAGTTAGACAAGGATGAAGTGTCTTTTGCCCATACACCTGCAAGACCTGTGTCCCTTTGTCAGAGGGCAATATTGCACTTTCGTTACGATCAAAGGTTGTACAGGACAGCTTGGAAGGTCTCCGGGCACTTTGAAATAGGCCTGAGCTATTAATTTTCGTACAAACTGAGAAAGGATCAAACCATATAGCATATGACCATGCAAGCCATCAAAAGACAGCTGGCCCGGGGGAATGATTTGTATGTATTATCGATACTTACTTTCTTAACCCTCTGGGTGAAATACATGACGGAACGACTTTGTAAACTCAATGACGGAATAGCGTTATATATTTGATGTCCACTTCACTACTACTTGTCAGCATCTGGGGCGTGTTTGAAATTACGATGCGACATTAACATGGAGCATACTAGGGCACAGTCCACCCACATGACCAGTCTTCTATATCGCTACCTGTCTTTCGACAACGGTTGACAGACGTCTTTTTTTGAGCTTTATTCAGGAACAAGCTATCTCTTATTGGATGCCAACACTAAACTCCCGCAGTTATCGAATATAAGAACATGCTCCTCTCAACCGACATCGATCAGCTCTGCACCAACCCCGCGATGACCATCTGCCCCCAGAAATACAGTCCATACCCAAAAGTACTCTGAATCCAACCACGGCTTCCAAGAGATTTCTTAAATGCATCCTTTGCAACATAAACATCGCTAGCAACGAACATCGCCGCGCCAAACACTCGCTGATACTGCCAGCAGGACGAAACATCTACTGGGGTCGTCGAAGCTGCGGTGGCAAACATCACGCTGATGATGGTAGCATATACCAGGACCAACGGTTTCATGTCTGCAGGAAGGGAGAGATCCAGCACATTGCTCCCAGCCGAGGAGTCCGGCGGAGGATAGATTACGCCAAGCCATTTAGCGACCGCCATAGTTGCGAGGAATGTTGTTGCGAAGGTTCCCCACGAGATAACCTCATTATCTTGGAAGAAGGCCAGGATATAAGCTATATGAGCTGCTGCGAAGGCGACAACTCCGAGCTGGAAGGAGACAGAGATTTTCTTTTCCTGTTGGGGGTTGGAATTCGCATTGTGGAACTCGCTTCGCGAAGGAATTAAGAAAAAGTCACCAGCTAGGGAGAAAAGAAGGCCGGCAGTGATCAGAGAGCGAGTGGAAGACCACTCCCCCGAAGTCAGAAAGAGTGGCCCGCTGAGGAAAGCGACCGAAGAGAGCATCTTGAACAGGGCCGTGCCAGTGTGGGATCGGGATACGGACTCCGAAATGACCAGCAATGGGAGGGATCCCACGAGAAGGTACACTGCCGGCAGAGGTGGAATCGATAGATTTGAGAACATCTTAGGTGAGTGCAATTGTGCAGATATCTAAAGTTGACAGGTAGGTAGGAGTAGTTCCTTGTTGGCTTTTGTTTATATGTGGCAGTCGGAAAAAACCAATGATCAGCAGTGGGGACGTGTCTGGGGAATCCATTACCCAATTGATCGGGTACTACCGAGATCACAAGCGGGATCAGTCTGGATACCTCGGTCGAGTCCTATTTCCCTATGTCATTCGTAGACTTTGTTGGACTAGTATATATGTTTCATAAGGTGCAACACTGACACGAATCCTCTCGGTACTATTTCCGCCATGAAACCGGAAAGGTAAGAAACGCTACATTGCATACGTTCTACAGGCTTACGAAGGGACACCCTCATGCATAAGCGTGCAAAGGACGCCTTGCCCAATTCGTGGCCATTGGGTATAGAATTTGACGTACGGAGTCGCTGTGATAGAGAAGAAAATATTGTCTTCCACTCAGCAAAGTAAATCTTTGGATGCACGGTGATCCCATCGACTGTGTTCATATAACAAAATTCTTGTCGAGAGGATGAGGCACATTTGCTACAGCAAGGCTCCATGGCTTTGCTGCCTTCATTCCATCGGAATATGAACTACTGCTTCAAGTCGCCTGTCAAGATCTGCGTCACTAAAGACAACCGTTTTTTTGAGCATATTGGAAGCTCTAATATATACCTTGTCCAGCATCATAATTCCATTTATTTTACTTCTACCCACAAAGACTCGAATAGACGACCACAGTCCCTTGTAAATGAACAGCTATATGAAAAGGTCTCGGTGTGATTGAAACCGAGGGCTATTTCAAAATATTGAAGACATTTGTAAAGATCTGACTGCATTCACCTAAGCCTCTGACTGACGAAATTGGACCCTTCTTGCAAAATCTGGGGCTAGATCCCAACCAATATATTTACCTTGTGTATATGATACTTCACGCCAAGCAGAGCGGCAGCCTAAGTTTCCAACAGGCTTAGATTAATGTGGTTGACTATCTCTGTCGTTCATATGTGTCTCTTTATCGATATCTTCTATAAATAACTACAAAGCCTGGAATGATGGCTAGGAAATCTACGTCAAATCTGAATGACTGCGTAGAATATAGACAAAGGGACAAGTATTCATTCACCAGGCCAGTTGACTTCATCCTATCATAATCTTCTCTCAAAACCGGTCGGTAGCTTAATTCACAGCTGGGGTTTAATTCAATGAAAAAAATGAATATTTCCTGCTCACCTACTGACCTAAATAAATGCTATAAATACCAAGTATATGTATCACAACTTCCTCATCCTTGTCCTCCTGTTCCTATGCTTCGCATGTCAACACCCCTTCCAAAGTGTGCCATATACCCACATCCACTATTGAGCAGAGCCCCAGCACTGCATCCTAATCCATTCCACAATGAAGCCTCAGACTGTGGTTCTTCTTTCTCTCTTCGGCCTAGCAGCTTCAATAGCCATACCTCCCAATGCCCGTGGTGAAGCTGGTAACTATCTTTCAAGATTTCCATACCCAGTACCAGGCGCAGAAGAACTAACCATATATCAACCCAAGACGAAGTCATCGAGGACTACAACACCGCGGCCGAGATGGATACGCGGGACACACTGGAACCCAGAGCCTATCCCCATTGCCTGAGTTATAAGGAATGCAAAGGTGGCTGGTGCCACAAGGGTAACTGTCTGGACAACGTGTGCAAGGGAGCTAATATGTGCCCTAAGGGCTTTTTGTGTGACGGCGCCAACTGCTATAAGCATTTGAAACCGTGGATGTATGATGACCTTCCTTAGGTGAAGCGGTAAGTGGCTTGTGTGTTCTGAGTCGACGGAAGGATGATTATCTGACTTGTTTTCTCTAGGGTGATGCTACCATGGAGGCTTTGGATGGTGGCGGTCTGGCTGTTGAGATAGTGAATGAGTGATGCTCAGGCGGTGGTGCGTCTGCTTGGGCATTAGTTTCGTGATTATGACTGCGGTTCTCGACTGTGGATGCTGGACATCTCACAGAGATCTTACGGTTAGTGCTTCGGTGGAACTAGGTGATTCTTATTCAGTACAGTGTGTTGTCTGTGAGAGTCACTGTTATGTTCTTAGTTTTACGACCGGGAGATGTATCCGTTGCCAATGCAGTTGTGAGAATATCATATGTGTCAGAATCAAGAAAGCCAGTACAGTATATAAGCATGAATATACACCCTTGGAAGTAGTGATCCTCTATCGAATGACGTATATTATATTCCAAGTGAAGATATGCATAGTACCTGCTCATTAGGTCCGCTATAAATGCAGACTACATTATAAAGTCCACTCTTGATAACAAAACTTATTATTCCATCAAACCCCATTTTTAACCCACCTCATCACTCAAACTCGAAAGAATAGGAAGCACGATAACGCCACGGGAAGACAGATTGCACCTGATGATGCGATTAGCATACATATAATCAACACAAGACACGACAAACACTCACCCATAACCATATTCATATGGTAATAACCGACCGCTTCGGATAAAGTGCCTGAAATCAAGGGGCCTAGCATCGAACCGAGGCTGAATGCCACTTCAGCTATGGAGGAAACCCGGGAACTACCACCAAATTCTCCGAATATCTTCGGATTCTTTGCTTCCATGTCCTTGGTAGCAGCTGATAAGAATGTTAATCAACATAACCCTATACTAGGTGAATGGGAGGGAAAAACTCCAAGGTGACTCACCAACCAACTGCATCGTACCCGCGCCGCGAACCAAGGTGAAAACAATGCCGATACTGACCAGACTTGTGATGAAGATGGCTTCACCATTGGTCTCAGGGCTAGCCCAGGAGAATTTCTTGTCGCCAGGAACACCCAAGAGCCACAGCAATGGGGCCATGAGCACCCAGCCGATCGTCGCGGGCCACCGGGCACCAGCTCGATCTCGAAGCCATCCGATCACAGGGGCAAGGCACATAGAGGGAACCTGGAGAGATAGGAAGATCATACCCACGGAGAGGGTGTTCCAGTGGAAGACATCGCGCAAGTGAAGGGGGAGAGTGGCATCAAAAGCGGCGATGAGGATTGCAAATATAAGTGTGTTTGCTACACTAGATACAACGCGTATATCACGTAACATGATGCAATAAAATGAGCCAGATGATCCGACTGGTTCAGTCTCTGTGGCGACTGTATTGTAATCTGGGGACTCATTGGTATAGGACGGCGGTGGAAGCAGCGGCGCCCTCTCGCTCTCCTCTGACTCGCGAGGAGCGGTTAGCTTTGGGGACTTGGGTTGCTCAAGCGGTAGTTCTCGGCTCTCGATCATCAGTCGACGTGCGATAATATCCAGGCAGAGCACCAGCAGCGGAGCGCTCCAGGTTGGCCAGTATCCCACCAATTCCAGTAGCGCACCAGCGACGATAGGACCGCTGAGCTGGCCGGCTGTCACGAAGGCCATGGCCGTTCCCAGCGCCTTGCCCATATGGTCCAGGCCGACATTGTCAGTCAAAGTCGCAAACCCTACAATCCAGGTCGCGCTGCCGGACACTGCTTGCAAGATCCGACCGATGAAAAGCGCCTCAACTATATGCCGGTGAGTTGAATGAAAGTTCCACTACAAGGCGTGATAGATGTACGTACTGGAAAAAGTGGAGGCCACTAAAACGGTACCTGCGAAGCATCCTGCAAGAGCGATCAGCAGCGGGGCCTTCCGGTTCGGCGTCTTATCCGCAAAATGGGCAATGATGGGAGCGGAGATTAGAGACACGAAGCCATGGACGGTCAGAACAGCAGTGGTCATCAGCTGGGTATTGGATGCATCCATGCGAAGACGATCTTCGAGCATATAACTCAAGATGGGAACCACGAAGCCATATAGGAAGGTTTCTGGCCAAGGGTTGTTAGGACATTGGACGCCACCAGAGCTACACGACTAGAGGTAAATACCAGCAAACAAGGCGATGATAATAGTACAGATGATGAAGCCTCGGGATGAGCGCCATCGATAACCCCATGGCAGCTGCTTTTCGCTTGCCATGGCCTTGAATCGCTGATGATAAGCGAGTAGAGGAAAATCCTGGTGTATTTGAATCCAGAGATTTGGCAGCCATCTTGTCTTATAATACGAGAAACCTGCTGGGGTTTAGCGGCAATAAATGACAAATTAACACTCGACCCATGCAACATGCGATCAGCAGGTCAATGGTTCATGCGCATTAATAGTCGCTAAACGAGGCAATCGAAAAACAGATCATCCCTGTCGAGCCAACGAGAGAAAAGGAAAGGACCCACGGTGGATACGAAGACCTTCAGCTCAGCCGGAAGTCCGCTGCCCTAATTGGCTTTCCTTATATCACTCTCAGCCGCAAAGACACCGAAACGAACGCCTCCCTGAGAAGTATCATTCCAAGACGATGTTGAATTTGTACTAGGGTTGGCCGGTTTCACTTGCAGGTTCTCCCTTTCAATCCCTTGCATCTATGTCGCAATTTCACTCTCGCCGAGGGTGTCACGCTAGATAGCAAGGAGCTGTTACTTCGTACATGAGCCAAATACTAAGATGTCGTCCGGGAACTTTCACATCCCAAGAGAACGCCGATCAATTACTCATCGTGCAGGTTTGCTCGAACCTGAAGCAGAGCAGATCCAACAAGGGCTGCATCTAAATTGGGTGGGCGGCCCGAGCGACTAATCAGCGACTTGCGGAGGAAATCCCGATCACCTGAATGTGGATACCCTAAAGACACATCGATTCCTCACAGGCTCACTCGCATTCAGCTCACGCTCACGGCCCCTAAGTAGTAACTTATGCACATCCACAGTACATACCAAGGCTAGCGAGCAAGCATTAGGTTGGCTAGCTTGCCCCCCCACCCTCCGTCCCGACCCAAGAATCTAATTTTGAATACGCTACCACTCATAAAGATGATCTGCAGGCAGCCAAAGAGAAATCCCGTGTACGTCTTGGGGTGTACACATCCAAGAACTCCGTGCATTCGTGAAAGCAAGGTGTTACTCTCTGAAATTACTATCGCAGTCGAGCCCTCATATCCAATCCAGCCAGGCATCGACCTGATGAGTAGTCAAGTCCGAATAAATCGGATTGGGAACTACCCATGGACCAACATATGAGAACAATAAATCATCAAACAAAACCGGCAGAGTGCATTGGTCTGCGTCTGTAGTTCCTGGCCCAAACGCGTCCAAGCCGGTCGGAATATCTTGCCAGGTCCCATCTGCTCTTTCAACACCGTCATCACACTTGCGATTAACTGTCACGATACCAAAATACGGCACTGCGATTTGTTGACTGGTCCCCTTTGCTAAGGATTGACTACTGGTTACTAGCTCATCTAGGGCCGTATGGCATTGTCCGCTGAGCGAGCTTGGTTGGTCTTCGGAGCAATCCTTGAGGGCAGAACGCGTCCGGCTGATGAGAGACTGATCATACCAGTCGGAGTCCGGTTTCGATGGTGTCTCCCGCGAGGTGTCTCTTCCAAGTAGATGAAGGAAGACTATGGCCGCAGCGGTAAGTGCTGAAAACCCAGAGAGCTTTACGCTGTTGTCGATGCGCGCTGTCGTAGGGTCACTCTCATACAGATATAAGTAAGCCTCCAGCAGCGACCGTGCACTTTTTACACATGAAGCTCGGCCATGCGCCTGCCCACTTATACCCGAAGACTGCAAGAAGAATGGTAAGTATAGGTGTGCCTTGAGCTGATGAATGTTTGCCAGCCGATACAGCCGTGCATGCCTCTCAGAAACATCTTCGCAAAGACAGATCTGCTCCATGTCTAGGTATCCTGCCGGCAGTTGCGAGGTAACTTCATCGATCTGCTCATCGGTTCTAATGACTGCCGAAAGTGTTGGCTCTTTCTTGGCTTGCAAGCAATCAATAACCCGACCAGTCAACATAGCCAGATGCCGTGCATGGAATTTGATCGGCGTAGTCTCTTCCAAGGGAGGGATGTATAGGTCGCAAAGGTTCTCTGGAACCGAGTACGGAAGCCCAATCATTAGGCTTACCCACCGATCTGCACTAAACAGCTGCCAAAAGAGCGAATCTAAGACGTCCGAGTCCCTATGCGTCTGGTGGATACCGGCCAGTTGGGCCAGAGTGTTGGCCCTGCGGTACGCGATCCACGCTCGCCGAGGCTGCAGGGAACTCATATAACATAGTCCCAATGCCATCAAGCATTGGAGGCCATATCTGCCACCAGCAAGATCATCATCATGTAAAATCAACTGTTCCACCGGACGGACATACTTTCCAAAGTCACCGGTACTAAATGCAAAACATAGAAGCAATATTGCCAGGAGGCAAGGATGCCCTGTACGAAACGCCCGCATTGCGAAGCTCTGTAGGTCAGAATCATCTTCTTCGCCCCAGCCCAATGCAAAGGATTCACGCCACGTCTGCCACCAATGACTTCGAGTCCGAAAGATCTCGACCATCTCTGACTCGGAGGGCAACGCCAAACAAAGTCCGTATAGAAAATCAGCACGTTCTTCTACATGCTTTGTGAAATTATGGTGAGCGCTGTCCTTCCGTTGGGGAATTGTTAAATTCGACAAAGCCTCTTTGTTGGGCTGAGGTTGACCAATCTGCATATCGTGAGAAGACTGATACAACACGAGACCTTCCATCTATGGCGATTTCCTACCAGTTCATGATTCAATAACTTCATGATAGGCGCACAGCCACTTTGCACAGTATCAGGGTTAGGAGCTGCGCTGTTGGCAGCCGCACCCATTGCACGTTGTTGGTCATCCTTAAGAAGCATCCTGACTCTTTCTTTGAGCTGCGCAAGTGCCAGAATAACATGAACTGACGCATCCGAATGGGCGTTTGGTGAATTCCTTACGGTCATTGGGGCGCCTTGTGAGACCCCCGAAGAGGTTTGATTCGAGTCATGGTTATGCTCGGATTTATGCGAGCCCTGTGGGACACATGTAGATCGTCGCCTTATACAGTGGACGCACCTTTCAGAGTTACCTGGAGTGAAGATACAGCGGACCTTCCGTCGTCGGCCTGGGCTCATGTCAGTCCAGATGCGGTTACTTAACATAACACCTTATTGACAGAGGTCCACATACAGGAAACGCAGCTATGCGTCCCCTTCCTCATTCGCTTGGCTGCAAGCATGAGTTCGGCCCGTCCTAAATCCCTTTTTGCTATGGTCGGACGAGGCGAAAGGGATCGGATCATGTGGCGAGGCGAGGGAATATCCCGAAGAATGTGGAACCATTGCATGCGATTCTCATTCGCCTTTACTAGTTTCGTCCGAGGTATAACTTGTTTACTAAGCAGATTCGGCTCGGTTCGGACGAACACAAGAAGATATATACTAAATCCTAAACGAATGGAGGTTTCACAGAGGAAATAAAATGAAATAACATAAAATCCCTACCATCAACAGCAGGATGTACATGGCGAGCATTTAGAGAGGTTCCGGATTGTCATTCTAATCATTTGAATCAGGCTGCGGCAAACCGAACGACACCATCTCTAGCCATTCCAGGCATGGCTCGCTGTTGAAAAGGTCTAACATTTGTTCCTCGCCCCAGGGCATGCTCGACACTGTCTCTTCAGAGCCCACTAGGTTCTCTGCAGCATCAACACCAAGCTCCACACATTCTGGCCCGGTGAGTCTTCCGTTAGCATTTAACTGCTCGATGCTGTCTTGCACACTAATCGATGCAGCAGTAGCATCCACCCCAGGGGCCGACTGATTAGAGATTTCCATGTCGACCAAGAACAGAGGCTGACAGAGGTCGAGCAAAGTTTCAAATAACCGACGCAGCCTGTCTGCTGGTATAAATGTCTTGAAGGGCTCAAGTGCGGATGTGGCGCTCTGCATCAATTGCATGTCTCGAATATTCGAAGTCTTGACCACATTGCAAAATAGGGAAAAGAATGGACGGAGGGGAAATAAAAGGATTGTCCTAATAAGAGGATTTTGTTAGGGACACGGGCGAGAAATAGGACATATGATACTTACCAAGTAAGAAATGATACGTCGGGTTGCGATGGGTTAGATTGAACGGCACTGCTTTGTAAATCGATGAAAATAGAGAGCGCTTTACGAGCGCTTTCCAGGCATCTCCCTCGGTCTTCCTTCTCCTGTAGTAGTCGGAATCGGGACTGAAAGAAGTTGTTCAGCATGGTGTGGGAGCAAAATTCAGCTGTGACCCAGTCGTTCTTAGTGGTACTTGATACCGATAATCGCGATTGTTGCTACGATGGTTAGTGATGTTGATTCGCTGTGACCCGGCTGTGCAGCCTACCTTATCAATTCGGGTGCGAAGATTATTTGTCTCTTGAATCAGATCATCCAGCATTGCTGCTCTTTGCTCTTTGCTGGTCGTTTGGTTTGGATGCAACTGCACCTCGAGCGCCTTCTCCAATATACATGCCATATGCCCCATGAATCTGACCACGTCTGAGGATGAACCGGAGTCCAGGTGCAACAGAAGAACTGGACTAACTTCCAACTGTGGAAGTGATGGTGGCTTCATGAAAAGCGAGCTCAGGACTTTGTCCAAGTAGTGACACCAGAAAACACAGGCACGTATCTCAATGTCGCTCTCGCTGCTTGCATTTGTATCCAATGATTGATAACCGAGAAATGTTATAGTACGAGCCGCGAACGATGTCAACATCCAGCTCTGCGACATGTTTCCAAGAAACTGCATGAGCATTGCCTGTGTACTCGGACAAAATGGATGAGATGTTGCTTCATGAAACGATATCGCAAGAACTTACCCCGGACAGTAAAGATTGTAAAAGTACAAGGGTTGGTGACGACAAGACACTGATCTGCTTTAACGCATTCAGGGCTGCTGCTTTGTAATACTTCTGGGATTGTTCAAGCTGCTGGCCGAGTGCTTGATTTTGGCGGACTGTAGACCATCTGGAGATACGGAAGAGTTCCTTCGAATATATGCACACCTGGTATTGAAACAGCACTTGCTCGTGTTCTTTCCGTTCCATCAAGCCGAGTACCATTCGCTCAAGAGTTCTCTTGGAGATATGGTCTTGCCATCGATCATCGCCTCCTGCACGACTCTGTTAATCGTCGTTATTTGCCGAGGGATAAAGCCGTACCTGGCGCTATCATGTACAACAACTCTGGCTTGAATGACTCGGGCGAGTCTGTTAGCTGAATTGTCGAATCTGTGGGTTCTTCAATACCTATAGGGAACACTGGCCCGGTGTTGGATATCTGCCGAATAGTTTGAAGTGCTGCCTCTAGTACGCGAGCCCTCGTGTTGTCTATTCCGGCACGGTCATCTAGGCTTCCGAGTACAGACTCATGAGCCCCAAGACACTGATCTATTATCTCCGCCTGGGTAGCATCATTGCTCTTTCCTGGGCTTCTTGTATCATCAGGCCCCCTCCCGCTCGCATGGCTGCTAATGTTTATTTGGCCTTGCACTGGCTGATGGATCGGGCTAGGGCTGGTATGACTATTATACGAATAAACCACTCTATAAGTACCCAAGATAACCTCAGTGGGATGAGACAAGAGCACAAACCTGTCAGGAGCATGCGAGCTACTCTCCAGGGCTTCCAGTCTCTTGGCAAGAGCAGATATTCTAGCACCGGCATCAGGAGTAGAGCGTCAACGCAGTAGTAGAAACAAATAAGGACAACCCACTTTGACTGTCTAGACCGTGCAGACCGCACAGGACGAGTGCGTTGACACTCAACCTGTGCCGCCCGACAATTCTTACACTGTTCCTCTCGATCGCATTTCACCTGCACGACAGGGCAATTAATCGACACAAACACTGTCCGATGGCAGCATTACAAACCTTCCTAGAATAGCACAGATCACACTAGCAGATATTAATGAGTGAAAGACCATAGCCATGACGAAAAGGGATATCGGTTTCGCCCCGTGACGTACCGCAGCCCTGGTTCGTTGCTGCCCCATGGCAGAAGAGAATGATCTCTGCCCAATATAGCCCTCGCACGAAGCAGTCAACCGATTTTAGTGGCTCCTTGGAAATAGCGACTAGTATATTTGAGGCACTTTGGCGTGAATCCTTGAAATGTGGTTGAAAACTCTTTTGGCACTGTCCGGAAGAGCTCGGTCTTCGGGGCCGATAAGCTTCCGAGTGCTCGATGGCCGCAAGAGCTTCGACATTGTTCAGCGATGAAGTGTGGGTCTTCTTGGTGTCTTGATTTCTTTCAATGCTAAAGGTTCGGTTTACAACTCTTTTTCTTTTTTTTTTGGTTCTCATCGATTCATTACTCGTGCTTTCCATCTGCGTCCAGGTAAACGTGGTGTACATAGGACGCCCATACTTCTCTTTAACCACTCCCTTTCCTCAATTAACCTCACAGCATAGGTTTACCTTCTTTCAACTGCTGTTTTTATGTGACCGGCGAGACTATCAATAGATACCAATTCTAAGAACGACAATATGACTGAAACCCATGGATTTCCAAACACACATCGTGTGGCGAAGAGAAAGAGACTATCGAACGTCAGTCGAGGACCCCTGATAAAGTCAGAGGACAGTGATGATGACGATGTCCCTTTGGTACGTAGTACTCCGATGGCATCCGATGAGGGTCGGTAAGAAGAGCTCCTCTGATTGACATCTATAGTCGAAGCGAATTGGCCTATGTCGAGCGAGTGATTCTATGATCGGCCCCAGAAGATCAGAATCAGTCAGAAGGAGCAACACGACTGCTACAAGTCACCAAGAATCCGATTCCGATATCCCGCTTGCAAAGATATCTACGAAACGATCGAAACAGATACAAGAAACTCCATCGCGTAGCTCAGGCCAACGGTACTCTCACATAAAGAAAGAAAACGGTATGGAGGATAAGAAGTTAGCCACAAAGATTCAGTCTACGAAAATACCGGAGCAGGCAGCGCAACTTGGGATGTCACGACCAGCACCTCATAAGCAAGCAAATAGGGGCATGGAAGCCGCGCTGGAAAAGTTGAAAGGCTCGAACCAAGATAAGAATGAAGATGAAGATGGATCTCCGGGTGAAATGTGGTGGGAATATTCTAACGGCGATGACCGCACAAGAAAATGGACCACCCTGGAGCATAATGGTGTCCTCTTTCCACCCCCTTATACACCACTTCCACTCGACGTCAAGATGAAATACGACGGTGTTCCAATCACACTGGAGCCAGAAGCAGAAGAGGTGGCCTGCTTCTTTGGGGAGATGTTAAATGCTACCCACTATACTGAGAATGCGACATTCCAGAAGAACTTCTTTCAGGACTTCCAAATGACCATAAAGAGAACGTCCGGAGGTAGGAACAGCCAGGGCCAAAAAGCCGAGATCAGAGAATTCGACAAGTGTGACTTTTCTCCGATATTCGAATACTTCCAGAGCAGAAAATCTGAAAGAAAAGAACTGCCGCTGGCTGAACGAAAAGCACAAAAGGCAGGTAAAGATTCAATGGAGGGGGCTTATAAGTACTGTGTTTGGGATGGCAAAAAGCAGAAAGTTGGGAATTTTCGGATCGAGCCCCCAGGGCTCTTTCGGGGTCGTGGAGATCATCCAAAGAACGGAAGAGTCAAAACTAGAGTCCATCCTGAACAGGTCACCCTGAATCTCAGCAGAGACGCCAAAGTCCCTGCAGCCCCCGCAGGTCATCAATGGAAGGAGGTCAAGCATGACCAGGAGGCTACATGGTTGGCCATGTGGAACGAAAATGTGAATGGGAGGTTCAAGTATGTGATGTTGGCTGCTAGTTCAGACGTCAAAGGCCAGAGTGACTTTCATAAGTTTGAAACAGCTCGCAGGTTGAAAATTCACATCGATCGTATACGGAATGACTACCAGCAAGATCTTCAACACAGGTTTATGGCTACTCGTCAATTAGCGACGGCCGTTTATCTGGTCGACAAGTTAGCACTTCGTGCTGGCAATGAGAAAGGTGAAGGTGAGGCAGATACGGTGGGATGCTGCTCGCTCAAGTACGAAAATATCACATTAAGACCACCTAACACGGTAATATTCGACTTCCTGGGCAAGGATAGTATTCGATTTTATGACAAGGCCGAGGTGGACGCCCAGGTCTTCAAGAACTTGAAAATCTTCAAGAAGCATCCAAAAAAAGAAGGCGATAGTATCTTTGATCGTCTAACCGTATGTTATACCTCTTCGCAGAAGCATTTCTTATTCTATTACTGATTATTGCAGACCGCGGGACTCAACAGACACCTCTCAACCTACATGCCTGGGTTAAGCGCAAAAGTGTTTCGGACTTTCAACGCCTCCCACACCTTTTCTGAGCTATTGAAATCGATACAACCAGGAGGCTCGATCGACGAGAAGGTCAAGGCCTATAACGATGCCAATAGAACGGTAGCTATTTTATGTAACCATAAGCGAACAATATCTTCCAATCACCTGGCACAGATGGAAAAGCTTCAGGATCGTGTAGGAATACCGTCGAGCGAAAGCCCGATCTAACTTGAAACCTCCCAGTCTTCAGTCAGACTAATTCTTTCACAGGCAAAAGTGATACGGTACCAACAATGGCGCTTAAAACAGCAAATGCTGAGCTTAGATCCCACAATTCGAAACGAAATGGAGGGTGAGTTCTTTGAGCTCGACAGGTGCTTGGATCTTGGATGGATTGCCGCATATCAGCTATCCTTGCTGGAAGATAAACGCCAGAGAGCGAAGAAGAAGTTCGAAGCCGACAAGCCAAGCTTAGACAAAGAATTGGAGTTAATCGCTCAAACGGAAAGGGAATTCCAACAGGAAAATACAACTGGGAAAGTGAAATGCAGCAGCAAAAGTACATCCATTGAAAAATTGCAGAAGGACATCATCAAAGCCCAACAACGTCTAGAAGCAGCAACGCTTCAAATCCAAGACAAAGAGAGCAATAAAGAAATTGCTCTTGGTACCTCAAAGACGGTGAGATCATATCCTGGTTATTTTTGCATACTTTGGAGTTAATAGTACCTGTGGCGCTGTAGAATTATATCGACCCTCGCCTGACAGTGGTATTCTCGAAAAGGTTTGGTGTACCGATCAACAAGCTCTTTTCCAAAAGCTTGCAGGAAAAGTTCGATTGGGCCTTGAAATCTGCTGATGAGACATGGGAGTTTTAAGCTGAAGTCCGTCTTACAATTCATAGCTTTCTCCATGGTATGATACTTTTCTTGGCTGTTATATATGAGCATTCGAGAAGGAAAGTAACTTGGGGCGAATCAACAGATAGAATGAACTGCTCATATTAATTCTATGGACAACCACTGTGCTTGGCTTGATGTATTGTGTCAATCGCCGTGTGAATATTACTCTATATCTGGTACCCGTCCTCGACGTGTTAATAAACACACTTGTTGGGCTCGTAGTATGTAGTTAGTTGTTGTGTCATTGACGGGCCCAAGCATCGACCTAAGTATGTACACAACAATTCCGTCATCAAAGTAATGCATCGTGTCCTCCCGATGGCAAACGCATAACGCTTTAAACAAGTGGCAGTTAAATGTAGCCCAGCAAAGCAATTTGGTGGGCAAGAAAATGACATGCAAGTAAAGGCAGCAGTATAAGCGGTTGATAAACACACGACGTATGTTCGGTTGATGTGTCATTCAGAAGGGGCGATCGAGTCCTCCAAGCGACTCTTCCAGAGTATCAATACGATGCTGCTTTGCAAGGAACTCCTTGTTGGCGTCGTCCAACTTTTTCTTGAGTTCCGCTATCTCGAGATCCAGGATCCATACACAGTAGACAAATTCTACTACCCAAGCATCTCACACTGTCCACTTGTAGGGGATCCTTTGTGAGGGCGTCACGGTTAACAGCAAAAGGTTATGCTTGTGAAGACGATGCATCCGTTTGAATTCGCGCCAGAAGTAGCTTTTGGACACCCCGGTGGCCTCCTGCAGAGGCATGATCAAGCGGCGTGTGTCCCTGGTCGTCTTGTACATGAACATTAACTTCACATCGCGCAACAAGGAGTTTCACTACTTTTTCATGGCCCTCCTGCGATGCTCGGGACAGCGGAGTCCAATAAAAATTGCACTTGGAGTCAGCTTCAACATCCCCACGGTCAAGAAGTACCTTCACTACCTCTGCATGGCCTCCACGGGCTGCCCATGCAAGTGGTGTGCGTCCATCTGCGTCGCGAGAATCCACATTAACATCCTCCTGCGCTAAGAGCAGTTGCACCACCTCATAATGACCCTCTTCTGCGGCATGCGATAAGGGTGTCCTGCCTTCAAAATCTGCCCGATCCGTAGCCAATCTGGAGTGCTGGATAAGAAGTTTGACAATGTCTGCAAGCCCCTCTTGAGCAGCCCTAGCTAGGGGTGTCCAGCCCCTCGAATCACTCATGACTGGATTTGCGCCCTTTTCCAGTAGAAGCTCCACGATTCCCAGATGGCCATTCCCCGCGGCATAATATAAAGGTGTACAATTCCACCTATCCCGACTGTCTGGGTCTACACTTTCACAAGAGAGTAAGGCCGACACGACTGATTCATGCCCCATTCGAGCAGCGAGTGATAAAGGTGTCCAGCCATGCAGACACTTAGATTCAACATCACTACATCCGATCAAAAGTCGTACAATGCCCGCATGGCCACACTTTGCGGCCCAGGAAAGTGGCGATAAACCTCTTTCATCTTTAACATCAAGAGGAATAGACTTCTTGACGAGGAATAACTTGATCGATACTTCGTTACCGGTCCTTGCAAGCAGGTGAAATACTGTCTCCCTTCGATCATTAATCTGTAGATGAAGGTATTCACTGGAGAGAATGGAGGCTATGCCAGGAATGGCATGCAATGCAGATGCCAAGTCGTGCGGGTCCAGAAACTCTACTATGAGTTTGAGCACTTCCAGCGGAAGACTGGGCATACTTTGGAGTCGTCAAGAGGAAAGCGGGAAAGAGGTAAAAAAGGAATCAGGAGCAGCAAAGAGACCAAGTACGCGTGTGAAATAGAAGACCCTCAAATCAAGAGGCGCGAGAACGGTTTACATACAAAGGCGCAGGGACCTATTCGGGACATTATCACACCCGAGCTCCGACGAAGCTGAAGGAATATGCCATGCCTGATCCTTCCCCAGCGGCGTTGGGGACTTTAAATTCCGCTGCCGTCAATTTGATAAGGGCTTAAGGGCTATACCTTGGCTGAAACATGATGCTAATAAGCCAGGTACCAATGCAGGCCCTACACCTAATGATCAAAAATATAAAGACAGATTTACACGAAGTAAAGTAGAGAGAGTGAAGGAGCTCCTTTCGTAACACCCTTGATAATTAGCTACTAAGTAATCTACAGACACTATTTACCTTCTCATGAGTAAGGAGAATGAGAGCATATATTCAACGCATTCACAAACATTGCCCAAATCTATCCAGCTAGGTAGTTTCGATCCATGGTGAATTCAAGACTACGATATATTATCTTAGAAGAAACTCTAAGTGATGCTGAAATAGTTTGAGCTGACTAAATAGATAACTGTTGCACCGAATCTCAGTATTTCGTCCATGTATGTTGCCTATAGCGAAGGTTGGCTACCGGTTTTGGCTAGCTGTCCTGATTTACACAATTCATGGCAACTCATAATGGTCTATGATTTACGTATCACTCTTCGTTAGCTGATCGTCGTTTTCACTTGGCTTGTCTTATATTCTTCTCCTTCTCGAAAAGAAAGCTTTCCCCGTGTCCTGCGTCCTTCCTATTTCGTTCTTCTCAGGGTCCGACAACCGTCATCACCAACACAATAGAGCAATAACCGATCCAGAAAGTCAAATGTAGCTAACATACAGAGGTCAGCTGGTAGAAGGCTTAGGAAGGAGATTCGCAAGCTTTTCCTCCAAGTGCTTCTCTAACATTCTCTTATGTCCATCTGAGATCTTCCCTGCGACCTTCATTCTGTCCGCCAACTCTGCAATACACTCATCCAAAGTCTTCACATTGTCAGTATTCACTTCCGCCTGCTTACCAGCCACGGCATGTGTCCAAAGACTTTCCAGCTCTTCTCTCCATCCCAGCGAATCAGCTAGCCGCCGCACACCGTCATCACACGACCCAAGAATGCACACGTCCGATTGTCGAGTGCCAAAATCCCCGACCTGCTTCATATTCACGAGCAGCCTAGGCGTCCCCTCTTTCACCAAACGCGGTAGTCTTGAACATGGCGCCACTTTGAGACTTGTCCCCATAACCAGCATCAAGTCCGCGTCCGATACCCTCTTCTCCTCGACTTCGAAGGCGGCGGGGAGAGGTTCCCCAAAGAAAACCACATCGGGTTTGACCGCGCCGCCACAGTCGGGGACCTGGCAGTACGGCACCTGGCCTGTTTCAATTGCCTCGGCCATGAGCCCATCCGGGTAGGGCGTCTTGCATTTATGGCATCGCTGGCTTTTCCAGTTTCCATGGCAGGAAAGCACTTTCTCTGCGGCGACACCGGCATCCAGCTCCAGGCCGTCGATATTCTGCGTGAACACGAAATCAAGAAGGTTTTTCTTTGCCAGCAGAGCCAGAAACGCATGGGAAACTGTTGGTCTGAGGTTCTTGGGATTGCGGGCTCTGGCTATCGCGTAAAAAGGCTCTGGTGTGTGTCGGAAGTAGTTGATATGGAAGATGGCCTCTGGGAAGGGTAGCTTTAATGGCGCCAGTTTATCATAGAGGCCTGTTCCCGGTGATCTAAAATCGGGCACACCTGCTGCTGTAGAGATACCTGCGCCCGCCAGGACGATGATGCGAGTTATCTTCCCACTTCTGATGAGGTTTACAATGTCATCCAGGGCATCTTGTTGACCTGTGGGCGGTTGATTTGCATGGTCTGTCATGATTATTGCTCGGTCTTGTGGCTATCCTGAGTGGTATGGAGCTGCAAAGTTAAGTGAGGTTCAGGATAAGTTCCCGCTATGCCGTTTTATTCATTACGGAAGACACTTCCTTGGTCACTAGACTAAGCTTGATTGGCACCACGTGGCAGGCGATCTACAGGCCATATTGCCTTCAATTGTGTAAAACGCCACTCGAGAGGCTGTGCCTGCAGCCACGCTGTGAGGCTGGAGCGATCCGTATGCGTGGACTTTTGCCAATAGACCTAGCCCTGCCCCTCAGTCACTTTTTACTAAGGTAGAGTAAGAAAGGAAACTTCACAAGTCATGCAGTCAGGTTTGGCCGTCAGTATTATGTAGAAGACACCTATTGCTACACACCCGAGTATGGAAAAAGGATCTCCACCGTGTAAGGACTTCTCACAGGGAATAAAGCAACTTCATGGCTGACCCTACAATGACAACTTTGCACCCCGTTGTATGTTAATGAAAATACACATGTAATATGGGCTACCCAGTTATCGACGTGATGTGAATCAAGCAGGTCACCCGAGTCGGCTTTCGCGGTGTTCATACTATTGAATGTAGTGGAGGAATTGAAAGCGTTTGGTAAATTCACTTATCCCAGAGCGTCCTGCTGAGGTATATAATAAGGTAGTGGCTAGTAGTTCCATTGAGATCTTTCGTCTCCGTTAGACTGGCTGCTTTTTGACCCATAGAGTGTCTTCCGATAAGAAACACGCCAAGCCCATCATGACGCCCTACATACTATCCCTCTTGTTTTTCTTCAGTCTGGTTGCTTCGCTCAGCTCTACTCCTACTGCTCCAGATAGTGATGGTAAGCAGGTATTCAAGTTTCTTCCCACATTCAGAACCTTTGTGTTGACTGAACACCCTTACCACCGGTGCAGCTCCCTCTGTTAGCCTACCCTGTCAAGGCCCCGACAACCAAGACCTTTGGGAAACGGTGCCAGACTGGTTGACAGGCGACGACGGTGAGTGAATGTTCATGCAAAGGCTGCAGATAAAACACACCATGGACTAAACATAATATTTGAACAGACCAACGTAGGTGCTTCAGCGACGAGGACTGCCCTATCAGCTTTCACTGCCGTGTCGGATACTGCATCAGAGCCCCACGCGATAGTTTGAAAAGAGTTGTCCGTGACGATCTTCAAGGAAAATACTGCGTTCTATCTCGCCCCCTGACCCGTGAGATGCGGAAACAGACACTAACATCACCACCTCCACTGCAGTGGGCAAGTGTAGCACCAGTATCGACTGCCCTCCAGGATACTATTGCTGGCGTGGAGGCTGCGTTCAAATCCCACGTCCTGCTTCGGAGCCACTTCTCCGTGAAGACAGCGATCGTCAGTAATGCCCCAGATCTGGTTGGCCAGCGGAGTAAATATTAATCGCCTCTACATAGAAGATTTGCCCCCTGCAGATGCTCAGCGATGTAAGCATGTGACCGATTGTCCAGTTGGCCAATGGTGCATGGACGGATTCTGCTGGCCATTTGATCAATCCACAGAGACAGCGGCCCGTGATGCAGACATTGGAGAAGCCTCAGATGGTCTGAAGACTCGGCAGAGATGCCATCTCCATGTGCATTGCGGGCCCACTGGGCTCTGCATCAATGGCTGGTGCCAATATGTGTCTAGTTCGATGTCTCTAGATACCGCAGGAAGCGTTGGAGTAGAGAAACGCGACATGATTGGACCTCGCAAATGCACGAGTGACCGAGACTGTTACCCCCGAGCGATCTGTGTGGACGGCAGATGCAATCATTCCCATGGAGGCGAAGGCTGGTAACCTTAAACCTTGTAAGAGGAAGACACCTTGAGTTATTCTAGTCGAATTGCGATCAGAATATTCTGGTATACTTCACGGTACCATGAGAATTGGGACACCAAGTAGCCTCGATACCGTTTGTGCTCTGCTCCAACAGGGTTAACAGGGGCCTATCCAATGCTCTTTGTTCAGGACGAGCGCCCGATCAGCCACCCCAACTTAATTCTAATGAAGTGTGCATTCATTATAAACCTTGGCGTAATACCTTTGGCTGTAGGTATATAGCTCATGGGCCTTATAGGCCTGTAGTAGGTGCATAGGCTGCAAGGGCAGACATTCAGTCGACATTTATGTCTCGAGTTCTGCCAAAGAAATAGCCACCCAAATCGTCATGGAAGTTGTATGGCTCTGTACTTCCCATAAACCCTAGTCAGTCGGCTCGTCAAGCGCCTACCTATCAAGACAAAGAAAAGTATAGGTCTTAAAGCGATCCGACTTTCGTAACCCTCGTCCTAATATTAGAACAGATCCGCTTTGGGAGCGCCCCACGAGAAAAAGGTTTTTGCCCTAACTAGCCTACGGTGATCGGACGATTACTCCTAGCCTCTAAGAGACCTATACGTCAAAATGGTGATAGAACGGTGCCGGTTCTGTCGGTACTTTTACCTAATAGCTATATCATGCCATGATTAAGCTAACGAATCAGTATGCTCTGAGCCCAACTATCCTTTCGCATATAAATCAGAAAGAGCTAGAATGACAGAGAGCTAGGACAACACATGCCAAGGTATGCGTAAAGAATATTCATATTAAACGAGAGTGATGGAGGACCCTGAAGCATACACGCAACCTAAACACTAGCTGTATTGAAAGGTTCGCCCATCCCCTAAAAGTGGAAAGTGGATTTACAGCGTAGTACGTATAAGTATTGCTGCTCTCCCAGCCCTTTGTCGACTGACAACAGATTCCCCGAGTCCTAGTCACGATGGCCTTCTTCCACAGCCCTCAGTGGCAACTTCTGAGTCTGCTGTTCGCATGTCTTGCTGTGCAGGTATTTTCCCTCTCTATTTCTGAAACACGGTGCGACAGTAAGTAGCCACTTCCACCTCTACCTTATATTTACTGGAATTACTCACAATTATGTGGCAAAGACTCTACACCAGACTGTGAATCACGGTATGCCATCTGCCTAGTGACACACATCTGATCGTGCACTCACCGCAAACTGTATAGAACATGTTTTTGGACTTCGAGCATGCAACGTTATATTGGATACTATAGGTCATGGAGTAGTGCTCGTGGGTCTGATAAACTTCAGCCATCAGATATCAATGTGGAACCCTGGACCGTGGGTTTAGAATACTCCCTTCCACTTGTTTAACCACTCAATGACCAGAGCCAAGCTGATAGTCCATAGCATCTCTACATGCCCTTCAATCCTTTTGGCCCCGCTGATTCGCTTGTTGCACCCCAAGACACCTCGTTTCGCAAAGACTGGAAAGACTTTTCCGATCTGAAGATCAAAAAGCCGTCTCTCAAGGCCTACTTATCCGTATTTCATTATGTGGACGAAGATAATCAATGGCCCAACATAACTCGCTCTTTTGAGGATCGGAAGGTTTTCATTGACAAGTTCGTTAAGCATATGGAAACGTACGGATTCGACGGTCTTGATCTTGACTTGTCAACTGTATATATACCAGGTATTTCACGAGAAAGTGCAGCGATCTACCCTGGGCTTCCTACTGATTGCTCCTGAGATAGATTATTCGACTGATGAGGCCAAGAACTTTGTCACCTTGCTAAAGGAGCTTCGCGAGTCATTTGGTGATAAGTACGCTGTATCAGCTACCATCGAGGCCACAGAATGTGATTTTATCCGTGAGACTCACTTGAGAACAAGACGATCTAATCCATAAAATAGGCGGCCTGAAGGGTCACGACCTTTCTGGAATGGCTGAGCATCTTGACCATCTCACGTTCTTTCCATTCTCTCGCACCACCAAATGCGCGAGACGACAGCCGCCAAAAACTGAAATGGATAGCGCATTTGGTGTGTTGTGACTCTCTTAGCTTTCTTTTCAAATACTAAACTTGACTAGGTATTGAACGTAGCCTCAGACTGTTGCGGCAAGCCAATATTGACCCTGATAAACTTTCAATGGCATTGGATCTGGGTGTTGATACAGACGAATTTGAAGATCCAAAGTGCAATACTGCCGGATGTCCTTCGTTACCAGTTCCTTTCGTTAATAACCGGGGTTTCACGTCATATGAAATTGAAAGTGTCATTGAACGCGAGTCACCAGAAGTGCACTATAATGAGTCCAGTGCTTATAGTTGGTTTATCTATCATGAAAATGACGGTCTCTTCAATGATTATCGATTGTACCAATCCCCGTCAAAGCATTGAGTGATGAAGCATACTGATATAAAGCAGGGTCAGATTCAAGAATGCCGAAGCGTTGAAGAAAAGGGCCAATCTTGCCAACAAACATTGTCTCGGGGGTCTTTTCGCCTGGTCCATAACCGACGGTGGACCGGCAACTCTGACTAACCCTAATGATTTAGATCCGTCTGATAAGAGCATGCGAGGCGCGCGTTTGAGCAATGATACAAGCTGGAGTACAAGGGCCACGCCCTTCGCTACGAGCACACAGAGCACCAGTTTGAGTACTGAAACAAGTAACAGCGACGCTGACACTAATGTCAATACGGAGGGATTATCCTGCCATCCTGCACTTGGAAGTGTCCACGTTCCAATTGCTCAGCTGGGTTGTGATTCTAACAGTACTTCAACTGCTTCTCACAACTCTGATGCACCAGTTAATGCTGAAGAGGGTGCCCCTAGCCCTACTCCCGCTGCTCCCCACGAAACTGGAACCCCCGATGAACCCAATGCAACGGGTCCTAAGCCTACTCTTACTGTTTCCCACCGATTGGTACTCCGACTGATAGCACAGAGAAGGATGATGATCCGGGCACCACTCCTGGCGAGTCCACCAATACTCCCTGAAATCCCACTGACATACGATATCTCTACCCTGGGACCCCACTCCGACTCGTCATTGTGGCGTCAATGCGGACGTAATTCCTGCGGATATGTTCAAGGTTGAGTGGCCAAGATATCAGAAAGTTGCTGTATGACTTATCTTCAAGTGAGAACATCGTACCCTTCTGGGTGTGAGAGAATGGGCTCACATTACGTGTTGACTATTATTTGGCAAATCCCTATGTTTGTATCATTATTGAGTTCCGATTGAGCTTTTGCCAATATAATACAAGCTTCTTTGCGTACGTCTTACCAACGAATGTAAAATAGCATGAATGGATCCTGTCAGCTTATTTGACAAACGGCCACTGTTCAAACCACTTAAATATATGATCTTTTCACAGGAGCCGCACTTGTTAACACGAAATCACAGGCCAGCCCATTGGCGTCAGTCCATCATTTTCATTAAGGCATATAAACAACTATATGTACATCATCACTATCACAACACTATCATGGAATCTCATTATACACTCTATCCTCGATCTTTGGCGGTTGCAGAAAGTCCTGGGGCACAGTTTCAGGAAGCTGATTGCGCTCTGCCCATTGCCGGATAGCTTCAAAGTTTCGACACTTGTGCTGCGTATTGAAATCGACGAATGGCTCGGGGTTCTCCGGGTGGACCCAAACTTGGCCAAGGACGCCGATGTCAACGGTGCACATGAGCTGCTGTCGTATAATGTCTAGGCAATGGGCTGTGTTCACGATTAGCATATGAAGAGCGAGAATATAGCGCGAACGGTCAATACGTACACACGTGGCGTCGGACAATATGATCATTGTTCACGAAGGCACCCTGGCCCTGCTCATGATAGTAGTCGTAGTTGTAGTAGAGGGACTGTCTGAGGAGATTCTATTGATTTGTTAACATGGCTACTTTAGTTATAAATGGTGTCAATCGGGGATAAGATCAACATACCAAACAGTGCAGATGATGCAACCCCTCAACGTTTGCAGGATACCCTCCTCCATACTTTTCGTTGATCTTCACTTGGTCAGGAGCAAGTCCCGACTTTTGAGCCTCTTCTGCAGGGACTCTAAGACTTCTGTCTGCACGGCTGTTAGCTGGATTTCATGCTGCATAAAGCGGCTGGAGAACGTACAGTTGACACCAAGAGCTTCCCATGCAGCATCTACTTCAGGGCTTGCTTCTTGCCGATAGATGTTTTCTTTGAGGAACGAGCCATTGAACTGTTCTTGGTGGTATTCGATCCCGACTTCTGGGATTACGGGGGCTATACTTGTGTTAGATATACGTCCTCATGCTCTTCCCTTGAATATATCTTTCTTCGGATGTGTTTTGGACTGGGGCTAGGAGCTTACAGTATTGGGTAAGTTGTCGAGTGCAGGCCTTATCCAGATTGTGCTGCTGACGTCCCAGAACAACACCTATTAAGCAGGAGAATACGGCGACTGCAACAAAAAGAAACCATTTTGCACATCTCTTGAATAGGCTCTCATTTTGCTTCTGCTCACGCGGCCAAGTGGCCTCCTCATCGGAGAGAAGCTTCTCGTCCACGTCGGAATCTGATACTGAATGGCGCATTTTGCCTTCGGTGTCGTGAGGAACAGATTATTTAATCGCGAGAGGAAGGGGCACGACGAAGAAACAAGGGCGATATAAAGTCGGTGTACACGGGGGGGCAGGAAATTTCGCAGCCGATGTTTAATTATGGCGTTCACGGTGGCCAACTCATATACGGTGCCCCACAGGAAATGGATGGCACGTTACGGAAATCGACAAGTCATTATGCAACCGAGGACAATAAAAATAGGATGTGAGACAAGGCCCGCCATTTCCAAGAAAGATCCCCGAGGCAACCGCTGTGTGCTGTAAGACAACAGCACGCCTAGCTGCATGTATGTCTCAGTGGTTCATCTAGGCTGCAGATGACGATTAGAGTCGATCAAATACGAGTGGCTCTTGGCCTGCGGAGAAGCTTGGAGACCCCATCCACTCCACAGTCGAGACTGCGGTCCATGAGACAATGATGTAAGGCATCTCGTCGCCTAAATTAGTTCTCTACTGCGAATTTACTCCCCTTCCGATCCAGTTTCGACCCGGTTGGGTCTTTTTACCGGCATATCCGGTCCTTTTGTGGCGACTACCCCTCGACTGCAGGGTACTTGTTGGCTTAGCACTTGGATAAGGTGGGATTCTCTGCGGGTCGAGAAGGTAGCACTGCATTGTTTAGCCACAATGTATCATCTGGAACCGTTGTTATTGGTACGAAGGACGGGCTGAGGAGCTCGTGTCCTGGTGGTTCATCCGACTCAAGAGACACGCCCAATGGCAATGCTGGGACAATTTACGAGATGGAGTAGCGATATGAGTCTATATTTATAGAAGCATCTCGGTGATAGCTTCTACGGGGTCTCGGAGATCCTATATAAATATTTCCTTCTTCCCTCGGTGATCAGCTTCTATTCATCAACCCTCTGAACCAGAAATCCTCTTCTGCGATCTTTAAAGTTCAATACTCTTCCAAGATGCACTTTACAAGCAAGTCCCTTCTGCTCGCCCTGGGCACTCAGATCTTGGCTGTGAGCGCCGCTCCCGTCTCGAGTGCCTCCTCCTCCTCTGAGGTCAGTCAGCCAACGCCTCCTGCCGGGGTTGCTCAATATGGCAACTATGGAGACTATGGCAAGTACGGCAACTACGCTTCCTACGGCTCCTACAAGAGAGATGACGTCCCCGAGGGTGAGGGTGACGATGACGAGCCTTCCAGCACGACCGCGGCCACTGAAACCCCTACCCCTACTCCTATCAACTATGGTAACTACGGCAACTACGGCCAGTATGGCTCTTATGGAGCGTACAAGTTCGAGAAGAGAGATGACAGCAGCGCCACTCCTACCTCCTCTACTACTGAGACGCCAACCGAGACGCCCATCAGCTACGGAAACTATGGCGACTATGGGAACTACGGTGGCTACGGCTCTTACGACTCGTACAAGAGGGACGAGGTCCCCGAAGCTGAAGAGAGCAAGACCACTACCGCATCTTCGACCCCAACAGCTACCCCTGTGGACTATGGAAGCTACGGCAACTACGGCCAGTATGGCTCCTACGGAAGCTACTCAGAGGCTGCTGTCGCTCAAGAATAAGCTGTGAGTGACGGTTGTGACCATGTACCACGGTCGCACTTGATGTGTAACGAGGCAACAGCCACTATGAATGAAATTTACCGAATAATGAGGACTTCCAGCCCATGGACGTCAAGGCTGTCAGCATGAACTGAAAACGTGAGACTGCAAGGGGGACGTAAGTGCCAGCAAGGGATCTGTTACCGTTATTTGTGCAAGCCGCAAGGATGGCCGTTGTCGATGGTGGATTGGATGGCAATACTTCACGTAGACGGATAATGCTTACTGAACATTCTTATCATTGCTCATACGTCATGACTAGTTAATTAGAATAGCATAAATATGCTGTGATTTATGTGTGTGTGTGTGTGTGTGCCTGCAACATAGTGTTTTGATCTATAGGAAAAGTTCACTTGGCGATGCTTAGCCGCACTAGCGAGGCCAAACCCTGAGAACCCTTCCCTTGAATTTCTAACAATCTTCCCTTCACAAAGCGAGATTGGACAATGCGCATGCCTGGGTTACAGGCTTACCCCGGGATCGGCATATTTGGCAATAGTTGTGGTCGATACTTACCCCATGAGTCATGGATCTGCATCGATCCAGCTGGCGGCCGACTCCGGCCTCCACTCAAGCCTGATTATCGGGCCTCTCTGCAAAGCGTATTTGTTAAGCTGATTGCACCTCGGGCCGATTTGAACGACAATGGGATTTAAAAATCTGACAAGTCCCCCTGTCCCTGTTCGTTCTCTGAAAAAAGAAAAACAAAACAAGCAGCGTTCTCCCTAACTCTTGCTCCGGACTCCTAGGGAGCAGCCCATTCCAGCACCATGGGTTTCTTAGGTCCGTGTCCTACGCATTCGCGACTCTACGCAAGTTGCTAATATGTCGCAGAGCCAGAGAAGAGCGCCGATGGCGAACTGTCGCCAGAGGCTCCTCGCGCCCCGATTAACGAGCGCAAGCTGATGGCGAAAATCGACTGGCACGTCGTACCGTGCTTGTGTCTCATGTATCTGCTCGCATTCTTAGACCGGTCAGTTGGAATGCGACTCCTATTGATGCGCCGATGCTAACCGAAGGCGCCGACAGAGTGAACATCAGTAACGCGGCCATTCTGGGCCTACAGGAAGACCTAAACATCGAGACGGGCACGAAATACAACACCGCGTTGACGATCTTCTTTGTGCCTTACATTATTTTCGAGATCCCGTCGAACATTCTCATGAAGAAGCTGAAGCCTCATCTGTGGTGTACGAGTTCCGTTAAACCTCCATGAAATCGAACGAATGTTGACGGTCGCTACAGTGTCATTATGTATGTTTGGATTCGGCTTGGTCATGATCTGCCAGGGTCTGGTGTCGAACTGGGGAGGACTGATGACTACTCGCTGGTTCTTGGGCATGTTTGAGACCGGCTTGTTTCCTGGCTGTAGGTTCGACTCACCCGATTGATACGGTGGCGAGCTAACCGCGCAGGTTTCTATCTGATGGGCATGTGGTACAAGCGCAGCGAAGCCCAGAAGCGCTTTAGTTTCTTTTTCAGCTCCACCACCCTCGCGGGTGCCTTTGGTGGTCTCCTTGCCAGTGGTCTCGGCAAAATGGAAGGTTTGCGCGGCTATCGAGGCTGGCGCTGGGTGTTCATTATCGAAGGTGTGCTGACCTGCGTGGTCGCCATCATCTGCTACTTCCTGGTGACGGACTTCCCAGAAGACGCCAAGTGGCTCACCGACGAAGAGCGCGAATTTGTTCGCGAAAAACTCGCTGCGGATACGGGCAAGGCTGCCCCAGATGCTCAATTAAGCTTGCGCGATGTGTTGGGTGTTTTCAAGGACTGTGAGTGCTTGTCGCAAATCGTCTGACTTCACCTTCGTCGCTAATCGTCGCCTCTACAGACAAAATCTTCATCGGTGGATGGATGTACTTCGGCCAGGTTGTCACGGCCTACGGTATGCGCTCGCATTTTTCTTTCCTTCCATGTATTCGTTCCATCACTGACCTCTCAGGCTACGCGTACTTTGCGCCGACGATCATCAAGACCTACGGATACGGACCCATCAAGACACAGCTTTATTCCATCCCTCCCTGGGCGGCGGCATTCGGGTTCTCCATGGTTGTCGCATTCCTTTCGGACAAGTTTCGCCATCGATTCGCCTTCGCATTCATCCCGATGGTGATTGCGATGCTGGGTACGCCATTCTGCTCAATATCCACGGCGAGGCACAACGGCACGTGCAGTACGGAGCCCTATTCCTCGTCACCATGGGGTGCTACAGCGCAATGCCAGTATTGGTGTGTTGGTTTTCGATGAATTTAGGAGGCCATCGGCGACGGAGCGTGGGAACAGCTTGGCAGATCGGTTTTGGTAACAGTAAGTCTGGTTTGATTTCTCCTATTAAACACCAAGATAACTAACCACGACTTTTAGTCGGAGGAATCATTTCGACGTACTCGTTCCTACAGAAGGACGCACCGCTCTACCGCAACGGATACATCATCAGCTTGTCCTTCCTGTGTTTCTCGGCGGCAATGGCCGTCGTGTACATCGTCGCGCTCTGGTTCGATAACCGGAAACGCGACCGGGCGATGGCGAACGGCGCCGTCGATAGCGCCGCAGAGGAGCAAGACGAGTTCTTGGGTGACATGGCGCTCACTTATCGCTACAACTATTAATCAATTAGTAATTAATGACATGTGAATTGCCTCGAAATTCTCGCTTCTTGACGCGATCGACCCCGATACCGGACTGTAGGTAGCATCTGGAGAAATTAGACCAGCAATAGTCTAAGCTGGTGTGTGGATCCTGAACTCGGGGTAGCAACCGATTAATGGGGCAGCGTACCCTCCGACCTCCTCATGCTTTTGCCAATGAGACGGCATTGGGTGGATCTAGTAGCTTCCCATCTCTGGATCTAAATCCTCGGTTCCTCAAGGGTCAGTTGGGGGTCTGATCGCTGGCTTCGGCATTGGGCAGTGACTCAGTGCCCCCGGATCACTTGGAGCTGGGCTTTCATAATTCTGGGAATTTATGCGGAATATTCCGTGCTTAACCATCTGGTGCCCAAGGGAGCTGTCAACTACCTTGGAGAGGCATCGCTGTCCGCCTATTTTGCTCTAATAATTACTTTTCGCTAAATGCCCAACCGGGAATGGGATGTCCGGACCCCCACGGACCCACTGCATAATCATTATGGTCCTCCTCTGAGTCCTCTCAGCAGGATTGAGACTACGTACTTGAGTTTTAATACATAATCTGCGTGGTTTCGCGATACACGTGATCCCCATGAGTATTAAATCTAGAGTAGGGAGTTCATGCTTTGGGGGCCCGCATGGTCAAAATTGGATTTTCTCTGGCCTTAATGCTACTGGGGGATCACTGCCCTAGTGTTAGAACGCAAATTTAGGATGCAGCTCCAATCAGTCTTCGAAACAGATAAAGAATAGATTAGTTGGTTCATCAAGTTATCCATAGTGGTTTTTATGGACCTTTGGGTAATTAACAGAAAACATGCAGAGATATTAAAGAAACCGAAATGTAATCCCGAAGTATACAGAAGCTAACACCTGGTAAGCATCTTTGTTTCTTGGCAGAAGCAGGACAGTTTGTTCCAAAGCTGCCTTGAGCCCTGTATTGACTGTCTTAGGCTAGGAGAAGACCGAGGTATCACATTGGCCAAAAGAGGCCTTCACGGCCGCTTCCTTGGTAGGATATATCGCTACGAGCCCCTAGTATTCGATCCCGCCTGAGTTTGCCTGTTCATAGCATACCTTCTGATAGCGAGTGCTGAGATCCTCCTCCCTTGATGCTATAGTTGTCAGATAGCAATATTGATCACAATATGTTCCTTTCATGATGTCGCAAACATCCTTGTTCTGTTTGGAGTTATGGTCGAAGTTGCCGGACTTGAGGCACATGGCCTCGACATAACGAGTCGAACCACAGCTACTAGGATCACAAACCATCCTCACATCGCCTGCATCTATTATGACGCTCCATTTGCCTCCCAGACAATTCTGATCACACCCTTTGTTGGTGCGGCAGTCTTGACCAGGAGCATATTTCGCAAGCAGCTGACACAGCAAACAGTGTGGTAACGGCTAGGAAGAGCTTCATGATGATTTTTGGTTGTGCGAAGGTAAGATCTGTGATTTGGTCAACTTGATGAAATGGATAGACCTAGTCCAGGAGGCGTCAGAAGCTTACTAGGGGTCAGAGGGTGGATGGATATCAATGTTGCAAGTCAGGGACATTGAGGATGTTGCCGCTGTCTAAAGTACTTGCTTCCACGTGCTACCAATATCACTGGCAATCCCGAACCACTTCTCAAAAGCCAGCCACAACCCACTGCCAAAATAACGATATACATCCCGCCGGGAATCCAGCCAATAACCTCATAGCGAAAACCAATCTCCCAAACCCACCGCGAACGAAGCGGGAAGCAAGCGGAATGCCAATGCTTGGCAGTCGCGCTGCTACAAAGATCAAGCTCCAACGCCATTCTTGGCCTTCCAATGGGACCAGATGTCCATTGCACGCGGTTATACTACGGACGGAGTCGCCAGTCTATCTCGACTATCGACCGGTATTAGTATGAGGGATGGTGGTTTCAGACCATACAGAACCCCCTATGTCCATGTAGCCGAGTCTTGGCTTCTTGTACACTTGCGATGAGCTCTCGCACACTTGCTGTGTTCTTCTTTGTCACTTTTATTTGAATTCCGTCCAATTGCTGACTCGGTGCACTGCACGCGATGGTAAACGTCCACTAGCTAGGCGGCATGTGTACGATGGGTTTCGTGCCATTGGTTTTCGAGATATGCCAGAGGTCCGGGGCATGGGTGGCAGGAATGGAGAAGTCGCGCCTTCCTCCGAGTGAGGTTGGCTACAGCAATATGAAAGTGAATGGTTGATCAGGTTATAAATAGGGAGGCTATTGCGGCGTCAATAGAGAATAGGAATTACTTCAATATCATCACACAGTATGGTGTATACATCGACCCTCCTCTCCTTACTTGCCCTGTCCACGGGGACATGGGCAAGCTATAATGCGAACTTGAACTATCGCAGCCCTTCGACCCGCCACACGGGCATGGGAATCAACATCGACTCCGTCCACCGTCGTAGCCTCGCAAAACGTGATGAAGCCCCCTTCCATCCCTCGCAGTTGAACTTCACCCATGGTGTAGCATCAGGTGACCCCTACGCGGACAGTGTGATCCTCTGGACTCGTGTCGCACCATCCCTAGAGTCTGACAGAAGCAATGTGACTGTGTCGGGGACGGTGGGATTGTACAATCATGATACGGAACCGTATATCAAGGCCTCGGCGCACCCTATCTGTGTCGATTATCGGGTGTATGAGGACAAAGAGGGACAAAGGGTGGTTGATAAAGGAAGGGCTTATACTACCAGTGATATTGACTATACTCTCAAGGTATGGCGACGGATGTCCTGTTTCTCCTATATCGTATTGACTATCCGACAGGTGGAAGCCAGCGGACTCAAGCCGTTCACGACATACTGGTACCAATTCCAGGTCTGTAACTCGAATGTGACCAGTCCTCTTGGAAGGACCAAGACTGCCCCGGGTGCCGATGATGCGACTGAGGAAATTAATCTGGCTGTTTATTCCTGCAGCAATTACCGTATGTGCGCCATTCTCTCTTGTGCTGTCGGAGCTAACCAAACTAGCGAGTGGGTATTTCAACGCATATGGAAATGCCGTCCGGAAGGACAGCGTCGACTATGTGCTCCATCTCGGAGATTATATCTATGAATATGAGAAGGGCGTGGTCGGACAGGATGAGCGAGCCGCCCGTCCGCAGGCAGACATCTTCTCTCTCTATGATTATCGGACTCGACTTGGACAAGTACGACCTCCCTTCCCTATCCATTATGGCTCCTACTAAAGATTCGTAGTATCGCACCGATCTTGACCTTACCGCATCCCATCAAAACTTTGCCTGGATTCCTATCTGGGATGACCACGGTATGACCATGCATTCAGCTCGATAGCACCGGTCGCTGACGATATAGAAATTGCCGACAACGGCTACAGAGACGGCTTCAGCCGTCTCAACAATACCGAAGAATCTTTCCGCAATGACAGCCCTCAAATCAGCGTCGACCAGCGCAAGATGAACGCCGTCCGAGCGTACTTCGAATGGATGCCTCTTCGGTTTGTCCCCTTGATGGCGCAGCCTATAATAATCATCCTAACATTGTTTCAGTCAGGTTGACATGGATGACGGCCTCCGTATTTGGCGATCCTTCAAGATGGGAAACCTCTTTGATCTGATCATGTTGGATACACGGAATTACGATCGCAGCATTACTGACCTTTGTACGTATGTCCCTCCGAGCGAAGACGCAAGCTAATGTATCAGACTGGAATACGGACTACATCGAAGAGATCCACAACGACGCCGGTCGGACGTTGATGGGAGGTCGTCAGGAGTCGTGGTTCGAGAAGCAGCTGACAGCATCTAATGAGCGTGGAGCGAAATGGCGCATTATCGGGAGTCAGCTCCGCTTTGCTCGTCTGGGACGGGAGACTAACGGAGAGGTCACTTATAACCTGGATTCTTGGGAGGTGAGTGTCCCATGTCTCCTCAGACCGTCAAATTGCTCACAAAGTAGGGCTACCGCGCGAACCAAAACCGGACCCTGAAGCACCTGTACGATAACAACATCGGCAACAATATTATGATCGCGGGTGATACGCATGTCAACTGGGTGAGTCTTTTCAATAACAGTGTATGTGCAGTTACTAACTGGAGCAGGTGAGCGACATAGCCTGGATCGGCGAGAAGCCGTATGACGGCAACACCGGCGCCGGTGCCATCGGAGTCGAATTTGCTGGCACAGCGGTGAGCAGCTCCGGGTTTGGGGGTACTATCAACAGCGCTGAGCAGACTGCCGCTTCCTACGCGCGCAATGAGGATCTGCAATGGAATGAAGGCTACTACCGCGGGTACTTTGAGCTGCGGATGAGACAGAACGAGGTGGAGGCCAAATACTTCGGTATGCTAGATGATACCGTTTGTGATTATACATACTAACTAACAGTAACTATAGGATGTCCTACTGTGGCTACCCGGAATAGCTGGGAAATCCCCCTGGCCAACTTCACGGTCAAGCATGACGATAACCATCTGGCTCGGCCTATTGCTGGTGGACAGGTGGAAGCGGGTTTTATCCATCAGGGCGCGGTGAAGCACAGCAACCTTACTCTTAACACTGAGACGGGCGAGTGGCAGGTCATTGGGTTTGACCAGATGTTTATCAATTACCAGTAGTTGGTTGTATGTATAAACAGTAGGCTGTTTGGGAATACGCAAATTCAGGCGACCTTCCCTGGAAAATGTATATAATACTCATGCATTGGTGGACGCAAGGTTCAACTTGTTCAAAATCTTTACTCTGGCAGAATGGACGTTGGTAGGATTCAAGTGATGCTGGCAATAAATATCCTGCACGTGCAAAGACCACGAGACGTCTCTCAACCCTAAAGGCGTATCACACGCTGACCAGTTGGACATGATCAGAAAACTCTCATCGCATCCTCGCAGTCAAAACAGCACAAGCACGGACCTAAATACAATATAAATTTGGGTACCTAGTGCGACCAGTACCGTACAGAAAAGGAGGCGTGAGCAATGATACCCTAACACGGATACCATCCTCAAACACAGCACCCATAAACAAAGCCCTAACATCTACACCTCAACAGCCATACATACCAACTCTCTTATACCACCTATAATCCACAAAAAGAAAGAAAATACCCACCCAATTCACATGGCAACGGACACACACGCGTCCCCACATTAAATCCTTAGCCTCCCAGCATCTAAACCAATGTCGCCATTTGCCCCGTTTCGCATCTTTCCAGAACAGTCCCATTGGGCATAGATGGAGAGTACAAGACCCACCAGGTTATCAATCAGCGCTTGGTTCCCTTGAACTAGGCTACTTTTCATTCTATTCTTTGCCTCTGGATTTAATTCACAAGGCGGGCGGGTTCTCTTCATTCGGGTCTTCACTCTTGAATTTGTTCTTGACTTTCACTCACAGCTCTCTCTCTCTCTCTCCACTCTCCACTCTACGTTGATTCATTCCTTTTCGTTCTCGGTCGACACATACTATCCTATAATCAGATCGCTCATTCTTCTTTCCTTCCTACTATACTATATTATATAATACCCTGTCTAATTAGAAAATAAAGTTGAAGAACTTACTAAAGGTTCGCTACATCCCCATCCCCATCCCAACTCACCTAGTTAACAAACCCCCCAGCCAAGCCGAAACAACCTATATACACGACCGAAAATGGTCCTCATCACCCGCGGCATCTCCCTCACCAACTTCCTCGTCGCATCCTCCGCACTCGCCTTCCAGGTCTTCGTCCTCTACCCCTGGCACAAGCAGCTCGACGAGAGCTTCGAGGATCTGAAGAAGGAGCATCTACGGGTCCTGCAGGCTTTGGATCGGGTCGAGCATGGCAAGGCTGGCAGTGGAAGTGGCAGTGTCACTGGGGGGAGTATTCGGGAGCAGATTGAGATGAAGAGACAGGGCCTTTGAGGATTTTGATCTGGGTTAGGGGTGGGGAGGTGTCATTGGGAGTGGAAGTTGGTTTTCTTGGGTAGAGGAGAGTTGCGTGTTGGGGTATAGACGGTATAGTCTAAGAATCTTATAGAGGATAGATTGATGCATGTCATTTTTTTTCTGTGTCGCTCTGAGTGGGTTGTATTGAGCTTCTGGTGTGGTTTATCCTCGGTCTATTGTCTTCATGGATGTTTTAGGGAACCTTTTGTAGACGTTGGGTTTCTTGCCCGGGGATTTTCCCCATACTTGTTTGATGTTGATGGGTTTTCGGCTCCGACCTGTGCCGAGTCGGGTCCGATGCTATGCCGAGTTATCTCCTTCCTTAGTTTATTTACTCTGTGGATTGTCTGGATGTCATGCTTGGACACGATCTGGGGAATGTGTAGATACGAGAAATAACATTTGTGGAGTACTCCAGTCACCCAACGGAGTCCTAATAGTTTAACCGGGTATGTACATACTTCCTAAGTTCTAATATATCTACGCGAATGGGATCGGAATCATCTGAGCAGTCGTAATTCATCTTTTTTAGATCATAGATTTCGCCGGACGATCGCTGCGAACATCAGAAGAGGCTCCATCCAGTCATCGTGGTCATTCATTATGTGCACATTCACAGATACAAAAAAACGCATCCAATCACGATCCATTCAAGAACAGGAACTGGAAAAGGGAAATCAACCCACTATGCAAACAAGTACTTGGCCGCATGCTCTACATGGTCATCCGCGAACGTCGCCATCGTGTAGTAGCTGTGGTCGTAGTCAGGCTGGTAGCGGACCTTGAGGCCCTCGACGCCGGCCTCCTTGGCGGCCTTCTCAAAGTTCTCGGGCAGAAGCTGGCCCTGCTTGTAGAAGTTGTCCCCGGTACCCTGTTTCAGTCAGTACAAGCTACACCAGCACATCAGATAAGCAAGACATACCACGTCAATGAGCACATCCAACGGCCCCTTCCACTTCTTCACGAGCTCCGTCGCGTCGTGCTCCTTCCACTTCTCCTGCTGGTCCTCGCCGAAGTAGCCACCGAAGGCCTTCTGGCCCCACGGGCAGTTGATGGGGTTGGAGATGGGCGCAAAGGCGGAGACGGACTTATACTTGCCCGGGTTGCGGAGGAACTATCCGTTATCAATATCTATGCATGGCCTGGACATGAGGGAAAGAAAGGAACATACCAGGGTCAGAGCACCATGGCCACCCATGCTGTGACCGGTGATACTGACACGGCTCTCATCCAGCTGAGGGAACGCGGCAAAGACGGTCTTGGGCAGCTCCTCCGTCACGTAGGTGTACATATTGTAACCACCCTGGTAGGGCGCCTTGGTGGCATCAACGTAGAATCCGGCACCGGTGCCGAAGTCCCAGGAGTCGTCCTCGCCCTGAATGTTCAATCCCCCTACATCCTTGTTAGCCGTTGTCACCTCTCTTCGACATGGCTCCATTGTTTCTAGCAACATACTCGGGCTGGTGTCAGGGTAGAGCACAGCGATACCCTTCTTGCTGGCGCCGTGCTGGAAGAAGCCCTTCTCGGAGCAATTGTTGGCCGTGCAGGTCAGACCGGACAGGTAGATGAGGACGGGGACTTTCTGCGAGGGGTTCTGGATGGCCTGGGGTGGCAGGTAGAGGTTGAAGGACATTTCGCAACGGGTGGAGGTGGCGGCATGGCTGAGCTTGAGGAGCTTTCCGCCGAAGGAGGCGATGGTTGCTTGTGTTGTGACGGACATGATGTGGTTTTCGGTGATTGAGAGGCTACGAAATTGGTGAAGAAGTATAAAAAAAAAAAAAAAAGGAAGAAATAGAATTCTATGGAGCTGAGAGGGAGGGAATTAAATTGACGTTGGTGTGGATCAATGAGGAGTGGGTGAGGGGAACAGAATTGATGAGGGGCATTCGTGAGGACTCAAGTCACACCCCCCACACCTCCTACTCACTGTTCTTCTCCCGGGCTATAAAATCATCGGAGGTTCCCCTCATCGCCCACCAGAACCTCTTGCACCAAAAGGTCCCCACCTCCGGGATATTTTTGCTCTTTTGGGAGATCGGGGAGATAATGGTGGAACGGATATGATCATATATTGTGGTATTAAGGTACCCTCACGCCATGAAAATGCCCGTATAACAATGCGCCTCTACCATAGAAAACAATCATCATCAGAGAAACAAAACAAAACGCTCGCACTATCCAGATGCTGATTCCAAAAACACCGACGGAACGCCATAAATCACCGGAGCCGCTCCGTTCAAATACTTCAACACACACGCCGGTCGCGACTGCGACACGGCTTCATCCAACGTCGCCCCGTCCGATCCGGAATCGAACAAGCCCCATTTCTCAAACGTAGACTGCGCAAACCGATCGATATCCTTATCGGTAACGTCCCAAAGGGTCGCAACAAGCGCGGGGCTGCCAGCGTGAAGATAGTTCATCGGCGTGCCGTAAGGCTCGTACTCGCCTGCCTCCGTCAACGTACCACTGCTGCATCCCATCAGGAACGAAACGGCACATTGCTCCAGGCGCTTGACCGTCCGCCCCCGGATATATTGCGCACCACTACCGTGTCCAAAATACAGGAAGAGATTCGTCGTCTCCAGGCCGCGCTTAAACTCGTCTTCGCTCGGCTCGCGCTCCATAATACCAGTCCAACCCTGCAGCGCAGACAGATCCTTCTCAAACGTGCTCTGTGTCGTGCGAAGGTCGCCAGTAGGGTTGAGAATATAGGTGCCACTATTGCGATTAATGCCCACTCCCCGACTAAGGTCAGAGTTACGCTTGTCCTGAAACTGCACAACTCGATCACGTAGACATTCCAAGGACGGCACCCGGCACACGGGGAACCCTTGTAGGCATGGGAGAGATTCCCACGGGAATAGGTGCAGGGATTTATCGAGTACCAAGACGGTATGGTTGGGGATGGGTTTGCCCCGGCGGTTGCTGGCGGCGTCATGGTAGGCCCGAACTGCGTCGAGGGTTTCAACCACCATCATATCGAAATCGATCTCATCATAGGCATTGCGCTCGCCCTGGAACTGTAGGATATCCACCACGAAGTATAGAAGGTCCATCAACGTCTCTTCCGGATCTTCTTGGTCGTCCAGGTCCGCAACACCGATGAACAGTTCCAACACATTCGGGTGCAGCGTCAGGCGCGGCCCCTCCGCCCGACCACCCTTCTGGCGAGAGGGAAGATGTTTGTCTAAGATGGTCTGGAATGAAGACGCGAATCGCGCTAAAGAGGTAGTATCATGAGGCAGGGGTGAGAAGATCCCTCGGAATCCCCCGAACCATACATTCTCAACGTTTTGCAGCAGAGTCTCCATCCGGCGATCTAGAGCCTCACGGTTTCTCCACCAGTCCTTCTTCATTTGCCGATCCGTTTGAGCTTTGGCAGCGTGGGAACTTTCGTTAGCCAGTTTGATCAGTTCTTGCATTTCCTCCCGTCCGTCGTCGAAAGTAAACTGCTCCTCCTCATCCTCCTCGGAGTTGCCTCTCTTCAACGGAAGCCGCAAAAGGAAGGGCGAACGACCTTGGTGCAGTCGTGAGACGATGAACTCACTACGGTCTGCGCTCAACGATAAAGAAAGGACATTCCAATTGTCGGGCAGAATCTCAATGTACTCTTCTGCAAATCTCGAGCTACACAGATCCTCGGGGTCCGCCGTCATTGCGGAAGGCGTAGGCCAAAGAAGTGGGTCGTTATATTCCGCCAGCTGCTTGTCAAGATCAATGGCAGTATGCTCGCGCGTAAAAGCACCGATACGGCCAAGTTCTACCCAGGTTAGAAGGTCGCCGCGTCAAAGGAGGGATTGTAGACATACCATTAACATTGGCTGGAGGTTGCGACCAGGCGGATATGCTCTCGGCTGCCGTAACATGAGACAACATGGAGATACGACTCATCAGGCGTGACGCGGAGTGACTATCCAACGTGGAGCCCACGGTGGTAGCAGTAGTAAAGACATTGTTGAGACAATCGCCAGCCTTGGAAAGCATCACAGCGAAGTCTTCGCTTGCTGTTTGCGCTCGGGACCGTGTCCCTCTGGCAGGTGCTCGAGGCTTTCGGGCCGTAGTTTTGGTGGCAGCCTTGGATGTGCCCGTATTCTTAATTGGTGATTGCAGGGAAGGCAGCGAAATTGTCGACTCGGGGAGAACACAGTATACAGCATGAGAAGCAAAGTTGCGAATAGCCTCCGCAAGGAAATGCTCACTTTCCCCAAGATGCACCGAGATCTGACTGTCCCTGGAGACTGCATATTTCCGGGCGTGTCAAGTAGGCATGAGGCCTTCTCAAAATCTCGTAAGGAGCGGCAGCAAGCGGCCTGTTGCCGCAGAATGTCGCTTCTGATCTGCAGCAGGGACTGTGATTCAGTCACGGTGTGGGCAGCTTTCGAAGGGGGGGCATCTGCCTTGGTGGGTTTTCTAGTTGAGGTAGTGGCACGGGTCCGCCGAGTGGTCGCGGCGGGCTGCTTCGTCCTTCTACTAGTCGGTCGGATTCGAAGACTCTCCATCTTGTCTTCTAGTTCCGGGACACCCGAAGAAACTGAAGCTGCATCAGAGACATCCAGACTTCCAAAATCAGCCATGATCCGGTCTGCCTCCAGAAGGGCCTGGAGCTCGTCACGGTAGTGACCCTGCGCTCTATAAAGAGAGGCAAGACCCATCTGCAGAGATGCGAGTTCAACGCTACTCTCTAGCTGCTTCGACAATGTCTCGGCAGCTGTGAGGAGCTCTTGGCCTTCAGAGATATGCCCTCCAAGAATCCAGTGTGACCCAAGTTGCGCCTGAGAATTAATCAAACGAACAGGTGCGTTCAGCGTCTTATTGATCTTCAACGCCTGCTCGCCGTAGTAGATGGCATCCTGGAACAGGCCGTGGTGTGCAGATAGACTTGCAAGGTTCAATAGAGAGGTGTGATGCGAGCCGATGTGCGGCCAAAAAGGGGCTCCCTGTGTATAGACAGAAGTCGTTGTATGGTTCGCCTGCGATACATCAAGCTTGGCCATAGTTTCAACAACGTTGTCAAGCTCGGAGCTATCCCCAACGGCAATAATGGGCACAGGCAAACTCTTTTCCTGTTTCTTCTGCGAGATTTTCTCAACCTTAGACCAGATCCGGCAGTTCAACCGGACAGATAGCTTAGCAAAAAAGAGAGCGTCCTTGATAACTCCCTGGGCGAAGGAGAGCTGCGAGCTCATAAAGGCTGCATCCGCGACCAATCTTTCCCAGGCAATCTTGGCCAGAACAGAGCAGCTGCTCCCATCCTGCTTCTTCTGGTTTGACTCGTAGAGTCTTCTAGCTGCTGATAGGTTGGCCGCCGCCTTCTCAGTCTCGCCCGTTTCGATAAGGTAGGCTACCCGTGCCAGTTTGTGTGATAGGGTGGCCAGGCAAGATACGTTAGGGCCAAGGTACTGCTCTGCGCGAGTGAGAAGATCGCCGGCCTTTTTGCAGTATCCAAGTCGACAGTACTGCTGTACCAGACGCGCGATTACGATTATAACTTCAGAAAAGTCACCGCCTTCTTGAAGCTCTGTGACACGTAGGACCAGTTCAAGCGTTGAAAGCTGGAGCTTCCAAAGCCCATGGATCTCGGTGTAATCGACTACGGCCTTCAGCTGGAGGAGGTAGTAATCAACATCACCGACGTATCGAACCAGGGAAGCTCCGTCGTTGCAGTTGCGCATCAAAGAGGTCCACAACGATATCATGAGGTTGAGAGTTTCAGGTTGTAAATCCCCCTGCAGAAGGCCAACACTCAGACGCACAGAATTATGCAAATGAGTCGCTAACGTCGCTAAAGTACCATCCTCAGCGAAGTCCCCAGCCTCCATAACCTCCAGACCTTCCTCGAGTAAATCGTGTAACACTTTCGACTCCAAACAGTTCGGGCGTTCCAGGGACGAACGCAGCCCGCCCAAGACTACTCGTAAGCGACGAATGGGGTAAACCTCCGGATCGTATAGCCCAAGCAGCTTAGACACAAGGCAGGTAAAGTGTGATCGAAAGGCTTCATCGCTGGAAGCATGTGAATGTAGCTCTGCCAGGATGCCCATTTGCCATTCCATGATATGACCTCTTACCAGCAGCGATTGCGACTCATCATCAAAGAACCCGGTAGACTTTGACTTACCACGCAACCTCAGTTGCAACTTCAGGTATGCAGTAAGGACTCGACCAAGCATGAACCCGTTGCTTTTGGGGTCCTGGGAAGTTCGGTGAGGAAAATTGGGACTGGAAATCAAGCCGTCCAACACTCCTGTGTCGATATGCTCTTGGATGGCCTGGGAAAAGGCCTGCTCGGCTTCTGCGCCCCTGTTCCCTTCCATGTAAAGATACGCAAGGCGTTCATACTTCAAAGCCGCGAACCCCGTGATTCGTTGTTCTGGTGAGCAACTGGACAAAAGATTCGCAGAGTGCTTCACAAGAGGCACCAGCTCACGATACCCCTTCCCACGCTCTTTCTCCTTCAGATAACGTGACCAAAACAGATTTGACAGCCGAACGAATGCCGCACCAATTTGGTCGAGTACTGACGGATCAGCTTCTTCATCCACGATGTCAATAGCCGTCAAAAGACGCTGGCAGTCTGTCAATGCGGAAAGCACGTCTTCCCAGGGAGGCCGTTGTGACATGATTGAGAATTTACCAACAGCGAGCGCTGAATCCACTGCCGAGAGGACGATGTTTCTGCACGCGCGAACCCGCGTAAGGAACAAGTCATCCTCCTTTGACTCTTTATCGGATGAAGATGGCCTACTAACATAGCGACGCAGAAACCGCAAGAAAGCAGGGAGATATTCGTAGATTTTGGAAAGGTCAATACCATTCTTCTCCCCTGCCTTGGTAACCAAGTCTCCATAGGCGCTCATGGTAAACTTTTTGAGTTTTGCTGCTTCAACCAGCAGCTCGTCGAGGTCACTGAGACTTCCTTTCAACGGCATGCTCAATGAGGAGGTCGCATCAGATACAACATTCGTAACCTTGTCGAGTGACGGTTTGGAAGATTTGCTAGCTTGAAGGTGTAAGGATGCAATTTTGCAACGAACAGTGGCGAGTAAAAGGCATTGTCCGCTAGAGAGTGGGTTGACGGCTTCGGTAAAAAGCTTCAGAGCTTCGTCAAAGCATCCAGCCTCTTGAGCAAGCTGACCTAATATAGTGGCAATTCGGGCGACCGAGACATTATCCCTCAGACTGGCCGTGGTGCGCTTTTGGGTGTTAGCAACGGCGGTCTGAAGTCGAACGATTGTTTTATAGATGGACGCAAACTCGGCTCTCTCGATAGTTTTGCTGTGATTAGAGTAGTTGGCGAGGTATCGCGTCAATGGGTCCCACATCTCCTTGCCTTCATCACAGGTATGACCAGACAGCATCCAGCTCATGCATCGGATCTCCAAGGACAGTAACTGAAGGGACAACGAGGCCGATGGCTTTAGACGATCGCGTGTTGTGTTGTGATTCGGTGGCTGCTGGACTCCAGCTAGGGATAATACAGTATTGGAAAGCAGTTGGAGTTGAAGTGCTGCTTTGTCTTTCGTGAGAGCACCCGATTCCGTGGCCGCCACGATGACATTCGCTGGGCTGCTCAATTCGGACAACTGCAGTGAGGACGCAACTTTCTGGACGGTTGCAAGTTTCTTTTCCGATGCTATCAGCCGTAGCGCATTAGATTGAAAGGGAACAAGTATGCTTAGCACCGGGCCGGCGTGGTCAAAATTGGCAAACGTAAGCAAGTCAGACATCCGTTCTTTGGTGGTTTCCTCCTCCTGAGCCTCATTTTTCCTCCTGCTCGTAGTTTTTGATCGCATTGTAGCCTGGCTGTCCAGATGTTGTTGTAGCCTTCTCTTAAGTCCTCTCAGTTCTTTAGAAGCCATTTCATTCAGGCCTAATGACAGATACCTCCCCGCCAAGACGCATGCACCTTGCTCCATCTGCATGTTCGGGAATCCATCCTGCTGGCCAGAATGCTCCCCTTTTAAGCTCCTTAGAGAAGACAGAGCCATGCTTGCACATTCTGCTACAGCAACCAGCCCACTATCCAGCTCATCTTCCGGTGACGTCTTCAACTTTCTGGGTGATTTCGCGCCACGACTCGGCGATGGGGAGCTACACGCTGTTCGAGCCCAAGCGTCGTCGCGTTTAGCAGATAGTTTCGATGCATCCGAGAGGGTTTTGAGGGTAGTGTTAAAAACGTCCGTGGCGAGGACGAGCTTCTCTTGAAATGACAGACGCGCAGCATCCATTTCCACGACTGTGTTGATGGCCGCTTCTTGTGCGGAGACCTTCGTCCCTCGCGACGACTTCGGCCGAGTGGAAGTCGCTGTCGTTTTTGTCGTCCTAGTTCCCCTCTTTACTGTGGTTTTATCAGACTCCGGTGACGTCTTCGATAGTCCGCGGAAAAGGGTCTGGAGGGAGATGACGGTGGCATTCGAACATGTTGACGTGGAGCGAACGGCCTGCTTCACCGATTCCACTGAGGAATCGGAGAGAAGGGAGGTGACCGCCATTGGTACAATTGTATCCTTTGCTGTGAGTATTATAAGTTAGTAGTTCAGGCCATTCGGAATGTTCGATAACGTGGTAGCTTGTGTGGCTTGTCTCTGTGACATCTGTGATGGTTATCGCTTGCCGTAAGCCAAGCCCAAAGGCCGTTGTCGTAGCAACATCAGAGCCACTACGCCTAGAGCGGTATAGCGGTGCCAAGGCTCCGAGACTCCGATGTCCAGGACTCTTTTCAATATCTCATGGCTTGAATTATGAATTCGACATCGCAATCCCTCGCAATACGCCCGAAATTCTAGCAAACATGTCTTTCACGAGACTTCCTACCCGGTTACTCTCCATCACACGAGCTACCCCCCAGCTCATTGGGCGCACTCCCATCCGAGCGCCGCACCAAATTCGTTTCGAATCCACGAGAGTGCCACGATTAGCCCAAGCCTCGATCTGGAGCTCCATGGTCCCTAAATTCATCCGAAACCGCGGTCCCAAAGAAATAACAGCCGAGTCTGAGAAGTCGAAAGAATGGAACCCCGCTAGCTTCTACATCATCATATTCATCTTGATCGGGTCACAAGCGATCCGGATGATCGCGCTGAAGAACGACTACCGCGCATACACGCGGACAACAGACGCTAAGATCACGCTTCTACGAGAAGTCATTGAGCGGGTGAAGAATGGTGAGAAGGTAGACGTGGAGCGATTACTGGGGACTGGCGATCAGGGCAAGGAGAGGGAGTGGGAAGAGAGTTAGTTCTCGTTATTTTGCATCGAGGATTGGTTACTAACTTCTGCTGGCTAGTTCTGCGTGAGATCGAGGAAGAGGATTCGCTATGGCATCAAAAGTCGAAGGATCAAGAGCCGGATCAACAATCCCAGTCGAAAGAACGACAGGTGGAGAGCTCGCAGAAGAAGGATCCAGTTATGCCTGCTGAAGGTGCCGGAAATGAAGAGCCACCTGCAAATAGCCCCTCGAGACGAAAGATCAATTTCTTCTAAGAATACTTTGCATGGGATCAGCCAGCTTGGGGGTCCAGATTCCAGCTACATATCTTGGCATTTAGCCAATACGGGCGTGCTCCGACCGGAGAGTATGGAAACCTCGTGAGCTACCTCCTGTTCCGTAGATGCGGCCGGGGTGCGTTACTGTGATTGGTCATTGTGATAATATGTTCTGCATCTTTTGATAAGCGGTAGGTTGCATTGATTTTTAGCGGTCCTGTACAAATGGGCTAACGACGGGTATATTCAAGGTCACCTGGTTGAGAAATTGTTAACCACAGTTACACCTACACTTAGCATGTATATATAAGGGTCTGTCTGTACCAGCTCTTATGAGATTTTATGATACCCCACGTCATTTGGACCTACAATCGTATTACTCTGGTATATATTACTTGTGTTGGATGTCCAATCTCATAATATATAATTCACACAGTTGGTACCTGTACATTCGTATATAGGATAAATTCACACGGTCTAGGACATCTCATGCAATTCGGGAATGGTGCAAATCTCTATCCCTTCCCCGGTCTATTCCTTTTTTGATACAAGGTGCAAATGCAAGGTGGTTCTGTACGGGCATAAGAGAAAAAGAAATGGCTTTCCAATCAGAACCCCGGGTACTAAGCCAAAAGGAAACAGTTCAGATAAACAAAGAGAGAGCAGAAGGTATTTCCAATCGAAGACAAAAGAAGGCAAAAACGGAACCGGAACGTCGCTAGTGAATACAAAGTCATGCTTAGTTAGTGCTGGGTGTCTGCATAAACTTGGGCCATTTGTCGGCCTGGGGGATCTTGACACGGCCAATGTTCTCGTCGAGATCCAGGATCAGCTTCAGGGCGTTTCTGGATCTGAGGTATGGCAGAGGAGCCTTGGCACCCTGGAGGCCGACACCTGGCTCGATCTGTCCACTTGGAGTGGCCTCTTCTTGCCCGGGCATGGGCAACCACTTCTGCAGAAGTTCATATGACGCAAGGGTGAAACCGAACTGAGGAGAAGAACGAATGATACGGGCAGGACCACCCTTGAAGAAGGCCTTGAATCCCTCCTCCTTCAAGATCGTCTGGGCACAATGACGCAAACCAGTGTATCCGACCTCGCCCTTACGAGCCTCGACCTGGAGACGGGTCTTGATAACATCGCACGGGGTGGTCAGATAAGCAGCGGGCATACCAGCGATCGCACCAGCAGTCAGCAACTGCACGACACCGAGCTTGTGGGTGGGGGATTCGCCAAAGAAGTCGCTCTTCAGGTGAGCGTAGGTCGGGAAGTAGATCGCAGAGAATGGAACTACCGATCAATTAGAATATGGCTCCCAAACGGGCAAGAGCAGATGAGTCCTTACCATCACGGAGCAAACAGGCACTGGCTCCCTTGTACAGACCGACCAGACCCAAGTTCTTCACAATCCACAGGGCCGAACGACGAGGGGCACCCTCAACGTTCTTCGCAATTTCACCCTGAACCTGCAGACGAATCTTGACGATTTCAAGAGGGTTGGTGAAAATCTAGGGAGAGTTAGCGGTGAGTCCAGCGTAACGGTGGGGTGCAGTGCAACTTACCACTTGACAACCTCCAGCAGCACCACCGGCAAGGATCTCGTGAGGATACCAGATCTTGCCATTCTCCTTATTCGTAAAATGACCACGGACCAAGTCGTTGACTGTCAGCTTGATGGCCTTCTCGGGCGCAACACCAATCAGCTGAGGTACAACACCGGAATACAGGCCGGTGAAACCCTCATTACGGATAACCTTGCGCGCACAATCGAGTGAGTTGTTGTACAGTCTTTCGCCTACCCGCGTAGACCGCTGGTTCTGCATACGAGTCTTGACCAAGTCAATGGGGTAGACCATGAAGGCACCAAAAGCTCCTGCCAAACTGCCCAGCGCGAAATGGTGGGCCGACTCCAACACGCTGTACAAGACCGACTTGGTCTTGTCCGCCGCCTTATGGGCGGTTGAGACGGCGGCTTGACCAGCAATGGCAAGGGGCATCCGCCATGAGGCATCGATGACCTTCGCGAAATCCTTCTGAGCGAGCCGGCCGGAGGGGGCATCCAGGCCCGCGAAGTGGAACAAGATGTCCGCTTCCATTGGGGTGAACAGGGAGAAGCGAGTGATCCGGGCCGCCTCGTTCAGGAAGTCGGCGCGGGTGATCTTACCGTCGTCACTCTTCTGGGTGGCCTCACGCACAATGACATCAATCATGTCCATCTCGCGCATGATATTTTGGAAGGCACGGACGGTGGCATACGAGATCTTGGTGCCCGTGGAGATGTTGCACAGACTGGGAAGGTGCTCCAAAACGTAGTCCGACAGCTTGTGTTTCGAGGTTTCCAGGATAATGCGCTGGAAGTCTTCGGGCTCGATGTAGCCATCACCGTCCTTATCGAAGATGTGGAAAGCTTGGCGGATGCGCTCCCCTTGCAAGCCTCGGAGCATTTGCGCGAACTGGGGGTAAGTCATGTCATGGCGACTCTTCGTGCGTCCGGTGTACAGGGAGGCCCATTCCGAGTTCCAATCGAAGGGAATGCTGTCCTTATCCTTGTTCACGTTATACAGGTTCTTGAAGGTGTCCCACTTCACGGCGCCTGTGCCGTCGGTATCGAACAAACGGAAGGCGATCTCGTATTCGGCATCGGGTTTCGTGAGGAGGTTCTCGAAGGTTGCCCAATCGCTGAGGCTGAGCTTGCCAGTCTGCTTGCGATCCGCAACCTTGAAGAGGATTCCGTAATGTTCACGCTTGATCTTGTGCTAAAAAGGGTGAAATGTCATGTTAGCTGGAGGTCATGCGAGCTCCGCGACGGCGATGACACATCATCGTTGTCGCAACATGAAAGCAGCAGAACACTCACATAATCCTCATGCTTGGGGGCAATAGCATTGACGAAATCGTCTTCCGTCATGTATAAGTCTCCGGTGTCCTCATCCTTGCGTGCATGACGAAGGAAATTCGTCTTGGCCTGGTGTGATGGTTGTGACTGATCCGTACTGGAGCCAACCAAGGACTCTTTTACCGCGTCCTTGACAGTCATTGTGATATATTTATATACGAACGCAAAGAACGAAAGGAAGCAAGCAATTGATGCAAGTCACTGAAGGAACCAAGCTTCAGGACAGATGAACACTAACTAGGAAGGCCAACCCAAGGGATCCAAACAGGAAAAGAATGGAATTATGAAGGGGTTGGGTTGGGATAAGGGAAAGTGTGTGGAGAACGGAAATTAGTTAGGGAAGAAAAATGGGGGGAAGCGTAAAGTGATAGTGCCAAAGATGATCAGTTGTTCTGGGGATGAACAATGACTGTGTTGGCTTTGTCTTTAATTATTTTTCGGCTTTTCTATGAGGGAAAAAAAAAAAACAACAAAGTTTGTCTTTATTTTATTTTCTGGTTCCTTTTTTATCTTCTACTTGTTTTTTTTTTTTTACCTTTTTGCCTCTTGAAGATCAGATACGCCGGGTAATAACCTCAGGCTGCCAATCACTGCATACTTCCCAGCTGACAGGCCACCACCCTGCGAGACAGCCATAATACTACTCGTAATAATAATACTAATAATAATAAACATGAATAAAACTAAAAATAAAAGAAAAAAACTCGGACGAGTCACGCTGGCCACTGGAACCAAGACACACCGCCCCTGGAATGCGTAAAATTACCCGGCACGGTGATTGATTCGCAACTCGGGACTGGAAGCCGACGGTTTCTGATTTATCTCCGCATATCCCCTCATATGTCTTTTAGTGTTAGTAACTTAGTATTCGTTAAATGCCTCGTTGCTTCGTCTTCCACTGAGTACACGGCCCTTGAAGAATGATACATATACGGAGTGCAACATCCAATCGTCCAATGGCCCCTTTGTTCATACGTGGAACTGCCATCCAACCCAAGAAAAATTTGGTTCCAGTAACGTGAGCTTGATTGGTGGTTCCGAGGCAGCCTTTCAGAGGAACGAGATTCTGAGCCACACACACACACACAACACGGTAAAGTCCGGAACGTCTGCCCAGCCATGATTCGATACCCGCACCGGCTGACCCCTGGAGCATCACCGAGACTTCCAGAAGGCGTTCAAGAAAATTCTGTGAACAGGGATTGCAATGCAGATAAGAGATGAAGCCCCAATGGAGATCCAAAGGAGACAAGTCGATCTCCCCCTCACAGTTTCCTCGTCTTTTCATGTATACTCCGATCGTATCATTGTTGGCATCAAGATCGGAATGCGATGAACCGTTAGCTAACTAGTTATGAGTGACCTGACTAATGGCCCTCTTCACATGACACGTCTGTCTTGGTCCTCGCTGCTAACCAGACCAACCCGTCTCGGGCCGATGTGAGCGGGTGGATTCCGCCCACCATCTCAAATGGTCGACAGATGCCTCCGTTCTCGGTGGGGGGAAAGAGAAAGCCGGCGGGTCCAGATTTGGAGAACCAGGAATCACGCTAAGGTACAGTAAGGCTGGAAATCTCGATGCCTGAGGCTGGCGCCTCTTAGAGCCTTGGCCCCCGGCTGTTTCTCCGTGTCCTGGTCCTGTGACCCTGCACGTCCAAGGGTTCGACTCGGTTCTCGTCCGATGTTTCTCTCAATCGTCCTCAAGGTTGGATAAAGGGAAAACCTCATCGCGGTAGATCCCTTTTCCATGTTCTCCCAGCAACTCAAAACAAAACAATACAGGGGAAATCTCAAATCAACACGTCACCGCTTTCCCACTTAATCAACCCAATCCTCCTCGCTTAGCAACGAAAACCGTATGATCACGTCGCCAGACATCGAAGAAGATACCAAATCTCACCGAAAACAACAAACTGGTCTAGTAACCCCCTCTCGGCATCTTACGGAATAACAGAATCCTCCAAGAAACAACCATTGTGATTAAAGCTACGGAATTGGCAAATCTCATGCGGGGAAAGGTGTTTAACCTGCCCGGGAAGGTAGTGGATCTACATAAGCAGATAAAGTGCATCGCCGTAGGTTTAAATTATTAAGTAAAAAGTACTGCTAAGACTCCATTATTCCTGCCGAGTCGAGTATGTCTACCCGGGCGCCGAACCCCGGTGTTCGGATAATTGAGGGAAATTGTTACCTCGTCCAGCGAAATTGGGGTGATGTGATCTGTGGCTGGGTTAGCTTGGAGCTACCAAGGTTATGTTGGGGTTTTATGTGCATAATCATTTGCGGAGCGCAACATGCTCTGCAATTATTTTATATTGCTATCTTGATGTTGATATTCTGCGAAGGCACTTAGACGAGACTGAGATATAGAGGGCAATTCATGAACAATTGGATCCAGTTCATTCAATACAGAGTACCATGTATATAATTAGTGCTAAGAATTGACAAACTTCGGGATAGTGCCGAAGAACGTCCTGCAGAAGGGTACTAGTAGTTCGAGCGTTTACAAAATATATATCAGACACATCCCACACGTGACCTGAATCCCCGTTCCCTCGGAGTGTATTTCATCCAAAACAACACAAAGAAATCCGGAGGTCAAATGACATAAATCGCATTCAACTGCAAATAAAAGCATTATGTTCAAGTTAAACTATATTCGCGTTGCTACACTAACCCGGATAGAATGAGAAGCCTCACATGGCGCACCGCTTGTGATTACGGGCCGGGAGAAACTGAAATAAACCTGTCTTCCAATAATGGCTTTCACTAAAATGATATGTAGCCCGCGGACTGATTGAATCATGGGACATACAATCTCAACGTTCAGTATTCCGTCCTCGTTATCCTATTTTTCACAAATCCCGGAAGACTATGTAACTCCATAATCCATTTCGTGGCACTTTCTGCTGTCAAGCATCAAGGAATGACACTTCCTTCTATCATCTCTACGAGTCCATCGAGATGCAGAGAGATTAGAAAGCTACAGAGTGGGGAGTTATCACCCCACAACAATCAGGGCCCGGTTTCGCAATCGCTATCGAAGGGTTCACAAGCTCGGCCACGACACGCACTCGATGATCTGGCTGATTCAAGATCAAAAGCTCGAGCAATATATCGCCATCAAAGTGTGTACCGCATGTTCAATCCACTTGAGCTCGACGTTCTGTCCAGCCTTCAACGGAGCCCGGACGCAAGCTTAGAGAGAACCATGACGCCCATGGCATTAAAAAGATTCAATATCCAGAACCCCAATGGCACACATGCCTGCTATGTGACAACCCAGCAACAACGAGCCTCTCTGAGGCTAAGAACTTTCATTTAGGCCTGAAAGCCATCCCCCTACTAAGCAGATCCTTGATTCCGAAAGGATGGTGAAGTGAGCTCTGCCTGAGTACGACACGATCTGAAAGACTTGATCAGAGCACGGCACAGCGCCAGTGAGCGCTATAAGTATGTGACACCACAACATCAACCCAGAGTTTCAGGACGTGGCTCTGCCCCATTAGGACCAATTCCTTTTTGAGATTCATCTATAGGCAAATAATGTGCTCTATGTAATATTCATGTTTCTGCCTCACGGATGCAAAAGATGCATCTCATCGATGGGACAGGGCTACCTAAGCTTCCGGTTCTCCTAGCTCAAAGCAGCCCATCGTGCCATGCGCTGTGGTCCGCTATCTCGATGACTTGCCAGTGCGGTTAAGGTTTGATGACACACATGAGGCGCAATCCTAGCGGAAAGAGGCTGATAACCCAGAAACCTGGGAAACGGTAAAGCTCGAAACAAGGCTATGCTTGATGGAATGTTGGAAGTACTTCTAACGGATAAGTTGTCATCTACTTTCCCTGTCAATCAACTCCCTGGGCGTATATTCATCATATACAGCCCGAAGACCACACAATGCTCCAAATCGACCCCCAAACCCCACCACGACATGCGTAAGCAGCCATCGCACATAGAACGGTCCATCCAGAATAACAGGCCAATTGTCCAACCTATGAAAAATAGTCCACAACTGAAGCATAAATATCGCGCTTCCAAGCCAGCCCTTCCCAGTATGTCCCAGTATAACACTATTCAAGTTTCGAAAGAAGACTTCTTTCAATCCATCCGCGGGATCAGTCCACTCCTGGACGATGAGTTCGTCGTTGACATCGGGGTCGTCGTCAAGAACGCGACTCCACTCGTGGACGGCAAACTTGGGGATTGTAATGATTCCATCGGAAGGACGGTACGTGCAGGTACGGTTTTGGATGATGACTCTGGCTGCTCCTTGTATGACGCGCAAGTATTCGGTGTGGTTTTCGTGCCAGTGTGAGCCTGATGTCCACGTACTCTTTGGGGGCAGGATGATGGTGACGGTTGAAGATGGGGGCTCTGGGAGAATGTATGTGACTTCACCAGGCCGGGTGAATGTGTTCATGTGCTTTGTTTCTGTGCGAGACATCTTTGGGACTCGAAACTGGAAAATATTGTAGGATAGCTCATAAGTAATATTTGGGGCTTATAAAGGTGCATTGCGGCCCTATTCCGCTTGGATGATTAATGTACATATAGTTTACTAACGTACGAAAGTAATCCTTCAATATGAATCTGATACTTTTACTTATTGACAAATGGAATCCTATGATCAAGATAGAGAAGGATTAAATTAAGCATTTCAATATTCTTTAGAACTCTTACATAGAAATTTGTAGCAGTAAGTATTCAACCTAGTGAGTGCATTGGACCTTTCCCAATAGATACATTATTCAATCTCAAGGGTCCTTCTTTCAGTTGGGACAAGTGGTAGGATAGACAGTTATGTGGTAATCATAATATACAATGGTCAAATAGGAATTTAGTCAGGCACACAGCTATGTTATCTGTTTAAACATGAGTATCGGCAGTTCGCACGGAGCAAGTGCATACGTTAGGGCTTCACACGGCAGACAGGCGCAGGCACTAGGCCATACATTACATAGCACCGATCTAAAGTCAACGGGATTAATATTCTCCTAGAAACTGTAGGTATCGCATGATTTAAGTATTTATTTATCGAGTATAGAGCGATATATTCAGGCATACGCCCCGGGGGAAATAGCCATTGATTGGCAGACCATTCTACTGTAGTATTATATGCATCCAACGTTAATCATATGAGAATAAAGCCCAATGCGCTAACAGATTTGCTGTCCGGTACAAAAGAATATCGAAGAATATTGCTTTTTATACGCGGGAACTCATAGTAGGCTGAGCGTTGGGATGGGATAGAGGATAGGAAGACTACTCCGTACTAGACGTCCCTATGTTATTTTAAAGATCCAAAAGGAGTTATTAGGAAATATACACCCCCTACACTTGTCTAAGATTGCAATATTATATCCCTTTTTTTTGGTTATGTATATCGGAGTGAACCTTTTTTCTTATTCTTCTCTATTAAATGATACACCAGAGGCAAGCGCTTTAAAACTACCATCTATCTCTTGTAGCACTATCACACACCGAATCAGGTAGTTCAGAATAGTACTCCCTAGCTCAGTGTGACAGCGCCACTTGAGTGATAGATCCTTGTCTTTGGGACTAAAAGTGTCACCGCATAGCATTTGTGATAGTGACGCAGGGTGAGCGACCCGACGATGATCATTGGAAACTCTATCTGATGTCCCACTTCGCTCGAAGAAACTCCGGTATAAAGCTTAATACAATGATTTTACTGGATCGTCTACATGATTACCCTAAAGGATGTTGAAAAGTCTATCATGGATGTCTGTGGGAAAGGGAAGAAAGAAAGTAGAAGAAAAGCAAAGCAAAGGGCAAAAAAAAGCGTCACATAAAGCACTCGGGGCAAACGATCCATGGCTCTAACGGCGTGGGGTCCCTTTCATACTCCCAATGGACCAACGGGCGAGATCTAAATATATCTTACCAACAAATAAGGTGAAACTTCTGCAGGATTGCCCCTGCGGTTCCTTTTATGTTGGCTGGGTGATGGGAGACCAACTCACCTGATTCCGGACTCGTTTACTTTGAACATCAATTGATCGCCAGAGACCCCGGTCCAGGAAGGGTTTCTATGATTCGCCTCTTGCCACCAAAGGCTTTCAGTCTAAAGTGTGATGGAGATGTGCCTATGTGCTTGAGCGTGCATCTCGTTGGCGCTTAACGGATGAGGGTGGCGTTCATTGGCCAGCAGACCAACCCTACTCGCCCGCTCTTGATCGCGATCGATTGATGCAGTCAGTGAACCAAAGGCTATATAGCCGCCCAACTCTCCCCCGGTCTTCGAACCCTTTCTATTTTTTGGTGCATTGCTTGTTTGAGGTTTCCTTTAGTCTCCCCTTTCAGTTCTATTTTCGTCTTCTAGTGGTTCGTTTGGCTGGTCCAGACGAGTGCTATTTTTTGAGTCTTCCTATTTTTGGATCTGCCTTACGTCAATAATAGTATCATTTACACGCCCTGCGTCTAAGAAACCTTCGTTGACCGAAGTGAATCATTAGCGCTCTTAATATCTTTTCCCATTACTTTAAATCTCCTGCACTTCCCCCCAAAGCTGTGTCCAACCTCCACCTCCACAATGATCCCCACTGCTCGTGCTGCCGCAAGACCCAAGTTGAGCCTGAGCATTTCTGCTGCGCAGAATACCTCTCGGCCAACACTGTCGCTCAAGTCCCCGGGTCCTCTCCCCCGGACTCCGATCTCCCCGTCTGCTGCCAGTCCAAGTTCGGCCCGGTTCTCATCCCTCCAAGTCCCGAGTTATGGTTACGTCAACGCATGTTCCTCAAAGAGCATCCTCAAGAAACAATCGACAGCGGTCGCAGTTGGCAACGTCAACAAACGTATCCAATTTAAATGTACCCCGACTGTCCACTGCGTGACGCCCATTGAGAACCCTGAGGAATACTACGGCACGCATACCAAGATGTCGCGCGAAGAACGGCGTTGGATGGTGCGCGAATGAGCGATCGCCGGTAAAACTTGCTGAACAACACCTACACAGACGGAACGAAAGGACGACTCTGAGTTCGAGGCCTTGTCATCCGTTGGACCCATTTCCCGCGACCGTGCCCGGCCCTAATTTTGAATTGATAAGCAACTTGCAGCACAGATGCAGCAGAGCCTGTGGAGGGCCGTCCGCGCAGAGCGTCGGACGTCGAGAACGAAAGTCAAGGCGACGAACGTCCCTATCGGAAAGGAGGGCAGTCTGTCAATGTATATATGATTCTATTATGCTTATGATGTGACGATAAGATCCATACCCAGTATAGCATGAGTGAGCATTAGCCTGGAGAAATCCAATTACAGTCGTTACGCTCCATTAGTTGCGTTCAAACCCGTATCGTAGTAGAATATGGAGTCAGGCCTGGACAGCTCTCTCACATGCTTCTACTTGTTTTGCATTCATCAATGATCGTATTAGTCAAGAAAAAAAACAAGCAGACGCATTGTAAACTGATGATGTTCCTGCTCTGCGTCATTACCATTTCGGTCATGGTTTAGGGCACCCTTTAAGGGCTTCTGTGGCCCGTGCGACCGAACGTCAGGTCTTTTCCGCAGTGGTTTATCGCCGTGTCCAGCCGGAGCACCATCTCTATAACTCACCCCAATGTTGAGCTTGAGAACCCCCGTCGCGAGTTTTCGCAAGGCTATATGCAGCACAGCTAGATGTAGCTTGTTTCCTCGAAATCGGGGCCTGCTCACTTTCGCTATTGAAACGTCTTGGTGAGAGCGATTCCGGATCTGAAGCAAGCCTGACTGCTAACTTGTCTATCTACACTAGCGATGACACTTCAGTCGCAATTGTTGAAAAGAACGAAGCCACGAATGCCGCTAAGATCCATTTCCTTGAAAACGTGACGGCCGACTCAAATGAATACCGAGGTGTCCACCCCATTGCGTCCCTCGAGTCGCATCAAGAGAACCTCGCGAAGCTGGTTGATAAGGCGCTGAGGCATTTGCCCGTCGCCTCGGAAAATGCTGGAGGACACCGATTGATAACGCTCGCGGATGGCTCCCAGCCGCGCTGCAAACCGGACTTTGTATCCGCCACTCGAGGGCCGGGGATGCGAGCGAATCTCTTCGTCGGCTTAGATACAGGGAAAGCACTGTCAGTTGCGTGGCAGATCCCTTTCGTGGGTGTTCATCATATGCAAGCTCACTTGCTGACACCCCGGCTTGTGTCGTCTCTAAGCCAGGATCCAGGCGCCAGTGGTCACACCTCACCGCCACCGCCAGTTACACCAGAATTTCCCTTCCTATCTATACTCGTCTCGGGTGGCCATTCGATTCTTGTGAAATCATCAACTCTTACAGACCACAAGATCATGGCTTCTACCGCAGACATAGCAATTGGCGAGTCGCTTGACAAATCGGCCAGGGAAATCCTTCCTACTTCCTTACTGCAGAGTGCGAAGAATACCATGTACGGCAAAATGCTAGAGGAGTTTGCTTTCCCAAATGGTAGCACTGACTACGCTAACTACCGTCCACCGCTAACCCGTGGCGAGGAACTCATCAAGCGGGAGACTCCTTGGGGCTGGTCCCTGACGACCCCGTTTGCTAATACTCGCAACCTCCAATTCAGCTTTTCATCGATTGCCAGTGCAGTCAAAAAAATCATCACCCAAAAGGAGAAATCCGGACAGATCTTTTCCCATGACGAACGAGTTGAAATGGCGCGTGAATCCATGCGGGTCTGTTTCGAGCATCTCGCCTCTCGGACGATCATCGCTCTTGAGACACTTCGTCAACAGAAGCCGGACGATGAGGTGAAGACTCTCGTGGTCAGCGGTGGTGTGGCAGCCAATCGTTTCCTCATGACTGTTTTACGCTCATTCCTCGATGTCCGCGGCTTTGGCCACATAGACGTTGTCGCACCCCCTCCGTACCTATGCACCGATAATGCTGCGATGATCGGATGGGCTGGCCTCGAAATGTTCGAGGCGGGCTGGCGCACAGATCTCAGCTGCCGCGCCCTCAGGAAATGGAGTCTTGATCCGCAGGCCGATGATGGCGGCGTTCTGGGCCCCAGCGGATGGCAGAAAGCCTAGGCCTATCTTTCTATGATACAGTTCTTCATTGTCTGCCCTGTACACTAGTAATACCCATGTACACCACTCAGCCTTTAACTTCTACTAGATGTATATATACTTTCAATTTATAGTTATACACAGGCAGGATATGATAGTCATATTCTTTCTTGGATTAGACTTTTTTTTTATCTATCAGATCTATATGACAATCGTACAGGAGGTCCTACCCAGGCAGTCTTACCCTACACCCAGACATAGTGCCACGGATCTTTTGTCAAAAAGCTGCATTGATTCATGATGCCCATCTAGTGATTTCGAGGATACTGTCATCCAATCGGCCAGCGACCAGAGAGCTCCTGTTTTCCACGGAATGTGAAGGACCCTTCGCGGACCCAACTACCGCTGAATTTTGGCTAGATAGGCGTGACGCTGGTGACTTCTCGCATCGAACTATCTATTGATTAAAGATGACATTCCAAGTCAGCCACCTGCGACATTGTCACCTTGCCGCAAAGTGGTGATTTGTTTCCGAAGCTCGAGGAAAAAGTCCTTGCCGTTGGCCATTGTGTTCGCTGTAGCATGAACGTCAACACGACGAAATGGAGGGGACTAATCAGTCGGGCGACATACGTTTCGAGCCCCAAGGCCCAGAGCGATTTGTGTCCTTTCCACCAGGTTTATAGAAGAAGGGCTTCGGCTCTACGAGAATGGTTAGCGACCCATTGGGTGTTGGTTCGACGTCGCAAGCTTCCTCTGGAATGCCGTACCTCTTGAATCTAATCGCACACGTTCCGTTAGCGAATAATGCATCACAGAGGGATCATGGGGGAGCATACTTCTTCTGAGAGCCCCCTTCGCCTCGGCGGCATTGAAGCCTCGCACGGGAACATGTTGCTCCTGGGCTGGTCCAGTGGAAAGTTGATCACGCGACTCTCCCCAGGAATTCTGGTTCTGTCCGCCACGAGAGCCACTGTGCGCGCTCATTGTTCTGTGCAAGGAGTGCCTTTGTCCCGACTGGCGGTTTTGGTCATACGTGCGGCCCCCGCGCCATCTAGCAGGAGATCTCGGACGTTAGTATTTAAGGGCGGCTGGAGATAAATACGTAATTGGGGGGGGGAAGGTATTTAGAGAGAAAAGTTCAGGGTTGGGGGGGGAAATCGAAGGGAAGACGATTACCGATCATCGCCAGGACCACTCATATTGGAAGGGAGCGAAGCTCAATCAAATCGGATTGGATTGATTGATTGATTTAAACTGTGGGCTTTCAATGGAAGAAGCTCCGCGTTGATTAAATCGGACCAAAATGTCAGGTGGAGTCTCTCCGCCTTGGCTCAAGATGGTTTAGTGCCGCCGGGCAAGTGAGATAACGGACACTCCTCGCTTTCGCGTCTTCCCTTCGCCGTCGATGGCTGTGACACCGCTGCCCTTCATTTCCTTGCTCTTTATTGTCTTTTTCGGTTGATATTGAGTCATGATTGACATTTCTCCTTTACTTGACCCGGTTTCCTTGTGCTACGCGGCGCCGCGAGATTCTGTTTGATTGCAACGTGAGGCTGAAGCGACAAGCTCAACGACATTAATCAACATCCATTCTTTTGTATATCATCCCATACACAGCGGGCTGATCATTCTTTTCCCGACCGCAAACATGGCGCCATTAGCTTCGAATAAATATCGGTCATCCCCCGGAAGGCCGCCTAAGACCCAACCCAAAGCGGTGCTGAAAGGCACCCAGAACTCAAACGCTACTCCCGGCGATGGACCACCCCTCAAAAAGCGGAAATACGTCCCTGGTGGACCGGGTGGTGGAGGCAGATACATCGAGCTTGATGTGCGAGAGACGAAGCCGCCTAAGCCGGCGAAACCTGCGAGGCCACCCAAACCTGCCAAACCGGCGCCAGTTTCACGCAACTCCACCCCCCGAACCCGCCATGCACGAGAAACCGAAGTGCAACACTTACAGCTCCCTCCTCCGCCACCCCCCGTCCCAACGACACCACCATCTGCGCGTCTCACAAGAGACAAAAGCCAAAGTCGCGGCGGCCGTTTTGGCTCCTCGACCGCTGCTGCTCTCGCTTTACAACAAGGAGATGGATATAAGCCGCGGGAGGAGCGAGGGTGGGAAGAATTTCATCCGGACCTGGATATTGAAACGAAGTTTGTAGTCTTCCCTGCGGAGGAGGTGGATAAGCCAGCTCCATCCGCGCATGTAGCCCATATCCTTTCTCCGAATGGCCTCAACCTCAGCAATGATAAAGACCCATTAGCTGAACTTATCCGAGCTCATGCTAATGGCACGTCACCTACACCGATCAAACGCCGCCCAGGCCGCCCTCCCCGCCGTCCTGAGGCCATTCTAAACGCCCTTGGAATTACACCACAACCAAAAGTTGTTCCACCTCCTGGTCCAAACCCTCGTGAGAGGCTAACCCTTCCTAAACCCTCGTTCCGACTACGAGATCCTTTTGTTTTCTACGATAAACCAGGAGTAGGCCAACAAAACTATGTTGACCGGACGATGGCAAGCGTGGGATACCAGGAGACTGACCTTTTCCTTCGCCACGATCGTCGATTGATCCGGATAACTGAGGCACCGCAGGAGGACGACCTCGATGCTGTCAATCCCGTGGGAACTGAGGAGGAACCCAACACGTCTGTTGGAAGAGTAGAATATGACATGGATGAGCAAGACGAAAAGTGGCTAGAGGAGTATAATGGAAAGCGGAGAGAGGATCAGCTGGAGCCTATCAAACCCGCTGTCTTCGAAATCACTATGACAAAGATTGAGAAAGAGTGGCATGCGCTCGAGAAGCGCATCCCAAAACCAAACCCAAAACCTCCCCAGACGCAACGGCCTCGTTCGAGCTCTGCCGCTGCTGTAAATGGCGAAACCACTGGGCCTGGAGAGGATCAAGACAGCAAATGTGCTATTTGCGATGATGGCGATTGTGAGAACTCCAATGCTATTGTCTTCTGCGATGGATGCGATCTGGCGGTGCACCAGGAATGTTACGGCGTACCGTTCATCCCCGAGGGTCAATGGCTGTGTCGTAAATGCCAACTGGTTGGGAGAGGAGCCGTCAATTGCATCTTCTGTCCCAACACCGAAGGTGCCTTCAAGCAGACTACCACCTCGAAGTGGTCTCATCTGCTTTGCGCTATATGGATCCCTGAAGTGTCTATTGGCAATCCGTCGCTGATGGAGCCAATCACCGATATCGAAAAAGTACCCAGGAGCCGTTGGAAACTTCATTGCTATATTTGCCGGCAGCGAATGGGTGCATCGATTCAGTGCAGCAACAAGAACTGTTTCGTCGCATTCCATGTGACCTGTGCCCGACGGGCTCAGCTCTATCTGAAGATGAAGTCCGGTCACGGATCTCCCGCGGTCATGGATACTCACCTGCTCAAGGCATTCTGCGACAAACATGTTCCCCCCGAGTGGCGCCGGGAACATGGAACGGACGCTGCTACAGCCGAGGCCATGGAATTCTATCGTAATACTATGCAAGGCCGACGGTGGGGTGACAGTCAAGCTGCCGCGCTAGCACTAGAGCCATCACACCCCCTTGGGTGTGAGCATGGTGACGATGAGGCACTGCGGACCCATACGCCACGTATTACGCTTACAGTTGGTGGGAATAAAAGAAAACGGCCTACCGTACCCAAGACTATCTGGAAACTGCCGTCTGGCGCTCCTGTAGTACCGCACGTTGTCCTAAATGCCGTTGCTGCCTCTCTTCAGCGCTTCGGTGTGCGTCAGAGAAAGCAATATGCCGAGGATGCGTGCAAGTACTGGACACTCAAACGCGAGGCGAGAAGGGGAGCCGCATTACTGAAGCGCCTACAGCTACAGCTGGAGACCTTTTCATCTATGGAAATGACTAGAAGAGACTATGTCGCCATGGGAGCTGCCGGAGGGAAGCGGCTCCAGCGCCGCATTGAGTTTGGTGAACGACTATATGACGATCTCGATCGGCTGAGAACGATGTGCGATGAAGTGAAGAAACGTGAGAAGGAAAAGTTGAAGGATGCCGAAACTCTTCGGAGTATTGTTGACACCGTCTACTTCCCTATTTTCCCCTTACTCTGGCCTATTTTTGACAAAGCTCAAGGGTAAGTATCCTTGTTCTAGCTACTTTAGGGTTTGTACTGATGTCGATGCAGACTTGACGGCAAGGGTATCTTCAGACAGGGGTTGACCTCGATACGCACCAAGCTGGAAGAGCGCCGGTACACCTCCGTTTCTGCTTTCTCCGCTGATCTTGCCCGCGTGTTCACCTCGGAGATTGGGGTCCAGCCCGCTGGGGACACCGCCGAACTTCAAATGCAGATCAGTGGGCGCGCTCCGGAGCTCAGCCTAGAACAGCGCGAGAAACGGAAACTGGCCAAGCGCATCATCAAATTCATTCAGCCTGCCCTAGAGGAAGCGATCAAGAAGGAAAGCGAATTGAATCGTAAGCCCTTCGAACAGGAGCTTAAGGAATTGGATCTTATGCTCGAGAACAGTGTTATGTCGCGAAGGGGTTCCCAAGCCGAGTCTCCAGCGGCTGGTGATGAAGAGCCGGGCAAACCCGAGGTTCGCCATGGAAATATTCTAAAGGTCAATGGAGATGTGGAAGTGGCTGCTAAATCGGAGCCCTCTGATGGCGCCAAGGATACCGCGTTGCTCCAACAGTCCGTTGATAGCGCTATGCCAGATGCAAACCAAGCCCAATCTCCCGATGGTGCTTCAGGGTCTCAGACTCAGGAAGTCCCCGGAGCTGGGGTATCCACTCCAACGGTAGAAGATGGATCTACCAAGCAAGAGAGCCCGCCTGCCAGTGCACCGTCCACCGCTCTTGAAGCACCACCAGCTGCAAATGGAATCGCAGACAAACCAGAGGGGGATCATCTAGGGCCCACCGATCAGCCTACTGAACCACAGAAAGAGCCATTGACACCCCCTCCCAGCTTCAAGGGAGACCAACAGCTTCCTTTAGCGCAAGGTGGCATCCAGTGGTATATGCAACCGTTCGACCCCGTGGGCACCACTATCCATGAAGAGCGATGGACGGGCCGGGATGTCATGCGCGGGATGAGTGAAGAACTGAGTGAGCTTGACGAGGAGGAGCTGAAAGACTTGGTGGACGATGAACTCGAAGGGGAGATGGGCACTGCCATCGAGGGATCCACCACCGACACTGGACCAGACGCTGCACCGGAGCAGGCCGTCAAGGTGTATCGAACTCGGCGACGCTGGCGTGGATTTAAATAGATGATTGAAGGGGTCTCCCGTTTGAGTGTTTTTTTTTTTTTTTTTTTTTTTCATTTCTCTATTTCTTCCACCTCTTTTTCTCCTTTCTCTCTTTAATATCTTGTTCTTCTCTCATGTTTGTGTTCGGGCTCATGGCGCGGATCGGATTACGGCGTCCCCCCTTTTGCTTCTCCTTGCATCTTGTCGATTTCATGTGTTCCCTGTGCTTTTGCGTCTACTATGATGAATGAATCTTGAGATGTTCGTTTTCTTGCACTGGTAGCATTGAGGATGGGGTCGTCGAGACTGTAGTTAGGTTGATCTACGACGGAATGGACTACTGCCGCTGAGGATCTGAAGCGCGCATCCCGTGGAGAGTATGTCTAGGAATTCATTGTAATTATCATTTGATTTCTCATTGATATCCAGGAAGATTCCTTGTGATGTGTCTACAGTATGTATGTATGTATGTATGGGTAGAAGTTGTGATCATAACAAAACAGCCGGGTCTTGGCGCTCCACCCACAAGAGCCGCTTGCCGTAAAAGGTCTGGAATTCGGTGACTTGGACCTTCGACGGGAAGTGAACGAACTCGGTGCTTTGCTTGCTTTTCTTCCTCTTCCCCCTTCTTTCATCATTCATCCATCCCTCCCCCCAACAACCATTCATCTTCCTTCTTCTTTTTTCTCTTTTCCCTCCCCTTCTTATTCTTTTCCCTTGCTCTTCATCCATCTGGAGGATTTGATTAATTCTTCCTCCTGTATTGGTGATTATTCTTCTTCCTAATCAGAACCAGTGTGGGTGCTTGAATTTTCTGCATCATTTTCTCATCAAATTCTCGACGTGCGACGCGCCCCTTTCCCTGTGATATACCCGCTCTTTTTGCCAACCATATTCTAGTTGTTCAATAAATTTCCGTCAATATGTCCACAGAGTATGATCACGAAAACGGTCGCTATGACGGTAGGTTCCATGGTTACATCAGCATCTTCGGCATCGCCTGGGAACACCACAGCAATACTGATCCGTCTACTTCCTCACGCGTTAGACGAGCCTCGCTTCTCTCGCGACGAACGCAGCGCATCTCCTCGCGATGAGCCTCGTGCCGACCGCGCCCGTAGCCGCTCTCCCAATGGTCGCGCCGATGACCGGTATGTCGCATGGCCGGAAATTTCGCCACGTGCCGGGCGTTGGTTGAATTTAAGGGAATAAAAGAGGAACTAACTCGCCATTCTTTTTGCAGGGCTCCCATCGAGCCGCGTAAGCCTCTTGAGGATGAAGAGGGTGCGGCCAACACTGGCTCCAACCTTTTCGTCACGGGCATTCACCCGCGTCTGACTGAGTCCGACATTTCGCGTCTTTTCGAGAAATATGGCGATGTCGAGAGCTGCTCGATCATGGTCGACCCCCACACCAAGGAATCTCGTGGCTTCGGATTCGTCAAGATGGTGACTGCGGAACAAGCCGACGCTGCCAAGGAAGGTTTGCAGGGTGAGGTCATCGAGGGCCGTACTCTCAGCATTGAGAAGGCTCGCCGTAGCCGCCCTCGCACCCCGACCCCTGGCAAATACTTTGGACCCCCCAAGCGTGGTCAGTAACTCTTGAGCCCAGATCAATAACCCCATCGACTCACAGCATTCGCAGACTTCCGGGGCGGTGGCCGTGGTGGACGCGGTGACCGCTACGACGACCGACGTGGCTCTTACGGAGGCAGCTGGCGTCGCAACGACGACTATCGCTATGGCCGCTACGACTCTTACAGTGACCGCCGCGACTATGGCGGCCGTGGTGACTACCGGGATTACCGCCGTGACTACCGGGACGACTACGGTAGCTACCGTGGAATCGATCGTTATGCTTCGGGAGGACGGGAAGACCGGTACAGTCGCGATGAACGCCGCGATGACCGCCGCGAAGAGCGCCGTGGCTATTATGATCGCGATGCTAACCCTCCTAGTTACAGTCATGGTGGTGCTCCTCCTCCTCCCCGCGAGGGTTATTCCGGCGGCGGCGGCAGCAGCGGTGGCGGTGGCGGCGGTCGCTCGTATGATCCTCGTGAAGACCGATATGGTAGCAGGTAGGTGCAGGGTTGGGAGTTATCGACGATTAAAACTCAGGGTCATGGCACGTAATTCTTTTCCCCCATCTCTAGTCTCTGTCTAGGCTTCCCCTTATTCGTTTCTTATGTTACCCCTTGTCCTTGTTTTGTGTGACATTCCAACGCCCATCCACATTCCTTGGAATGGTTTCTTAATTCAATACCCGCTGCCTATGGGGAATTAGCTCGACGGTCCACGGTGGAATGTCGGTTTATGTTGTTCTTGATTTTCATCGGAAAAAGTCGTCTGCGCAATTACTACTTGTCATCTCGCGACATTCAGTACGCCATCAGTTATGCGACCATTTTTATCCCTGTCGGAAAACAAAAAGAGAAAAAAAAAAAGACAGAAAGAAAAAAGGGAAGAACAAGATACTCTTGTGTCGTCGGTCTGCAGTCGCTAGCTGGATTTTTCTTTTGTTAATTCGCTCGAAACACCGGACAAATTTGGCGGCAGGGAAGGAAAAGACATGATATTTACCTTTAACGTTGTAATTCCTCGGATTGTCAGATGGGTCTCAGCACTTCTACATTGCAACTCTTCCGGAAATTGGTCGTTATCTCGCTAGTCAGCTTGTTCGCCTTGTTGCGTCTTATTCAACCTTTTCTACGTAACGACTGTTCGATCTGTATACGGCCAAAAGCAAAGACATAATATCTATCATGCCATACACAATTTCTCTTCACGCCTCCTGAGGACACAAGCAGTTGAACGGAGTTCGGCCATGGTCCGCCAGTTCCGCCATCGTGTTTGCTTGCGTGCTTGTAGTATCGCCAGTACGAGCGAAGTGTACGCGTCTAGAACGAGCGGGAGAGAGCCATGTCGACGTAATAGCAGCAGCCATCTTATCAACAGCCCGGGGTTCCACCAACTTCGACCGTTGATGGCCTGTTGGCCTGCTGAGGTAGGTAAGATGGTATTGCGATCCGAGCTAACACGTGGAAAAGGAGTCATCTATTCTCATTCAGGGCTGTCCCTGTCCCCATGGTCCAGTATTGTTTCTTCGTTTCGGGTTCTTTTTCTCGGAGTCAGACGAACTTGATTGCGTGGTACTGTCGGCCAGCCGTGACATGTTCCTTGGTTGCTTTGCCGAGTCACTAACAGACAGAACCATGCTTTTTATGGAGAAGCTATTGCGTCCGTGTCGTTCTATGCTCTAGAATCTAGGGTTAAAAGTGTATACTATCCGTTTGTAGGAATAGAGACGGTCTCTGCTGGTCGACTCTTTGTTCACTCAGTTTTTCCTGGTTCGTCTGACCAACTAGAGATATCGATCAAGGAAGGCACCTCGTTGGTTCTGTTTGTTTTTTTTGGCTGTCACCTGTGGAGCACATCTATATCTGCCGAGGGAAACCCTTGAAACCGAACTGGTTTAGTTTAGAATAGGAGTTATAATAGATAGCTGCTAATAGGTCCAACTCTTCAATCTTCTTTACCTGAGCACGCTTAGGTGGAGCTGGCCCATAAGGTAAGGGGGCACCTCGCCCTTGATTAACTGTATAATCATCCCTTCACACGTTGCCTCGCAGTACGTCTAGTGACATGGTGTTCTCATCACGCCTGAAAGTAAGTGTAGTTTGAATGAATCGTCCAGCATGACAACCAGCCGCAGAAGTACCAGGACCAATATATAGCCTATGAGTGCGGGAATGCTGTACGCGGGACCCATGTAAATTGAATAAAATTGAGAATAGCAGAAACAGTCTATATACTGCCGAGGCATGGGTGGTAGAGCTCTAGAATTCATAGTGGGAGTGATTTAGAGTGTCAGCGCAGAAGATATATATATCTCCGCGATCCGTATTCCCATTCTATTTTAATGAAATTCTACCAATGTATTTTTCCGACGCAACAAATTGAGTAACTTGAATACTACTAGTATATAGATCCCAGACACCTATATATAACTCTGCTCATATCAAATATTGACATCAACATACCCCCAAACCAATACCTGCCAACAAAAGACCTACACAACCCACACCGATCCACCACACCCAATATACATAGTAATATGATAGTATAGATAATATAACCAAACTCGATTCTCTCACACCAATAATGCACAAAAAAATGGTATCATAAAATCCCTAACCCAAAGAAAAAACACCCCAAACCACCTTAAACACCACTAACGAACCCGCCCTCAAAGCCCAGTTCCGAACATGCGCAGCAAGAGACACAACCACGGGCCTTTCAAATATCTCTTGTTCCATCCCAGTCTATCTATACAGCGCATGACTGACTATCCCCGGTAGAAAAGTAATATCCGCTCCATTCGGGGCATAAGATGAGGTGGAATAAACCGATCACCGCGAAATTTTCCTCCTCTGAAGCGAAATGCATTCAATCCCAAAATATCCCTGTATCCCAATGCAAACCCGATCTCTTACCCATACGACTTGAAAGGATCTATTCAGGCGACTTCGCCCCTTCCACCTCATTACTCTTCTGGATAAGGAATTCGCCGAGTACGCGGAGCGGGTTCTGCGGTCTATTTCCGTACGATCCAGTTAGTCGACTCGATTCCCTGACCCATCGAACATCCAAGTAGATGGCTGTCACAGGGCTATATCACTCACTGTTCTCTCGTAACATGCTTCATTCCCTCCAAGAGATACGGGACGATCTTCTCGTTCATGTAGACTCGAGCCGGGGCGCGCCGGGCCGGACGGGGGTGGCTGGAGCAGGCTCGCCGGTCGGGGTATTGGCAGCTGCGGTATTGTTGGCGGAGTCGTTGGCCATGATTGTTGGTTTTTCGACTGTCGAGGGGGCGTCTTTGGTATTTGGGGGTGGGATGGGGGACTGGGGCTGTTATTTTTTTTTTTGTGGGTTGTGAGTTCACAGGATTCTGATGGGTTATGACGTTTGAGTTTTGAGATGATGTATGGGAGTGAGTTTGTGTGAGAGAGAGATCAATCAATTGGATCCAAGTATCAACTCCCGGGGATGGAGAGGAAGCAACTGCAGGGCAATGTAGGATCACAAGAGCAGGAACATTGAGGATTGAGGAAAAGTGTAGTAGTATTTATGGAGCTTTCCTTCGACATTAAACAAATCATCCTTGTGGCGGGAGAGCTCTCCACAGTGGGGATTGGCCATGGATAGTAGGTGTTAAACGTAGCCTGGGTTGGGGGTTCACTCACTGGGACGTCGCTCATGGGTTGATCCATCTTGGAAACTTGCGCCGTGGGGTATGTTGGATCTGGCCTTTCTATGTCTTCAAGGTCTCTATCAGGGCTTCGAGTTGTCACATTGAGGGGGGGGAGTTTTGTTTGTTTGATTCTTGGGTGTATTGCTTATTGCTGGTGCGGCGTCGTGATTGGATGGCTCTGCAAACACGACAAACAGGTTCTCTTTTTCAATTAAGGTCAGGTGATCTCGTGTCGAGAGACGTGATTCCGCGTCTTGTTAGTTGTATGTTGTCGTTGGGTTGGAGATACAGGGTTTCTTGGGGGACTTTTCGGGCGACTCTCATGCTGATCAGTACGCCCTGCCAGCATGTCCCTGTTGGACTACTGGGACACCCTGCGGCCGTCCGTCAAGCGCAGAAAAACTACGGCGGATGATACGGACGACACTACTAGTCTGAGCGATGCTGTTACGGGCCGGGAGGATGGGCTGGAGCTACCGGAGGCATCTGCGGTGAATCCAGATGTGTCGGACCCTGTGTGCACACCATGTCTAGGCCAAGAGCCAGAGGGAGATGACCTTCCCTTTCCCGCGAGCCAGACGGAACTCGAGTCTTCGCTCCCCGCCATCGAGACAGATAGCCATGCAATTGAGGAATACGAGGCCTCCCATTCCATTTTAGATCATGAGGAGGAGCCGGGGCTACGGGAACGACTGCGAGATGGCAAGTGGCGGAAGGGGAAGAGCTCCATCTACGTGGATGCGTTCAATCTCGCACTGGAAACTGTGCTAGATGAGGAAGCGCATCTATTCGATGAGGCCGAGATGGAGGTCTTCAAGCAGTGGAAGGAGCTTCCATATGAATCACAGTACTTGTATGCTCGTCCCAGTCACAACCTAAGCCCTCACATCCCCCCTTGTCACGCACTAACCGTCACAGGTATGTACGGCTTTTTCTCCGGAAGACCTCAGCCTGGCACCGGATCAACCGGCTGGGCTACTACTCCGACATTTCAGACCTCACAAGCGTAGTGAACGACCTCCAGCGAACCCGTACTCTCCCTCCCAGCCCAACCGAGACCCCCATCGACATGGAACACCCCGAAACGCCCAAACTAGCCACCCAATTCCACTTCGCCGACAAAACAGACCAAATCACCACCCTGGAAGAAGCCAGCGCCCTCCTCCTCCTCGACGAACTCAAGACCCTCGCCAAAGACGCCAAAGTCCAAGGCAAAAGCAAAAAGGACCTCCTAACCGCCCTGCACCGCGCCAGCCAACAGCAAACCGGCCTCGACTGGACCAACTCCAAAGCAACCGCCAACCGCGCCAGCCACTTCATCCACAAGATCCTCGACTACACAGGCGAGTGCATCCGCCTCGCCACGGCGCCACGGGCACTCTTCGAGCGCGTCCATCTCGTCTTCTACCGCTCGACCGAATGGACGGAGAAATCCCTCACCACGATCATTCTGGCGAAGATCTCGCGCCGCAATTTCCCGGACTATGTGGTCTGCCGGTCGAGTTCGATTTTCCCGTCTCGGGCGTTTCTCCTAGAATTCGAGTCTGCGTTGCGGACGCAGTTCAACATAGACAAGATCCTGGAGTTTAGTGGCACGCCGACGGTGCAGTCGCTAACCCAGGTCCGGGATTATGCATGCACGGTGTATCCGCGGTGGAAGACGCTCTGTGAGCAGGAGCAGCAGAAGGAAGACAGCGTGTATGAGTGCGGGGAGGGGGCGTATCTGCGACGCTTCTCCCCCGCATGGGTCTACACGCGAATCATCCACAAGGGCCTCTACCCGCTAGGCAGGTTTAAAGAGTATAAGGAGGAGCATCGGCTTCTGTCCGAGCTACTGGGCCAGCGGCTGTTTCATGCTGCACGCCGGGGGTCATGGTACCAGCGGAAAGCACTCCTGGAGGAACACTATCTGTGGAACTTGGTGTCATGGGACGGACGCAGCGAGGACGCGCAACGGAAGCACTGGCGACGCATCGCGTTGCAGACCTGCGAGGAGGGACTCCAGGATCCGGACTGCCACTTGATCTACCACTATGATCTGCAGAAGCGGATTATGAAGCTCGAGCGGGCGCTGAAGGTGGTTAAACGGGAGCAGCATGACTTTAGTCATGTCATGTTGGCTAAGCCCGCGGAACGGACGGTCGAGGGCATTCGTATTGAGCGCGAGGATTCGCCCGCGCAGGACGATTCGACGAGACGTGGTCGCCCGACTGTCTGGGTGGATGAGCGGGACGGGGGCGAGTGTCGCGTCGAAAGTATGTGTTTGAGCTGGTATCGCGACCTGGGGTGGAAGGGGTATCATTCTGAGGGAGGGATTGTTCGGACGCTGGTGAGTTGGGTTTCATCTGTTCCGGTTGAGACGAAGAAGTCGCGATTGATCTGATGACGACCAACCAGTTCGGCTACCTCTTCTACGACATCCTTTTCACCTACGTCCCGAATGTCTTCCAGACGGCTTTCCAAACCTGTCCCTTGGATCTCCATACGGACGCCTTCTACGCCACTCGCGCTTCGGAGATCAACCATCGTTTGGTGGAAATCACCAACGGCGAATCAGAGCGTATCCTTCGTGCTGTTCATGCTCGTGAAGCACCTCGTCAGCCCTGCGCCATTGGCATCGATTGGACCTTTGAGCTGGATGACCTCGTCGACATCGTGCGGTGTTTCCGTGGCGAGGCCCTCGCGGCGATCTGCAAGGTGCTGGCGCAGGAGTATCAGCAGCGTGGCGGTGGGATCCCGGATCTGTTTCTGTGGCGGGTGAAGAGTCGCGAGGTGATGTTTGTTGAGGTGAAGAGTGAGAATGATCGGTTGAGTGATACACAGCGGTTGTGGATTCATGTTCTGGGGGGTGCCGGGGTGAGGGTTGAGCTGTGTAATGCGGTTGCTAGGGAGGTGAGGTATCTATAGTTATCTCCTGGTTTATAGATTGGCGTGGACGGGTTGTAGATGTTGATATACCCATACAGATGATGCTGTATAGATTAGGTATTTTGCGGGAGGCGAATATAGATCAAACACGAACAAGAGAGTCTGTGGGTATGATATATACCAAAATACCTATACGACAAGCACATCACAAACTACGATCTCTACCAAAGGAGAAAAGAAAATTGGTCATGAAATTTTATTTTCTTGTCGACGACAGATATAATCCATCACCACCTAATGCCTGGAAAACAAACACTAGATGACTAAAAACCCACCCATTCTCAGGGTAAGAAACCAATTTGAAAGACCTATCCGCGCCAACACACCAACACCCAGCCCAAGTGAGTATAAAACCACTTAAGCAACGAGGGTGGAGGCGGTAGCGGACTCGTAACGCCAGGTGGGGGGCAGGACACCGACGGACTTGTAGTAACGAGACAGACGGTGGATACGGGACTCGATGAGAATGAGACGGAACTTGGAGTCCTTGTCCTTGCGGTTGCGCTCAAGGTGCTTGCGGACGGCAACAGCCTTCTTGATGAGGTGGTACAGATCCTCGGGGAGCTCGGGGGCGAGGCCTGAAAAAATCACTCTGTCAGCCTTGTTTTGACCAAGCAGAGGCATAATTTTGTTTTATACGATGAGGGATATGAGAACGGGTCAAGGCGCCGACTTTCACCAGAGGGGAAAGCTGCTCTCGACTCGCGTTCGACCATTTCCTTCTCATCTGGGGGTATGGGGGAGGGGGATTGGCGTACCGCTGGACTTCAAGATACGGAGGATCTTGTTACCTATTCGTCAACTGTTAGACATTGCTCCCAACATCAACCACGAGGAGTCTCAACATACCGGTGACGTGCTTGACCTGGGCAACACCGTGGGAGTCACGGAGGACAACACCAATCTGGGAGGGGGTAGCACCCTTCTTGGCGAGCTTGCAGATCTGGTCGACAACCTGCTCAGCTGGAATGGGGTCAGTATATCATGCGCATTTTCGCCTTTGCGACGACGGTACTCACGGGTGGTCTTGAGCCAGGAGGGAGCAGAGCGAGAGTAAGGCAGAGCAGAGGACGAAATGCCCTTTCCCTTGGAGTGAAGACGACCCATTTTGAATGAAGGTGGATTTGTCGGATTGGTTGTCGACGACGGTGTTGAGCTGCGCGGGGATAGAGTGAAATTTCTTCCAAGTCGTTGAAGATCGTGTAGAAGAAGATTGAAAGTGAGGCCGGAAGGCGGTGTGCACGCCGCGCGGGTTTGTGGGGTCACGTGGTGCGGGTGCGCCTCGCTTAAATTAAGGCTCATCTGGCATCCTTTTTTCTTCGCTGCTGTTGCTGCTGCTGCCGCTGGGTTTCTTTCCTCACCTGCTTTTCGTCAAGTTGGCGACTTGGAGCTTGATGCTGCTCTTCACGACTGCACACTCACATTGGTTCTACTAACAGGGTCCCTTTTCTGGTTATTACTTACAGGTTAGTGTTCCCATGTCTCTTGATCTCTACAGCCTTATATGATGAAACACAACCTTTTTTTATTTTTCTGGTACCTCTTATTTTAGGGCTGGTTCTCGTAACCGGCTCAATGAATGGAATGGACTTCTGAAAAAGCTGTTATCACTCTCCGTGTTGATCAGTCGTTTATTCGAGCAATCGCTGACTCGTGGACGTATAGGAATCTTCAGCCTTGGAATACATTGGAGGGATGTGGTTACTAGGTCCAATAGAATTCAATCAAGGAATACCCCGTTTATTACTGTTGCCATATGTGCCATGAAACCGTAGAGAGCGACTTCTGCTGGGTCGCGATACATGCTTGTGTCAGTAATTACCGCCTGGGCGTCACTTGGTAGCTTTCTAGAGCGCAGGCGTGACGTCTAGTTCTGTCTTTATCGCTGGCATTATAACCACGATGAGCTCCTCCAGAAGGCACGGCGCAAGGCTACTTCGAAGTGCCTCAGAAGGCGAGATGGAGTCGCATATATCGCTCCATCGCAAGACGAATTCCCCTTGCTATATAAAAACAAATATCAACATACCCACAAAATGGCGTAAAGAAGCGGAGAAGGCATGAGAGAATCACCTCTCAGCGACGGCCACCGATGCAGGACCATCACACCGCTGTTGCCAAATTCTCTCGCAGATCCGCAGGAATAATCTATAAAGGAATATGCACGTCAAATGCGCATCTGACTCGTCGCGGAACGTGGGAGGCTGCCCGTGTGGGGAGTCGAGAGAAGATAACATCATCCACCGTGTGCGGCATTTTGGGACAATCGCATTGTGTTATTTCACAGCGAGGCTGCAAGAGAGTGGGTTCAACTGCGCCGTTCAGTCCGAGTGAAGCTGGCTGCCTGGGCCGGTCAGAGCTATGCGAACAGCCTGGGTTAAAAGTTGAGGGATGAATGTCTTCAGATGGGGAATGCCTGCTCGGCGTAGACTTGTGGAGATCCACGGTCACTAAAATCTCATCTTCTAAGACATCCTTAGGTCTGGAGGCTGGGCGAAAGCCCCTCCTCACGATGGCCGCAGTGCCCATCTCTGTGACGTGATCTCAAACCCGGAGGCTGGACCAGAGCTGATAGACGAGCGAATCCATCGCCGCAAACGAGTCCATAACAGTATGACATTCACGCCGTGCCCGTCCAGAAAGAACGTTGTAAACATACCGATCCGCGCTTGGTTGACAGGAGCTGAACCATGTGGGCCATGCCCAGCTGTGATTCGGTCGGGCGTCGAAAGCTCGAGCAACATCAGCGCAAGGACATTGTCAAATCAAGCGAATTTACACTGTATACAGGTTGTAGCACAGATGAGGGATGGACCAGTTGGGAATCTGACAACGAAACAGAGGTAGATAGAGTATGGTTACTGGCAGCTCCCGCTGTGATCAGTAGGATTGGCGATGGACCTATGGCGATCACGAGGGTGGCCGTGCCCTGGCCCCGGTCACTCTCACCACCGTGCAGCGAGCCCCCATTGGGCACCATCGTGATTGGGCTCGCCTCCCAGTTGACCATACAAATGGCACTGTGATGGAATTTTGCTACGATCGGTAGTACAGTTGAATTGGCGCAGGCGAATGGCCTTGTGAAAGGTCTGGAACTACCGGCGATTTTCCGATGCCCCCTCAACAGTTGCCTGGCTTGGTCGCGAATGATGGCACGCATTTGCGGAATTCATTTTCTTGGTATCGACGGTGATACAGTACTCGGGTAGTGATCTCGTTTAATCTAAGCCAAGACTGAATAGGATTTGGACCGTCAGGTACAGAGTTGCATGGTGGTAAGACGAACGAGAGATACAACAATGTACTGGATCATTATAATTATATATCCCTCCGAGTCAGTCAGGTGTTTCCCGGATCCATGGTTACATTACTTGACCACTGTTGATTCGACTTTCCATTCCCTGTAGGTTTCTTCTCTGGGGATTCCTTCGCCTTGATTTGTTTCTCCTTTCGATCCAATCTTTACCACTCTGCGATCACCTGCCATCGGACCTCATTCGATGTTTTGTACACTTAAGATACTCGTATCACTATCTCTACACCGTTCAACCGGCCAATAGGCTGAATGGCTAAATTTCCGACTGGAATGTCGCTTAGGTGTAATTGACAAGCCATCCGTCAGTGGCGCACGATTTTCATTTGCAGCGTAATGACAAAAGCGTGGCGTGGCTTGCAAACTATATCGGCGAGGCATGCGCAGTAGAATTCCAAATTCCCCTGACCGAGATGTCGAAGTCATGGAAGATGAAGAGCCTACTTCCGTGCAGAGTCGGTGTCTCATCCCTTGCGTCCAACTTACTGGAAGCAGTTAAGTGACATGGAGATTGGAAAAGGGAGTATCGCCGTGGATTCTTCTGTGGAAAGTTCCACACTAATAGTCAAACTTTGTGCGGATTAGGTCGGGAGGTGTAATTACCGGATATATAGCTGGATTATGCAATGATGGCCGTCGAGTCGGTCGACCAACGTCAAAAGTCCACCTACCTGGGAACCCTAAAAAAGTGGATGCTTCCATGAAAGTCGCAAAGGAGGTAATTATAGCATCCCAGGAACCCACCCTGCTCTGTTTCATAGTACGGAGAGTACTCCCCACACCACATCGAGCAAGAGCTACGAGGCTGATCGACTCAGTAGGCCCCAACAGTACAGCCTGTCAATCCCGAGCCAGGAGCGGATCTGTCAGTGAGGAGCTTGATCGCTGAGACTATAGGGAAAGGAATCAACTATGGGTTCTCGGCAGGCGTACTATTACTGATCATACCTGAGGAAGCTGCATCTTGACATCCGGTTCTACCTACACTATTGAGTCGGATCGTCGTCGCGGTCTAAAGCCAAGGCAGAACCTTGTTGAGTGAGTGCCCATCGACGATGCCGCATCGCAACCAGCACCCGTCGCGGAAAGGTCCCAAGAGAGTAAGCGAAAAGCCAATTGCCGCGGCCACACATCATCAGCGTGACGATCACTCTGTCAACCATGGTGTAGGTTTCCACCTCGTCGATCCATGTTGGGACGAGGGCCTTCCTAGACAGGCAAGTAGTGGGAACACTAGGTAGTTGGGAAGAGTAAATAGTCGTCCTCTCCTCTCCTGCAGACGGAGCACGGCTCGGGTGTTTGAAAGTCTGGATACAATGATACATGCATTCGCCGTCGTTGTGCCGTGGACAACCGATGCTCTTTGCAGAATTAGGATGAGGCTCTACGATAACGTGACCGCAATACCACCTCATGGCATCGGTCGGATCTCCATTGGGCGGGTAAATACGTTGTATTGACCCAGAAAAGTCGTCCGTGGGATGGTCTAGTCAGGTAGTATTCTTTTTTCCTACGTCAGCGGAGGCTGAGCAGTCTGATTGATGGTCTTGGTAGTGACTCCAAGACCCAGGCGATTGGAGCTGGATATTGTTACTCCTACTATCACTAGTCTTACCTTTATGTGACTAGTAAAGAATTGGAAGATTGCAAAGAGGGAGAAAAAAAATAAATAAATAAAAATAAACAAGAGACTACGATACACGAGAGAACAAAAGAATCGTTGGTACTTCCTCTTATAATACTACTACTACTACTACTACGACTACTACGACTACTACGACTACTACCTGATCCCAGGTCTAGTTCGTCCCACCGCAGCCATTCATGCATTGTGCAGGTACCAGGGGTAAGGGCTTACCACGGGGGAGGGAGAAAACGATGGCGGCGTTGCGAAGGGAGTCCGTCGAACTCAATTTGGAGGGATCATCCCCTCCCTCCGATGCATGGGAAGTGGGAACAACCATGATTGAATTTTTGCTTTGTGGCATTTTGAATTTTGAAATTATTGAATTATTGAATCAAATCAGAAAATGGAAAAATTTTAGAGCGAGATGCGTCGTTAGTCCAGGTTAGTGCGCTGGGTTGGGCTTAGCGGTTGAGGTCAAAGTTTATCGGTGGCCAAGGCAAAAAAAAACTACGGTTGATGCAGGTCTGGAAGGTGATGGGCATTGGGGAGAGAGGTCACTTAGACTCCGATAACTCCACTCGATCCGAGTATACCTAGTCTCTCCGCGGTCCACGGTACGTGAAGGTCCCATATGCCGTATCCCAAGGTTGGCTTCCCTCAACGCCAGATCGACTAACCACGTTGGTCCGGAGGACCTCCAGAGGTTGAACTCGTTGAATGTTATGCTGCAGGAACCAGAGGCTAACGTGGAAGAAGCCAGAGAAAAATTCGGCTCACAAGAGAAACACGAAAGGAAATCTCGATCCCATGTCCATTTGCCACGCACAACCTGGTCGCCTGAGTCATGTACGGGCGTTACAGACTAATACTTGGCAGCTGCTAGTGCTCTCCCAGGAAGCCCTAATGGCAGAGAATCTCCGTCGTAATGTTGGCGATTGTGCAGGGACTTCATGCAAGGTGGCTACTAAGCAAAAAGAGTGAGAACTAAAATTCGGTAGGGAAGTTATTCCTCCGGGAGGAATAAGGTCTCATCTTTAGGACAGGTTTAGGACAAGGCATCCTGCTTTGCCGAACGTCCTTGGCCTATCCGGAGACCTCAACCATGGTTAGCCAGAACCTGACACAAATGGTGTAGGGCTTCGGATTTCTATAATTGAAGAGAGAACGGACCCTCCTCACCAAGTGGAGGTCCCCGGGACTTCACCTCCCAATCAATAACAGTGCAGGTCATCTGTAAAATTTCCCCATCAAGACTAGATTACGATACGGGGGCCTCGTGTGAGTAAATTAACCAATACGCCAAGTCGTTCAGGTTTCTCCCCGCTCTGCATACCGTTTTCCGTTACCCAACTACGCCTTTAGTCCGCCGTCTCCACTGTCTGAGGAGTGAATGGGCCATCTCTCCAGTCGATTGGAAACCCCCCCCGTCGGACAGACATACAATACAATCTTTCGAAGTTTGAGTCTGTCTGGGATCCTACGCAGTCCCCACCCTTGCATTCTCCTCCCCCCCCTGGTGCCAAGCTCATCCTCGAGCTTCGTTCCAGTCACTCTTCCAACGATGCCTGTGCCCAATCAACGCCGTAGATGCCGACGGGGGAATGGGTGCCTCTGGTGAACGGACCTCTCCCCCCAGTCAGTCCACTGGAACTGTCTCCCCCTCAAGCGATTGGGACCTTTGCTCTGAGGACTGGGGAGGCACTAACATGGCTCATCACTATTTCTAACTATATCTGACTATTGCCCCCCCTCTTGTTCTGGCGTTCCTCACCTTCTCACCCTGACCACCATCACACTGACCACTATCGTGAGAGATCGTCCACCTGTGCTGCCAATTGCAGTCGTTGCGCGACTGTGAGCCTCGCTGTGGGGTATCACACTCGGGGATCTCTTCTTGTGTCGCATTCTCGAGTGTCTTGGGTCTCGCCGTCTTGCAAGGATATGACACTCACCTGCTCTCTGTCGCATACACCACACCACAAAGATCCATAGTAGAATCCCACAATCATGACGAATCAAACATTGCATGGGCTCTGCCCGGAGCCCTTCCTCCAAGAGTCTTTCTTCCCGTCCACCGGTGGATGTATGTTCCTGTCGCCTCTGGTATCGTTGGTTGTTGACTGGTCATGGGCTGTGGAGGACTAATCTGTGATTCAACAGTTACCCAAGGACGGTATTGTGCGAAGCTTCCTTTAGCAGACGGTGATGTTTCCTGTTGTATGCCCTGTCCATTGGCAGACTGGATGTATGGGGAGGGTAAGTACCGGGCCCCGATTCGCAGCGCGGCCAACTTTTGCTGACGGGATCGACTGTCGGTAGACATCACTACCAAGGCGCAAGCTGCGAGTTGGCTGAGCGTGGCGGTCTTGCCTCTCTGCATTTTTCTCCTTGTTTCTTATGCGGTTCTTCCGCCAAAATGGACGCACCGCCATTACCTGAGCATCTGCTTTACGTTGGGAATTTGCTGCATGGAGGTAGGCGGTTTTCGATGGCCCAAGAGGAGCGGAAATCAATGGGCTGACCGTTTAGATCGCGTTTGTCATTCCTCTCGGTGCCAAACCCGACCAGTGTTACAACCAGATCACACCGAACGACATGCATTCGAACTTATCCTGCGCATGGTCCGGTACTTTGCTCCTCTTTGGAGGCTGGGCGGTCGTAACGTGGAGTACGTGGTGCACACCTAACCTTTTCGGGCTTCGACCCGGCTAATCGTCGCAGGCTTTATCCGTACCCTTGCCTTTCATCTCCAGGTTTGCTGGGAGGTGATCCTCGGCAAGAAGTTCATGTGGGGGGCTTTCATCTGCGGCTGGGGGATCCCGGGCATCGGCATAACGGTCATGCTCATCTTGACTGGGGTATCCTTCCGCTTTGGCGACATATGCCATATCAACATCAAGTATGGGACCAAGGATTACTGGGCGCCGGTCATGGCGTTCGCCGGCGCATCTCTGGTCCTGCAGCTCGCTACGATGGCTTACTGTATCCATGTCTACGTGAAGTCCATCTTTGATACGACCGACTCCAGCACCAACAGTTCCCACCTGCCGTCCTATACATCCAGTGTCCGCACCGTCACTGCGCGCCAAGCATACCGTCGTATTCGACGAGTCCTGCAGTTGCAATGGAGAGGCGTCGCCTTGGTTTTCGTCATCATCGGCAATGTCATCTTCTTCGCGGTGGTTTTCATCCAAGTCAACAACAAGACGAGCCTGACGCGCGAGAACCTACAGAAAGCCCAACCATGGATTCTCTGCTTGATTTCCACGAAGGGTGACGCCAAGCAATGTGAAGACCTAGCCCACGCCATTGGCCCGAATGAGTCGACGATCCTGGCCCTCCTGATTCTCTTGTCTCTGGTTGGGTTCTGGAACTTTATTTTGTTCGCACGCCCGGGCATGTTCCTCGGCTGGGCCGAGTTGTTCAAGACCAAAGTTGGGCGGAACCACGAGTTCGTCTCCGCAGATGCTCGTGCGAAAACCCCGGACACCCGGACGTACGAGATGCTGGAGAGCGCCGCCCTCGCATCCTGCAAGTCGCCAGAACCAATCGTACGGCCTCCCAGCGCGGCGCGGACCATGAGCCCGGAGGGGGCCAACTACGGACGAGATGCACGGTACGTGCGGCCGTCGATGAGCTTCTCCTCGCCTCGGCCGCCCAGCGCATCACAAGGACGTGATTGGGATCCCCAGTCCACGTTTGCCCAGTCGAACCATCAGCACACTCTATCCAAGTGATTTTTCCCTTCTTTTCGGTTTTCCCTTTACTTCGTTTTAATCAACGAAAAGTCCTGTACATTGATTGTATGATGTATGATCCTATACCCTATCTGTTCTGTATTGCATAGCTATTTTCATGTTCTATATTAGTCAATCATCTCGAATGATAATGGAAGAGACCAAAACCCGGTTCACCGTTGACCGTCATTCCTTGGAACCCCCCCCCAAACCTAAAAGGACTGCAGAAACTCACCAGAACAAAGGGATGGAAATCCGGATCCGATGAAACCCTCTTCTCTCTTCTTCCCCCCCCGGCATTTCGGTAGCTTGGAACCATAATTGAGAGTTGGGTCACTAAGTCACCGACTAGTGTAGATAGTTCGATACCAGAGGACCCTCACTAAGGTTCCGGAGCCACACCCGCCGCCCTCTGACCTTCCTAAACCCTCCCTTCTACGCATCATCTCCAACCCTAAACCAAACACAGAAGATCCTTTCTCCCAATACAAACTAACCAATTAATTACAGAATAACAAGAAAAGAGCATAAAAAGATTAAATCTCGACTACTAGTATACCCCCAATCCCCGAAATCCTCCCACCGGAACAACCTCACCAATCACGTCCCCCTGAATCATCCGTCAACCGCGGACCCCCAAACCATCACATGTCACGACTACCCTAACTTCCCCCTCGTTTTACCGACGAACGCCCGCGCCATGGTTTAGTTTCTTCTAGAACGGCGGTGATTGTCTGTCATACATGGTTCCCCCGAGGTCCCCGTGGCAGATCGACAGTTGGTTTCCAACTTCCAATTGCCGTCGTTTACTCCTTTCAGCTAGGATCTACTTCCAGGGTGGGTTCTGTTGCGTAGTGGTTGGGGAAGGCCGGTGGGGTTTGGGTGAGACTTTTTTTTTTTTTTTTTCTTTTTCCTTCTCTTGATTGTTGCATTCGGGTCATGATTACGACGCTGCCCCGTGGGGTAAGCACGCTGGGTCGTGCATGGATGCCGTAGCGTAGTGGAGGTGATCAGTGGAGATTACCATTGGGAGAACGTGGTATGATCGGATCTGTGGCATGATCGCTCCGGGATTGTGTGGGTTTTGCGGGGGAAAACGAGGGATCTGGGATCTTAGTTGGGGGGTGTTATACTGATTGATTGTCGATATGGGGGCGGGTTTGGTGGTATTGTGGGAGATTCAACGAAGCCAGTCCGGTCACTATTGAACTATATCACCGGTAGGTCCGGGGTACTATTACACTGTCCAGATGGAATGTAAGATACATCTCGGGAGCCGGATACACGTCTTCCGTCCTGTGATGTACCGTGGACCAACGCCTCGACCGGACCAAAGCCTCGTTGACCTTGGTCCAACGTCGCACAGCTTGAAGTTAGGTATCTGGCGTATCTGATCCGGTTGGTGAAGACGACGGGGGTCTACCTTCCGCATGGCAGTTTAAGGTTCGTCCCTAGTTTAGACAGGAAACGAAGGACATGACGAGCTTGGGCCGAGGGTTCAGGGTGAACACGTTCACATGTCGCACGCTGATTCATTTCCACTCGATCGGCGAATGCCGGCAGATTCATTACAAAACATGACGTTCTTTGTGTGTCCGGGCTTATTCAGTATTGGGGCTGGGGCTGGTGGCGAGCGCTGCTATTATATGATATACTGATATACCCTGGGGATAGGGTTTGATAAGGACTGTGATCACTTGACCTGGGCCCTAAAGGATGGCATTTACTGTTTCCGGGAGCGGCTCATATTAGGTTTTGTTGACATTCTCTTAATGAAACGAGACAGCGGAAGAAGCTTGGATATTGGGTTTCCGAGGCGTCGAGGACAAAGACGTAGGTGTCATCTGCAGGACATGCCGGTCTTTGTTGCGATGAATCGGTATGCGTTTGCCGAGCCACGGTGCGCTTGCATGATCAGGTACCGCCGTGCCACTGAGCTCCTGTCAAGCTTTGACCTTCGAAGCTCCTGAAAGAGCTACCATGGGTCATAGCGCTCGATGTATCGTGGCTTGCGAACAAAGAATCTCGTTACAGGTACCCGAGATAACACCGCGGGGGTTCGGCTCCCTTCGACTTACATGGATAGCTACAGGCACTAATGCAAGGGAGGGATTTGTTGGACTCAGATATCTTGATTTATTTGGCAAGGCTGGCTGTACCTCGGACGTTGCCGAGTGTGGGATATTTCGTTAATCCAACGGAGCTTTCAGGGAGAAGTTCTACCGTCGTGTGTTTGGCTGACGTGTTGATGTAGAGAAAAACGTGTTTAGCTGCCTGGAACATAGTCACAGGGTGGCTTTGCTTTCTTGTGGAAAGATATCAACCCCCAGACAAGAACGCGCTTCTCAGCAATTTCATATCAAGTGAAGGCTAAAGGGATTCCTCAACCGAGTCTATTATTAAACTCGTGGGGTTAGCGCACAAGATTGCTCACATGTCCCCTTATGTGTCCCTAAAAGGATACCATAGCGATCCTATAATGGAGTTTCGATCTACTCAACCCCGGGACAGCGTATCTTAGGTGGTGAGCAAATCAAACCCCGACACGGAACATCGTCACTAACCAACAGCAGGTGGGTATTTGTGATATGATACCCTGATTACCAGAATGACAGGCATGGCAACTCACAATGGCCGGCTCCTGGAGGAATGGCGTAATGATGTGTTCAATAGGTCTTTGCAACCGCGAATAGGTCCCTCGAGGTGTGGATAGAACATGCAACCGCGGTCAGCATATGTTGTAGCTAATGTTCTGTCGGTGGCCATTAGGGGAAAAGGAGAACGGGTGTACTAGAGTTAATCAGCATCGTTATATCTCATATGCTCCAAATACTCGTCTTTCAGACCTGGTTGCACTATTTGAATGTCATTCTAGCAGAACCATAAGGTATCTAAACCCACCACACAGGTTAGCTCATGAGTCTTCTCGTGTTTTTTTCTATGGAAGTACACTACAAGAATATTGTGGTTCGATAATAGTTTCACACAGGTCTAGCTACAGCAGCTGAATTGAACCAAAGTGACCTAGTTGGTGGACTGCGACACACCGTGCATACTGAACACTTCCGATGCCTCTGGTGGTGCAAGGGCGAGGAAACAAAAAGTGTCTATCTTATGCTCAATTGGCGACGCGTTGAGAAACCAAAGCCTGCACATCGCTTTTCGATGATGTGGAATGATAGGAGAGATATACTCCGAAGGCCCATGATGGCTATCTGTGTGAGACTTAAGATAAGGGCCTGGTGGGCTAGGAGACGGTGTATATGCCGCCTAGAGCTGTTTATATTCGATGTTTTTTTTTCCCTTTGAAGATGAGTATTTTGTTCTGATAGTTCCACTATGTTCTCAGTTTCTGGCATCTGTGTGCCGGGAGGTGACGGGGCTTGCTCTATATATGGGCGTGCGGGATGCTGAATTGGCTGGCACTCGTCGTCTGGTTTTTTTGGCATATTGTATAGACTGAATCTTCTGAGAAAGAAAGGCTAGGATAGTAGTTATTATGTATTTGTCGCGAATGCTATGGTGATGTGATTCGTAACGAGGCCATTATTGACTTCTAAAACACATTACTGGACAAGGCTAGGATTGATCATTCGAATTCTGCACGCCTACACTCACGCACCTAGGCGTGCTTGGTCAACTATCCTGGGCTAGGAAGATAGTGCTAATATCCAGCTCCATATTTATTGCAATACTGTGGCGCGGTAGAGGTTGCTATGGTTGTTCGTTGAATAAAGCCTAGGTGTATCAAAGCTGTGCGAGTACTTGGTGCCTTCTATGCCATCTACATATTACTCTTTCAAGTGAACATCTATAAGAGGTGAACAGCCCAAATACAGCGGTTAGCGGTTCCGAAGCCGCTTTGACATCCGTCTTGTCGTCTGTGTCTCAACAATGGTTTTGACATCTTTCTCATCACTGGGCTCGGTCTTCAACTTGCTTTCGCTCGCAGACCGCTTCACTCCTACGGCTGTAGCAGTAGTGATTCTCGTCGTAACCTCAGCTTTGCGATCCTCATCAGGTTCATCCTTGACCTTGACGTCCACTTCCTCCTTCTTCGAAGCAACGAGTCGATCTGAGAATGTCCTCAGGTTAGCCGTAAATAAAACACTCTGCGCCCAGCCAGCCTCGCTTCCCCAAAGCTTGCGGAAGTGATTGCCCACGGCGTCATATGTAGCCTTTGTCAATGATTTATGGGCACCTTTGCCAAACTTGTAATCTCTCTGAGCTATTTGCCAGACTGTTCGGTAATGAGTTAGCATTCGACAACGTCCGTCAAAAGAGATACTGATGGGAAAAGTACCATGGGTATCAACAGGAACAGATTCCCCCCAGCCCAGCCCCATCAGACAAACACAATCCGCAACCTTGGGCCCCACACCCTGCAACTCGAGCAGCTTCTCATGTGCCTCGCGATATCCCTCTCGGCCTTCCGGTCTCATCTCTCCACCGGGTGCAGCTTCAAACCCCAAAGCGGGAGACTCGGGGTTCCGCAAAGAATCCAACCACCCTTTCTCACGCTGCGTTGAGACAATCACTGCCGTTTGATATATGTATTTGGCGCGGTACCCAAAGCCCAAACTCCGCAGCCGACTCTCCACATCGTCGCCGGTCAGGGCCTCGGGTGGTGGGAAGTCATGGTACGCACGGCCGTCGACAGAGGCAATGAATGGACCGTAGTTGATGCAGAGTTTCTCGACCATTTGGGAGATGCGCGATATGTTGTTGTTGCTGCTACAGATGAAGGAGACTAGAGCTTCCCAGGCGTCTTGACGTAGGATGCGGATTCCGGTGAATTGAGGAGCTTTCTTCTTGAAGTTAGGATCGTTGGAGGACCAATGGGAGTAGAGAGATGTCAGGTTGGAGGCAAGATTGAAGTAATGGGTGAGAATAGGGGGAATCTCATCTTTATCGGATTGAGGTTGGTCTAGAGGTTTGTCCGAATCGGCACGAGAGGGCGGATGTGATGAAGGTGGTGTTGGGAGAGGAGCTAGATTGGACAGTTTCGGGGGCAAATAAGTCCTATAATACAGGGTTGTCGGGTCCTGTTTGAGAGATAGGAGGCGACCATGGAGAACGCATCTCCATTCATCGCTGTCAGGCACGTTATGCCATCTAGATCAGTTAGCTAATGCGCCGGATACGTATGGGAGAAAAAGGGGCGGCGCTCACCGAAAGGACTGCCCACAACGGAGCGTCGTGTTAATGCATAGCTCACTAAGACTAACTGGCAGTCTGCGCCATTCTGAAAAAGCCCCGACAGTCATGATAACTGCATTGAATCAACTGGAAACTTCAAAAAGAGACTCCTATCATATTGGGGCAGATAAAGATTCTGCCAGCTTGGATAGAAAACAGAAGGCGGTCACTCCACAGACACACGCGCTAACCGCTTCGACTCTAGACGCCGCGGCTGCTCGCCGATCGTCACGACTGGAGTTTTCCTCAGCGCAGCTCCGTCGTGCAAGCATCACCTCCCTCATCCTGGATTGTTGGTTCTCTGCCCTGTTGCCTGCTTATTTTTGACTAGAGGCATATCTCAAGGGCTGTTGTTTTTATACATTTACCCAAAACCAGAAACGGCAAGGAGCAACGAATCCTGAGCTCAGTATGAACGGCGATACGTATTCGTCCAGAGGTCAGTACTCGCAATGCACTCCTACTGTCAGTTGGCATATGGGATGGTTATCTAATTGCTATGGTCGCAGACTCTGGCCGCTCCAGGGATTACTACGTGAGTGCTTCATGGTTGTCATGTTTCATTCACTTCACACTAACGAAAGCACTATCAGCGCGACGAGCGGCGGGAGCGCGGAGACAGAGGAGATAGAGGAGACAGAAGACGTTCGAGATCCCCCCAATACAACTCTAGAAGTTCCCGACGCGAATATGAAGTAGATACGTACTCGTCGAGCCGTGACTATCGCGCCAGAGAACGGGAGGACCGCTACTCCAGCCGGAGGGATGATCGTGAATGGGACCGAGACCGCGGCGGAGACCGTGGCGGAGACCGTGGCGATCGTCGACGCAGAGACTACGATGACCGGTCATCCCGACGCGATAGGGATCGAGGAGATTTGTTCGAAGAAAGACCTAGGCGAGACGGCAGAGACCGCGACCGTGAGCGCGACCGCGGTGACCGTGGCGACCGTGGCGACCGCGGCGGCGACAGGAGAGAAAGGCGAAGGAGTGCGTCGCCACCTCGGAAGAGGGAAGCGACGCCCGACTTGACAGAAGTACAATCGGTTTTGAGCCGGAAACGTCGTCTGACGCAATGGGATATTAAGCCTCCTGGTTACGAGAATGTGACTGCGGAGCAGGCCAAGTTGTCAGGTGAGATTGCTTTCATATGCCCGTGGACATGTGTTGGATAGACAAGGTTTACTTACTTTGCAGGCATGTTCCCGCTTCCTGGCGCCCCACGACAGCAACCCATGGATCCTAGTCGCCTGCAGGCTTTCATGAGCCAGCCCGGTGCTGGAACGGCAGAGAGCGCCTCCCTGAAACCATCCAACTCCCGCCAGGCCAAGCGTTTGTTTGTGTCTAATCTTCCTGCGAGCGCAACGGGAGAGAACCTGCTGTCTTTCTTCAACCTTCAGCTCAACGGCCTGAATGTCGTTCACAGCGTGGATCCCTGTATCTCAGCCCAAGTGTCCGATGATCGTAGCTTTGCACTTCTGGAATTTAAGTCGCCCAACGATGCTACAGTCGCGCTTGCTTTCGACGGAATTACGATGGATGAGAACGAAGCCTCCGGCAACGGGGCGGCGAATGGAGCACCTCAGGGCCTTGAAGTACGGCGGCCCAAGGATTACATTGTTCCCAGTGGCAATGAGCAGGAATACCAAGAGGGAGTATTGCTGAACGAGGTTCCCGACTCGCCCAATAAAATTTGTGTGTCAAATATCCCCCATTACATCCCGGAAGAGCCTGTCACCATGCTTCTGAAGTCCTTTGGCGAGTTGAAGTCTTTTGTGTTGGTTAAAGATAGCTCAACGGAGGAGTCTAGGGTAAGTATTGTTGAATGACCGACTATGGGCTGCGACTGATTTAGCTAGGGCATTGCATTCTGCGAGTACGCTGATCCTAATGCTACGAGCATTGCCGTGGAAGGACTCAACGGCATGGAACTGGGTGACAGACATCTCAAGGTTGTGCGCGCCAGTATTGGAATAACGCAGGCCGCCGGACTCGACATGGGTGTCAATGCGATGTCGATGTTTGCCAAAACCACTTCCCAAGATTTGGAGACCAGCTGTGTGCTGCAGTTGTTGAATATGGTGACGCCAGAGGAGCTCATGGACAACGATGATTATGAAGGTACGTTCCTAGCCTTATGCCATCGTTGGAATTTTACTAATGGCGATAGAAATCTGCGATGATGTGAGCGAGGAGTGTTCGAAGTATGGCCAGGTAGTTGAATTGAAGATTCCCCGTCCCTCCGGCGGCAGCAGACAGTCTCCCGGTGTGGGCAAGATCTTTGTCAAGTTCGACTCGGTGGAATCAACAACCAACGCGCTCAAGGCGCTTGCTGGTAGGAAGTTCTCTGATCGGACCGTAGTGACGACCTACTTTTCCGAGGTAAAGTCCCTGTCCTCCCTGCCGGAGTCCATCTCATCTAACATTCGCCTAGGAAAACTTCGATGTGAACGCGTGGTAGTGTAGACGGTGGGAATGGACATCGTTCAATTGCTCTTGTTTTTTCTACGTTCTTGACCATTAAAGATGCTTAATCGATCAGATTCCCTGGGTTGACCGGACCTGGTGCGGGCTTGTCTGGCTGGGGTTATACATTTATTGCGTGTGTATCATAGCGAGAGTATGAAATTGGAGTGTATCATCTAACGCGATTATCATTGTAGATCTGTCACTAATAGGTAACGCACGTTGATCCATCGAACGGTGCGCGGCTAATGATATTGCCTCGAAGCTAAGGGGCGATAAGCCGAAACAACGTCTCTATGGTACCGGTTTTCATCGGATAGCCGAAGGATAGTCAGAGGTTCCTTCATCATCAGCGGTAGATGCTTCCAGGTCCTTTCTGAAGTCCATCTGGCTGATCTTCAATTTCTGCGTTTGCTGAGAGCACATGGCCTGCAGAAATGGCACAGTTAGCTCATAAATGACCAAGTCTCAACAGAAACAGGATATCTGACCTCCTCAATGCTGTTCTCAACACGGTAGCGGGTGACTAGGACCTGCTGCTCCTGGCCAAGACGAATGGCGCGTGCAATAGCCTGGCTCTCCACACTAGGGTTCCATTGTGGCTCGACGATGAATACCCGATTGACGGATTTTAGGTTCAACCTGCTTCACTTCAGCCAGAGCATTCATCATAAGTAGGAACCGTCGGAGAGCAGGCCGTACCCGAAAGCTCCTGTGCCTGTTGTCATGATTAACACGGGTACCTCCCTGGTGCCGTCGAATTTGTCAAGGATTTTCTGACGCTGAGATGTTGGTGTTTTGCCGTCAATGCGCTCAAAATCTATGCTCGAAGCTTTCAGATGCTTTGCTATCAGGTCAAGGGTCCGTGTCCAGCATGAGAAAATGATACTGTCTCATTGTCAGTGATAAGAAAGGCTTGCACTGATCAACCATACCTTTTGGTTGTCCCCATATCGCTCTGCACGTCGGATATAAGCACCCTCATCTTGGATGAGTAACCGTCCGTGTTCAGATAATCCGCGTCATTTCGGTTTCTCCGATTTGACGCGGTGGGTATATGGCCACGGTAGCGCGACCCCCTAAGAGACTCACATAGTGGACAGTGGTGCCTCTCCTCTGGGTCTGACTGAATGCTGCTGCCCCAAGAACAGTCATCACATAGGACATGCTTGCAACTTTCTACATACTTTGGCTGCCTGCCATGTGGCATAACCGGCAACGGCTGTCGGCAACCTGAGCAGCGGTTCAAGCTATCCCTTGTCACCGAACAGACAGGGTCCAATTCATCCTCTAGCAGGTTCCTCTTAGCCCAAGAGAACCGGGGCTGGTATGTTCCGTGATTGCAAAAGCTCCTTAGCTGCAAAAAGACCTGGAACATGCCAAATGTCTCTGCTTGCTGATTGTATTCCCCAGCCTGCTGGTGGATGAATCTCTTCATGTCTTTCCTTGTAAGCTCATACTTAGCACGTTCTTCAGGAGAAAATCGCACAAGGCGTATTTCTGATCGTTGGCCTGGCAAGTGAACGCGCTCAATGGTTCGCCTGAGACAGACAGCTTCCAGAAGGAGGGTGAGCCTTTCGATTGCTTTCCGCTTGGTTGCCCTGACACCAAAAGGATTAGCTATCCAGTGACTGAAGTTTCTGGGATCGTGGAAAGGCTTTAGTTGTATAAAGGCCAATAGTGAACCTAGATCGCCTAAACTGTTCTGAATAGGAGTTCCCGATAGACACCAGCGTGATTTGGCTCTCAGTTCGACCACAGCCCTATGAAAGGTTGTGCTACGGCGACGTATCATGTGGGCTGAACCGGGTTAACATCATCGCTTCATGCAGGAATTGCCCATGTTTGTGACGGACCTTCATCCAGGACAACTCGATACCACGCAAAGTCATGTAGTGGGCTCTGCCCCTTTCCGAGGATCTTCGCATCATGCTCCTTTGCAAGGGTGTTATACGTGGTAATGACAATATCATATCGGTCGATGTTGCTAATTAGCTCCTTGCGCGATCGTCCATGGTATCTCATCATCTTCATACCGCCGTTAAGGTGACTGGAAGACTGTTAGTGTCTTGGGAAAACACGATGAAGAGTTTCCTACTCGTCAATTTCTCTCTCCCATGTGTTAATCAACACTACTGAAGTTAGCTTGCTCATATGATTCAAGCGTGAAGGTCCTTACCGCGCGAGGGAACAATGACCAACGTCGCTCGAGTAGGCGTCTCAACAAGGGAAGCTCTACCAGGAGCCTTTGTCTCCTCGGCCCATTGACGTGCTTCTTGTAATGTCTTTGCCGTAAGAACCAGTGTCGTAAGGGATTTTCCCATGCCCATCTCATCAGCAAGGATCCCTCCACCGCTCTCATCAGGTTGCTCTTGCTGCTCGTTGCCGGTGATGAGATGGTAATACCTACTTTTTTTTTTTTGAGTCAGTGCCAATGCTTCATACTTGAAGTGGGATTCTCTACAGTTGCCCCCGGCCCACAGGCTTTGGTTGCCAGAGGCGAAACTCGTCTGAGATACCGCCTGTTTCTCGCTGTATCATGAAATCCAACGCTTCTCCTTGATGCCTATGATCTCGCAAAAATTAGCTTCCAGACTATTGCAGAAGGAGCACAATAATTGGCGACTGACTGATATAAGGTCCTGTTCAATGTCTCGCTCCCTCCCAGTTCAGTAAGATGATCACCTCGTGTCAGCGAATTGAAGACCTCCGCAATGGTCTCCTCGAAGCCTTCGTCCCTCTCAGGCGTAGTTTCCACCACTTCCACCTCGGTAACGTCTTCTTCATCCTCGGTGTCTGTCTCATTCATCCCATCCAATCGTAGGATATGTGGATTATCATATCGGACCCCAACACGACAGTCATTGGGGTGTTGGAGGAAGAGACCTTTCAAAGAAAGCACTCTCCCTACTTCATCGCGGTCAGACTCTCTTCCATAGACGTTGATGCTCACGCGGGTCGCCGCATCAGCTGGCTTCCCAGCCCGACGCAGGGACTCAATGAGTGAATTGAGATTGGTGAGAGCATCGATCTCGAATAAGGGCAAATCAATAAATCCTTCTAAGGCCTGCTCCATCTTTCTAGATAGATATCCTAGATCCGTGCCGTCAGGAAACCTGAGGACGAGTGGCCCGTCGCCAGATGGTCGGATGTTAAGGGTTTGAACATGCTGGTTATTCTCTTTGAGTGCTAGGATTTTCGTGTCTAGTTCTTGGCCTTTCCCTACCAATTTAACCTTCTCGTGGACGAGCTAAGTATACGTTAATCTCCGATGCTTGTGAGAGGGATTGTGACCAACCATCCCATAGCAGACCTGCTTTTCCTGCTCACTGGAAGCGACATCCACCATCAAAACGTCAACGTTACCGGCCGGCCCACCGAGAAAGTCCATCCCAGGCGTCGATGTCATAGATGTACCACTCAACCCTATATCATCAGGCACCGGCTGCAGAAAGGAAGCTTGGCCAAAGGGCATGGAGTCTAGCCCCGGAATAGGCCCGAGCTGATTTACAAACATGGAGTCTTGGTCGCCAAAGGAATGATTGAACGACATATCTGTTGGATAGACGATTGAATCGAGGTGGTTCTCTGTTGGGTTCACAGCCCTAGTCTCGTCAACAAGAAAGTGCGATAACATAGTGTGGCTAACAACTACCAGTCAGCAGGAACTTCGAGCCTCGGACGGACACGCCGCATATCATCTGTCCATTCGTCTCCAGCATCATCGTCTGTCGGGTTCAGAAGTGGCCTGAGAGACATCGTTATTGCTTGCTTAATTAATACTGCTGTGATAAAGGGAAGAAAAAGTAAAGCTGCATATCTGTGAAGAGCACTGGTCTCACTGCTGAAGACGAGGCTGAAGTAGGGCTGACTCGGAGGGCTTAGATAAGCCCAACTGCCCCTCTCAACCTCCCTGGAGTGCTAAAAGTGCAGTGTGAACCTTGGCACCAATTTTTCCGGTCTACTGCAAGCCAACGTCGTCGCTATTTAAACCCAGGAGCCGTGGAAGAAGCCATTCCAAGCCACCTCACACCACCCTGCCAACCAAACGCACCAGTTACTGTACCCGACTACAAACAGCATCAGTATGTAGGTGTTGATGGGGATTTGGTGGGGCTCTAGTACCTATGAGGTGTGGTATGGGTGAACTGGCTGTTGAGGGGTTGTTGGAGCTGCCATTTTGTTTGTGTGAGTTCCGAGTGAGAATTGAGTTGGCGTGTTTAGTTTGGAATCAGGTCGAGATCCTTTGTTGATGGATGTTTATATTCAAAATGAGCTTATCTTCTATCGGTGCATGGGCATTTGGCGCATGGAGGACAGGCCCAGGGGTAGTCTCAGATTAAATTAGCAGGAGCATATTGTGCAAGAGTGTCTGGTATTCTCGAGTGGAATTGTATTAGTGCTGGAGGATGGGACTGAACCGCCTGGTTATAGATCTGAGAAGGCATGAGTAATACTGAAGCAGAATCTCGCTGCTGGTATTACTAGCGAATATCTGTACAGTTACTGGATCAACATGCAAGTGAGCATGCACTGTGAAAAATATATGCGCCTACTTCAATATTAGAACCTCGCTACTGATTTACAGATTTAAAACCGAGGCAGATAGTGTTCGAGCAAATTGACTACCGAAATCCTCCAGCTATCACCTGTTAAAGAATGACAAGAGTTTCTCAAAACATTCGAACCATTTGCTGCTATCACCATCGTGCCATACCGTTGAATGCCGCTCTGCTTAGGTCTTGCATCCAGCTGTCTGCTTGGCGTCACTCAAGGTGAAGCCAGATCCGCGAATCTCGGGATAGGCATTGATGTTGCGGCAGTGGGCTTCGAAGGCCGCCACCAGGTCACTATTGACAGGACAGGCCCAGGGGGTATTTTCATTGTTGCAGGGTATGCCAACAGACTTGCAGGGAATGGGGCTGGTGTTGCAGCTCATGATGACGAAGTTGTTCTGGGCCGAGATGGCGGTAACCAGGGCGAGAGCGATGGCGGTGTATGTGAATTGCATTGTGCTGGATGAAGGGTTAGTGACTGATTATATACATAGTAAATTGAGTATTCTAGACTGACAATATTGTGGACCGTGTGGGATTTGTAGAAGGCAAAGGTTGGTAGTGTCTGTTTAAAGTCCAGAGGAGGATGTTGATTGTTGGATACCAGCAGGACTCTGCGGGCTTCCTCGCTACTTAAATATCCATCGAGGCTACCATGGAATATAAAAAGCCCAGTAGGATAAAGCAGCAGCTGAGTACATTAGTCTAGATTCAAAGAAGCATTATTTAGGTCCGTTAGCATCTGGGCTGCTCCTAGGGCCGGAGGCCGGGTGCTGGGTCAATTGTCAAGCTACTCTGTTGTTATTGCACGCTAGATTACGTGTGCACCTACTTTGGCATCTTCTCTGGTTAGCAGAATATAATCGTTCTGGGGGGATAGTGTTGAATTTTATATACCCCTGTTAGGAGTGCTTTTAGATGTAACATCATGCCTTGATCAGCGAGACGACATGAATGTAAACCGAGCTGACATTGTTCAAGAGTTCTTAATGACAATCCAGGTTTACAGCACATCAAATTTGTATAAACTACGTATTGCGTCCTACATATGGCCATTTCGAAACATGGCAAATCATAGCTTGCGACTTTTGTGTAATATGCTTGGAGAGTCATCATTAGTCGGTTGCTCTGGATAGCCCACATCTATGGATTAAGGTAACGTAAGCTAATTGGAGCCTAGTCGCAATGGTAAGTGGGGTGCGCACGCTTGATCTTGATTCGAAATTTGTCTGGGGAAATTCCGAAAGCTCCTGTGCTTGGTACTAGTAGTATTGACCATCCAATGCACGGAGGGAGTCTCTACCCTCCGAAACGGCGAAGACTCTGACGGCCACATCTACAGGACTGGGGAGCTGAAGAAAGCTCTTCAAGGCTTGGCTGGTTACGTGGCGAGCATGGATGCCATCAGACTGGAATAAGATGAACGTCAACATTTGTCTTTTGGATGGTTTCGGAATTCATAGTCAAGAAAATCACATTTGCTACATCATAACTGTAAAATTGCGGTTGTATAGAAAGTAAAGAGCTTTACCAGCCACTGGTAGTTACTTCGGATTAGCTACAACATGTCATGGTTATTTCTACAACCCTTTGTTTCCCCAACCAACTACAACAATGATATAACTATGAGCTAGGTTTTCCCACAGCTATGCCAGTGACGGCTCGGTCTTAGCTTTCAGTATCGGCTGCCGAAGGTGTCACACTAATGAGCCCAGAGACTGATGAAAGCTATGCTGTCCTTGGTTTCTCAGCCGTGTGACCCATGAAACTATGTTTATTTGAGAGTCATAGCTGGACTGCTGGCCTGCCTGACCACAAGCATTAGTAAGCCCTTTGAACGATAGTTATCTTGTGGATGAATATGGTCGCCATGGGGCCATGGAACTCCATTTTGAGAAGTCCTAGTTCTACAGCAGAAGTGGAATAGAGCTATAATCTCATTGGCGAGAAAATGAAGCGTTGTTGGCCTATGCTACATTTCATCATGGAGGGATAGGAGTCCATTGATAATGACCATTTGTATCTTGTGACTATTGACCTAGAGCTAGCTTGAGAAATGTCCCACACTGAGGCTGGCTTATATGCTTTCAAGCCCACACCATCTCTTTATGTGTAAATTTTAATGTACAGCTGGGTAACTGAGATATTCAAGGTAGGTAGCTAGCGAACCCATTTTGTGTGTCTTTGAGTTAAACATAGATTATAATTCAGTACATTTCCTACGATGTGTAGTTCATGGTCTTCTGTCACAGTTACATGTCTGGTGTATGCTTGAGTAAGGATACAGGTATGCCACTGAGATAAAAGACAGGAATAGACAACTCGGGCAGCATTGAATCATATAGAGATTAAGCCAAGTTCCATCAACAATAACCGTTCGTTACTCTACCTTCTCCCTAGACTGGCTCAGACAATTTCTGATCTACTCAGCAGTGTGCAGATATCCCGTGGCATTTTAGAACACCTCCGGTACCAAGCTCCAGCACACCATCTACAAAGCGTCAGTCAACACCACAGTCTGGTGTCTATTGCACAAAATACTTACCTAGATTAAAGCTCCTAAGGCCCATTTTTACACCTACGACACGGTCGGTATGGTCTTTGGGCTCTGGCACGTTCGTGCAGTAACAGAAAACGTTGTCTCCTTGTTCGCTTCTATCGAAACGGCAGTTCCAACAATTCCCATTCCAACTAGCAAGCCCATTTCCACTAATACTGTCAGCTACTGCTTATTGCAACTCGATGAAATGGACATACCCCTTTTCTGCGGTAAATTTATGCGTCGTTTTATCCCAACCAAGGCATCTGTTCAGACACAAAGCCCCCATCGTTTCACCCCCATCCCTGTCATTCTTGCAATCCGAGAATAGACTTTGTGCAGGGGGATATTGTTGATTTCTTTGGGGCTGTGGACCGCGGATCTCGAGTCCAGGGCACTGTTTTAAGATGTATCTTCTGTCGCGAGGCGATGTGGGCATGCTTCGTTTTGCGGGAATCGTGTAGTCGCCTTGACCAGCAGCCAAGGCTACCAGGAATGAGGCAAAGACAAGCGACGGCCAGTACATTTTTGCAGTCTGTTTAACGAGAAAGGATAGACTCGCAGCGCTATAAATGGGAAGAGATAGAGGAATTAATGGAGAAAAAGGGAAAAGAACAATTAGGAACTGTTGAATCCTACTATTGTCCGGTGTTCAGGCCCTGACAATTTATGGGAATTCCGCTGTCTTCGTGAAAGTAGACTGGATCCACCCAGATGAGAATGGCCGTGAGATCTGAAGTTAGCTTTTTTCTGTCTTTCTTTATGGAGTTTGAATTCTGTGCCACAGGGTAGAGATCAGCTCCATCAATTGCTTTGCAATCAGTGCTAGTAAAGCGGCCTGAGCATCTGCTGCGAAATATGCTCTAAGAAATGGGGCACATAGGGCAAACGGGATAAAAGCTTCAGCCTGCCCCATAATGGAGCCCATAAGTTTGGATAATATCTTTCGGACCACTAGGAAGTATTCCTTCTGAAGTCTGAACGGTGCAAATTAAACCATATTTCGCAGCGCCCTGGAACAAAGACTCCCAATGGAGACTTGTATTGGCTACGAAAGCTTGTGTAAAAGTACTAAATGATTGACTGGAATAAAGCATAACAGTCCTAGGCTGTAAGCCCCTAAAGGTGAAAGGTAACATGTCATTCAGCCGCTGTCCTTTATCCCCGGGATATTAGGTTTGAGGAATTGAAGGCAGATGAACATGATTTTGTCTTCAAATAGGCCCTCATATTTGTACCAATGGCCTCCAGCTAAGCAAGACAATCAACTTTCTGGCTTAACCAAGTTTCTACATACTATGGAATGACCGTAGACTGTCTAAAAGCAAGTGAGAAGCTACTAGACTAATTAAAACCATGGCACCCTACACCATATCCCTACAGACAGACCAAAGGTGCAGACTGCCTCTTCCTCCCGAGTCAAGTTCTGGCAATAAGCTCGAGGCCCGTGGATGTGACACGGTAGCTCTGCCTTGTTTCACGATCAGACAAGCGAAGGTCCCGCATGTTGTTGTTAATGAACAGGCGAGTGGGCGCTTCCTCGTGACGGATATTGAGCACCTCTCCTCCGTAGCCAGAAATAGGCAAAGTCCAGTTTCTTGCCGTCTGAGATGTGCTACCCTTAACATCGAGATTAAGGAGCTCATTGTCATCGGCATCTAGAACCTGAAAGGCGGCATACGTGTCGTTGAAATAGTTATGAGCTACACCGTTCTTCAAAGCTACATTCAGCTTCCTGCCAACTAGGTCTAACTCTGCCGTCAGGAACTGCCAATCCCCGATGCCTTTAAATGCAGCTGTGAAGGAATTTCCAAGCCCTTCATTGGGTGTATTATTGTCAGATGGTATGAAGTCGGAATATTTCTTCAGCAGATCGTCGCGTTGAGAACCGGTAAACTGGCCGATGGCAAGCCAAATATCCACCTTGCTGGGACAGTCAGCGTTTAATAGAGTAGGGTGACTCCGCAGCGCAGTTGCCGCTGCTTCTATCCGTGCTAGCAAGGCAGCCAGTGGATCGTTCTTGAGTGACTGGTTCTTGAGACCACTGGCAGTTATCTCGAAGATATTCGTTCTTTGGGTGTGGTCGATCACTCCGTCAAAGTCTGGTCTCAGCTGAATACGATGGCTTGGCTCCGCATGATAAACCTCGAGTGTATAGCCAGGTTTGAAAGGTAGCTTGTCATTGCGTAGTGTTGCCCCAACACCTGGCATTGTGGCGCGGAACCGCTCTTGCCCATTGTCATCTTTGATAATGACCTCTGCGTATTTTTCATTACCAAAATAGGAATGGGGGTCTTTGTTAGTCACAGCTACTTGCACGACATGATTTGCTTGGTCGACAAGTATGGTGCTGAACAAACCGTCCCCTAGGCCTAGCAGCCTGATTTCTTGGTTGGCCACCTGAGAACCAGTTTGATGGGCAAAGCTCACTTGCACCTGAGCTGATCCAGGCTTGACAACAAGATAGCGTTGATCCACCTGATATTTACTGTTTCGCCCCAGAGGGAGACGCAAAGTATATACACCGATTGGCAGAGCCCCAAGGGCTACATTCGTGGTTTCAATAGTGAGCTGGCGAATATAGCGGGAGCCATCTAGCATGGTAATTGTCTTCCCGTATATTTGGCTGAAGTCATCGATCTTGAGCTCGAGGGTGACATCACCTTTGACTCCACTAGCGAGCATTTGCGACACATTGACTAAAGTCAGAGGACTTTGCAACTTCAGCAGCCCTTGCAGCTTTGTCAATGTATCTCCATCCACAAGATGATTAAGTGGATAAACGGCTCTGCCCTGACCGAACTGGTTGAGCTCACGCTGTCCTGGTGAGATATATCCACTGCATAGCTCCACAAATGGCGTCACGTCGATGTGTCCAATGCGACGGAAGCTGTCAGAGAGCATATCAAGAAGCAGATGGTTAGTGGAATCGAAATTTGGCTGGTTGCTGACCAGGCGATATTGCTGGTTGAAATCGGCAAACGAGTCAGCACTCGCCTTTTCCACCATCAACACCAAGAAGTACAGCTTTGCGCGAAGGTCCCAGTCATTGAGTGACTTGTGCGACGTGATATAATCCACGATACCTTGCTCAACCTGGGCTTGCTTGCCATAGTTATACAGCCAGCCTTCCTCATACTTGCGGTCGCCTAGATATGCGCTCTGGTATAGAGCGGCATAAACATTGTTGGATACTTCCCCGTTCCAGAAGTATCGGTCATTGCGGAAGGACATCTGATATCCGTGTCCGATCTCATGTAGATTGCCCCAATTGCTCGGAGACGGCAGCAGCCACCACTCCTTGATAGCATTGGTCGATGCTGCGGTCCAGTTCTGGCCGTAATATGCGCCACCAGCGCCATGCTTATCAGCCTTCATGAAGTAGCGATTGGTAATGTTCAGATCTGAAGGACGCTCTGGCTCGAACGATAGACCGGCCAATGCATTGTAAAACGAAAAAACTGATTCATAGTATCCAATCAGCCCATCAACATTGTCCACCTCTTGCGGATGTCTCAATGCCTCTTTGTCAATCACAGGAACGAGGACTTGTGTGTAGCTGGAGTCAAGAAGCGCGAACTCTGAGCCCTGATTGTCCCAGTGATTGAAGAAGTCGGTCTGGCTTTGTCCCTTGCGATAAACGGGTAGTTGCTTTGAACCGTCCGGATATTCATATTCAACCACCGGCTCCACAGCGGTGCTTGAGGTATCGGTGTACAGCGTGTCGATGAATGGCACAGAGACGACACTCACGCTGAGCTCGACCCAGTCGTTGCCCACTTTCTTGGAAGTCTCCGTATTTTTATCGTCATTCAGCAAGCGCAAAGTGAGCTCACCAGTGAATGCGGCATTTGTTTGACGAGCCTTGATAGTTTGGCCTGCAGCAAGGACGATGCTTAGATGCTGGCGATCATGGTCAATACCTTTGCCCATTCCTGCAGCATCGAGCCACTTCGGACGTGGGAGGACGGGGATGTGTTTGGTTTTGATAGCCATGATATGCAGGCGGTTGTCTTCACAAAGCGTAAGGATTGTCTCTATGACAGAAGGTATGAAAGTAGCCTAGAAAACACGAGAATGGGTCTTGGACTTTGCAGGGCTTTGAGCAGGCACTGACTCAATTGAATTGATCGACCTGGAAATTTTTGATATCCGTCCTTCGTGGATATTGTGTATATTTATATGTACGACAAGACGTTTGTGGTCAAGGTGCGTCACATCCAGACTCTATTAAGCTCACATCTTCATATCCTGTAATATTATTCATATCCACGAAGCTAGCTGAGCTCCCTCACAGCTCGACACCAGCTTCTAACCCCGCATTTTCATTTACGAATAGCAATTCGTACCAAATGCACACGACGCCAAAAGGGGAAATTTTGGGCCCTGAGTCCAGCTCATCACAACGTAGCTAATGCCTTTCAGCTCTGGCCGCTATGCATGCATATGCAAGAGCTGCAGAGTGGAAAATGTAGCCGACAAGTTCTTTTCGTGATTGGCCGGGATCATATTCAGCTGGGTAGGCAAGGCATTTCGACAGCAACTGGGGGTTCTGGAAAGAACGAGATTCGTCGAAGACATATTGGCTCAGAATCCAGAACCTGTTTTATGGATGACAGCTGTTTGAGCGAGCTCACATACTACTGTACAACCTACTTGGTTAATGTGGAGGGCGCAGCTCCGGTTGGGTATCCGTATGCAAGTCGTGCCAAGCAGGCTTCAGCTCTGTTGTCTTGTGGTAGATATATAGCGTAGCCACTATAACAAGGGCTGATGGATGTAACCTTTACAAGGAATCTTGTTTAAATGGTCGGCCACTCGGTAGCAAGGCATCTTTTTGGGAATTTGGTACTGCTAGAGCGTCGGTGATCGCTAAATAACAAAAATAACAAACTTAGACCTCGATATCAGGGCCATGTAGAAGAATGCATATTAGCGAGACTACCACAGCCCTGCGGTATAGAGTTGTTTAACACTACTGATAGTCAATGAAAAACAAATTAAGTCAGAAGTAACAGTACAACTGCTCTACGATCCTTTTGTAAAAGGATACCGGGAGTTCATGCGACTGGTCCTTGGTGGTATGGTGGACCTGGTAAGCTCCGGCCCATTTCTGCTCTCTACAATGCCTTTGGTACAGCGAATTCTCACAACGTTTATGTGTGAAAACATTGAGGCCCTTTTCGGGAAACCTATACAGAGCTTAATAAAAATGATAAAAGTTAATATTCTTTTTATTTGTATATATATAAATATTTTGTTTCCTCTTTTTTTCTTCTCTATAGATTATAAGTTAAGACTCTGTTGAGGCATCTTGATACTTCCGAAGCCTCATTCTAAAAGAGTAAATAATGAGGGCAGCAGTTGGAACACAGCAGGCTGTATGAGATTCCAAATTTCTGCTTAGTGGTTTGCCCTGCCTTTTACACATGCTTATACAATCGGAGTACATTGATCCCGTACAGATACCTTCATAGAATCATATTGCTGAGGTCTAGCTAGGGCTTATGTTAATTGAAACACACAAACTGTATCTTGGACTGTCTACGCTGTGATGAATACAATCCTAATTGTGTTTGATATCCGTTTGACTGCCTCTAGTAGGAACGTAGTTTAGAGGGGTTGTTGGGAAACGGCTATATAAGGTAAGGACTGTAATGGGCCAAGACCTCTGAGCAGAAATGATATCTATGGCTCTCAATGTTTTTTTTTTGAGAGTTTCAGGAGGGAATCGCGTCTATTTCGTGGAAACAGATGTGCTGCTGTTTTGTCAGCGGGGTGGGTCGTGGTCCCGATATACAATGCCGATATTCCCACCATTTATCAACCAATATCACTGCTAACCCTATCTCGGAGTCGGGATGTGGACAATGACCCACTACTACTTTCTCTATATGCCTTGCGTTGAACAAGGAGTAAATGCCTCATCTACTTAAAGCTCTGAATCGACCTCTTGACTTTTTTTTATTGTCATGGCTCAATGTGAACTATCTTGTCCGCAAGACGACATATCAGTTTGATACCTCCTCGCCATGGCGTCTTCAAGATGGCGTCCTGGTAAACGAGTTGCGATCGTGGGGGGAGGCCCCGGATCGATCTCGACTGGCCTTGCCTTCATTCAACGTGGCTATGACGTGCGGATCTTCGAGCGACAACCGGAATGCAAGGCCATAGGAGGCGCCGTCCTCTTGTCTACTCCCGTGTTGTCGATTCTTCGGTCCTACGGCTTGAGTCTGGACAACGTTGGCTCGTATACAGTCACATATTTCAAGAACAAGGCTGGGACAGAGCGTGTCAAGTTACCGTTCAACTCTGTTGTTGAAAAGCGCATGGGTATTAAGGGCTGGCATTATGGGGTCCTTCGCTCTTCAATCTTCAAAAAGATGCTCGACCTTGTTCCCGAGGGTGTGATTCACGCCGGCCACGAATTTACATCTTACACAGAGACTGACGACGGCGTCCAACTTTGTTTCAAAAACGGACATCAAATCACCGCCGATATTGTTGTCGGTGCGGATGGCATTCGATCGAAGGTTTCACAACAGGCGTTTGGCGACCCTCAGCTATTCCACACTGGTATTCGCCTCTGGCTCGCCTGGTGCGATTATATTCCCGATATCCCTCCCAACTATGGTGTCGTCTCCCATGACTGGCAGTACCAAGCCAGTTTCTTTCCAATGCTTCATGATGGCAAGCCCGGGTTTGAGTGGTGGGTGGTCGAGCCCTCTTGGGAAGGGAAGCCTATCCCGGAAGACCCCAAGGCACACCTCACTGAAATCCTCAAAGATTGGGCACAGCCCATGCCTCGCTTTTTGGATGCCACCAACTTCGACACCCAGGTTTATCGCTGGGAGATCTATAACCGACCTTCAATGAAAAAGTGGTCTAAAGGACGGGTGGTGTGTGTTGGCGACGCTGTGCACCCGGTGTCGCCGTATGCTGCGTACGGTATGGGCATGGCAATTGAAGACGGTTATTACCTTGCCAGAGCGTTGGATGGCGTCGACCTGCGTGACCAACAAGTATTCAGAGCCGGATGTGAAATCTACGAGAAACAGCGAGTTGACTATGTGAATCATAACATGGAGTTTGCTCGTTTTCTTGGTCAAATGTTTCACTGGGTACCTCGGCCTCTCGCCAATATTCGTGATTTATTATTCGACTACACCCCGTTGCTCAGCAGGTATCTCAGAGATGGCTACCTTAAGAAGGCTGAGGAGGAAACACTAAGCTTGAAGGAGCTTCAGGTCGTTCCTTGACAATACAATTAGTCGCTTAGAAATTTGCCGACTGCCCAACCCATTATCTGAGAAGGACGAAGCAATGATAGGTGGGTGAGGAATGTGAACAACTATGAAGGGGTGCGAGAACCTATCTTAATTCAATTTGGTAGATCGTTCTGTTGAAGCATCCTGTCCTATGTGCTTATTTCCTTCAGAGAAAAAACAAGCGCCACCCTGCAGACTCTTTTATTCATTCTATCATTCTAGATCATATATAGTTAGACATTAGTTATTTCGCCAATGGTGTGCATTTGCCAAGCGTGCCACATAGAAAATCATTAGGGGTGGCAATGCCTTTGACTCTCAGTCTGCAGGAATCATTTTTCATCAAGCAGTTTTCCGGCGCCTTGCATTGCGTCTATGGGTCCATTTCTAATTGGATCAGCCTATAGATTTGCCATAATTTCGTTGCTGCTGGGCGGCACCATTATTCTGTACGAGGCCCACGTCATTAGCGATGATGTATCGGAAATGACTGTTCATGTTGTTGTCTGTAGAGACTAAGCTCTTAGGAAGTGAAGTTTTGCCAGATTGTCAAGGCAAACGCTAGCTCTTAATGCTTTTATCCATTTGCCTTTCTGTGGTAGCAGTACTACAATTAGTATTCAAGGAGAAGGCAAGATGGATTATTTAATGGGGGTAGCATTTGGCACAAGCTACTCGACACGAAAATACTCCAGCTCTCCATACCTCTCCTTTCCCCATCTCTGCAGACCCTCATCCAAAGACTGCGTAAACCCTTGATCATATCGTAAGCCATCTTGAAGATAAGAGATTCTTCCAGTTCTCCAAACGATCCAGCTCTCTGCCAATACGGACTTTGGGTCCCGTAAGAGACCAACTGCGACGTCCACTATTCCCGGGCGATCGCTACAAGTATAGAAGACCACAGCGCCACATGTCTCACAAAAGGTCCTCACCACTCCCTCACTCGATGAATAACGTCTTGAGGACCCTATAAGTAAGTTGGCTGGCGGCGAGGGCGATATATGGTTGACCGGAACGAACATCCAGGCCGCGACATTTGCCCCACTGACCAAGCGGCAGTCATCACATACGTCCAACACACCTAGCCATTTGGCATCGTTCCCTTCTAGAACCCATTTACGATTCGCAGGATCCTGAAGGAAATCCTGACTAGGACGGGAGATGGTGAATGAGACCCCTCCGCAGTGACATTCAGCCCGTAGAGATTGGTCCTCGCATTCCTCTGCCTTCAGATTGTCCTGTACGGGGGCCTTATCTTCCTGGTTCTCCGAATTTGAAATGGTAATTTCACGATCCTTGATCTGAGGTACAAGCTCGGATAGCCCGGCATTGGTACTACCGTTGGCATAAATATGTGAGTTGATCTGCCAGACACTTTCGTCTCCGCTCTGGTCGAAGATGGCGCTGGAGACCACCCAGCGACCATTGGCGTGGTCACGGTCACCAACATGACAACCACATTTGCTACAGAAGAATCGAGTAGATGTGGATTGCTCGTACGTATAGGGTGTTAAACTGTCAAGGCCTGACGGTGAGATGAATTCGGGATGAACATCCTTGGGAAGCGGGGCATGGAAGCTGCACAGGGCACCATGCGTATAGCGGCATACACTGCAGTGGCATAGGTGAATTCTCAGTGGAAGAGTGTCACGCGGAAGGGTGACTGTGAAGTGCACAGATCGACAGTGACAGGCTGCAGTCAGGGTCTTGTATTCTGTCTCAGGAGCCATTTTGCGATTAGTATACTTGGGATGAATTGGAAGAGCGAAGGAACAAAGATATGCAGCATAGGAGGGAAGAGGGGATGCAGCAGTCAGGTGATATCGCATTCCGTCTCGGAGAGATTATATTATAGCTCGTATTCACTCTCCTGGAGCAGGCGAGGTAAATGCTCGAGAGTTATTAGGGTTAGGGGGTCGATTGTTCTTCAAAACTTCCCTCCCATGACGGCCTCGAATAGAGCAAATTGAAGTAGTATTGCTAAGCAGTTGTATGGGCACATCAGGTCAGCGATGTGATTATGTCAAAGTCTCAGGTCAGGCATATGATGCAATTGGGTGAGAAACATGAAGTTTACGAGGGCTCCACTTTTACGAGGTACTGTTGTTCGTATCAGCGATGCACCCTTGCCAGATCGACAGATGGTCGTTGGTGAGATATAAATAAACCTATTCCTTCGAGATACTCTGTCTATGATCTGGTGTTGATCGTCATTTCCGCTGTTCCACTCAGAGAGCCGCCTTCATATATCCTGACCTATTAGGCCTCGTATGGTAGGGCTTTTCATGTTCGCATCATGGACACATAATGGGTTAGTCGTGAGAAGGGTACGGGACGAAAATGTATAAAGAAGGGAATTGGGACAGAGAGTTGTAACTCGAAGTACCTGGAGTAAATCAACAGAGAAGCCCCCCAACTTTCAGTCACTTTTTTGATATATTTCCCAATTCCTCAACGAATTCTGTCTTGGTTTTAATCATGAAATTCCAACTCTGGGCTGTTGCCCTCGCATCGGCGCTCTGTGTCCAAGCCAACGAATGGCATGCCTATTACCGCCTCGATAGCAAAGCATACCAGACAAAGTTCGATCAAATGGTCTCGCAAGGCTATAGGCTGAACTCGGTCAGCGGATATGAGTACAATAAGGAGGCAAACTTCGCTGTTATCTTCGAAAAGAGGTCCTCCCCCGCTTGGAAGTCCTATCACGGGATGACATCCGACCAATACCACCAAAAGTTCGAGGAATACCTGAAACAAGGGTATCGTGTTGTCCAGGTCAATGGGTACACAATCGATGGCAAGGATCGCTACACTGCTATCTGGGAGAAAGACTCATCCTTGCCCTGGATCTCGCGTCACGGGATGAACAAAGAATGGATGCAAAAGTATTTCGACAAGTACTTGGAGGAGGGATACAGGATGACCCATGTTAGCGGGTATGAGGTTGATAATGAGAGTCGTTATGCCGCTGTTTGGGAAAAGAGGGATGATACTACTGCTTGGGTCTCTGCTGGCGAACTGAACTCGACTGCGTACCAGGCTACGTTTGACAAGCATGTGAAGGATGGGTATCGGCTTGTCGATGTGGACGGATATCAAGTCGGAGATGAGGTACAGTATGCTGCAATCTGGGATAAATCTGCGTCTGGTGCGTGGGTGGCAAGACATGGTCTCGACTCTCCTAAGTTTCAGGCTGAGTTCAACAAGTACCGTGATGAAGGCTATGTCTTGAGGACTTTTAGTGCCTACAACGATGGGACGGCGGACCGCTATGCTGCTATCTGGGTCAAATAGCTCCAAAGTATCCGTCAACAAGATATAAGTATTTGAGAAATTGGATGTACACATAGTTTTGTGCGGTTGTTGATCGCTGTTATTTTAAAATGTTTCCTTCATGGTATCGGCGCTGCGGTTAGAACTGTAAGGTCTAGTAGGACCTAAAATATCAAATATAGACCAGAATATATTGTCTGAAAGCTAGTGATCATTATGATCCTTTCCAGAACGGAGAACTTACTTCTATCTTGGCTATTCTCAGAATGATAAACACTGGCCTACCGGTAGACACCACCCGTCTCACACATCTTCATCCAACCTTTCCCGCCACTCCTACTATTACACTTCGTCAAACCGTTGGCGTCGACCCTCCGTACGAATGGATCTAGCATTGTTAGTATCTTATCGCAGTAACTTGTGAAGAAGAGATAGAGCCATCATACAGTTTGATCATAACACCCATCGGGTGTTTCATAGCCATAGGCCCCCGTGTTGATATACAGCTTATCCTCCTCACAAACATACCACGCTGCAGTATTCTGCCGATCGATATCCTCTACCGTCCAGGTGATCGCATCTCCCTGGAAGGCAAAGGTCCCGTATGCGTTCTCGGTTTCATTAAACCAAGTTTGTAAAGTTCGTTGTGTCTTGTTTGCAGGGTCCTCTACGCTCATGTAAAGTTGCTCGTCGCCGGTATTGTAAACGAGCTGACCCGAGACGATATTGAATTGCCCCGCATTTGTGTTAGAAGCTAGATGGGCGGGCCCCGGGGTGGCGCTTGGGATGGTCTGGAGGTAGCTGTGGTAGTAGGGCGTTTCCACGGCGCGGATGAAGTACCAGTCTGGCTGAAGTGTGGGCAGGGTTGAGGTAGCTGTGTTGGTGGCAGTAGCTGCCAACGTTTGCGCAGATGCCTCAAAGGCGAGGAGGATACATGCTAACTTAGGAAACATTGTGTCTGCTTGTAAGTGAGTGGCTTGAGAAGCTTGGTTTGTTCAAACTACGTGAGCATACCACCTGGATTTATAAACCTGGGCTAGGGCTATTTGAATGACGGACCGGCAGATCGGTACGACAGCCGCGGAAATTTGCCATTCTTCCGTTCCGTGACAAAACAAGCAAGTCTCCATATGAAACTACTTATGAGTTTCATGTTGGTGATCATTGCTTAATTGTGGCTAGACCTGCTGCAGGTATACCGTTTACAAGATGAAAATCTATGCGGATGTCCAAAGCATTACATTTCCTTCTATCCATTGGTCGGGTAAATAGCTATCCTAATCTAGATCCCTGCATAGCACACTTTCATATAACACCCAGAAGTGATTATGAAGCAGCCTACGGTGCTCTGAGCAATCCTTCATGGTTGACTACCCAGCTACCATCCTGAGGAAAGCCGGGGGCGTCGCCCTGAGATCCTTCCCAGCCGGCAACCATGTATGCCACTAATCCTGTTAGTGCTATCACCACTTCGCGTTTGTATGTATAGTGCACTCACCAGCATAAAGTAGCCCGGCATTACCAGGCATGAATGGAGGAGGGGTTCCTCCTGTATTGGACGCTTGGGTTAACAACAGTATCATTAAGGATTTGACCATGACTCACCATCTCCTCCACGCTCGGCAAATCCTAAGATAGATTCATCAGTGATTATACTCGATACACACTATTAGATGGGAACGCACCAGCATCATCAAAATTCCAATAATCATATGCGGTCAGGTGGTATGTCGCTCGCTCCGGTTCCCCTAGCCGTGCCGCATTGATTGCGAGAACTGGTCTACCCCATCCCCTTATCTTGTCGTCGGTCCACACCTCCCAAACCTTTTCTGCTGTGTTCGAAGCAATATCGGGGTCAACTGCTGGTGTGTTAGGGAGGATGCCCTGAAGCATGATTAAGCTCCGAGGGTCCCCAGTTAGAGAGCTATCATTCCACCATGAACCGTTCAATCCTTCGTAAACAGCATACAGACCATCAACTTGCGGGAGTGGAGCGAGCGCTTCTGCAACCACTGTCCATTTATCGGGAACTGGCTGGTTGAGTTTCTTTTTCCACTCACGCGCGACATCAAGCCCGTATCTCCAGTACGCGGTCTGAGAATAGATTAACATCAGTGTTCTACCTGCGTAGCTATGTTATGCTAACCTCATATGCAAGATTGAGGCTTTCAGAAGGAGGTGTGTTCTCAGTCACACCATATGCCCTGGGAACGTTAGAAAGGTAGATAACCTAGTGACAAATGAGCATACGGCGGTCCCAGATCGTAATAACCCGAGCTTGTATTCTTCCAGGCGTAAGAGGCCATATAATCAGCTGTGGCCGTCAAAACGCGGTCCCATCGTTCAAGGGTCTTGCGTGTCGGGGACGCTTGGTAGGCCAGAGTTGCCAGGTACATGGGATGAGGCTGCCGTCATCAGTATACAACCTCTTTTCTGACATATTGGACGCACCTGTTGCCACAATAGAAGGCCGTTGATACCGCCGGGGGAGCTCACTCCGGTTTCAACATCGGTCATCTTTGGCCAACTAAAGGATGTCAATTCATGTTTCTCCTTGCCGAAATCATTGGGAGCAGACCGTGCACCATCCCATCCCATAGACGTTGCCCGTGTGATTGACGATGGTAGTAATGCGTTATATAATTCCGGGAAGATGTTATCAAATTGTTCCTGTCGTCCCCATGTCGCCCAGTGCGCGTTGTGCCAAACTACCATTTCCATGTGAAACTTTCCTGGACATACTGTTAGTAGCAAGGCTTCCAACTGCGATAACCGGTGTATACTAACCATACCACCCATTGTTCATCAGACCACTCTCCTGAGGGGACTGCCCCTTGGCTGCGCTGTTCACCCGCACATGGTATTGTGATAGAATGATGCGACGCTGGAGCTCGTCTGCTTTGGGATTAGATGAGGATGTTAGATCGACAAATCCTCCTTGAGTCCAGTACTTGTTCCAAGCTGTGGAGCTACGCTCCTGAATCACGGATGGTGAATCAGCCGTTCGCTTTTCTGGCGAGAAATTTGCCGTAAATGTCATTGTAGATGATGACCTGGATTTAAGTGTGTACCTGTGGGTTGCATTGTGTTGACGAGAAAGGCGCAGTGGTTGTCCAGAACCCCATCGCAGATTAAGGTAGTAATTCGTGTCCTGCAGCTCGTGTTGAATATGTGCTATGCTTTTTCTGTACTCCTCAATAGTGGTAGTATGATTGTCGGGGAAGTCGTAGACACCAACGAAAACTTCATATTTGTATTTGGTCGAGTGAATGGGCGGATATGGAAAGTCTAGCCCGACAGTCAAATCACCAGATGCGATTAGACCAGACTCAATTTCAAAGACTACCGAGTCCGAATCGAAGTCTCCTTGGGTGACCACCTTGACTAATTGGCTGTCAACCTTGAAAGTCGACGTAATGACTCCTTTCCATAAGTCGAGCTCTTGCCGTGGCTCTGTAATTTGAGACGCAGAGACAAGTGACCCTTTATATTGTAATCCTATGCGTCCTAGGTTTATGCGATTGGGATTAGCAGTGAGCCATTGCGACACTCCAGGGAGGTCAGGGTCAGGAATATCGTATGACACGTTCCGTCCATGCGTTACCATATCGACTCCATGGTAATCCTCAATTTTCTCCCTGAAGAGACATCAGAAGAGCCAGACTAGCCAAAACACGACGGTCAAGGCGACAATTGACTTCTTGGAAGTCCACATACCCGTTGCTTGGTAGAGAGTCATTATGCCAACCCCAACTGGACAGTGTGTTGAATGGGAGAAATGTCTGCTTTCTTTGTGAGTCGCTATATCAGAAATTATCTGTCGGGGACTTATACCTGTAAACCTGTGTTGTCGACATTAAATGCAAAATTACCATTGCCCACTTGAAGAGGTGTCGTCTCGTTGGTGATCAGACTAGAGCGGACTACATTGTACTTGGAAATGATATGTTGTCTGCTCATTTCAGCTCTGATACAGATACAGATGAGATGAGGGTTGCGTGGAACTTACCGGTCAATGCTCCCCAGTGCAGGAGTTGGCGCGAGGAGAAGTAAAAGTATGGCATTCAAGAGCATGATGGTGGTACCACTATCCTTACAGCATCAGATAGGATATTCCATGCTCAGATACCCGTGTTTATATATCCTCGGGATAATGAGACCCGAAAGCTGGGGTTGCTGATATACCCCGCAAAAAGACCACGATTGCCAGATCAATTTTTGCACCAATGACCGGACTATAATAGCTTTATAAGCCTTGACAGTCGCTTGGCATATAAAGAGATACAATCACCCTGTCTCTAGTCCAAGGGTCTGTGGCACCTATGTGTGTCAGCTGGCATATCCTAGTAATTCCATGTTAGCTGAAAGATCTACACAATATAACCATTGGCTAAGACCCATTATGGACCCCTAGTGGAGCATTTAATGTGCGTTGAGCGTATTCCCATGGGTTATATGTACATGGCCAGTTAAGCACTCTGGACATGATTGATGTCGAGAGGATATGAAGAAGGGAGACCAAGCTTAGTAATCGCAAAAGGCGCCGTAAGGAGGCTTGGATATTTGTATTATTACAATCAACGATTCCTTATTTCCAAAAAGAAGTACGTCGTGCTACATTATGAAAGCCTCCACCCCAAAGATGGTATTTCACGACGTCGATGCTGTAGCTATATGTCATAACTGAATGAGATTACCTATTTCGAGCTCACACATTCAAGTGCATACCTCACAGCCAGCAGCAATTCTTCTGTATCCTCCAACCCAACACTGATTCTAACAATATGTTCCGGTACATCAAAGCTAGCGGCCCAAGCTAACTCCCTGAAATGTGACAGAATGGCGTACGGTATAGCTATTGTGAAGTTTGTCCCGAGACTCGGCCCCTTGGCGATATGCAGATTATCGTAGAACGTAGCAGCGTCCTCAGGATTATGAAAGATGAGGCTAAGGAGAAAGCCGTAGCCCCCATCTTCTCGCTTGCAATTTTCATAGAGGTGCTTGGTAGGTACGAGGGAGGGATAATTGACCCTTTCCACAGCATGGTGGTTGTTAATGAGATTAGCTATTGCTTCGGCGCTGTAGCTGCATTTCTTGACCCGGGATACGACATCTTTGCAATTCTGGGCAAGGGTGACCACATCCGCTGGGAAAAAGGTGTCCTCCCATAGCGAAGCTATAGAATCGTAGATGTAGTCATAGTAGATCGACTGTGGGTTGACAATGACACTAGATGGAGTTAGCAGCGATGCAGGGGCCGTCACCGTGACTGTGATATTGGCAACTCACGATCCGCCCATCACATCGGAAGCGCCACTGAATATTTTCGTTAGACTGGTCATGACAATGTCCACATAGGGCAAGACATCCACATTGATAAATGTCCCGATAGTTTCATCACAAGCGATCACAAATTTGTATTGGTCTGCTAGAGCACGCAGCCGAGGCAGATCGGGGGATTTAAGCTGTGGGTTGCTCGGGAATTCACAGAAGAGGGCACTAATGCGCTCCCCGTTTGCAAGGCTGGTCTCGAGCTGATCTAACTCCTCCTTGGACCCATGTCCGTGGAGAGTGAACTTCGACCACCCGCTGAGCTCGATACATTTAACGGTTTCTGAGTAGGGAAAGCTAACATGCTGTTAGAAGTGCACCGAGTGCTTGAAGGGCAAATGGTACGAACCCGTAAACAACAATAGAGTCTTGCCCGCATAGGCTCATTGATCTCAGCGCCCTGGAGACCGCGTATATGGCGCTCAGCCCTTTGGGGAAGAGAAAGACATCATGGGCCGTCGGCTTGCCGCACCTTTGTGAAGTAGCGAGCTCCGCGATGAATGAACGGATGAACATCATCTCTTCTGTACTGGAATTCACTCTGGCTGCGGTGCATAGCCGTTCCACAGATTTGGGGTGTGGAGTGTGATAGATGATGCTGTCCTCTGCTGCTTCTAAGCGGTCGAGCTGTGACAAGGCGTATTCTGCATGTCGACTGGAAATTCCATCACCACTTTGTCGCCAGAAGGCCATTGCCTCGGTTTGCAGATCACCAGGGTAAATGACCACTTCGAAACCGGCCCATTTTGCTTGCTCGCTTAATTGACCTTCTGGTGACGAGTTGGCCTTGCGGAATGAGATGGTTTGAATATGCGCTGGCGATGCTTTCCCATCCAAGAATTGCTTGCATCGTGACGCACTTGCGACAGAGGGAAAGATCATACAGTTCGCATCGGCAACTTTCAGTCGCAACAACACTCCTTGGCTAAGCTTTTGGATAGTCTTGTGGATGTAGAAGCTGCAATAATAGTTAGGCAAATGTCGATAAGGAAGTTCTGCGTCTTGGTGCGTACCGTGGATAGCCACCTTTCACTCTGTCCACTAGGTATGGCTCGCGGCGGGACCATCGTAAAACGTTATCCCAAGTTGGTAGGGAAGCACTCACTGCCTGAAAGGCATCTTCGTTAGTTATTCTTCACTGGAAGGCATGATCATGAGATATAAAAGTTTGACAAAGTACGGAAGACCGTGAATAGAGCTATAAACGTACATGGGGAGTGGAGGGAGGCTGTAGTTCACCTAGAGCCCACGTCGTAGGCTTCCGCTCAGGATAGTATGGAACCATCAGATAGGCAGTCACAGGCGATGGCTTTGGATTTGGATAAAGGTAACACGGCTGCGTGGAACTACTAGTTATACAGGCGCAATTTAGCTACACGGCGCCCTTTCAGCCTGCACTCCGCCATCGACTGGAGGCTCCACCTGCATTAGCTATGACGTTGACCGTAGCATTACACATAGCCAATAATATGTTGGAACCTGCCTCGTGTGGCATCCTAAAAAGCGTGGTGCAATGTACAAGGTTCTCACTTTGCGATCAGTGCCGCTGATGGACCAAACAAGGAAGATTACCGACTGAGAGCTCAGTGATACGGCATAGAGTTCAATGTAAGGAATACGTACCGGGGACAAATAGGGTCCTAACTTGAACCGTGCAAGGGCCCCGAGATCCATCGCTCGATCTCGACCCAAGTCGGCGGCATGCCAAGGAAACAGCTCCAGACTCTACAGACGAAGATGTCGCCGATCTTCTTGAAGGCCCGTCGAGACCCACCCAAGCTGAGGAGAGCTCAGCTGCCACCACACGAGGAACCTTTGATCTGCATGCTTAGATTCACGGTTCGAAAATTGCGGTCAAATCTTGATTACCTCCCTGCATGGTGACTTGATACTGTCTTACAGTAAGTGGACCCATGTAAACCGGATTTGAACAAACTCGGCTTCGATCGCCATGTGGAGACGAGAGCAAAATTACCGACTATGCTCCACAGGAGTTACGGGATGTTCTGATAGCGGTATCCTGTCTGCTTTCTACTTTTAGTTACTTAAAGCTACCGGGCTACCAAATCGTAGCAAGTGCTCAGTACAACACGGTTCAAATCAAGAAGGTATACCACCCGGCCAAATGCATGGACTGCCGGACAATGCTCTGTTTCGGCGGTTGTTACTGGTAGCAGAGAGTCGCCAAGGGACGCTCATCCATGATCTATGCCATGGAGTGAGTGCTTCATATCGCCAACTACTCCGAGATGTGTCGAACTTTCGACAAGAACTACGGGAAACACTCCCAGAATATCTTTTGACGGAGGACGGCATAGCCCGTGATGATGATGTCTATGTCTGTACTACGACATCGGCAAGCTACGAAATGATTGTAGCGTTCTTCGCAATCCTTTCCATAGGAGCAGCGATTGCGCCCCTGTGTGAGTCTAATGGCTGGCACCGAGTGATTTGATATTAACGACCATTTGCAGCTCCAAGCCTCATGCCTCAGGAGGTGATGGATCTCTACCACACATTTGATGCAAAGTGCATTATAACTCATCCAAAAGCGGAGCTCGCACCAGGCCTCAAGCAGCATGCTAAAGAGATGAGTATCAACGAGCCAAATATCATTTCGGTGCGTGTACGTGGTACAGGACAGGGTAACGAGGCTCCTGACCCCTTTATTGACCCTAGCATTACGCTTCCCATGAATCGCCCAGTCGTAGCCCTGTTCTCCTCCGGAACGACTGGCCCTCCAAGGGGAATCATCCATGGATTAGATTATTTTACTGCACAAGTAGGGCCTCTCGGGCCAGAGGATGCTTTGGTCCTTGCCCATCGCCCCATGCACTACGGAGCCAGCCTGTCCAGTGCAATTACAACTATTCTTAGGGGTATCCATCTGGAGATTCCCCGTCCTGGACCTAGTGCACAGTGGATTTGGGAACGCTTGCGGCAGGGCGGCGTCACGAATCTAGCCGGCTCACCGGGATTTTGGGTGTCGCTCATGGAATACTACCAGCAACATCTTGCTAAGCTCCCCTTATGTGAACTGCAGCCTTACATTGATAGTGCGAGGGGTCTACGTGTGGCCAATTGCAGTGGTGCCATGGCGATGCCCAGTACCAAAATATTCTGGAAGGAAATCAGGGGACGTCCTCTACAGATGGTCTGGGGAAGCACCCAATCGTCCATTGGCTTAAAAACCTCGTCAGATGTTGACAATACATACTTGGTGAAACAGCCGTACTTAGCTTTGGGTCATTGCTTTGCTAATAGGAAGATTAGCATGCGATCGGACGGCCTTTACCGGGGGTTACCATCAAGCTCTCCCAGGGTGATCATGGTGAGATGAGAATCAAGACACCTACGATGTTTCTTCGGTAAATAACCCAGGCCCTGACCCTATGTGTTAGCTCTAACCGTTCATAGGTACTGGAAGAATGAATCTGCCACCAAAGCAGCCTTCGACGAGGAAGGATTCTACAAGACTGGAGATCTGGTCTATCTCCAGGGCAGCGACTATATCATCCAAGGGCGTGCCTCGACCGACAGTATTTAACCCCCCACTTTCGTTGGCCATTGAATAAGGACGCCATACTGAGAAATCTCTAGTTATCAATTGCAATAGCTGCAAAATACCCATTCTTCTTGTTGAAGCAGCCCTCTCAAGACTGCCTTACATTTCTGAGGCCCACGTACTCCCGGTAGCAGACCCCAGAACAGGCAGTCGAGTTGCCGCTCTGGTGCGCTGCCGCGCTGAGAACAGGCCGAAGCTTACGCTCCACTCTCTCCGGGAGGACCTCTCTTCCTACCTGCCCTTGGTTCAATTGCCTACGGTACTGCGGGTTCTAGGTGAAGGAGAGGAGGTTCCCAGGACAGTCTCCAGCAAGGTGATACGAGGAGAAGCTAAGCAAATATTCTTCCCCCAGAAGGCAGATCCCTCCTTATGTGATCTTCCGGCTCTAGTTCAAGTTTGTGACGTCAAATTGGGCACAGATCTGCGCCCGCGGAGGATGTGGGATTCAGGGGGCGTTCAGTAGCCAGATGCCGGATAGGTTTCGATAGGTGTAGAGACTCAAAGAGTAGTCAAGCGAGGCGAAATGTTACAGCTCGCTATCACCGACCCGCTTGATTCTATGGCACTTCCCGTCAATACACGATTTGCTCCGCAAAAACCGAGGAATGGTCTCGAGTGGCCCAGCTGATGTCTCATTCCCGATGCGTACGCGGCCCGAGAAGGGAATTGATCTGCTAGCTACGAACGGTGGATACAGACTATTTATGCACCAAGATCGAAAAACAATAGCGTCTTGAGTCTACACTGTAACAATGTTGTACGAATCTTCCACACGGCGTATCTGTAATTAATACAACTAGTACTATCAAGCGTAAACGTAACCTGCTGTATAACTCAGGTAGCCACCACACGCCCACTCGGAATATATATTCATGACGTGCTCAATAATACTGACAGTTAGTTGCGAAAGAAATCCAATCCATCGTAAACATGTCAACCGTCACGTCGAGATTTAATATCCCAGTCCCGTCAACGGACCTACTAACTTACATTTTTGATACACCATGGAGTCCTACCCATGGGTGGCCAGCAAATGAACCTCTCGTCTTGAATGCTAAGGGCCCGGATGCTCCATCCTGTACATTCAATGAGTTGAAACATCTGGTGAAATGCTTTGCCTGCGGGTTCCAACAGCGTGCGCGCCCCGGTGCCCGGGTAGTAATCTATGGAACTCTTGATGTTTATCTTCCAGCTGTCCTTCTCGGAGCGATTGGAGCGGGGGCTTGCTGCAATATCTGCCCCACGTATCCCCTTCCAGAGACTGTCGCTCGGTTAGAAGCTGTGCAGGCTGATTTTGTGTTTTTTGCGCCCCAACACTTAGACTGTGTTCGCAGCGCTGCGGCCCAAGCAGGTGTTCCAACAGAGAACCTTTTCGTTCTCGACGAGTTCACCACAGGCCAGGCAGTTGCAGCAGGTGCGGTTCAGCACTGGAGTTCCTTGCTTGATCAGGCCAAGGGCCCGGAGTATCAGTGGCGGAGATTATCAGCTGAAGAGGCGGAGACGACTACCGCCCTATTAACGCACACCTCCGGGTAATATTGTCCCTTCTGAGCAAATATCCCATCCTATATGCAACTGCAACGGACAGAACGGCTGATACTCATTAGAACCACTGGACTTCCGAAATTAGCAGAGAGAACACACTACGGCTTAATCGGGAACACAGAACAGCTACTCTACCGTTATCATCTGAAGGAGAGAAGTAAACATGAGATCTTCTTCTGTACATTCCTCTATGCTGGTATAGGGTTCATTCTGTACGGCCTACTCATCCCCCTAAAAGCAAGATACAAGTCCATCTACATGGCCGAGTACAGCTTAGAGCAGTTCCTCTCAGCAGTGGAAGAGTTCCGGCCAACCTCGTTGCATACTCCCAGACACCACTTTCAGAGCCTCTTGGCAAACGCCATGCATGCGGACTTCTCAAGTGTTACCAGCCTTCGTACCGGAGGTGCGATGATCCCGTTTCGATTATGCGAGGAATGGACACGTTGTCATGGCTCTCCGTGTGAGGTTGTTTGTGGGATGACCGAGTATGTACTACTTATGGCGCAGACTTTCATTCTGGCTTTGCATGCTGACGGAAACCTAGAGGTGGGATACACTTTGCCTCAGACCCACGCGTGCTAGAGACAGATAATACCGTGGGAGAACTACTTCCCAACCTCGAAGCGAAGGTTGTTGATCAACATGGTCAGCCCCTGGGGACGGGAGAATGTGGAGAGATCTGGATCAGAAATCCATTTGCCATGAAGGGGTATTTAGATAAAAAAGCCCAGACAAGAGAGCTTTATTCCCCAGACGGCTTTATCAAAACCGGTGACATAGGGATGATAAACGAACGCGGACGATGGTACATTCTTGGACGTATGAAGGTATGTTAGCCAGTATTCTACACGCGAAGCGGTAAAGCTAAAATCGGTCCCAGGATATGTTTAAGAGGAATGGGTCGCATGTAATGGCGTCCGAAATGGAAGAAGCTATTATCACACATCCGGAAGTAGCCGAGGCGGTCGTTGTTCCTGTAAAACTGTGAGATACCAAAGGAAAGCTCTACTTGGATGTCAATACTCGCTAACATTGCATGTAACCAAGCCCGCAGGAAGAAGACGAGGAACCGGTCCCTCGTGGCTATATTGTTCGAAGGCCAGGATCAGCCTTGGTCATGAGTGAATTTATGCAGTGGATGTTTTGTGCACTGTCTGAGAGATTGCGGCTTGAAGGCGGCGCTGAGTTCCTCGAGACTCTGCCGGTGTCTGCTGTAAGTTATTTGGGTAGAGCTTGATATCACGACCGACTAACAATTTAATAGGGCGGGAAAGTTGATCGAAACGCTCTACGAGAGCGAGCTGTGAGAGAGATTTGTGGGATTAGCAATTCGATTCAGACTGGTGGGCAGGTTAGCCAGTTGTGAAAAAAAGAGGATTCCCAAATGGGCAGAATCCATTACTACAGAGCGATAAAACCCACGTCGAAATTTTACAGATATAAAGTGGCTTCAGAGGGGCCGTGGTTTAGAAATGCATAGATATGAACCTGTCCCAAGATCATGCTTTACTTGGCGGTTGTCACCACGTCCTTCCAAGCACTCGGTTCAACTGCCTAGACCCCTGGTGGCATTTTGTATCCAAAGCGTTATGTCTAGACTTCAACAGCCTAGTAGGTGAACTCCTAGCCGGTGAGAGATTGTGTATCGGTCATGTTTCCGTGCTCTGAGAGCCAAGCTGCAGCGAGCTCCTGTGAGTCTCTCGATCTCCACTCACATCTGTCGAAAAGACGTCTAACTATGAAGAAACCTCTCACTGCATCCTTTCGGCCTTGTGGATACCAGAGTCTCGACCTCCAAAATGCACACTGATGATTAAAGCGCCCCACGGGGTCAGCAGTTCAATTATTCTCCGACCGATCCGGACTTATCCAGTCTAGTTCCAAAGATGCATGAAAAGGTCGGAGTTGATAATTCCGATCTTACCTCTCATTTCTCAAAACAGCGGTGTGTCTTGAAAGCAGTCTTGGACAATAGCCCATGCCTTCAATGTGTCATGGTCTTTGGATAAGTCATACCGCTATGCGGGTCCAGTCCCACGGGGTCTTCGGGCGGCGCGCCGTCATACGCCAACCTAGGTCAATGAACAGCGCTCCTTGCTTGGGTCGGTTGACAATTCTCGCGTGTGCAGGTGATCGCGACAGGCCTAGATCGACGAATGTGTACAGGCGGAACCATGTGTAATGGGTAATCTCCCGGTCTTGTTTCGCCTCTGGGTCGGAATGTATGTCTATGTCAGCACATGCATATGGAACCTAGGCCCAGGCACTTACAACTCTTTCTGCGTGGTCGTCGATTTCGGTGGGAAAGATTGCGGCATAAGTCTTTAGGAGCTCTTCTGCATCCGGCCCTATAATATTACCAAAATTAGCTCTGAATCCATTGACCAAGGCTTAACTGCAACTGGTTTGTCATGGCGTCACCCTGTTGAATAGGGCCGATGGGAGATACTACTTGGAGATATCTTGAGCAGTCGAATACATGCACACCTGGAAGGTGCGAAATATGTATCCCGTAGCCGGGAACCAAGCTATTATATTAAGTGTGTCTTCTATGCGGGTTCATGCTATTGGATGCATAGAGAAGTGTTTTGTTGATTGCGCATGCTTCGAGGAGGCTTTGTGACGTGTCAAGTTACAGAAGAAAAGGGTTTCATACAGTAGTTTAACAGATAACCTACTCCAACTCCTGGGCCAGTCATTTCTACTGGCCATGGGCTGTGGGGCTTGTATTCGCCAAGTGCGGATCGAACCACGGTGGCATGTTGATTCCTTCCCTTCATACTTCGCAGTCCGACGGCCTCTACGGATTTCCATATTTAAAATGTCGAAAACTATTCTTGACGTAGTCAAGGAGTGCGACAAGTAAATACGTTATAAGGATATATCGTATGCCTACTACAGTGCTGATGTTCTTCATAGTTTTGTTTCAACCGATAAATCCGCGTCTCAGTCAGAAACTCCGGGACAATGCTACACCTTTCGAGTCAATGGCTGCTCTGCCATATCGGGATATATTCTCCCCGAGGTTGTTGAAAAAGTCCAGTGGTCCGACTGGTGGTCAATTGATCACCACCGACGCACGGTGACGTTAGCGACGCCAGCTATGGCAACAGCCAACATGCGCTCTCGCGTGGTTGAGGAAACCCTCAAGGCCACCAGAAAGCTAGCCGTCATATCAATGCTAGAAAGCTGGCGGGATGAAACCTTCCCGGTATATGGTCCAGGGGGAGAAATTCTGCTTGAAATAGAGCGTTGTGCAAGTGCATTATTTGGGATGGTGACCTACGGTGTCCAACTTATTTGTTACGTGAAGGACGAGCAAGGCCTTCGATTATGGATCGGCAAGAGATCGGAACGCAAACAGACTTACCCGGGTATGCTCGATACCACTGCAGCGGGCGGTCTCGTTGCTGGAAAACTCCCGATTGAAGCTCTATTATGCGAAGCACAAGAAGAGGCGTCCTTGCCCGACGAAATGGTCAGGAGGAAGGTCATCCCAATGAGCAACCTCACTTATTTCCATGTCCGTGGGGGCAAGGCTGGAGGGGAGATTGGCCTATTCCAACCAGAGGTAGAGTATACATACGAACTCGAGTTAGATCCCAGCATGGCCCCTGAGCCAAGGGACTCCGAAGTGGAGAGTTTCAGCCTATACACTATTGAGGAAGTGCTTCGTGCTTTGAAAGAGGGACAGTTCAAGCCAAATAGCGCTATTGTTATTGTCGAATTTCTGATTTCGCATGGGATCCTCCGCGCTGAAAACGAGCCGGGCTACGATGAAATCCTGTCGCACTTACACCGTGAACTTGAATTACCTCTCGTGATTCTGCCCTCTAAATGAAACTATTTATTTGGTATAGACATTTTGAGTAGTTCAGGAAAGATAGATCTATGACTTTTCCAACTTGATATTCATTGCAATTACAAGCTATTAGCCTCGTAACATTCGAGCTTTGTTCGCAGGTTTAGTCAACTCTAACATCATCTTGATATTCCTAGTTTCCAGAGACCAGAGTCTGCCACATGTTATCATTTTCTAAGGAGCCCATATCATCTCTGCGTAGCATGACCATTACTTCGAGCATTTCCTCAGACAAATTCCTCCGGCGCGGCAGAATAATAGCCACCCCATCTGCCTCCATGTAGGGAAATCTAACGAACTTCGGCTTCCCGAGCATAACACCAAAGTCCATAGCATAAATGTCGAGATCAGCCCAGCTTGTGATGGTGAGATCACGCGATCCAAACAAATCCCAACCCACGAAAAGAGACCTATAATCTTGCATACGATCTGGCAACCCATAAACCTCAGCGATGTGCCGTGAGCCGATCTTAGAGGGCGATTGTGACGCGAAGATTCTGTCACATATTCCGGCAAGCGAGGGCATTGCGTTCTCATCGGGTGCGGTCAAGGTTCCAACAGGAAGGTTTGTCAGGGAGTAAAGGACAGCATTTCCGAAATACGGGTTTTCAGGTACCGAAAATGTCTTGCTAATGCGCTGCCGACCATTCACTGCCGTGACTAGTCGGCTCGTTTCGCTTGCAAGATCCGGATTGCGGTTGGCTCGAACACGCGTAATTGTAGCCCAGATCAATGCGCAGAGTAGAACATTTGTAGTCGGTGCATTTGATGTATATTCTCGTAGGGTCTCCTTGAGGGCATTGATCTGGTGGATCGGAATCGTGAATAGCTTAGATGTGGATGGGGCGAACTCTTCTGGCATCGTAGGTGGTGCTTTGGAGTATTCAGGGTGCAGTGCTAAGAGATTTTCAGATGACAGAGATGCGATCTCTTCAAAATCTGGCGAAAGTGCTTTTGAAAGACGTTCGAGTCTGGTTTGGGGTGAACCTGAGAACTCAAACCCAGTTTCAGCAACATTTCGAGCCCACAGTTGTAGAACCTCTGAAAGTCCAGTTGCATCGACAGCATGGTGATGGAAGCAGACACACAAGCCCACGCCTTGATCTGCGAAGCGAAAGAGGCTTGCGGCGAACGCAGGGGCACCCGTTGTGAAGAGAACATCGTCGATCATGCTTGGTACTGGCCAGACCTCTGGTGGAATGGCCTCCATAGACATTCCATGAGAAGACAGGGCCGTGTATGGTGCCGCTATGGAGCCTTTGTCGACCAGGCTTGGTGTATGACCCGCATTGGACCGGATCTCAAGAGAGGCTTTGTGTTGGATAGAAGTAGTCGGAAATACTCGCCCAGAGAGCCAAGGAAGTTGTTTCGAAAGCTTATCAAGACCGCATTGGAGGCTATGTATGAGTGCTGGGGTAGGAATTGCCGTTTCGAAAGCCAAAAGAACCCTGATGTAGGTTCTCGGCATAAGCAAGTCCAGCGGAGTGAGCTGCTCAACATAGGTATGGTTGGCCATAGTTTTCTAAGATCTCGAGATAATTGAGAAGGAAGGTAGAGAAGGTAGAGTACAAGGTAGTAGAAGGGCTTAAGTAGCAGTATAAGGGGTCGAGGGAGCATGGCAGACCTGCATCCGGGGTTATCGGAGCCCACGGGCCCGCGGGTCCGGCCAGCCGGCTGTCCAGCACGCGCACTGTTGTTGTTGTTGTTGCAAAACGCTTCGAGGGCATCCAATGCCTTAGACGTGCTTGTACGGAGGTGGATTCCAAAAGTAATCGAACTCGTGCTAATGATATGGATCTTAGGGGAAAGTTAATATTTTACTAAGGTGGCTAATACCGATATATCGGTAGGAATTAAGTACCGTACGGGAAGACGTTGGAGGAAAACCGATTATATATATAGTGGCAGACCAGAATATTTTCCACAAGTTTTTCTGAATCATAATTTATAACCACCTAAAGAGTTAGCCTGAGGTAACTATATAATCCTTGTACAATAATAAATAGCCCTTTATACAATATAGTTTTATCTATTTTAGCTAACAATTTAAGTTCTTATTAAAATATCTTATTTATTTATTTATTGATTTTTTCCTTCAAACAAAATCTGGATAGCTGATAAGACCCTGTCTTCTCGTTCTATCTGAGCTTTTGATAATTTAGATATTTTTGGTGGTATAGCTGATTATTGAATAGCTTGCTTTCTGGTGACGTTAGTCGGGGCTGGCAAGAATTGCGAGCTTTGGTGTGATTCCATTGGTTGTACAAATGCGGAAACCTGCGTCTTGGCTTCTTTCTTAGGAATAGCGCGATCTATGATCGAAACCCTTACGTGCGTGCAAAGGGCTCGGATTCACTGTTCTTACTACCACCAAAAGACTTCTGGAATTCAATGAGTATGAATACCGCTGCTGCGAACTGTGCCGATGTCCCATGTTGGACTTGTCGTCGTCGACGCCTCAAGTGCGATCGAGCACTCCCCATCTGTAGCAAATGCACTTCTTCGCGGCGACCCTGTCTGGGATATAGCAAAGACAAGCCTCTGCGATGGACAGACAGTGTGGCAAGCCGCGGCAAATTAATGGGCAAGAAAGAGCCATGTCAAGAGCAATATCTCCCAATTAGCAGGGTGCTGAATGATCCTGCCTTGCAGGATTTGTCGCCGTCTATGCGAGACTACATTAGCTATTGTAAGTGGAGTGCCTGAGCCAATTGAGTACGGGCTGATTGAAGACCAGTTGGGCAACAGTGTTGCCAGGAATACGTGCTATATGATTTCAAGAGGGTAAATCTGTTCAAAGAGTTCATTCGATTGATTCCATCATGTCCGGGATTATGCCACGCGGTGGTGTCAGTCGCAGCTCTACATCAGGCCTTCCGAATTGCATCAGCTCAATGTAACGAAAAGACTATGGCATACAAGTCGAATCCAAATGAAGTACCAATATCACAATGGGTTGATCAGGTGCACTATCTGCCAACATATCACGATGCTCTTTACCACAAACAGCGAACTCTCAGCTTCTTGAGAAGCGAAGCATATGCGGGATGCTTTAGTAATCCGGATGGTGTCATTGCATCTATGATAATGTCCATATGGTTCGAGCTCATGGATTCTGGACGAGATACTTGGAGATACCATCTTCTTGGACTGAGAGAAATGATGCCAAAACGCGGCGTATCATCCGCACACTTCAGGGATGGAGGATTGGCCGCTGACTTGCCTCAGATGAGCGAATACTTTGACACGAGTTATGCGGTGTAAGTAGGTTCCAGTCTGGGTCTCATACAGGAGTGGTCACTAATCCGATGTTGCAGTCTTGATATCATAGGGTCGACATTTGTGAAGACTAAACAGCCCTATCAGCCACTCTTCCCGATGTCCTGTAGTCTCGACATCTTAAAGCGTTCTGAGTCCCAGACATGGACCGGGTGCCCCTCAACCCTTCTCTACGTGCTTTCTCTCACAAACGCGGCTGCTTCGAGCTCTCACGAAATGCCACCCGATTTGATTGACCACATTTTTTCCCATCTGCGGCACTTCTCTCCTATGAAGTGGGCAGTTACGGGTGCGGAAACCCACTACATGAAACCAAGATATCAATTTGCCTCTATCTGGCAAGCTGCGGTCGAGATATACGCGCGGCAAGTTCTCCCAATTCCTTTCGAAAGCGATGTTTTCAATGAAGGGAGAATCAGCAATTCACTGAGTTCGATCCTTGACCATCTCAAATCTATGGACCCCGCGGATGTCCATCTCAAAGGTATCCTATGGCCTGCATTTGTCATTGGCGCCGAGACACAAACAATGTCTCAAAGGGTACTCATTACGGGTGTGTTTGGACATCTGTGGACACTGTGGCGCTGTCACAATGTGACAAATGCCTTGAAGGTGCTTGAGAAGATTTGGGCTCGTCGAGCTATGGAAGGGTCATCTCGACGTTGGATCGAATATATCTATGAGTGGGATGGAGATTGGATGTTCATATAGTCATTTTATTCCTTGATTATCTTGCGGGTTTGACGGGACTTATGGATGAGGTCAACATCCAATATAGAAGGGTTTCAACATAGTGCGTCAACCTTCGGCCAGCACGCACTTGCTCTAACATATAGAGTTCATGGCCTCGATCCTTGAGACCCACATCGATTCGACGCTTGATCTTTAACCAATCAGGGCTTTGTTTCTTGGCGTTCCCTTTGGTACTCAGCTCACTGCACATCTAGACAGTCACGTGGTCCAGCAATGAGGTGTGCCCTCGATTTATGCGTCTTCAAGATCGCGTCAGAAGGCTCCGTGGGCCCAAAACCACCTTTCTTTCAGTTTCTTCTACCCTTCCCTCATCTCCATACCTGCCTCACACCATGTCTGCCCTCGAAATAGACGCGCCAGCTGCACACAACATCTTCATTACGCTTTATAGAAGACATAGTACGTCTTCTCCCTCTGGTGCTATATCTCTGCGATGAGCATGCTTTAGAGGCAACTCGACGGCACCGTTAGTATCAGTATCGCTGACGGAGTTCCTCACGCTATCGACAAAGCGAAGGGCATGAGGTAAACGAGCAAGAGAGCCGAGGGACCACCACTCTCAATTTCCAGGGGTCCCTACATAGATGAATGAAACCACGAGCACATCTCGCATCGGCTAGAACCCCCTTTCTGCATCGAACTGTCGCCCGAATTTGTTTGAGATCCCCATAGAATAGTTAATTTCTGGAAAGGTAATTAGCGATGTAGCTCTACTGATGTGAACCCTTCCTGACAGCCGGACTGACAAATAAATAGACAGGCCCAGCACGGGTACCTTGGGCACAGGGAACACGACACGAGGTCATGATGAATGAAAAACAAATAGCATGGCATTGATATGAGAAGCTCTTTCAAGTATTTAGAATTTGAAACCGGTCGTTCTTGACAGTCTACGGAAGCTTCGACCATTTCTCAAATTCAACACGGTGACGATGTACAAAACACGAAGCGGCCTTGCCTCACTATTTGCTGCAACCTTCTCGAGGTACGGAGCGTTCCTGACCTCTCGCCGGAATCAAATGATGGACAAATCAGGACGAAGAAGCCTGTTCCTGTTTTTCATCGGCGGTCAGCTCGCTGACAGCTTTGGGTATCCTGCCCCAGATCATCAGAATTATGAAGCTGGCACCAGCAACAGCGACACCGAACCAGAAAGTTGCTTTATAGCTTTTTTCTAATCCCCTATCCTTGACCACGGCCGACTGAATAATGTCTGTTACACCAAGGACTAAGGCGACTCCAAGCTGCAGCACAGAATTCAACACACCTCCTGCCAGTCCCTGCTGCGAAGACGGGACGACGGTCGTAATGAAAACTGTCATCAAGATTGTAGACAGGTCGATGCCAATAGTGCTGAGAATGGACGATGGAAAGATCCATGCCCAGTAGCTTCCTCCACTAGGTGGAATGAGAGCGAGGAGGAGTTGCGATCCAACCGCAGCTAACCCGGAGATTATCATAAGCACATGGCCAGGGACGAGATGTAAGATGTACCCTTCAATGACGCTGACGACAAGTCCAACGACGCCAATCGGTATGTACCATATGACGACCTGAAGTGGCGAAGCTGACAAGACGGTTTGGAAGTAGAGTGAGCCATTGACGGAGAAAATACCCCAGGTACCGTAGAGGAGGAGGAGGGCAATGAGTAAAGGTGTCATTGATTGCACTGAGAAGAGTGATGCAGGCAAAAGTGGATCCGACACCACATTCTGTTCGACATACCACGTCCCGGCAAGGAACATAATGCCTAGGAGGAAAGTTGCCAGGACATAGGGCGTTTTCCATCCCGAGGGGGCATGAGCGGATTGAGTGATCGCGAAAATCGTAAGAACGAGTCCGCAAACGATGCAAATGCCACCGATATAGTCCATTTTCACTTTCTTTTGGGAGTCATTTGCCAACGTTGAGTAGGGCATAGCACATATTGCTATAGCGAGCGTGATTGCTCCAAGTGCGGCGCCGATCCAAAAGTAATAACTCCAGTGTAAAAATTGACCCACAATCCCTGCAATGGCGATACCACCAAAGAAACCCAGAACGCCCGCGGTGCCATAGATTGCAAAGACAAGGTTTTTACGAGGCCCGGGCCGGTAGAGTGAGCCTAGAATCATGACTCCAGTTGGGAGAAAGGCAGCAGCTCCGAGGCCCTGAAGTGCGCGACAGATGTTTAACATGACAGGACCAGAGCTGAATCCTGCGATCAGACTCCATATGAGAAGCCACGCAAGGCCAGCGAAAAAGAGTGGGTATCCTCCCCAAATATCACCCAGGCGACCAAATATGAGTAAAGTGCTCGAAATCACAAGCGAAAAGGCAGTCGCGGGCCATACCTGCGACGGCTGGGGAATCTTCAGCTCTTGGGCCAGTGGCGGCAAGATGACCGTGAAGCCTGAGACGAAGAACTCGGTCAAGAACTGTGACATAATGATGCCAAACAAGAAGAATAGTTCAGTCCATAAATTGGGAAATGCCGATGGACGTTCACGTCCAAGCCGCTCAATCCGAGCAGATGGTGATTCATCCTGAGGAATCTCCGGCACGCTTGACCGAGAGGTGCTTTTCAACGGCGTTTGGAACGCTCCGCGTATATCCTCGACCGCCATGTTGTGAACTTCCAATCTCTCCGTAGGTTGAAGGTCGCCAAATATGCTCACCAGTTAAGTCAACAAGGTATCGGGTGTGCCGATTTAAATCCTTAAGAGCTTGAAAATCAATGGCTCGTCGATGACATGCTTCAAAACTGTGAAAAGAAAAGAAAAGAGTTTTTGTGCCGGACATGACCAAGTCTTGGCCTGCTTCCTTGATTCAAAGGCATAGTTTAATCCAGGCCTTAACAATGTTGGACCAAAAGACCGTTCGGATTCGTTTCGCTCTCGAAAGACACTTCCACTATAAATTTCCAAATGAGGCTGCCAAGAGACTAGCTCCCTGGAGACTGAAACGAGCAGAGGCAATGGAGAGTAGTGATTGGCGTACTCACGCTCCACAAGTTAATGTAGAGAGCTTAGTTGTTCGATGTGGATCCAAGGCAACGAACTGTATGCTGTATGCTTTATAAGCACGGCGTATAGTTAACTACACTTGACTGGTTAAATAATATCAACTACGAGTAGAGAGAGAAAAGAAATTGTTCGCTGTCAGATTTTCCGCTGGGCATTAAGCTATACATCACGTTTCTGCCCTTTCGCCTTGACAATAAATGCAGTTGACATTCATCAGGCGAGGATCTATACCATCTGCGAGCGAAAAGATTTTGCTTCCCAAAAACCTCGATCCTCAGTATCACGGTACGGGCTTTCTCTAGCTGTCTAGATTGAAACGGTCGTCTTGCAAATTCTCCTGTCGCTCTACTGACCCTGGAATGACAGGAAATGCCACCAATCATCCATTGCGTTCGTCATGGGGAAGGCTTTCATAATGTTGGTGGCGGTTGCTATACCATTCCTGACCCACATTTGACACCAGCTGGGGAGAGTCAATGTGAATCGCTTCGTAACGGCGCCTTCTGGGACCAGTCGAAAGTTTCACTGATCATGTCATCGCCGATGTGCCGAACCCTTCAGACTGCATCTCTGGTTTTCCAGACGGCTCTGACGTCGACTCTCAAATCCCAAAGAATCATCGCCTTCCCTGACGCTCAAGGAACGTCAAGTGACCCGTGCGATATTGGCTCGGACCCGGACATCCTACAACGCATCGTGGAAAAGGAACAATGGCCTGTGGACCTTGCTTTGGTAAAAGAGGGCTGGAACCAAAAGACAGCGAGAAGCCGCTATAACCAGAGCAACGATGCAATCACAGCTCGAGCCCGTGATACTCGACTGTTTTTGCGCGCGAAACTACGGGAGCTGGTTTCCAATGGGGATGAGGATGCGGAAATTGTTCTCGTGTCACACGGTGGATTTCTACATTATCTTACGGACGACTGGGAGGACGCATATCGGAATCCGGGTACTGGATGGTACAACTGTGAGACCCGTGCTTATGTGTTCGAAAGCGATTTTAGGTCCAACCACGATAAAGAGGCCTGGTTGATCGAAGCAAGAGAAAGTCGGTTGAGGCGTGGGAAAGGTCACCCTATGTATAGAAAGAAGGATCAGGTCAAGCTTTTCACTGCAGCGATGGAGCGCTGGCAGGGCCAAGGGCTGCAACGACCGGACGAAGTAGATCTGGAGTTGGAGGCTGAATAATATGAAAAATGTGTACTCGAGGTCACAAGATGGATAAGATATATGCCTGTGAGTACTCTCAGGTAGGAAGGCTCAATAAAATGTCCCACGCAGGTTATGTGCGTGTATTCTTCTCTGGCAGCGTTGCAAATGTGCATATCAATGCAGATGATAGATATGGAATTTCGTTCATTATCAGATGCCGTACCTAGAGCTACTCATGATAGCTTCGTTGGGATATATAAATAAGCTAGGATCTTTAGTCATAGCGATCGTATTTTCCAGTTAGTCTTCGATATTATCAATATAGTAGAGTGGTCTGCTCCTGGAACGTCGTATCATCTAGGCTGCAAGACCACCGGCGCTCTCTGGATGTTATTTTGCGAAGTGACTGTCTTCGTTCTGATCATTCGAAGCTATTGTGACACCTACTGATTTTAGCGCCCACCTAGTAGCTAGTATCAAATACGATCTACAAGGCAATATCCCACCAAAGAGCGTCTGCTTATAAACCAGCCTCCCGTCGCTTCGGTGGTGACCAATCCCCTTCCGCCTTCTATGCTCCCAGTCTCTGGGCGATGATGTCAAACTTCGTATAACCCCCCTCGTTTCCCAATTTATAACTTGAGATCGGTTTGACTTAGACTGCAGGAGGTATCACGCGAATTCCTCGAAATATATCTTCATAGTGTTCACTACACTGCATGACAGCCCTGTTTACCCCGACAAGCCAAAAACAGCACCATCCCACAGCACAATACACCATGTCAACCTCCACCAACCAACCTTCGCAAACCTCAGACACCAGTCCCTCCACGGAACCCGTCGTCTATGGAAGCTGCTACTGTCAAAAAACAACCTACATCACAACAGCCCCATTGTACGGGTTAACATACTGCTACTGCCGCATGTGCCGCCTTCTGCACGGCTCCCCCTTCGCAGCATTCACGAACGTGGAGTCGTCTCATTTCCACTGGACCAGGTCAGACCACCTTGCTGAAATCAATCTTAGCAAGTATGCTACTCGCACAATCTGTGGTGAATGCCGCAGTCCTATGACGATGGTTTACCATGCTAAGCCAAACGAAGTGGGCATTGTGGCTGTCACTGTTGATGAGAGTAAATCTAAGGACAAGGTGCCGGGGCAGGTAGAGGGGCATATCTTTTTAGAATGCAGGCCTCCTTGGTTTGTTATTCCGGAGGATGGAGGAGAGCGGAGTATGGGGATTTTGGAGAGGATGAGGGGGTTGTACCGGAAGGGTTATAGGTATTCTTAGTCTATTATAATCAGGGAAATGCAAATTCTTGAAGAATGGGATATACTAGGGACTCTTTTGTTTTACGAATGCATCGTATGGCGGATATTGTATGGGAGAGGTTGATGACGATGTTCTCATTTACTCTGACCCCTTGTAAAACGATGTGCAGGCTATAATTCAAGATATTTGGGTACATATCAGGCTCTGCCACGCTACAAAACCAACTTACCCAGCAGAATCCTGCTTCATACATAAAGTACTCTTGGCATAGGGTTTAAACTAGTGATGATTGCGAAACATATCACTCAACCAATACTATCTTATGGGATGACTCAGTAATCTAGTATCTAAAGATTTATAGACACTATAAAAATATTAGGCAAGCTAATTTACAGCTTACTGTAGTATTATCTATAGATATAGATGTTACGCCCGGGGCTTCGTCCTCGAATCGTTATAACCAACTAGCAGACCGCGCGTAGGGTTCCTTACCTGGAGTCGGGCCACGACTTCAAGTCAATACCGGACTGGGATCGATAGGGACAGGAGCCGATACTAGACTACCGTCGGCGCAAGGGCGCAGTTATTATAAGACTGTCATCAATACAGGACCTGAGTCTAAAGGGCTAGATCTATCGAGTACATATACCTAAATAGTTAGGAGAGTGCAAACAAATTAAGACCGGTTATACAATGATCACTCTGTAGTAACAATATATATTGATTCTGAAGAACTAAACTAATATATAAATGAATATTCTTATGTACCCTGTGGCCGTCTTGTCACTGCTACAATATACGTGACTTCACTTTAGCTACTTGTAACGTCCTTGACCCTTATAGGCCAATAACATATAGAATAATCCTTTAGATACCCAGCCGTTCACCGTCTGGTTATCGTCACCCTGTGATATTCTGCCTCGTATGTCCGCCTTCGATGAAAGTGCACACCAGACAAGGGTCTGTAACAATAATCGATCAGCGTTCTTTTTGGTTGTTCATGTTCATCAAGGTCCTGAGATTCAATACCCATTTACCAACCTCCCAAAGTCATATGCTTAAGCTTAATTTAGAACCAGAAAAATTAAAAAAAAGAACGAACATAGAAGATAATAAATATAACCAGTGTAATTATACAAAAACTACAGTCAATCACAGTATACAGCAGGAATCAAGATCAGGCAGTCATGCCGTGACACTGCATCTGTATAGTAGGAGAGTATGGCTTGTCTTTGAAAGTAAATACGCTGATCCGGTATCATGACAAGAGGAGGCTTTATATTTTGTAGTTGAGGTATTGGTTATTTCCTTGCAGTAAGGGTCAGAAGTATCTCAATTCTCAATGAGATAGTATATTTTCCAATGAAGGAGTTCTGTTATTGTTGATTGAGATTGATGTTAGGGATGGTTCACAGTGGGCAGAAGGGTTTCGTACGAAATGTGTGACGGATAGGAGCCCTCCGAAAGATACTTAGGATCGCCATACAATATTGTTGAAACAACAAGGGAAATTCCGGTATCAGTTTAAGGATCTCAAGCGTGATGGGTAAGAAACGAGTTCTGCAATACCACTAGTACGATATGATTAGATTGGATATTAATTTGCGGAGGTTTAGGCCACTTAGTAGCGAGTATATAGAGGCGGCATGGAAGGATATTTCACAACCATACGTCGGACAGTACGGAGGTGTGTTTATCGGATCTTTTTAAACTGCCGGCACGAGCACGTGATGCTTGGGACCCCGATTGAAAAGGGTTCATTTCTATCCTCCGATGACGAGACTGCACATAATGTAAACCAGATCTTTAAATTGGGACTCGCCTCATAGAAGGCCAAGTGTCTACTTGAAGAGGCTAACAAATGCTGCGCCCCGGGCGAAATGGACGCGTGATCGGGTAGGAGGTCGCAGGCGTCGATCTCGCCCAGTGGGAGTCTCTAATGACATGAACGATAAGGCCGAGGCGACGATGGATCAGCCACACGCGGCCCCTGCGCAAAGAGATTAATTCCTATTGTTTGCTGCATGCGGGGATCCCCGAACGCTGACAACTACGCACGATGAAAAAGACCCTTTACTTCCACGGCTCGCGAGAGCGTCTTTATATCGGCGCTCATGACTGACACGGTGATCGGCTCGCTTTGCGAGCGATTTACAACCCGACTGAAAGAAAATTCCTCCGTTAACTATAACCGACATCGGTTCTTCCGGAATGGCACCGTGAAGAAGGTCTTTGAAAGCAACCAACAAGACCTGCGAGAACTGCTGCGATGTCTGTGTCAGGCTAATGGCACACCCCTTACGCAAGTGCCAGACATCTTACGAAGGACGTTAACGGACCTTAGCTTGATTTTTGCCATACTATTATTCGCCCGCGGGCGCCAGGAAAGAGATGTTCTGCGACAGTTCGTGGACCTCGCACTCGAGACAAGAGCTGACAATGTCGCCCCACGCCAGTTCACCGATACAAACCTCCCGATCCCCCTCGAGACTGCGACCATGCGATTTCCCTTGCAGGGAGTCGAATTTTACCACAAGCAGTTTCGGTTCTGCGCCGTCACACTGATGAAGCGCGAGGAGGTCGTATACGAGGAACATCGGTTCCAGTGCCCACTGCCGTATCTCCAGGAAACAAAGATCGGAGAAGGCGCTTTCGGTCAGGTGTGGAAGGTACAGATTGAAGAACAACATTTCCAGTCACGATCCGATCGTACAACCACTACGGAAGCATTGGAGCTTGCGCGAAAAGACTTTCAGTTAAAACGAGAGGGTAGAGGGGAGCAACAGATTCTGAACAAGATCCTGGACCAACCACGCCGACACAAAAACATAATGGTGGCGCTGGCAAGTCTGCAGTACGGACCCACGTATAGTTTGTTTTTTCCACTCGCGTCCTGCAACTTATGGGAATATTTGAATGGAGTGTACTCCGAAGACCGTTTCCCTCCGTCTACATGGGAAGAAAAGAAGGACATCTACTTGCGTGGAGTGACGCTAGCCGGAGCATTAGCGTTTCTTCATCATGAATTTCGCGACCAGAAACTGGAGGTATTTTCATGCTACCATCTTGATCTCAAGCCACACAATGTACTTGTCTTCGATGCATATACCCCGTCTGAGACTTGGAAAATCACGGATTTCGGACTATCCCGTGTCAAGGGTCGAGGGCTAGATGGTGAAGCGGATGTGGAGCTCGTAATGCCGATAATGGGAAGAGGTCATCGGAGACCGAGGCGTCTCCAGGAGCCGTCGACCTTGAATCGAAGAGGTGAAGGTACTTACCTTGCTCCGGAATGTTCATTACCTAGTGGCCGGGTCAGCTCTGCGAGCGATGTTTGGTCGTTCGGCTGCATCATCAGTCTGGTGATGTCGTACATTGACTCGGGATATAGCGGCGTCGTGGCATTCGGGAGGCAACGACGCAGACAGGACCATGGGGACAAGTTCTACACAATCCGACATGGGAAGCCAAAGCTTTCACCGGTAGTGATTGCTTGGTACGAGAAGCTAAAGCACAGAGCGCGAGCAAGTTCTTTTGCGATGGAGCACGAGGTCGTATACCGAACACTCGACTTTTTGCAGAAGTATGTGCTGCACCCTATTCGCGATCAACGCGTTACGTCCAGAGAGGTAGAGGATACTCTAGCGTCCATAAGCGGTGTATTTCATCGAAGACCATCGGAAACACGGAGCAAGTGGTGGCTACGACGACCTTCATTCTCTTCAGCGTATACTCCTAGCTACGAGAAACTCCATCTTGAACCAAGCATGCCCATTCTTGGAACCGCGTTTGCACCGGGCGGCGATGTTTTGTTGTTCCAATCTCAGCAGAAGGTCCAGGTGTTTTTCCTCGACGAAATCCTGTCCTCTGTAGAGCAGCTCCCGAAACCGCGAGTGATAAATATTCCTAGGGCGTCATTGGAATGCGTTGCGAGTAGCTCGGGGTTTCTCTGTGCCTGCCTGGCTACGGCATGCTTCGAGGTACTTAACCATTTCTCAATATCTACCATGCGGGACCACGACAGCTAACTCTTCAGTGCATCTTTTACGAAACCGCCACCTCATCTGAGTCGCAAGGAAATAGTATCCTACAAGGTTCAAGAGTCTACTATCCGCATATGGGCTCTATCAAAAAGGTTGCCATGTCCGCTGATGGGCTTCTGACAGCATTCGTTATCACCCGAAGTCCTGAAGACTCTGATTCAGATGCTCTCTTATATTTGTCAACCACACAGAATCTCCTGAACAATGCAAGCGACGGGTAATACTAATTCCTACTTGAAGACAGCGTCATATGCTAACCTGAGGTAGAAATAGCTCAGCTCCATCAAGTCGATCAAACTCCACGGCATCCTATCAAGATTCCGATAGCATCACTAGTGGCGGAAATATTATCTTGCGGGACTCGATGGTCGGCCCAGCGACGCAAATTCGCTCATTAAGTTTCTCTACCGATAATCACTACCTGACCATGGTTTCCCAGGTAGATCATATACATCTTTTGGTTCGCGCATGGGACACATATAGCGGTATCTCCTGCGCAAATTTGAAAATAGGGTTTCAGGTATGTCTACCAGTCGTCCTCCCCTTCTGAAACTTATTATGCTAACGGTTGAAATTTCACATGCATAGGGGCCAGCTTCTGTGGATGAACCTCTCTACACTGCATGTTCTGTCTTCAACCGCGAACCACGGCTATTTATACTTTGTCAACGTAAATATCTTCTCCACCTGAGCTCCTGGCGTTGGGATCGCCAAGTTCACACGCTCCCTAACCAGGCGGTCAATGTATTCGTCCGTGATGATGACGAGGCCTTGATTATCCTAGGTGATAATGGCAGCGATCGTCGGCTTCGCACCTATACCTTGCCAATCCCCATTTCGGGCAGGCCCGAGCCAGCGAAAGTAGCGCTCAGTAACCTGAACCAGTACAGGCCGGCTCTAGATAGCGCTGTACTAACACGCACAACAAGGGGGCAGATTGTGTTGATAGTGGCCACCGCAAGGGGGGAATTCCTGGCCGTGAAGTTTCCAGACGGAACCTGAGACTCGCTCTCATAAAAAGCGTTCGCACCTCTCTATACTAAATGATGTATTGTATTCAAATCATCACAGAACGCCACGCTTGTGATTCTCATAATGAACGCCAACCCGTTCCGAAGCCGGTATTGCACAAAACTTAAGCCAGCGATTCACCCTTGCCGTTCGCATGCTTCTGGTGACGCTTGCTCCGAACCCACCAGTATAGCACTGTCACAGCCGTCAGGGGCACGGCGCACACTATGAATATCCAAAACTGTGGAGAAACAATGAGCTTATGGGTTTCGGAATCCATCTCGAAGAATGAGTTCATTCCGAGGAGTGTCTGCATCAGGAAACCGTGTCAGCGATACAAGCTCTATTCCCGAAACAAGCGCGTCTGAAAGGGAAATCATACTGCCATAAAGGTGGATGGTAGATAAATGAGAGTTACAACAGTGATAACCCGGACTGTCGATGAGTCGTCAACGGTGGATGAAGTGAGGCTCAACATATAGTCAGATTGCTGCTGTGCCGTATAGGAATTATTGAATGAAAGGTTATCTGCGATCAACTGGGCCGTGGTGGTGGCCCAACTCTGAAGGAATGATGCGGCCTGTAGGTAGGCATCCGCGTGGCTTTCGTAGTTATCTAGCAACTGATCCATTTTGTGCCATGATAGATGCTGCAAGCTACCGCAATCCCGTAATGCATTATTTGCCTTATGCAAGGTCTGTACTGTTTTTTCAAAGGAGCGGAAGACAGCCTGCAGAGGGAGGCACCGAGATTCTATGGAGCGGATGGAGGCCCACATATTATGGTTGACCCTGAGTGGTTCTTGGATGTGTTGTGTCACGGTTGTGTTGTACTGAGCGAGCAGGTTAGTATTATACCCAGTCAATAGGATTTATTCTTGACGTACAATCGTCAAAGCTCTGTCTTCTTGGGCGCCTAGATATTCTCTCCAGTTGGGAAAGAACGTAGCGAAAAGAAGATTATGAATAAGAAGTGGGTGTGACGTTAACTGAGAGCACTGGAGCGGACACATAAGGATGTCCACCAGTCGTTGCTGAAACAGGCAGTTTTTGGTCGGATTCAAAAATATCCATGTGGAATGCTTCGTCGCTGTATCAAACTTCTGGTAGACACCTGTTTGTCGCACTGTCCATGAATCCGGTCTATCGTTGTTGGATTTTCGAAAGGCGTACTTGAATATATACGCGATCTCTAATGTATGGGTATTAGCCCCTATGCCAGAGTAAGATCTCGTCAGCATGGGTATTAGATTCACCTATACTTCGCTCATTCCAAATAAATGCCGGTGCACTGCTAAAGGCCGCCTCTGTAGCCATAAACTTGTCGTGGAAAGACAAGGAGAGATTGTGCAGTACATGCGAAGAGCTAGTCAAGGTTCCAATCTCCTCGAACATTTCCTTGGTAACGTTTAAGGGTCTCCATGAGTTCCCTTGATTGATAGATCTGTGATCTCATTAAATTCCCGGCGGTTGGATGTAGCCAGTGTAATCGGTGACCTACATAAAGCGCAATCCGTTTGGCGCCGTGGAGGCCTTCTTTCTGTGTGCTTGTAGCTCGGTCAACGATGTGAATGTTGTTCTTGTTACTGCTCCTTGATGGTCAGCTTGAACATCAATTCATAGGCCACCCTATGTACACAAACCGTGGTGTTCTGTATCGCTATCCGTCCAGTCGACCTGAACTTTCGATTCATCATCCTGAAAGCACTTGCGAGACTTTGCTACATCCCAAAGATCATCTGCGTATGGTACCAGACTGAAAGGGTCCACTAGGTGGGGTAGAGAAGTCTGAACATCTTGGGTATGCGCAATCATCGTGATGGCTGAACAATGAGATCTTCCGCAAATGAAACTGAAGTAATATTCTCTTTACTCCTTGAAGCCGGAAGGGCCCAGAACATGATGTTTATATTATGCTACACATTGTCACGAAATAACACAGGTGATTAAAAAATTCAGCAACACGATGGCCAAGCGCCCTGCGCCGCCAAACCTTTCTCAAAGAAGGCCAAGCGCTGTCTTCCAGAACTCTCACTCCAACCAGCCACTGCCACCTCAGCCCGACCACTCAGAGTGGGCATGGTCAATCAGACGCTTCCCTAGATCCGGTAACGTGTGAACAGTCAGCTCCTTCGCACAGCCTCGGGCTCATTTACCATCCCGGAGAACGCCTACCTGAGCTCCTGCTACTCGATGTCAGCCACAGACCCAACAAAGAAGGTTTCTAGGAAAGTGGAACGGGAACTTACTCGGGTCACCTCTCGTGGTGCATCAAAGGACCAAACTTCGTCATCGAGCTTTGCACAACGTAAGATTACCAGATAGATCTTTGAACATCTTCGGGAATTCTTACTCGAATGTGAAAGTTTAGCCCTGGGTGATCAGGGAACAGTCGCTCCAACAGGGCTTGCAGACTTTCGCGTCGTAGATAATTGCTGGCTGCATCTTGTCGCCGGGTCTCTGGCGGGGGGGAGGGATTTGATGTACTGGTTTGAGGGAACGTAGGTGTCCAAGAGAGTCTTTTGAACATATTCGGTCTACTATTGTTGGAAGTACTACCGATCAGGCAGAGTAATACGTTCACAGGATGGTTAAGCGTGCTAAGTGTGGATGTGAGGAAGAACTCAGTACTGCGATGATTTGGCTGGGGTCACAACATCCCGCGCGGTATACGAGGCTAAAGGCAGATTTAATGGTGGGTGACAGCCTGGGGCTCTGCTGGGTGCTCCATAGGGTAATGATTTCTAATAATGCTTTCTGTTTGTTGTGGCGACCCCGTCATCTCGGTTGTGATCGGGATAGGAAGATGGTTGCGCACCAAGCAGTGTTGTGGTTGGTGGCCCTTTCACACTGAACAGGTGTATCTCGTTGCACGGTTGTCTAGTCCAATCAATTTCTCCGAGGCTTATCAACACCCCCGCAGAAACTGTGCTTCTTAGCCTCGTGGACGAGGGTTCCCCTCAGGCCTCGTATTTGGCTATCCGTAGCGTCGCACTATAATCCCCGGAGCACCAGCCTCGTGCATGATCTCTCGAGTTCACGCTCAACTCGCTGTGGCTTTCGTCGCTGTGTTTCCCATGGTATAGCCACTTTATTCTCCTATCCTCATCATGCCACTTGAGACTAAAGGCTGAGGTTGCGACAACATGGCTCCTCACGGCAGTGCAGATCACGATGAGCTGGATATGAGCCAAATCGATTGGCTTCCGCGAATGCTGACCGTACCTTCACTCGGAACATCGCCTGGGACATCAGAGCCGCGACGGTCGGAAACGCATCTACAACCTTCATTGAGCTCGATATCCTTCCGACAACCAGAGAGTGTAACAGTAGTTGTGGATCCACGCGATGGCGCAGGGTCCGATCAGGTATTCCTGGATGAGAAGGATCGGACTGTGAAGTAAGGGGTGACCTAAAAACACGAGTTGATGTGCATGTTCAGACAGTTATTGGCTAACCTTGCTGCCCCATTCTAGTCGACGGCTACGTGGGATCCATGTGTTTGTGAGTAATTGGCCGCAACTTGAAATAACCTTACTAACTAGTCGCCTGTCTAACTAGATGATCACCATTAGCGGTGTCCTCGGCGTTGGGCTCTATCTACGAAGTGGATCTATACTGCGCATCGGTGGGCCGGCCGCTGTCCTGATATCGTTTTCAGCCATGGGATTACTGGCCTGGTTGGTCATGCAATGCATTGGAGAGTTTCTCGCGATATGGCCTGTCGCTGGAGCTCTCGTGGAGTTCGTCGGCACATTCGTGGATGAAGACCTGGGTACCACAGTTGGTATTGCATATTGGTGGGTCTCGTTGACCGGGCGGAGTAAAGCTGTGTCGCAAAACGTGCAGCTAACGGGGACTTTACATAGGGTATCGTATTGTTTGAATTTTGCTGCTATGATTGTGGCTGCTGCTGGCGAGGTTGAATTCTGGAACACAAGCAAGGCGATACAGGGCACTGTCATCCTGTTCATCGTGCCGTTGTTCCTAGTACTGCTTAACAGCTTCGGTGTGCAGGTATGCCTCTCAGCCCCTCAATGCACTGAATGTTACTAACCATTGGAGTCAGGTATATGGTTTGACCGAGGTAATCGGAGGCTCTCTGAAGATCCTCGGGGCCATTATTGTTACTGTGTCAATGATTGTGATCAACGTCGGAGGTAAGAGCACGTGTTCCGATGATACCCTATTTCTGACAGTATGCAGGTGGAAGTGAAGGGCATATTGGCACTAGATGTAAGACGTTCCGACTGTACCTTCTTCCTGCTTCAAATTCTCACTTCCTTGTAGATTACCGTGACTCCTCTATATTCCAGTATGATGACAGAGCGGCGGGAAATTGGGCGACCGCGTTGTTGTACGCCACCCCAGTACTCGAAACATGATGAATGGGAGTACTAACAGTACGCAGCATCTCCCTTTCTATCGCGGCATTTTCCTTCATCGGTGTCGACATTGCAGCCGCCACGGCGCTTGAAGCACGTCCCGATAACAAGCGGATCTCGGCGGAGGACCCTCTGAATGAAGAATTGAAACAGCCATGGCCATTCATATCTGTTCGCTTTTCCGCCACCTGGACCAGCTTCATTGCATGGATCGCCTATTTCGTCGCTGGGTTTGTGATGACCTTGAACCTACCCTGGGACTATGATCAATTACCGGAAGCTGGATGGCTGGGTCATCCCGGTCCCAAGACCGATAGGCCAAGTGATTCTGGCTTTGTGATCAGCGCGAAGAAATCAGGGATCAAAGGGCTAGCGGATCTTTTCAACGTCATTTTACTATTCACTGCCCTCACCTGCGCCAATACAAACTTGTATGTCGCGTCCCGCACGCTCTTTGGTTTAACGCGAAAGATCTACGGGAAGCAGTGGCGGTGGCTGGCATTCTTCGGGAAGACGAACAGCTACCAGGTTCCAGTGCGGGCCATGTTTCTCTCCTGCTGTTTCCTGTGGGTGCCGTTTCTATATCTGTCGCCGAATAACGCGAAAGGGACCACCATCGCCAGTGTAAGGACAACATTAGACAAAATATCCACCCTCAGCAGAGTATATGTGCTAACAGCTACCAGCTCCTCGAGGTATTATCTCAACTCGGCTCAGTAAGCTGCCTCATTGTGTGGGCCTGTGAATGTTGGGCTTTTATCCGCTTCTATAATTGGTAAGTTCTTGGCGATACCATTTGATACATATTATCCTTTCCTGCTAGATACTAGTGTTACTCACTATATACAGCATGAAGGTACACCAAGTCGAGCTGCATAATTCCCCCCAATTCGCACACGTCTGCCGCTTCCGTCGCCCCGGCGCCCCGGACTATTATCCATGGCGATCCCACGGCCAACCAGTCACAATGTATCTCGCCTTAGGGGGTTGTCTGTTTACTCTCATTGTTGCCGACGGGGCAGCATTGTGGCATGGCTTCCATGCGTCCCTATTCCTATCAGCGTATTTGGCGGTAAGTCTTGTCAGACAACAAGCGGTAATTATGTTTGATGGAGGTATAAGTGCTAACAGATGATGATATAGCCCCTGTGCTTCATTCCATTATGGTTCATCATCAAGGCGTACCGCTCCGGAGGCTGGCGGAACATTAGGTGGGAGCTTGAAGATTTGTCGAATATCATCGAGGTCAAGGAGAAGATCCGAAAGCTGGACGAACTGAAGGACCGTGCAACGGCCAGAGATGGTACTCAGCAAAAGCCTGGGTGGGGGAATCTCTGGGGCGTGATTTGATTTTGACATCTCATTCACAGCTGGGTAAGCTTGGGCTTAAGCGCGCTGCTTACCTGCAGGTTGTATGATGGGCATTGTATTGGCTATATACATTTGCAACAGTATTGTAGTCTCGACCATGAGATGTAATGTAATAATGTCTGTATCCTACCTAAGCAAACTTGCCACGGGTATTCTAAGCGGGATGCATCTGTTAATTGAATTGGCTTCTGCGTCTGAGATTGAACAGGACTTAGGTATGACATACGTACAAATCCTGACTAGAGTCACTATATGTAGCCACTCTATCCTCTACATCGAGAGGAGAATGGGAAACAGTATAGTTTGCAATACAGTGTTGCCCTCTGCGTGGAAGTGGTCTTCGGCGCTAGACTGGCCTGCCTGAACAAATATATCGACGTTTTAGCACCTGTCAGTGATTCCTTGGAGTTGTATCATGCTCCCAATAAGGGATGACAATGGAACTACAAGGCTGTGAGATGTTCACGGATTGTGCTCATTATTTCAGTTACGATATCAATCTTGTGACTGACTGCGGTGCCTTGTTCATGTAAATTGAAATCTCGGGTTACTATTATTATGTGGTGGTAACCTTTCATTAAGCCTTGCGTTGATATACATTATGTGTCCATGCCGATATAGACTATGTGAGAACGTATTGTAAACATTACCTTTAAGTATAGGATTCAACAGATGTGGTACTGTACCGGAGCCAGGGCTTCTCTATATATTATAGGCCCTACTTTGTGCAGGGTCTTTAAGATGGACCTTGGGGGTTTGGGAGTGCTACATCAATTAGGTTTGAAGGGCAAGGTAGGCCCTGAGGCAAAAGATCAACGAAAGCAAGGAGGTGAGCCATGAGGGATATCCAAGGGAAGGAAGGAAAACGATGTCCTTGCATCAGCTATCGGCAGCCTAGCACTACCAAGTCACCAACCTTCTGCCTAGTGAATGTGACGCCGGAGCATATTTAATGTATGCATCATGGTTACTAAACCACACATATTCCTTTGTCAACAACAGTGTAAGAAGCGAACTCCTGAGCCCCCCCCTCTAACACGCACTCTCAGTCTATCTCCGTTGGAATTAAACTTCTCATGATGCAGCCAAACACCGCCAACAAGCTAGCAACCTTGAACGAGGCCGTGTCCCCGGGCGATCTTATCCTTCTTTTCGCTATGGGGCAAAGGGCCGTCATGCTGCTCGTCGAATCATCCTCTGGCACCCAGAGCTCGAATCCCCAGACCTCGTCCATCACTGTGCGAGAGGTGAAGGTGCACTATCTGGATGACCAGGGTCCTGTGGAGTATCCGGCCCAGATGTTTATTATAACGAGAAGGAAGAAGACGATTATACAGCAGATGATGAGGACACTACAACCGAAGCAAGATGCGATGACTCCGTGGGTCTACTCAGTGCATATATGACTAGCTTCCCTGCGGAGTGTCGGGTTGAATACTGCGTGAACCCCCATGGACGGTACGTATGCCAACATGCCCCCTTCCATGTTGCTCTGTGAAAACGATAGTATAGTAACGCTTCACCGATAGACATGTTCACCAGTACTACTGGGGTGACGATTGCCCATTTTGCCACAGTGACAACGGCTCGTACTGTCCCGTGTGCCTGGGTTACGATTTTGCCCTGGACGACAAGTGCGCGTTAAGAGAGATAGAAGATTACGAAGATAGGATCCGTAGAGGCGAGTTTGGATTTGAGGGGGGACCTGCAGAAATGAAACTGAAGATCCTCATGATGGTACGAGAGCGATATGAGTGCATCAATGCCAAGAAGGGGGAGATTGGCTTTAATAGCCATGATGTCGATGAAATAGTAGAGAACTGGTTTAAGGACGGTGGTGACGAATGAGGCCGTGGCTGTGTCCTCTTGCTGTGCGGTGTGTCTACTGTCAGCCGGAAATCGTACTGTAAAACGTCCTAGCAAGACACCCTGAGTATCCAGATAATTCTAAACAACATTTACTCTAGTCAAGGATAACACCGCTCTGAGGCATTGAGAATCATATTATGGTTACTACACGGGTGTTGGAAGGATAGTCTTGCTGCCGTTGCTCACCTCGAAGATATTGCAATTGCACATCCATTCAATCACGATAGGCTCAGTATTGTCTAGGGTTCGGCCTGTAATATCAGCCCTCTATACCATAGTCAATTGTCAACTCTGGTGGTCAGATCTCTGCTAGACTAATGCGACCGACATAGGGACCTAGAAAAAAAAATTGGAGGACCTGCTGACATTCGGTAAGAAAAACAGGTTCTGGCACCGCTCAAGCGAGACATCGACAAACACCGCCAAGAAAGCCATCCACAGGTCCTAATCATAAATTGTTGAGCACGGCACACAAATCCACCAGTCACATATGTACCTGGCGATCCTCGGCTGATCCAACGGGGATACTAAGAACCTACGGGTGCATTTATTGCCTTTTAGCGTGGATATCTTGCATATTAGATCTCCTGCCCGCGCCAGGATCTGCCAATCGGTGGATCGCAACGGCGCCCGCAGCTGCAGCACCACGAACACGTAGATATGCAAGCCCGTTATACAGCACGAGCTGGTAGCTTTCACTGTGCTGATCTGCATCGGCAGTGCGATGGCGAGGCCTCGTGATACTACTTTTCTTGACCGCCGTGATTGGGAGCTTGTATTTCTACGTGGACCTTTTCCTTGATCACGGTAGGTTGTGAATCTTGCTGTTACCAATGGCATTAAGCGTGTCTTTAGTAGCCCTTGGGCTTATGGCTCTGGTTGGGCAGAGTGCTGCCCATGAAGACTGCAAATGTGTGAGTTTGCTTACTTTTTTTTTTTTCCTTTCATGGGAGCTTGCTCATTTGTCGCTCTTGACAGGTCCCGAATGAAGGATGCTGGCCCACGTTAACCGATTGGGCCGAGTTGAATGATGCTGTCTCGGGAAAGCTGATCCGAAACGCACCCGTTGCTGAGCCTTGCTACTATGGAGACGACGACGACCAGAAGTTGTGTGATACTATCGTCGACCAATGGTCGAATTCTACCTTTCAGTCTCTTCAGCCAACAGGATATTGTTATCCGCTTGACTACGCCTGTCCTGTTGTTTCGGCACCGACAGGCACACCACAGGCGGAATGTGACCTCGGTCCAGCGCCGGTGTATACCATTAATGCCACCGAGCCAGAAGATGTGGCGGAAGGAATCCAATTTGCCAAAACGCATAACCTGAGACTTGTGATCAGGAATACCGGTCACGACCTGCTTGGAAGGTATGCCCGGCCCCTTGTTGGAGAAGCTACCTGCACAAGATTGGTGCTAATACCTGAGCGCACACAGATCCCAGGGATACAGCAGCTTACAAATCTGGCTGAAGTATATCCAAGAGGGTATTGAATACCACGAGAAATACCAGTCTCCCAGCCAATGCCAACACACTAGGTGGTCGGGAAGCGCATTCACTGTTCGAGGAGGTTATCTTTGGGGTGATCTCTACGCTGCTGCTTTTGAGCGAGATTTGATAGTTGTCGGAGGTCAGGATCCAGTCAGTAAAGTCACCACTCATTGAAGGAGTTCCCAGCTAACCTACTATTGCAAGACGGTCGGCGTCCTGGGCGGCTATCTACAGGGTGGAGGCCACTCTCCTGCCAGTCGCGACTTCGGTCTTGCTGTCGACCAAGTCCTAGAACTGAAGGTCGTCCTAGCATCTGGTGAGCTCGTAACGGCCAATGCCTGTGAGAACAGAGATCTATTCTTCGCTCTGCGCGGGGGTGGGGGTGGAACATACGCAGTAGTAGTGTCAGCCACGCTGAAGGCACATCCGTCCCGGCCAGCCATTACACATACTCTCGTGGTCTACCCATTACCCAGCCGCAAGGACCCATTAGCTGCTACCATGGCACTGATCGACGTGGTTGCGGAAATCCTTTCCGCCTATCCCGCCTTATCCGATGGCGGCTTTTCAGGGTACGGCGGATGGGGTATTAACAAAGTGGATTCTCCAATTGCGACAGCCCCGACACCAGTTATGGAGAACGGGGGTTACTCTCATGCCTTCGCAAAGCTGGACGACAGTGATGATGCCTTGGACGAGGCGCAACGATTCGTCTCTGCAACGCTTATGCAGCGGCTACAGAAATACAATGGGTCTGAGATCATGATATCCGAGAGCTGGGAGCGTTATTCATCATTTGGGGACTATTATACGGCAGCGACGAGGGCTGAGCAACAGGTTGGATTTAGCAAGATGACAGCCACATCACGTCTTCTCGACAAGGCGTCTCTCACGGGCGACATGGCACAACTTAAGGAGATGCTGCGTATCACCTCCACAAACTCACCTGATGTTCCGGACAAGGCAACTATATGGACCATGCTCTTTCTCGTCGGTGGAGGAAAGGTCCTTGATATCCCCACTGATCCTTCCACAGATCGCTACGTTGGAGTCCACCCCGCGTGGCGCAAAACTTATCTCCTTGCGGTCCCAACATCGATATTGCCCGAAGATGCAGACGACAGGTCTCTGAAAAGGATGCAGCATGATACCACTTACAGAAAGACCGACGCATTGAGGGCGTTGGCCCCGAACACGGGTAGTTACCTAAATGATGGAGACAGACACAATCCTTGGTGGCAGACCGACTTTTTCGGTGACAATTATCCTCGGTTGCGGGCCATTAAGGATAAATACGACCCGGACCATGTGTTTTACTGCCCCACCTGCGTAGGGAGCGAGGAATGGACGGAGATTCCGCTGGAGGGTAAGGTGTATGGCGCTTTGTGTCGGGCTTGAAGATGGCAAAAGTCATCCCGTTGTACGTTCTACCCGCCAAGAACTGCTGGAGAACCGTGGAAGATGAGGTGTATATCTTATGTGAGTAGGGGTTTCTAACGAACAGAGTATATACGTGTAATTGCTTTCGAAACCCGTTGCATCCTCAATACTGAAGCGTAGTTTAGATTTGAGATTGCCGAACAGATCACCGGTTTCTCGAATTTGTTCTCCACTATGGTCGGATTGTAGAGATTGACGCCAATATGCGGCAGAAGGATCGACAAAGTAGTCACTAGCACCTTCCAGGATTTGGGTATAAGATAATTCTGATGAAAGTGCGGTATGATATCATCACGCAGCTCGATCTATGTTACCGAGTGTGAAGGTGCACGCTTGCGTCAATCGCAGGCGGTCTGTAAACCTTCCCAAAGGTGGGCATGGGCACAGGTGGAGGGCCGGGAAATGCCCTTCGCTAATTGCTTGGGATCGAAGGCGAAGACATATAGCGAAGACAGCAAGGGATTGAAGTGTGGTAGCAATAGCGCGACAAAGCTGTTCTCTTTTCATTCCGTTGCTCTGGTGTGTAGGGCATGGTATGCGTGGTGAAAAGGTGGCCCGTGCCATAGACAGCTAATTTCGATGGGCTGGTTAAATCAGACAAAGTTCTCCATTCTCTTGATGAGACGTGCCAGCCGAGAGTGTAGGATAACTTGTAATCTATACTGAGTCGCGGGAATTGAACTAGTAGCGGTGCTGTCACCCAAGGGCTAGTATAGATAGTCACCTCGATAGATGTCCTGAAAGACTGATTTCCACCTACCAACTTTCAGAAGTCATTCGGCATGGTTAAAGCCATCGTAGTATATCAATGCATATACGATATGTAAACGAGCAGCCCTCGAGGATTCGTACTGAAGTCTGTTTGGTTTGACAATATAATTACCGTCCTGTAGCCTTTGTCCTTCCTTCCTTTCACCTGTCTGGCCTTCTTGTTTTCTTTCTTGAATATTACTTGTGTTTACCGAAAGGATCATAGTGAGTCATCTCAAACGTCCAGCTATAGGATATGAACAAATATCATTCGTACCAGCGAATGCTCTGATGGAGTGCCTGGAGGGGTGATCCTCATACGACAGTGTATATACGTAGTTCTATTATACAAGCACCTTCTGCACCCTGTCCAGCTCTATCTCGGGGCCTTCATCCGTAAACGTAGTGGAATTTTTAGAATGGACCGGCTCGGTCAGCTTGACAGTGCTTGACGAGGCTCTCCTCGACCGTTCCGCCGAGATAGACTTTCGAGATGTACTTCTGCTGAAAACCGACTTGATGCCTCTTGCAGTGCCGACGAAATCGACGTAAGACTTATACTGGTTGAAAAAGACCCGAGCCGCTGGCAAACTCGAACATGTAATCGCAATAAGCAATTCCATCATACCCAGCATCCAGCAATACCAACTATCCCAGGACGCATCGTAGGAGAAATAATACAATCGTACAACGAAGTAGAATCTTATTCCCGCAATGACGGCGGTCAAGTATCCCACAACGAATATTGAGCCCAATGCGATCTTCTCACGGAACGAGATGCGCAGGTTCCAGCACAAGATTGCCGGGAGCGTTGTCACAACCACATCTTGGATCAATGCGACAGATGTCGCGACGAGGATATGTACCGCTTCGTTGTAGCACTTCCATGTATGCGATGCCGCCCATGCCGGATCAATCTGGTCCCAGAAGGCGTGGAGTGGTTGGCAGGACCCGAAAATAACCGCGAGAAAGGCAATACTGTATCCGATGATGGAAAATATGCTGACCCACGTAGTGAGCATGAACCCTTGCGATACCGATCGGAAGCCCATTCGACGGTAGAAGAGGAGAACGGAGATGCGCAGTAGTCCAGAGCCGACCACATAAAGTGTCTCCATTGCCAGTGCCACTTGACGTTGCGCGATAAGCTTGGGTAGTGTATTGTCCCATGTGTGAAGGTTTGCGCCGTAGACCTCTGAGCCTGTTGCCATCAGGTTATGATGCTTGCGCGACGTTTGATGGAGGGGAGCATACTGAGGACAAATGCGACTGCTAGTCCTAGAACGGGGACCTAAAAAGTCAGTTATTGCACGATGATACCGTACACCACTGATGCGAAATACCACGGCCAATCCAGCATAGAGGTCATCCCAGCCGCCTCGACGCTGGATAACGCACCTCGCCCATAGTCGAACCCCAACTGTAACCAACGCAATACCGCCAAAGACAGACGCGAGCACGATACTGGACGGCCCATGCGACTCGGGGTCGATCATATTCGGCTTCGGCCACGCTAGCATTACTTCAGGTGGCGGCCGTATACCTCCAGGCATTGTGGTCAATGCTAGAAAAGTTCTTCACGCCCGCCACCGGCAGTGGAGAAAGAGAGAGAAATAAAGGGACACAAGAAGCGTGAAGAAGCGTAGGGTTTGGGTAGATGTGACATGTCTACATCGTGTGGCCGGCAGTTCCAGACCGTTGTTACAGTTAAATATAGGGTGTACTTTTGTCAATCCGATCTGTTTTGTACAGTCAGCGACGTCATGATCCCCAACTATATCCAGTAGGCGTATCGACCCTGACTCGGTGGAGAAATTTGAAATATCCACTTTGGAGAGACATCGGAATAACCTTGGAGATTGCAAACTTTCCTTCACCCGACAAGCGATAGTCGATCGATGGGAGATGTGGCTCCCTCTCTGATTTCTCTGTTCAAAGGGGGAGAGGCTGATCAACACGACGACCTTTTCTTCGTGCCTCATCTAGGTCTGAGACTAGTTTTGAAAGGTGAGGCGACCGGCCGGCTAGTCAAATGAAGCGAAGATCTCTATCATGCAATAGTGTAAGCTAAGTGAACTAGTGTATAATCCTGCCTATAGCGCACGTTCTAGACCGGTGTCAGAATGGATGGTCGAATCGGGATCCGTCGGGAACATGGATTTGGTTAACTAACTTATTAGTCCAGCTTCTCACCCGCAACGAATACCCGCAGGGGAAAAAGTTACAATCCGGTTTGAAGATCTCTATCAAGCAGAGGCCTTGGAATATAATTGCGCTGGGACAATCCGTTGGTTGGGGTTGAAATGATCTGCTCGTGGCGCCGAAGCTTAACAGACCCGTGACCCTGATTGGCTGCGATACCAAGCCCTAAGGCACTTGTGCTCGGAAACTTTCCCGGTGGGTCGAATTGTCCCCAACATGATAGGATAAACTGCCAGCTCAATTCCACTTGACACAAATTTCGGCTCCTGGAGGATCACATAGTCTCAGTATGCCAACTTTTCAGTCTCAGATTAGAGTTATGGAGGGTCGCGTTGAGTTCCCAGCCAGATGGAAACGGCAGTACAGACGAGCACAGGCCAGGGTAAAACACAGTTTGATCGCCCATGGCGAAATGCTGATTCATGTGTTTCAAAGGGCCTGCATGTTCTTGACCCTATTCTACAATGCATCTAGTCTATGTTAGACTTTCGCTTGCCATGACTCGTTGTCTACGACTCGTAGACTAACTAGTAAGTATGGCGATGCGTTTACCAAGGCTACGCTATATTCTTCCCTTAGACCCCCAATCTCTACCACGAACAGCTAGTACATTTTGGATAAAATGCCTCATCATGAATATTTGCTCTGGTATTACGATATCACCAATACTATCCCTGAATCCATGTCATTCTAGAAAATCACAAGGGAGGTGTAACTGAGAATCTCTGGGTTTCCCATTACCCATTATTAGGGGAGGCCAGTGCTTCGTGATAAATCCCCAGCATGCAAGAAATCTCAACGGACTGCTGATTGCACCCTCACCGGCTCCAGGTAGGTAAGAGCCCACAGCCTACTACTAGCGTCCTGTATGTCGTTCGAATTGTGTGCATCCACCCCTGATTCAGGGCTCCACGTGAATTCTGTCGATCCACAAGATAACTGCTGCCATACAAGCCACGATGGCAGTGGAGAAGATAGCCAACTGTGTGTGTACCCATTGGCCTCAGTTCTCTGCATCGTACTATAACGATTGGCAAGTCCAGCTAGAATGGTTTCGGCATTTTGCATCCCGGAGCTGCCTTTCTTTTCGTTTTGCCTATTTTTATTTTCATTTTCATTTTTTCCCACTGCCTTTTCAATTCTTTACAAGTACTTCATTTTTTTTTACTTTTGCCAATTTCATTCAGGGATGGCGGTGACGGTACATAAAACTCCTATAAGGGTTCCAACTGCAATTACCGCACTATGAATAAATCTTGATCGCACGGTACACCCACCGCTAAGTCGTTTCATATCTCAAATAATAATGTTATAACTAGTCAATGTTAAACCCCCCCGTCACTCGACCGTGGATCATGTGACACGCAGTTTGGGTTGTTGCCATTCGCCCCAACATTCCTTCCGAGTCTTTTAGCTTGCTCCCTAGGGTGTACTAGCTTCAGGGGGCATGAATCGTCGACCTTCATTTCCCACTCGTACGAATTTATACAATTCCTCTGTCTTATTTACATTGGTTAATGTAATTCCAAGCCATATGACAAAAATCAGACACAGAACCGCTAATCCTGGTAAGGAGTCAGGATCAAGATCAGGATTCCGCTAAAAATATATATACCAGTTCTTTGGGATTAATATGGGGATCGGAAAGTGACCGAATGCTCTGCGAAAGCTTTGACGAACTTTCTTAACAAGGATCTAAGGGCTAAGAGCCGAATATGGTAATCGCTTCATGATCATCTCTTGGTCCATGTGGGTACAGCGGTATGAATCTGGCAGCCTGCAGACTGACTCGCTGTAGTATTCGATTTTACTTTCGAGGTCTTGCTTGACCTGGAAGGTGGGACCCGAGAGAGTGGGAGAAATGCCGGGATTCTCTCCGGTTTGTTGTTTGTCCCGAAGCTCCAGCATGAAACATTCAATAGACTGTGAGAGGATACTCCACTCAAAGGTGTAGAAATTGTGACTTTTGTGCCGATCTTCCCTTGAAAGTTTTCACGATCTAAGAGTGTTGACGGATTGATAGAAATACCGAGCCAGACTATCATCCTTCGCGCGAGTATCCTGCCGATATATCCCGGCTGTAACAATGATAGCTGGCAGAGTAGAATGCGTCCCGAGTGATGGCGTTGCAATTAGAACAACACAATGTATCATTCGTGCATGTATCGTGGTTTCACATATATATCACAGTGCCCACTAGGCTTCTACATGTGAAAAGGCTTCCCATGCAGAACAATGAACTCCATATAATACCTTTTTGTATGACCCGCTTCAGTTGCCTAAGTTATTAAAGTACTGAATAGTGTCTGAGCCCCTGAGGGACTTGTGCTCGGAGTAGTGAGTCCATAGTCTGGCATGTAGGGATATGGCATCATGTTTATGCAAACAAGGCAAGTACCTGACAACTCCTAGGGATGTCTATGTTAACAATGGTCAGTTCGCACGCCGCTTTGTCTTTAAAGATACTCTGTTTGATTAAGTTGCGTTTCATAGCATGCACCGATTAATCAGATATATTCATCATCTACGATCTCCACCACTGAAGATTGATTCGTGCAAACCACTTCGACGGCGGTGAATGCCTTCCTCTCAAGCATACCCAATAACTCAAGAGCACGTACAAAGTAACACCTTCAAGCAATTTTCCACACGTTATATATGTATAGTAATACATTAGCCCAGCTTTGGTGATTAGCGAGACCAAAAATGAGCACGATATTGTTTCGCCTTTGTTATTTCCTTGCTTCTCTGCTGTGAGTTCAAAATCCAAACAGACATGCCATATGGCCTGGTTGTTTGCTATCATCCGCCATATCAGCATCCTCTTATATTTGGTGGGGCTTGGGGCAGTGCCATAGGATCTGCTGACGAAGTAGTAGAAGGAGAGCTTCTCGTTCCTCACAGTCCATGAATCCAACAGTTTGTTCCACAACAAAGGGAATGGAATCAACATCGAAAGAAGATTCAAACTAGTAACACCCCTGAACGGTGTATTCATGGATGATATATGTATGGCTAGGTACAGCCTTCTGAGAACGTGTTGACTTTCCAGTGATAGAAACCCGGAATAACGTTGAATTGTGCCTTACACCGATGCTAGACTTCAGCAGCGTGCTACAACTACCGAAGGGTCTTTGCAGACGTATAGCTTCGGATGGCCCCGTAAATGTATAAAAGTCAGTATTATCAATCGTAAGTCAATGAAGCATGGTCAATTGGTGACTGTCATATCTGCGCCATCTCTTTGACTAGGTGTATATGTGCAAGTAGTAAAACCCAGCTGCGTCAACAAAGCCCTCCAAAACTCATCTGCCCGCCTTTTCCTTTCCACGCCAAGTTCCACATGCCATACAATAGCCAGAACGGCATGCAAGGTTCGTAGAAACGTCGTCTAATCAGTTCCTAGAACTACTTCGGGGCTCTGTAGTTGATAGTGACATGGCAAGAGTCACAGTCGTTGTTGGTGCCGTAGCTTCCCTTGTGGTGACCACACGAGTCCAGGATCGATTGTGCGGTTTTACGGATGTTCTTTCCGTCAAGCTTGTGTTCTCCAGCACCGTTGGTGGCATAGACCATGTAGCAGTTTCCGATGGAGAATTCAGCCCCGTCACCGTAGGATGCAGCCTCGTCAATCCTTCGGATCGCCTCCTGGCAATCGGTGATACTGGGAGAATTGCTCGAGCCCTTACAGCTTTATTGGTAATTCGTGTTAGCAAGTTCAAGAAGAAAATATATAGCGGGAGAACCTACTTGTTAGCGTAGCCAAGGCTGCCAATTACAAGGAGTGCAACGTTGATGAGGGTAGTGAGTTGCATTGTGGATGGATAAGAGAGTGTTGTGGTCTGTGGTGGGTTGATTATGAGAGTGATGACGGTGTTGCGATGTGATTGCTATGTGATTCAGAACCGGAGAATCTTCATCCTTTTATAATTGTGATAGGAGCTCATGGCCAACAGTTCTGAGTCGGGGATACGTTGCGTGGTTGGTGTACGACCCCAATGTAACCATAGAGACCTCATAGTACTCTCGTGAATAGAAGCTTATTGCCTTTGTTGGGGCTACTTTGATGCAAGGGCGACATTGATGCAGGCGATTATCCACATCACTGCCACACCACGGAGCTGAATTGATTCCGATGCAATTCCCTCCCTATACAGGCAGGAGATGCCTCGTCAGATACCGGATAATTCCACATTTCTTTCGCCCTGGTCGATATCCATGGCTATATCGTCATTGGGGAAGTGTTTCTTGTGAAACCTTCAGTTAGTGACCACTTATTTTATCCCAGGCCACAGCGGAACTGGCCATGCCTATTATCAACTGCGCACAAACATATCCAGGAACCTACTAAGCATTCATTTAATCATGCAGTCGCAAGTTAGTTAGGTAATCATCCCTTGCTGCAGGGTCCAGCGTCGACCTGAAGTATATCGGAGCACGGTGGACATCAGGCTGAACCATTGCCAAACATAGAAGGACGTTCAGTAACATTCGAACAGCAATGGAACCCCAAACCCCGATGACCCACAGTGAACACGCGGAAATCTAATATTGCCTCGGGTTGCGATCGATTTCAAACCTTGCTTGCACGACGTCGAGTCAGGACTAACATCGTTCGGTTGATGTATAGCCGAGAGATGACAAAGCTTGGGGTCCAAGGCATCTTGGCCAAACAAAATATCTCAAGCGCTTTGTCGGTGTTGGTAATGCAGATCGACATGGGGGCGAGATGCAGATGGTATTCCAGAGATACCCTAAGACGATCTAACCCTAATTACTAGCAGGTACAAGACTGAAGTATGCAAACAAATACAATTTTTGACCGAGCTTTCATCTCCTACTTCTGCATACTAGATTCATTAATACGAAGTGATACCCACATTCCCCATCGTGATGTGACTGATCAGCTCATCACATCGGCGGTCTAGCCGAATTCATTACATAAAGATCAACGCGCCCACTGGACGTCGCCCCGAAACCAGAACATCGCTGAGTCGTTCTACGTCATACAGCATATACCAATCCCAACCGCCTGAACCATGTGGGGATTTATGTAAGGACTCGGTTTATTGCGCCGCCTTGCGATAATCCTGCAGCATGTCGTCGCATCCCCCGTTCGACGAACACTTGAAACGCGACTCTCCGTTGGCTTTCCGGAGCAACCCATTTCTCTGAGGGTGGCGTTGGGTTCTAACAGCGACCCTGCTTCTGATAGCTCTTGCGACAGATGTCCTTTCTCTCAAACACCTTGTCGTTAATTAGGTCTCGTCGCCAAAGCTACTATCGGTCGTTGATCCGAACTTTGCCGCGGTGCTCTTGATACTGTCGGTGTTGTTCTGTCACAAGGCTCTGATTACGACCTTCTGATCTTCCACTGGACCCTTATGAGCCTTGCCCTTTGCACATGCACCTTCTATCCGTCATAAACGCGATTATTACTTCTATACTCGTTGCTTTGAGATGAGGCGTTGAAGCCGAACCGACCAGGCCGAGGGAACCTGCGCAACAAGACGGCCTTTGATGATGAACCTACTCCCAGAGTACCATACTATTCCTCAGTATATACGAGATTGATAGTGGTGAGGTTGGTAGAAATGCCTTGCCGCATTACGAGGCCTAGGAAATGCGTTGCATGTAGCAAGGGAAATGTATACAAGGGGCACCAGAACCTTTCTGACTACTAATCTCAACGGAATAACGTGACGAAACAGAAACTGAGAGAAAAGAAAGGAAGGAAAGCTGATTGTTGGCTCATTCACTTACTCTACGTATCTATGAGGACCATCCGTGCTGTGAAGATATTTTGAGGGTATGCTGATGATAGACATATCTATCAGAGTCGCTACCATTATAACAACAGGTGCTCTTATTCATTTTGAAAGTCTGAACTAACATAACAAGCAAAACTTCCCTCAAAGACCAATAGTATTGTCGTGCGAGTCATGGCGGAGCTTTTGTCAGCAAGCTGTTTTCTGTCTTCGCGCCCCGCGTTGTACCCTGCAGGGCTTTACCATACTGTATCGATGGCCAGCCGCTGGCGAGCTGTGTGGAGGTCAATGTATCGGATAACAGACGAATAAGATTTTGTTCCGTGTCAAATGAGACAGGCGTTGTCTCCTCCTGACAGCACTGGCCCGACTCCGATTGCATCCTCATTATTGCAATCGCAGATACCAGGTTAGAATTCATCATGCCCTGGAAGTGCGGCCACGACTGTAAGGCTTCGATGGCTTCAAGACGGACTCGGTGGTCCGGACATCTATTCGATACACAGTACAGGCCGGAAATGATGCCAATATCCAGGAATATCGATGGCCGCTCGGGCGACTTTTGGATAAACGCTTTGTGGGCGGCAAGGAGGGTCACAAATTCAGGGGTCAAATACTCCGGAACCGGTCCATGCGTCAGACAGATCTTGACAGTCAGGGTTTGGGAGAGATATTGCAGTCGAAGGAGATCGGCTCCTCGTTGTTCTTTCGGGCTGAGTGTGGCGTATTTATGCTGGCACAACGTTTCGAACTTTTCGGCAAATTCGTCAAACGCAGCGAGGATTGCTCGTTGTTTCTGACACAACTGGTCATAGTTGGCTAGGATTTCTGCGTCGGAGAGTGACCAGCACTTGGTCACCCAGGGAACCTCGATGGCCATCACGTGCCTCACGGCTTGTAGCGCCTCTTCGAGGTTATTGAACTTTGCTGGCATGCAGTTCCATATTCCCTGTTCCTCAAACCGCGTGTTGCTGGTCATGAACGGCCCTATCCCGTAATGCGAGCCCATAATATCTAATCGTCTAAAAGCCTCCACTAAATCCAGATCCTTACTGCTAGGCTCCATCTGTTGTTCTTCGTTCAGGATGCGAATTCCGCCCTGCAGATGCTGGAAGGCAATGGTATAATGTCCCAACAAGAATTCCGACAAGGTAAAAAGCAGGCAACACATTAAAGTAACCTCCCGTACTTGAGGGTCCTGGGACCGGCCGCGCGTACGCAAAAGTGCCAGAGATCGGGTCGACTGTTCCAGAGCAAATAGATGTTGAGGGTGATCCCAGCGTGTGCCAGTCAGCTGCATTTTGCTGGCCACTGAGTCCTCGTGGATGGCAGCTAACATGTTAACTGCATGATACACGGCCGGTTCGGCGTCTACCATCTGCAAGACTAGTCGTTGCCATAACTGCCAGTCGAAAAAGGCAACAAAGTTTGCGATCACATGGTGTTGGAAATATGAAAGGTATCGTCTTTCATCTGTGTTCAGCACGCGGCATATATGGCTTCCCACGTTCGGCAGGCATAGTGTGGACCGTGCATAAGTTAAACGGTGCATATCATACCCGTCACAAATGCGACCGGTAGAGCTGCAATTCCTGCAGGTGTCAGGAAATTCATCACATTTGACATGGCGAGATCTGTGTTGACAATCAGCCAGGGCCGAACGGTCTCAGGGAACCCCGTTCATCTCAACCTTACCGACAGGTGCGGCAACCTGTTGATGATCTCTTTTGCTTGGTTTGGCGCCGCTTAGTACTGATCACTGTTTGCGTCATGTTTGTCGCCTTCTCGGGGCCCCACTCAGTTCAGTTGATATTGGAAGGGCACGCAGCTGGACATCTGGAGATTAGATCAAATGGCGTGAGCTCCTACCGTTCTGACCCCCACAAGGCTGTCCATAAGATTGAGGCTCCGCTCTCGCCCGTGGTTGATCGGCGGACTAACACGAGGTTCCGGACCATGTCAAATATATTACCCAGTTTACCAATACCGATACCATACGCGACTCCGTACAGAGGGTGAGGTATGTTCGGAGTACTACCATACATAGTTAGGTGGTACATCCGTGCTACTATGACCTTTAGATACTTTAAGCCCTAAGGGTAAGGGAAATGCCATCTCTGGTTCTCCAGATATTTTAATGAAACACGAGATAGAGTGACCGGGGGTTTTAGGAGATGTTTCTTCTGCTTCGCCCCTGATTCCAAGAGCACGAATGATTCCATTCGGGGTGTGATCTTCGGGAAGTAGACGCCACGTCCGGTGCAGCTACCTGGTACAGTGCAGGGAAGTTTCAAACATAAGTTCTTTCTGGACCAACAGAAAACACGGGGGCATTGGAGGTGAAAAAAACCAAAACCCAAGACAACACTCTTAGTGCTAATTGGTCAAAAGTATATTTGAAAGGGACGCGGCGCGCGTGTGCGCTAGGCCTATTCGGGAACGCAGTGTGTTTTATACTACTAGTAGTATTTCTTACCATGCTGGATCTTGAGTGGTCTGAAGTCTCTTCGAAATCATGTCGATAATGATAACTCTTCACTTTATCACCTGAATCACAACTAATGACATGACCAATTCACCGGCAATGGATTTGCCAACAATAGGAGACAAGCTGAACGGCGTTCGTAATGGTTTCGGTTCCACTTGCGACCGTTTAGGACTTCCTCGCTCATCACACGCTTTGCGTCAATTAGATAGTGAAGGTGCATCGTTGGGCGTTGTTCGACATTCAGCTTTTCTGACTTTCTACAGACCTCCAAAATGTGTCCCTCGACCTGGTCTCTGCACTGCGAAACATTCCAGACCTGCGAAGGCGACCGTCTCTGAACAATCGAAAAAGCCTATCGAGTGATATCTTGAGACTTAATTCTGCAATCAGCTCGGACGACTTCGATAGCGATCGGCTCATTTCATTGCTGAGTGCCATTGTGAACGAAGAGTCCGATGATATAATCTGGAGCAATCTACATGCTGTTCTGGTCGAATCTACCCCTACCCCGCGCTCGCGACCTTTCCTAGGCCAAATTTCCTATTTACATACTACCAGTAGCTTCGTCAACTCTTCTGAACAACGAAAGCATGTAGATGCCGTGCTAAAAGAAGAGCTTGAATCAATCTACATCGGCGTACAAGGCTTCTACGAGGCATACTTCGGTGATATTGACACCTTGGAAGAAGCAGGGGCTACTGTATTCAGAAAGTGCCAGGAAGGAGACAACCCCCTGTTTACAGTAGACGGGTGGCGGGACTGGCCAGAGGGCGCCAAGGAGAGGGACGTTCTGGATTGGCTTTCTGCTTGGGTCAATCAGATCCGCGGCGTTGCGTCTGAAGAAGGTTTTGCTATAAATTCGCAACGTACAGTTCTAGCTCAGCCCGATCGACCATTGGAAGGGTCTATAGCCAACCGCAAGTTGGACATCGACATTGTGCGGAATTCAGACGCGAGTCGGAACCACCATTGGTCGGATATTCTAGTCCTCGGGGAGCTGAAATGTAACCCAAAAGAAGATTCATCTTCGAAGACGTGGCGTGATCTAGGTCGTTACGCGAGGGAGGTTCTCACTACCCAAGATACTCGCCGATTTGCCCTAGCTTTTACACTATGCGGGTCTACTATGCGACTGTGGGAGTTCGATCGTGTGGGGGCCATTGCATCGTCTCCCTTTGATATTAATAAAGATGGTCTCCGATTTGTTTCAACTATACTGGGATTTCTTCAAATGAATGATAATCAGTTAGGATATGATCCCAGTATCAAATCCACCTCGGATGGCAGACAATTCATTGAGATCATACGCGACGGACAGTCAGAATGTATTAGTCTTGATAGTCTTATGAAACGCTCCCCGTGTGTCGCGGGCAGAGCCACGACTTGCTGGAAAGCTCACCGTGAAGGGGACGAGGCAGATGCAAGTGCGCCACTCGTCGTCAAAGACTCATGGCAGTATCCAGAACGAGAAGAGGAAGGTAAACTGTTGCAGGAAGCGACAGAGACAGGGGTTGTCAACGTAGCCAGGTATTACTATCATGAAACCGTTCAAGTAAATGGAAAAGTCGACGATATTCGCGATAATGTTCGCAGGGGACTCGATGTGGCCCAGTCGACAAGTCACAGATTGATACGAGGCTCCTCCGCTGCGAGTGACACAGCCGATGCAGCAAGAATCGGTCGTTCGACAAGCAGTGTGGGGCACAAGAGATCATCCAGCCGGGTTGGTGTAGCACTACCACCAAGCAAACGAACTTGCTCAAGCTCACCTTCTAAAGGCGGATATACTTCTACTTTACAGAATCGGGTACATCGTCGGGTTATTATTCGCGACTACGGTACGCCGATCCACAAAGCAAGATCACGCGTCTCTATGCTTTCTGCCCTCGAAAACTGCATAAAGGGTTAGTCATGCTGCCAATTCCTTTGTTATGCTACTAATATTTGAGAAAGGCTACGAGTCATTACAAACAAAGGCGGGGTTTTTACAGGGTGATATTTCGACTGGGAACCTAATTCTCAACGAGGAAGACGGAAACCCATCTTGGCCAGCGTTCCTAATTGATTTGGACCTGGCGATCAATGAGCAGCGAGAGCGGCCTTCTGGTGCTAGGGGGAAGACAGGCACAAGGGCGTTCATGGCTATTGGCCTGCTTCTGGGTGAGAAGCACTTTTTCATGCACGATTTGGAGTCCTTCTTTTGGGTTTTGTTTTGGGTTTGTATCCACTACGCCGGGCCAGGTGAACAACACAGGGTAGTGCCTCGGTTCGACAAGTGGAATTACGCCGAAACGAAAGAACTAGCCGAAATTAAAAAGGGACTTGTTGTTGACGAGGCCGATTTCATCGCACTTGCAACGGAAAACTTTGCTGAGTACTACATGCCTCTAATCCGCTGGGTCAACAAGTTACGCAAAGTAGTCTTTCCAAGCGGTGGTCGGTGGAAGAAGGAAAACAAAGAACTCTATAGACAGATGATGGACATTTTACAGGAGGCTAGAAGTGACGAGAGTGTCGTTGCTGGTACGTGATGAAAGTGTGATTAGTACACATTGGTCAGATGGGATTTTATTGTACGATACATCTCATATTCCTCTTGGCTATTTATTGCATATAATAGAACTACTGATAGGGAATTTTATAGAATATTGATTTACGGAATACAGCGGGTGAAGTCGAGGTTCCGGCCAATATAGATTTCTTACCTTGTTTTTTTAATTAAGCCGCAGACTCAATTCTGTAATCTTCTTGTATAGTTTTATATTATAAATTCAGCTTCACCCCTTATTGAGATTAACAGCTTCTGGTGTAATACCTGACTAATATCTGGATTTTGAAGAGCTCTGCTTCAATCCGTGTACAATCTTCTGGAAGTACCGACGCGGTCTGTTGGAGTGTCCTTGTAGAGTGCAAGGTGGTCTAAAAATCATGTTCTTTATCAGGATTCAGGGCTGGTTTTCAAACTCGACCCAGTAACGCAGTTGGCCTGAGGCACCGTTACCCGCCAGTTCACACGTTGCCAGCCATCTGCTGGAGGGCCTATCTTGAAAGCCCTCAATTAATAAGTATACTTTTACACGTGTCAGCTTTGCTAGATAGCATAGAAGTATCTCAAGCTACCGCTTAAAGCGAGAGTGCGTTGGCGGGCTTTATCCAACCCAACCCATTGGGTTCCCAGCGCCGGGTCTGGGCCTTGAACCTAAACCCTAAGCCCAGCTTTAGCCTCTGAACCTGTTCGGGGGAAGTAACACAATTCTGTACCACTGATCGATCTATGACCGACCGCACTGCAACACCTCTACGGTTTCCCTATTAAGGTATGCTGTAAAGCTGGCTTCAGACAATATTCCTCGATCTCAAATCATTCTCTCAGATATATATACCGCAGAAAGTCAAATGCTTTCGTCCCATTTGGCTTACTTCCCATCTACACCATAGTATAGGGCAAAGACTGCATGACATTGAACTTTACAGTATACCTCGTGACTCATGTGGGGAACTATCAGGATGCTAGCGTATCCTGATGAAAGCAGAGTTTTAGCTTTGCATTGCTCTGCGTATTCCTCATTCAGCTGCCGCATGGCTGGCTGAAGATGCGAAAGGAGATACATAAATGACTCATAGTAAACGCAATGCTGCGGGGCTACTACGAACTAATTGGCATATAAATACGTACATCAATATTCGTCTAAGCTAGAAGTAGTTTACCACGATATGCAATAGTGTCGTGGAGTCGACCAGTGCATCCTGATAGGCTGTGGGAATCTACATTGCCACCTCAGAAAATAAATCTTGCATTAGCTTTAGTATTGTTGCGATACACTCCGCCGATTCTGCAGAACACCCCGTCTCCGCTCCATCCAGCCAATCTTCGCTGGCAACTGGGGAACTGAGACTCTCGCTCGAATGCTGCGATAGGTTCATTCATTAACTGGGGATTGGGCACCAACATGGCACATTGTCTAGAGCGGGCCATCGTGAAAGAACTTGATGGTATAGTGGGTATATATTCTCATAATCTGACCCTATGAAGATCTTCCACATTACGACCGATATAGTATGAGAGTTACTATCTCTTTCTTATTATCCCCGACCCTCAACACGTCGTTTCCCGTCGGAACCCTTTCCTACTACTCTTGAACAGGGCCCCGATTGCTTTTTATCCCTTTACTCTTTCTTGCTCAAAAACCTACAAGCTAACAAAGAAAAGAAAGAAAAAAGAAGAATGTCTACTAGCCAGAGCTCCATCTACTCCCAGGCCTTCAATTTCAGCTCCTTCCTACAAAACGGCGTCGACCCTCGCACAGGGCTATATACGTACAGCATTGACTTGTGTGACACACCAAGTCAGTCACTGAACTTGCCTTCCTTCAAACTCTCGCTGCACTATAATCCCCTGAACACTGTCGACTCTGGTCTGGGAACTGGCTGGGCCTTTCGTCTCCCTTCATACGAGCCCAGTACGAATACCTTAGCGCTCTCCACTGGAGAAAGCTTCAAGGCTAGCGGGACAAATAGCCAGCTCTCCGTTCGAGACCAAAAGCTTAAGAACTTCCATGTGACCAACGATGGGTCGGAATATCGCATTGTTTATAGATCCGGCCTGATAGAGGTCCTGTCAAATAGCAGCGGTCTCTATAACAGGTTTGTTCCGATTGCCCTCTACGGTTCCACGGGACGGTCGATTGCATTTACCTGGACGCCAGCAGAGTCTAAGTCGCCCAGGCTCACCCTGATCCAAGACGGAGACAAGGATCTAGTCGAGGTTCAGTACGGAGAGGGCCAAGTGCGCGTCATCCAGGCACCCGGTACACCCTATGAGAGTATCTTCACCCTTGTCCAGAAGAACGGCCAACTGGTACAAATCCAGTCGTCCCAGGAGAAGACGCCGCCGTGGGAATTCTCCTACGAGGAAATTGACAACCGATTCGTCTGCCTCGCACAGCTCACGACCCCTACCGGGTTGCTTGAGAACGTGACGTACAAGTCAGATGGCCATCGCCTGCCCAGTGGAGCTCCGTACCGGACAATCCCGTATGTCATCTCGCGTGTGGTGCAGCAGGGCCGTCAACAGCCGGCCACCACGACGTCTTATGCTTATTCTGCGGAGAATTTCCTGGGCTACAATGGCGGCCAGGACTGGACTCCCGACGGTGACAACCTAAATCAAGTGCCGGCGGAGTACCAGTATACGTCGACTGTGCGGGTGGAAGGCGGATCTACCACTGTGAATGAGTATAACAAGTTTCACCTTCTCGTCGAGGCTGGAACTGGACCAGGGGTTTGGGGAACAGGACACATCCTCGGTGCATCTCACATAAAAGTATAATATAATCCGGCGTTTCGTGTAAGTGTTTGCAATGTCTTATAATTGGTCTGTTTGACACGATTATTTGTAGCTTTTGTGAGAATGGGAAAGCATACGAGAGACGATCATCAGCCTAGCAATTTCATATCTAGTATGATGTGCTTGTAGACCATGGCGGCAATATCTTATCTCACCCAATCAACATCTAGTCAATGTACTCATCTCTCCTGCCTTGGTTCTCTTCGCAATGGCTCTTTACCCGCGTTATACGTGGAGTTAGGTCACCAAGGAAGACCACTCGACGGCTATTAGAGGTCAAGCTTTGTATCTCTATATTTTATGACTGATCGACATGAACACTAGTAAGTCTCGAAGTTTCAGCTGTAGCAATCTCCTCACAAACTGACAGAAATCCCACGACTGCTATCCAGCCTAGCTAGGAATCGTATTAGATCTTCCGTCCTTTCTATAACATATATCGAAACATCGGCGACCGATCCCCCATCTTATCCATCTCAGCCTCGTCATACCCGGACACATCTATCTGATCTCGTTTCCGATTAATCCTTTGATACGACAGACGAAGCATTACCGCGGCGATCATGCCGGCGACGCAAAAGCCCAGCTCCAGGGAATGTCCGAGGATATAGTTCGGTGCGTCTTGGGAGCGGTAGAAATTCGATGCCATCGCTAAATAACTTAGCATCATGGTTTGACCGATAATGAGAATAAGATTCGCAAAGAAAAGGGTGGCTTACCACCAGCCAGGTTACCCAGACCAATCTGAATGGCCATTCCAGAGGCGCGTTTGTAGTCGCCGGCGAGGTTGACGCTGAGCCAGGTGATGTTTCCTGGAAAGGCGGGATAGATCCCTGTCTCTCTGTCAGACTCCTGCGTGCGAAGAATGAAACAAATAGTGTACATACCCACAACCGAGACGAATACACCGAAGTACACCACGCCCGGAACACCTCGTCCGGTCGAGGCAAGCACGATAATGAATCCGGCAGCGATGAGACCCATGAAGAAGAGAACAAATGGTGATCGTTGTTTTCGACGATCCGATAGCCAGGCAGCGATGACGGCGACTACAGCCGCCGTGATGTAGATTGGGACGGTGAGCAATTGGGCAGTCGACGATGTATACCCGAGATCCTTGATGATGGAGGGGAGGAAAAGCGAGATACCGTAGAGAGGACAAGTAATACCCCAGTACACTACTTGGTCAGCATGGGTACAACAATTCGTGGAGGAAGACGTACCAATAATGGACACGTAAATTTGCCAGTCCAGGAGGGCATCCACTACATATTTCATGCGAAATTCGGTAGCTTCCGCCGTTCCTCCCGTGTTTTGCGTACGCAGCATGTGAATCACGAAGTTTCGCTCTTCTTCTGTGAGGAATTTGGCGGTTTCGGGAAAGTCATGGATGGCAAAGGGAGCGATGAATGCGACGATTACAGTCAGCAAACCTTCCAAGATGAAAATCCAGCGCCAGCCGGCGTAGCCCCCAACGCCATCCATTTTCTATTTGATGCGTTACTAAGGCTCTGTCATTGGGGGTGCAACGGTACCTACAGCAATTCCGTACGCTAGGAGTCCTGAGAATGCACCGGCGATACTGGCAGCACTGAAAAATAAGGCCTGTCGGTATTGAGCCCGGTGCCGAGGGTACCACAGGGTGATGTAGTATGCAACTCCGGGATAAAGACCGGCCTCTGGTAAAAGAGATCGTTAGTCCAAGCGAAAACGGCATTCGTTGCAGCACATGGCTCTATAGCTCACCGGCAACACCCAAGAAAATGCGCGTGGACAATAGCCCTGCGTAATTCTGGACAACGCCCATCAACGTCTAGTACAGAGCCCGTCAGCCTCTATACCGCGGTTACAACCAGCATCAATGATGGCATACCATCACAATACCCCACGCGACCATGAGTAACGGTAACCACCTGGACGGTCTCATCTTCTTCAGCAACAGGTTACTGGGCAGCTCAAAGACACAGTACGTGAAAAAGAACACCGTCACTGTTGAGATCGATAGTGAGTCCCCCATTCTTTATCCGACGCGTAGGGGAAACACATACAGCACAAATTGTATTGCGGCCCCGTCAGATTCAAATCGTCCAGTAATCCCTCGATTTTCGCATTGCCAATATTTCCCCGGTCCAGAAACGCGAGTAGATACAACACAGCCAGCATGGGAATGATACGAAGGTCCATCTTGCGGAGGATTCGATTCTCCATCTCGATACTATACGGGGGCAGTGCCTCATCATGTAGCCTTGTTGCGTCCACCGCTTCCAGGGAGCTTTCGGCTACATCTTCCAAGGCGGAGCTCGACGGTTTCTCCTGATCTAACGCAGATTGAGCATGCATAGTGGGCGGAGATATAAGGAAACCTGTAGAACAGCAGGAACTCAAATTAGGGGAGCAATCTTGGAGGGAACACGAAGGGTCCGAACCTGCTTATAAACACAAAAAGTGTATCCCTCGAGCTACCCCGAGTCCCCAAGCCTTCCCTCGGAACGTGGGGTCGCCCCTCGTGGGCCAAGCCTTGCGTAGTATCGCCCAGCTGCGGCGCTTGTGCCCAGTTCAGCGAGCGAGGTTGTCCCTTGCTTGGTGAGGTATGTCATGTTGCGCGAAGGACTCTGGCATCGGATGTGAATCGAGAGGGTAGCGACGGCCTTGCACATATCATGACTTTGTCCAGATTCTATCCATTCAAATTAACTGCACGGTAACTAAACCTGGGTTGTTGACGACGGGCAATACCCCAACTACCCCGGATTCCCAAGTGGGCTTTCGGCCAGATTCAAGCAAGATCGCCAGGATGAGGTGGCATTGACCAATCTCAGCGCGCCCGAGAGTGCGGGGTTGCCCCCGGCCTAGTACTACTACTAGTAAGTACTAGTAGTAGTCGTCGTAGTCTCGCCTGGTTGTGACCTGAAGTCGAGGTCGGCATTTGTGGCGGACCAGTCTCTCTCACGTGTCTTGCTTGGTCCCTGGCGCGGAAATGGACGGATAATTCCGTAGATTGGTGAGGGTCTTTCTACGTGAATCTGCTTTGGTGCTTCGGCGTGATCACCGATCGTCTGGTCCGGGCGGGAGTTTGTCTTGGCACATGCTTACTTTGGTTGATGCTTTGTTCTACTTTTACACAGTATACTTGTTAATATAATTCCCAAAAAAAAAAAAAAAGTAAAGTAAAGGAAATGACAAGATCCTTTACTTACTCCTTGTTTCTCACACAAAAGCACTTCGTAATTAGTTTTACTTGTCTGTGGGACAATGTTGCTTGTTACCGTGACCTCATCTGTCATTGGAGTTTGGAGAGATATATATAGTTTGCTGCACCGTAGAATCCGAGGTAACTAAAACATGGTGTTGACTGAATAATCACCCCACTCAACAGAGTTTCTCGACAGGGTAGTTCGTAGTGCAATGTTGGCTTGAGAAACTTGAATTCGGCGAATATCAAGAACAAATACTAACAGAAGTAACAGCCCGAACATCTTACGTCCATGGCAGATACTCCAACTGACTGGAGTATACTAAGTAACACTGCCCACCATCGGTACGATATCATCCTTCTATAGTGAAGCCTACTGGCCCTTATGGCATGTGTGGTAAGACCAAACCCAATGATGGGGTTAGATCATCACTCCCGACTACAGCACCGAACAAAGAAGAAGAGGCAAACAACCGAAGGTAAATAGAGTGATATATATGTCAGATAGAAAAACATTAAAATTGATCGTTGGAAAAGAAGGGAGAAAGGGAAGATTCATATTCTACATCCAAGGATCATAGAGTACGGTATTGGGGAATAAGGAATGGTATATCCTGTGATGCACTGAGCGGGTCTACACAGCTACTGACAAGTGCAGCATGCGGAGAATTCTCCCTCGGTCACTGGCACAAATACAATTCACATCTTCCGAGAATAGACAATACCTACCAGTTGGATCGTACTATGGAAAAGTTCTATACTCCTGACTGGATTCCAGAAGGATTCACTTCTCTTTGTATAAAGACAGAACCTACAAGGTGTGTCCGAGAGGTAGGCGAAACCAATGATGAACATGTATTGAGGATATACCACATCAGTACAAGGTTCAAAATTGATGTCCATATCCCTCACAGAGTATGCTTAAACAGTGTTCGTAGAACCGCCTGACGGACAGGATTGTAGTTGCCAATTCCTAGTCTCTGATGGCATACCGCCAGGCAGCAATATCTGTGCGATCGGATGCGCTACATCAACCACTGAGGACCTGACACGCGTGAGAGTTGAAAAGCCTCAACGTTCAATATTTGATCTAGAGTTTCCAAGTTGCTCAGGACGTGTCGGCAAAATGTTCAAGCATCCAAATTAGGGTTGGACGGGAGGCTGACTGGCACATGACGGTCATTAGTATAGAGTATCATAGTTCGGGAACGCCGGCGCGCGACGACACTCAACAGCGGCTGGGACGGGTCTCATATGAGCAATCCAATCTTCCAGAGGATGGCCAAAAGGTTGGAGGATAAAGAGTCGTCTGTAGTTCAGGAAGAGAGCTGTTAGTATTCATATCCTATTTAGGAAGGCTCATGTGACCTACAGTCCACGCTGAAGTTCAATCGGTTGCTAATCTCTCAGTCAAGTTTGGCAGATACTCGATGGCGGATAGTCCTTGTCCTACCGTCTGGCGACCGTCTGGGTGGCGCATTCAGGTGGGGGATCGACGGTTCCTTTCACATCATCCTGTTATTTAAACATTTAGCGGAATAAGCGCACAAATGGGACCTGTAGGGGCATCTGCGAAAGATAGGGATTGATCGAAATGGGTGCCAATGGCAGTGCAACTCTGTGCAGTGGTATCAGATGTCTTCTTTGGAACCAACAAAGACACGAAGCCGACAAAGCCGAGAGTGATTCCATCCGAGTCGCGTTGTTATCTCTGCTTCTCCTCGTAAACCGACAGGAATCCTGTACTGCAAAGGGGCTGTATCCCGTCTAGGGCATTGGCATACACCTGTTGTCCGATTGGCATGCGGCTAACCCAGGCAACACAGTTTTTCATTCTAGAAACATGATGTGGCGCAGGATTGGGTCTCTGCAAGGCTGAAGAAGCGTCAGCTCGGTCATCGAGTATTAGCAGGAAGCGTAGAGAGTGTGCCGCACGACGCAGCCAAGGCATACCAAGGTTGTTGTGGTGACACTGTGAAAGAACACGGAAGGGCAGCGGGAGGGCGCAAGGTCACATCCGTCTGGTCGAGTCCATCTGCCACGGGCATCTCGTGGCTCACAGCTTGACGAATGACATGGTCGTCGTAGCGATCCCACCACCAACCACGCTACTGCGCGTCTTGTGGCAAATCCAAGCCGGCACGTACCAGTCGTCGGGCGCTGCGAAGATGGAGCGGACAGGCTAGAAGAAATCCAGATGCAGGTCCGAAGGGTGGTGGAAGCGACGATGGGGGCGGACAAATGAAGTGGATCCAATTGATGCACCTGTTATAATGATATACATGATAGGTGGAACTGATAGTCGGTGGCCCGATCCTTTATTACTCAACGGATGCTGGAGGAACTGGTTCATGACACAGGGGGCACGTGCCGTGGTTGGGACGTGAGCGAGCAGCAGGGAAAGTCCCAGGCACGTGGGGGGAGGTAAATTGTATGACCCTGGTGCATGGCAGACAGTCTCGTTCAGTTTCTACTACTAGTAATATGCTCGGATAATGGTAAGAGAAAAGCACAGAAAAGGACAGAACAGACCATTGGGCACAAGATAGTAAGTAGTCATTACAATTAGCATCCCCAGAACGCAGTCTCTAGTGATCTTGATATTAATTAAATACCTCGTAGGATATGCCTTGTCCGGAGGAGTCCATACTATGATCACGGTCGAGGCACGTGCCTGGTCCAGATGGAACCAGGGAATGCAAAAGGTTGACAACCGGATGCGGTCCTGGAAGGTTCCCTGATCTACTACTACAACGTACTACTTGTTTAGTAGAAGATGAATGGAACGAGGGACTGCCGAGCCTGCAGCCAATGGTAAGAGAAGGCTTAATTAAATCACGCATGGGAGGGAGTCTTGGCCACACCCGCGCAGGGACCAAGCGGGGAGTCCAGAGGGAGCTCGTGGTAGATGTGGACCCGCTGATTGGGTCAGGCCGGCTCCCATGCCAAGCCCTGTCCCGGAGGAAGATATCAGCCATATCGCAACCGCCAGCCGTATAAAGATAGCCATGGACCTCTGCCAAGGGTGCCAAGTACGCCGGTCATGGATGAAGCTCTGGTCAATTCCAAGCCACGGGCGTAACCGCACGGTGAGACCGCGGCTGCGAATCAGACTCCGCGAGCGACGAACGTGCTCCAGCTGGAGACCGCCGTCTAGATGCAATCCCACCGTCATGCGGTGGGAAAAGGCACCCCTCGTATTGCCTCATGGACGCTGCGACCGGGTGAGACACGATGTCGGTCCCAGACTGGAACTGTATGCATGTATGTATGGATGGATGTATGTGAGGATTACTCCTAGCAGCAGGACTACCACTAGTGTAGGGAGGGAGGACGTAAATTAGTGACCCCTGTTCTAGGGCCCGAGTCGGAGAATTTCTTGCGCCTGTTCCTCGCAGGGTGCACTTCCGTGTAGACATCCCCTTCCGTCTCTGTTCGTTTCATTTCCCTTATCTGCGGCATTGGATGGAATTTGATTTTCGTTGACTGTCGTCTAGGGTTGCATGTCAAAAGTCAGGGGCCACGTGGGTGCCGAGCACGCTTTCCACTGCCTAGAATTCTTGGATGCTGACAAGAAATACCCATCGTATCTGAAACTTTCCACCGTCGGGGCTTGACCGTACAGCTAAGTGGACTAGCGTCTTGACATTGCCACTGGGTCGTGAACGCCTGCGTCGGACACCGTCCCACTTTTCATATACAATCCGCGACGGACGGCCACCTACATAAAACCTTGCCTCCTGTCATCTTGGTCCTTCTTCTTTCTCTTTTCCTTCCCTACGCACATCTCATCCTCTTCCCTTCGACGAGCATCAGTTAACCGGGTTAACTTTCTCTGTCAAGATGGCGGTGCTCGACCAGTATACCTATGTGTTTGCCATCGGCACCATCTTTGCCATGTTGGACGCGTACAACAACGGTGCCAGTGAGTGGTCACCTCGTTGACCGATGCGTGGTGGCACAGAAATCACTAACCATTCCAATCAGACGATGTCGCAAACTCCTGGGCGACCAGTGTGTCGTCGCGTTCGATTTCCTACCGACAGGCCATGATCCTCGGTACCATCTTCGAGCTCCTCGGAGCCATCTGCGTGGGTGCCCGTACCGCCGATACCATCAAGAACGGAATCATCCCGGTGTCAGCCTTCAGGGGTGACGCGAGCGTCCAATTACTGGCGTTCGCTTGTGCTCTCGCGGCTGCGTCCTCCTGGGTCATGTGGTGTACCCGACACTCCACGCACGTCTCCTCCACCTACTCTCTCGTCTCCGCCGTCGCTGGTGTCGGTGTTGCCACTGCCGGGGCATCCAAGGTGCAATGGGGCTGGAATGGTGGAAAGGGTCTCGGGGCCATCTTTGCCGGTCTAGGAATGGCCCCCGCCATCTCCGCTGCGTTCGGTGCCATCATCTTCATGTTGATCAAGCTCATCGTCCACATGCGGAAGAACCCTGTCCCCTGGGCCGTTTATTCGTCTCCTTTCTGGTTCCTCGTGGCGGCAACCATCTGTACCCTGTCCATTGTCTACAAGGGTTCCCCCAGCCTGGGTCTGAGTAAGAAGCCCGGCTGGTATATTGCCGCCGTGACCATGGGCTGTGGTGGCGGTGTTGCTCTCCTATCCGCCATCTTTTTCGTGCCCTTTGTGCATGCCCGAGTCATCAAGAAAGACCAGGATGTGAAGTGGTGGATGTTCATCCTGGGCCCCCTCCTCCTCACACGCCAGTCCCCGAATGTGGGCGAACAAGCCAAGGTTCCCGACTACGCCGTCGTCCAGGATGAGCATGAGCATGACGACATGGCCTCCGTGCCGTCGACGGCCGGTTCCACGACGGAGGAGACCGGGAAGGACCAAACCCATACGAAGGAAAAGGCGCTCGTCATGGCCGAAACCCAGGCCACGTACCAGGATCTCGTCGCTCAGGGCGAGGCCCGGTTCCATGCAAGACTCATGAAGAAGCGTGGCCCTCTAGGATGGGCGATGCGCACCTTGCGGGACAACCCCATGGGTGCCGGTGAGATCTACGAATGGCGAAACATGGTGCGACTGGCCAAGCGCGTCCCCGCCATGATCACGGTGGGTCTTCTCTACGGTATGAATTACGACATCCACGCCGCGCAATCTGGTATCCATGGCACCCCGGAGGGTGAGCGCATGGCCCGCGTCTACGCACACGCCCCGAAGTACCCGAATGAAGTGGAACACACCTACTCGTTCGTGCAGGTTCTTACCGCCTGCACGGCCTCCTTCGCTCACGGTGCCAACGACATTGGAAACTCTGTGGGTCCATGGGCGGTGATGTACTCCGCCTGGCAGACTGGCGATGCTCAGCAGTCCAAGGCTCCTGTTCCAGTGTGGCAGCTCGCTGTTCTTGCCCTCACTATCTCTGCCGGTCTCATCACCTATGGATACAACATCATGAAGGGTAAGCGATCTCGGTCCGAGAAATCTGTTGAGATTACTGAGCTAATTATGATTTCTGCACAGTCATGGGTAATAAGATCACTTACCATTCGCCGAGTCGTGGCTGCTCCATGGAGATGGGTGCCGCCTTGACCGTCCTCATCTTCTCGCAGTATTCCCTCCCGGTGTCGACCTCCATGTGTATCACTGGTGCTACCGTGGGTGTGGGTCTCTGCAACGGTACCTGGAGAGCCGTGAACTGGCAACGAGTTCTCCTGCTCATGATTGGATGGGTTATGACTATTCCTATTGCTGGCACTCTGGGTGGAGTTCTCATGGGTCTCTTCCTCAACGCTCCTCACTTTGCTTCCTAATGGTTCCTGTGTTCGAATTCCCCAGCGAAGACTCAGCTCCCTGCATATATTAATTTTCCTTTGTCTTCTCTTCATCAATGTAACTATGGCATGGGATGACTCCCACGCTGAGCAGTGTTTACTATCCAAGAGCTTAATCAATATACCCACACGCTTTTCTCTCGGTTGAAATTTGGCATGTCGATTGTGCAACAACTGTAACCCTACCTTGACGTCAGTCTTGTGCTCTTCCATGACACACTGAGGGAGCACACCCGACACAGGATCATTCATGTAGTACATGCTCGGGCGTGGTGGGTCACACTCGGTACTGGGACTCTCTGTCTGACGTTGAATCGTGGTCCTACACGCCAACTGCGCCGGGTGTGACCGTCGTCTAGGCAATACGGTCCTCCCTACCTCGTCTATACTCATGATATCTCCCATTGTGCCCGCAGCGAGAATGGTCATCGCCTTTTGTCTATAGCTGCCGCGACACTGAGATACCGATCCCTAAGTTTGTTCCACCTCTACGCAAACCTATTTGCAATATAACCCCGAGCTGTGAGGTTGGCCACTAGTTGGGAGCAACGCATGACAAATGCAATATTCTGCTCTCTCTCTCTCTGCAACAAGAACCTTGGCTTTTTATTTTGCCGTCCATGTTCACAGAAAAGTGAAATATGACTTGAGAGAACTCCTTGGATTAAGGAATAAGGTCAACAAGCCACAGGACAGAGGTTATAGGTTTGTGTCGTTCGCTGGTGAAGGGCGGAGTGGGTAATAGGCGAAGAATATATAACTGCAGACTTGCGAACGATCATTTACCACTTGAGGCGCTGATCTATAGTCTCTTCAGTTCTGGTTCCCTGGCTAACATAGTACAGTTGGCTGTATGCCTTGTGAAGCTTGGAAAAAGCATGGCATTGACTGTGGACTGGGTGTTGAAGACCACAAAAAGCGACCGCGCGGCACGTGCCAAAGAGTCGGCGGGCGGTTAGGGCTGACAACCACGCGAAGTGGGAACTTCCATCCAGACTACCCACCAAGGGCATTCTCCTTATTGGCGACTTTTTCACCTTCCCCTCGTGTCAAGTCGGGGGTTGGCGAGGACCCCTCGGAGTTCCACAAACTCTATTACACATGGCTTTGGGCTAGACCTGACCATTCGACACAAGCACGTCTCCGTGACTCGGTTGCAGTCGGGATTCGACAGATGGAGTCTCCTTCCCAATACGCATAACAGACGAACACTGGACCCTGGCTAGAAAGGAAATCCAACTTCTTCTGTAATTTTTGGTACAAATTCCATCATCAAAAAGTGGCCAAGGGATCACCCCAGTTAGCCAAGTTAGGCAGGCCATACCGAGCCAAGACTCGGAGGGATTCCGGCGAAACAGTCGGCTTTGAATTTTCTACGGCGACAGATGCTGCACCATGGCGTGATTCCAGGTCGAGTAAGCAAACCGCAGGCAGAGATCCTCGACTCTGTGAAGAAGTGTTGATTGGTCCGGCCCTATACAGAGCACCAATATATGTCAATTTCACCTCCGACGGTGTCCTTTATCCACAATAAGGTCATGGGTATTTGATGATGGCAGAGGCGGGTCATCGCCAGGCCAGAACACCATCAGTAAAGATCTCTACCTACCCTGGCGTAGGCGCTGCTATGTATAGAATTGCGCAAATAAAGTTGGATAAACTCGTGGCGGAGGGAAAGTGTAAGTCAATCACCGAGGGAATTTTGGCTCGATTCGGCTAGACTGGGATCTAATCAGATGAACCAAATTCTCTCCATAGACCAACTGGATCTCATTAAGTAATTGAGTTGCTAAAAGCCCTCTCGTCTCCATATTTCCAACCGGGCCAAATTTTTCCGACTCCAGATGCCCACGATGACGGGTATCGAGGCATTTCCGCCTTTTTCCCCAGAAGCAATCTTGCAATCAAAATGGCACCGACTACTACAACAACGATGACGGCGCAGATTGAGTCACCACCTGTGGCATCTTCGGCACCGTCAGTATCTTCGGTGGATCGAGAAGCAATCAAGAAAACTCGTCTGCAGCAGGTGATAGTCATAGTTCAGCTCGTCGGAGTGACTCTCACGGCAAGTCTGATCAATGGCTTGGTGACCATCGCACTGCCAACCATCACAAAAGACCTCGAACTGCCATCTTCTTTAGCTTTCTGGCCCTCATCTGTGAGCAGTCTTGCTACTGCGTCTACACTTCTTCTCGCTGGTTCTCTTGCGGATACTATTGGCCCGCGATGGGTTGAACTGGTCGGATGTTTCTCCAGCGGAGCCTTGATGATCGGGCAAGGGCTAGCTCGGAATGGAGAAGGATTAGTAGTAATGAGGGCCCTGCAAGGGGTCGGCCTGGCCTTCCATTTGGCCTCTTCGATCTCTATCATCACCCAGATGCTGCCCCAAGGCAGAGGTCGTAATTTTGCGTTCTCATGCATCGGTCTCAGCCAACCCCTCGGCTTCTCGCTCGGACTAGTCGTCGGTGGCGTTTTAGTCGATACGATTGGCTGGCGAGCAGGATGGTACATCGCCGGAGGAATCACTCTCTTTTTTGCATGCATTGCGGTGTGGACCCTGCCCAAGAACAAAATGGCTCAAGACGAAAGCCTCCTCCACAATGTCCGGACGAAGATTGACTGGCTCGGCGCCTTTCTGGCCTCCGCATTCATGGCCCTACTTTGTTACCTGCTAGCGTAAGTACTGCCCCCATTAAGAACATTGAACTGAGATTAATGAGACAACAGTATCATCAGCGCGGACCCCTCCCGCATTAAATCCGTGGACAGTATCGTCATCCTCTGTCTGGCAGCAATCGCCCTCCCGCTGTTCATCATCTCCTCCCACCACCGCGTCAAGCGGAACAAAGTAGCCCTAATCCCGAATTCCCTGTGGAGAAATACCTCTTTCTCTAGCGTCTGCGCCACTGTGGCCCTCTCTAATGCCGTCCTCAACTCCATGGAACTCTTCGCTAGTCTATTGTAAGCCGACCCACAAAATCCCCCACCACAACTCCCCACTAACCTAACAACCGCTAGCTTCCAAGAAGTCCAATACCTGTCAGCCCTACAAGCGTCCATCCGCATCCTCCCCAGTCTAATAGTGGGCGCCCTCCTAAACCTCATCATCGGCCTCTTCGTCCATAAAATCCGCGCTGTCTGGATTGTAACCATCACCTCGCTCCTCTGCGCCGGCTCCCCGCTCCTGATGGCCGTCATCCAACCCTCCTGGCCGTACTGGGGTAACGCCTTCTTCGCGCAGATCCTGCAACCCGTCAGCTTCGACGCGCTCTTTACCGTCGGTCTGATCGTTATCACGGATGTGTTTCCAGACGACACGCAGGCTCTGGCTGGCGCGGTGTTCAACACCTCGGCGCAGTTCGGCAGCGCCCTGGGACTTGCGGTGTTGCAGGTTATTTCAACGGTTGTGACGGATCAGTCGGGAGCTGCCAAGGAGAAGTATGCGTTGATGGATGGGTATCGGGCGAGCTTTTGGGCGATGTTTGGGTCGATGATTGTTTGTACGTTGGTTGGGTTCCTGGGGCTTAGGAAGGCGGGGAGGGTTGGGCTGAAGCAGGATTGAGGTGGTGGATTGCTCCGGTGGGTTTCGAGGTGGATGTTGTTTGTTCATACAGTATCCTATATAGACAGCATAGCTTTTTTAGTGCTTGGTGTGGGTTAGGGGTGGATGCAAGTTGGTGTTAGACAAATATTCACCTACATAGCTAGACATTCAGTATTTAGGCTCTACCACGCTATCAGAATCTTGAACCCATAATGGGCCCTCCCGAAGTCTGGTGACCAGGCATATATATGTGAAAACTAGAGCAACCATTTCTCAACCACGAAACCAAAAATGGAGATATACAGCAGATGGAACATAATACACCCATTAATGGGCAGGATCAGCATTGTAGCTATGCATAAATAGTTCAACATGCAGGACAGGGCTCCGTGAAATAGGAGAATAAGTTCCCACTACATATTTAGAAGAAGCTCGTCTGTGGCCCCTAATAGACTGCCAATAGTCAGAAGAATCTGACATGGTAAGTCTATATTGTTACAGACAGTGTACCATGATTTCTCATATTTCATACTCTTTACACACGAGAGGAGCATGCTATTATTGTTGTGTTTTTGAGGCTAAATAGAAGCAAGATTCACTAGGATTGCTAAGATGGACACATAAGAGCAGCACATTTGGGTAAGCAAGCCGAATATTAATGTTTAAATAGCCACAGTAGCAAGGTAGCTCGGGCTGCCTGATAGAAGGCAGAACAGATCATTCAAGGTAGGGAGGCGGATCAATGGGAGACTCCTGGGCATCGTCGGTAATGTCCGCAATCCGTATATGCAAGTTTCCTGAGACAACAACGAAGGCGTCCTGAACCGGGCCTTCAGGCCAGTTCATTATCTCCCCTGAATCTAGAGTTAGGCTGTATTGGGGACGGAATTGAACTTTGAAAGTGCCTTTGGAGTACACCACGGTCCTACGGTACTTTCGACCGGCTGGAACTTCGTAGGACCGCGACAATTCGGTACTGGTTTTCATCGTGTAAGAGGTGGAGTCGCTGATATCTTCGGTGTCTATGCAGCCGGTGCTGTTTTTGGGGCTGATTCCAAAAGCCTTGCCCAACACAACTGTTGGGACGCTTAATTTCTCGATGAATGTTTTGGGTGTAGTAACCTTGTTGGTTAATTCAACTGCTTTACTCCACAGAACCTCTAAGGGGGCCTCACGGTCGTTCTCGTCCGTGGTGGTCTCGACCAACACGGATTGAATCTCCACGTTGGGTACAGTAACATAGTTCATTTTGATAACGGCGAGCTCTATGTCCTGCAAGAAAAAGACACCACCCACGTTAAGCAGAGATTTCTTTCTGTTCAGATGAGCCCCGAAACCCATGCAAAACCTGCTGTAGAGATGCGGGAGCTCATAGGCATGCGCATCTCCCCATGTGTAACCAACCTTGACCCCCCGGCCCAAGTTGGTGGTCCCCTTCCAGCCACTGAAGCACTGATCCTTTCCTTCCATGGTCCAATACTGTGTCACCGACTGGAAAAACTCACCGTACCTGAGTTGAACAATCTTGACGGTAGCACCACGTGTATATCCGTAGGTTTCCGACTCCTGCCCATTGACCCACTTCACTTTGAATGCTGTTATAATCTTCCTGCCGGAGCCTCTCTCCCAAAAGCTAAGCTTGCTGGCAGGAGCATCCCCTCTACATGCACTGACATATTCGCCTTCTGATTTACCTCCTGTGGTGTACCACCAGCAAGGTACCGGCATTGTGAAACTGAAGGATGAATCCTGATAATATCAGAAGCTACCACTCGTAGGTTAAGGACCCTGAAAGGGACTAGAGTGCTTAGGGGTGGAGCGTGATTGAGCTGGATGATCCACACGTATATAGATTGACTCAGGTGAAGTTGGCTTCTTGTCGTCTACCTATCAAAGGTGGGAAGAGAAGTAAGAAGGTGCCTCTGGCCTGTTTTTGATGGTCAGTGTTGTTTATCAGTTTCCGGTTGCTTTGCGCTGTTCTCCTACCTTTTCGTTTTCAGCAGAGGTTTCATACATTTACAAGTCGAGAGGTAAAGTAATGAAACTCGACCCTGTCAGGCAGAAGAGGAATAAGCAATACATACGTCAGGGGCTGTGAGTCACACATAGGTTCAGTCATGCAAATCGCCAAACAAGGCTATGGGACTGACTACATTATTACAGGCACATCTCAAGTCTACATTGCAAGAAAATGCTATATTCACAGACATGGTTGATAGCCAGTTTAGTCACTTGAGGACCAGACAAACAAAATCACTGACATGTAAACCCTTCATGACTGCTCTCGTACAATTGTAGTAGACCACGATATACCTATTTAGACCGTCTATATTGCATCAGGGAAGGCTTGTTACCAATGATATATCGTGTTAGCCCACAGTTCCCAGAGTGTAGGAAACTATGTTAGATTCATCAAATAGTAGAAGGGAAATGAATGAGCCAACTTTTAATCGAAGAGGACTACATGTTAAGATGGGAAGAGTAATTTTACATCGAGCCGCAAGTGGAAGACCTACCAGGGAACCGCGGACTAACAAGCCTCATGAGCCGACAGATCTTGTCACCGCAAAACTTATACTGTCACACAGTTCCGTCATCCTTATCGTATGATGATGATTGGACTGGTAGTGAGATCACTTAAGAGGCTCTGCCTGCGCCACATCACACATATCCTTCTCAATCCAGTGACTATCAACCTCATCCAAACAATCACAAACTGCAATAGATGGCTCCATTTGGATCACTACAACCCACCCCAGGTCGCAATCTTGGGCTCTGCGCTATATGCGGAGAATGGATTGGGCCAAGTTCGGGGGAGGTAGACTGGCTGACAAGTGCAGAGAGCATATTTAGAGAATCTGTCGAGTGGAGAGCATGTCTCAAGAAACAAGGCTACCTGAGCGGCCAAACCTCTGATTTGCAGAATGTGCATTTCCGTAACCCTTGGCTGTGGACATGGTTTTATCGGGCGAGTGTGTTTGGCAATCCCTTGTTATATGATCCATCGCATCTGACCTGAACTAGTTATCTATGAGGCATCGACGAATAGAATCTATCTCAGTGGGGTTGGCATGGTTAGTGATTATCACAATGGCCTAATACAGGTACCGGAGGCCAGCGACCAGTTTTATATCTGCCTCCCTTTGAGGCAGAGAATGGGTATAAAGCTCACAGAGGCGTACCTATTAGAAAGGCCACACAAGATGGACCGTGGAACGGGAGCCTATGGATATGCTATTCATGAGGGGTGTTGGGTGTTGACGACGCGTCTTCTGGATGCAAACCTGATCAAGGCTCATCTGAAGGACTTCACGCATGCTCTGCCATGGGCATTACGGACTAAGGGCCGTTGGGCAAAGTTTATTCCCAACACAGCAGAAACCAGTAATTTCGCAGGCTCTGAGATTTGGGTGAGAGGATTCCGTCAACGCTCTAAATTTACCATCCCCCTGACAGATCCTCTGAGCCTTCCTGATCTTCGAGACTTTCTTGCGCAAGAACAAGAACTACATCGCCAGCTGAGGAACAAAGAGCGGTCAGATGATGGCTTCGATCGGTTATACGTATCCCCAGGTATGCCATTTAGCCGAGGATCTAGGCAATCGTTGTTCACATATAGCATGCGCTTGCGATCTGGGATTAAATCGAGGACGGCCCGTCCTCTTCCGCCAGAGCTTATTATGCAGATTATGGACTACCTTCCCGAATGCAGTGAGATCCAACAGTTGATGCTGATGTTTCCCTCTTGGGCCCCTAAAGTCCCCGGTTTCTATTGGCGTACAAGATTCAGGAAGGAGCTCCTGTTGGAAAAGGATGAACTGCCGGACCTCGATGCGCTCGACTGGCAATGTGCCTACTATGGTCTTGACCAGCTATACCTGACATCTCAAGGGCTACGCAGTCGGCGACGGATTATTGTAGAGATAAAGTCTATCAAGGAGGGTTTCCTGACGTGTTTGAGTTATAAATGAAGGGGAAGGGTGGTAAGGTAACGCTCAACTTCAAATTCATTCAGTCAACTCTTTTCTGGCTGTCGGGTATACTCTAACCTGGATGCCCCTCCGGGCCCTTCCTTTGTTTCGTCTCCCATTCATCTGCGGCCTGTTTGCTGTGCCTTTATTCATGATCATAATGTATTTCCTTCTCATTTTTCTTCGTGTATTGCTCATTCCAGCGCTCCAGCAGGGGAAACTACCTTGAATGTTGAGACAACACCGTGACTGAATTGGCATCCAGGCTATGTTTCTAGGGGTTGAATATTACCAATTAATTAGAGGCGAATCTCGAATTAGGAGCCGCATGGCCATAATTGTCTCTCCCAGTAGGAACCAGCAGTCCATCCAACACTACCGGCAGGCCTCAATTATGAGTCTATAATACTATTATCGAGATAGGATGTTCCTCCCACGGCAGGCGCTTGGGCCGTTCGGGGGCTGGAGACCAATACAGCCCAGGACTTTATCAGTAGCCTCAACAAAGAACAACAAGTGGGTAGTGAACCAAGACGTTTATGCACGGTTGATTGGAGGGAAAGATGCGCTATCGGACTTAGCCCATGGAGCGATCCACCTACAATTATGTGAACCCCTGTATCGCGGCGCAATGGCCCAGGATACGTTGGCTTATCCCTGTTCATATGTAACTTAGGGCAAGGCTCTATCAGCTAACCTTTTGACACCCAGTGGCTATGTGTTAACAAAGAACGGCTACTTCATCCCTGCAAGGCCGCAGTTTGCAAGCGCACTTTCTTGGCCCCCACGCATACCTACGACTCTTGGTGCCAATATAAATACCTCGCCATGTTTCTTTCGTCCGGTAGTAGCCTCTCGAACCTTACAGCCATACTCGCCCCCGCCAAGCCCTAACCTTCCCGCATTGATATTTCTCATAGCCATTAGGATGAAGCCTGCAATTATTGTCTGTCATGGCTCCTATCATAGCCCTGCTCCGTATGAGCCCTTCATGGAGCAATTGCAGGCCCAAGGATTTGAAGCCTACTGTCCTCACCGGCCAACGTGTGATCTCAGCAGGCTCAACGTCGGGGATGTAAATCATCCGGATTTCGACCTCGGGCCTCCAGCCGAGGGCTATCCTACTGACACAGACGATGTCAGTATTGTGGTCGAACTTCTAGACAAGCTAGTTAACCAAGACGGGAAACTCGTCCTGTTGGTGGCACATTCATCCGGTGGCTGGGTTGCGACCCAGGCCGCCATACCAGAATTGCAAGCCACATATCGTCAGACCGAGGGCAAAAAGGGAGGCCTGATCGGCATATTCTACATGGGGGCTTTCGTTGTCCCTGTCGGCGAGTCCATTCATAGTTTTTTCCAACCGAAAGACGGCACGGTCTTCACTCCACCGTTTATGAAATTCCACGTATGTGTCAGATGAGGACAAAAGATTGATCAGAAGCTAAACACACCTAGAAACACGGCGTCAAGGGTCTCGGAACTCCGGTCGAAGCCCCTCGCTTTTTTTTCAATGGTCTTGACGCGGAGTCTGCGGCAAAATGGACAGCTACTCTCACTGCGTCCCCCGTCAATACTGACAGGCTTAAAAACGATGCGTACTCAGCCCTGCCATGTGCATACCTGGTGCTGGAGGATGACTTGACTCTGCCCAAGGAGTATCAGGAGGGAATGATCGCGCTTCAAACCCAGGCAGGCAACCAGTTTACTGTTTATCGAGCGCCTTCCGGACACTCGCCTCATCTCACATGGATGGAGGGTCTCGTTGCTAAGGTGGCGGATTTTACAAATGAAACTCTTGCATAAATTGGTTTCCTAGCTTATCCTTATGCTTAAGTGCTGTGCCATGTCAGCTTCTTCGAGCATATTAAACAGTCTTCAAGCAAGACGGTGGCCGAAAGAATGAAGTTCCAATCCGAGCAGGGTGGAGACTTACAAAAATATATTAGTGAAACACTTGGTGGACACAGTGCACTGGTGGGAGACATGTTCATAGTATTTTTTCGAGAAGCCCAGCCGGCAAACACCGATAAGCCTTTTCAGAACGACAGACGTACATCTCAATTCCAAAGGTCGATACACTAATTCACACAATGGCCCATGACATGTAACTCGGCATTTCTGCAGTGATATAATTTATATTTCCTCAATCATGTACACTGGTTCTGCACCCAAATAAAAGCAGTCTACCCCTTGTCGTTGTCAATGCCTCAGGACCGGCGCCTTTCAATCAGCAGACAGCCCATCCTTTACTCCTGCTACAAGCTTTCGAGTTCCAGGAAGGTCCTTTTCAAGAGCAGCAAGCACGCCAGCCCACACTCGCTCCGATCGCACAATAGCATTCGGGTCCGAACACCACTTCGCAGGCCTGTTGTGCACTCCAGTTAGCGGTCTAGCCCCTCAGAAACTATGCCTCGCACCTAATACATACTTATTGATTGAGTCCCATTGCCAAAACTGCCCGTGGCCTTGCTCGCCAAGCATAAGACCACTAAGATATGTCCTTGCGCCCTGCTCAGCTGTTTTCGACATCAGGTTCAGAGTGTTGACCGCGAGACGGACTCCGAGCGATTTATCTTGAAAGTCCCTTGCCAGTGCAGACTGAGTCGGGCCTGGGCCAACAACAACGACGTATACTCGAGGTGACCCAGCATCATCATTCACAAGTTTCACAAGGTGCCACTGTACATACATGAGAAAGAGCTTTGTTAGTGAGTATTGCTGAATAAACCCAAAGGCCTGGAATGAGGCTTCTGAGTTGTAAACCTCTAGGATATCTTGCTCCGGGTTATCAGTGTCCGGCAGCAGTTGTGGAATTCGCTGGTGAGTGCCGGACCCCACTAATTCAAGCACCGGGGTGAAGTCGTCCTTCTTGCTCGACAATAGCTTGGGTAGCAGGAGTAAGGCTAAAAGTGTCGTTGAGACCAGATTAACCTGCAAAGCGATTCGAATCCATAGGCTGATTCCTTGTAGGCATGGGGGCTAATGCCGGCATTAAGGACAACATAGTCTAGGAGATCCACCTCCCAATTGACGCGCGACGCAAAAGCCTCAATAGAAGCGTAGTCCAGCATATCTAGATAGTAGACGTCGATGGTGACATTATTCGGGTGTGTTTGGGCTAGGATCGCTCTTTTGGCTTCCTCGCCCTTCTCGACCGACCGTACACCGATGATGATTCTTTTGGCGGAGCATGAACAAATTTGATCACTGATTCATACCCCAGGCCAGAGTTCTAGATAAAGACTATTTGTTAGTTCCCTATTTGCGTTAGGTGGCTCTGTAGGGAAGCATACTGCGCCAGTAATGAGTAGAGTCCGCCCAGTCAGATCGGGTTTCGTGTCGCGGGGCGGCCACACTTTGCTTCCTAGCATCTGATAGAGAAATGCCATGATGTCCTGAGTGATGATATGGATTGAAACTTGGGAAAAGAGAATCTGTTTAAAGGAGTTGCAGATACTTAAGGGTTGGTGTCGGCACTTAGCGTCCAGCGCTTCCGAGTCGGCTTTCAAGTCCGAAATCCGAGTGCAGAGTCGACGAATAAATTTTATGACGTCCACTATCTGGATCTAGTTCTCTGCTGTGTTACTAGTGGTAGAAGGATGGCCTTGATATAAAATAACAAAGATGACTAGGTTAGGGCAATTTTGGCCTTAACTAATAACCACAGGCAACATTATACCACGATGAAATGAACTAGGCACTTCCTATCTGCTCTATACTGGCTGACTGTGATATGTATGTACATAGCACAGCCGATTCCTGACGATCGCTAGAATATTCCACATATACATTTCCTCAGCATCTGTATACTTTCCATCGTGGCGATAAGACCTCCACAGGACATTCTTGATATAGGGCACTTTCCACCTGCTTAACCTACACAACAGTGCCATTATTCTCCGTGAGAGGGTAATCTAGGGCATTGTGTCATTATATGTATACTGCAATAGGTTAAACGGGTGTCCTGATCACTACTTGGTCGTCATTGTGAAAGGGCATGTAACAATCCGAGTTGGTCGGGGAATTTGGATTTGAATCCCGTCCGAATCCCGCCCCTCCCCGAAGGGCACATGAGAGTAGGTACGAGATCTGAATATGAAGGTTTTCACAAAAGCTTGCTGGTTAATTAACACTTGATCTTTTTTTCTCGACATTTCTATATAATTTAAAAATCCTGTTATCTGTATTTGGCATTCGCGACGCCATCCCCGACTCATCAGTGCGTACCACCTGGTGCACCTCCTCAGACCAAGTGGGGCATGCTTTGGGTGGTCGTTTCACAAAGGAATGGAACTGCTGGGGGATGATGTGTCTGCTATAGTGTTGTTTCAGGTAGGACATGGTGTATATAGCTCGTAGGAAAGAAAAGCCCAGGGGCTCCAGCGCTGGTGGAGACTATCCTTTGTCCCATAACACTTTTCCTTTGTAACCCTACCAAAGCCCTCGCTAAACCTGCAGTGCTAGACTTGGTGGAAAAGAAAACGTGTGAGTGGACTGTTGCATTCAGAATTCCATCCTACCATACGTATCTGGAGGTAATGATAAAAATAACAAAGCTCCCTGGGTCTGCCTGTCGTTGTACCTTCCGCGATGCAATGGTGCACTGTAGCAACCGAAGAATTGAACTTATATCATATAGTTTCCGCGCAGGCCTCGCCCAAACCATATCAAACTATGTGCCCCACGCAGTCTTTAGTTTGTCATGAGAAAGGTCCAGGCGTACCCACTCATACCTAATAGCATAGCGCGGCAAACATTTCTTACTTTGACTATCAAGGTATTCATATTGCAACGCCAATTTGACCGTGAACGATAAATGCATGTTTCATAGTGCCTTGCAAGATTGCATCTTTCTATCCGAGTCATCATCTATCAGAGCTCAGGCAAAGCATCTCTATGACTTTTTGCCTCGGATGCATTCACATTATATCGAGGCTTCGTTCGACGTGGTGTACTTCCTGCATGGCTCGTCATGCTTCCATCTAGTATTGGCTATGATTCTGGTACCCCAGGGCCTTCACTCCCCTGGTGTACGTCTATCTACATCATTCCCGTGGATGTCGGGAAAGGAGTATGGATCCGTTAAAGCTCACTTGTTACGAGGCTCCCCTAGAACAGGTCCCTTCTCTTCGGTTTTAACAAAGAGTTGCTGATGGGCACGGGTCAGCCAGCCAAATTTTGGGAGGCATGTAAGATGTCGAGACAGGACCTATATATGTAGAAGCGTGTATCAGGAGCCATCAGCTACCTACTCGTCGCCCTCATATAGCCTGCGTTGCCCAGATCCCACTGCCAGGGAAGACTATGTCATCTTGCTTCCTTGAATGTTGTGGCTATCTGAGTGCTTCCCATCCCACCTGACCGCATTATAGAAAATGAAGATCGTGTGTACACGTCTTGCGTGCATTAGCTAAGAAACCTGTGGGGTGTATCGAGTCCCAATCAATCCCACTCGACGAAATTACCATCGGGTAATAACCTCATGTCTTTGACGCTCTACCTGATATTATGGAATCACTGCGGGCCCTCCACGTACGTATTTACAGCTCTCTAAAGAGCCAATCTATCGGCCGGCAATTCCTCGTGCTCTCACTAGAGGCGGGGTGCGCTGGCGGTTTATAAATAGCGGGACTTCCACGTCCCTCTTCCTATCCCCAATCTTCCCCTCCTACACAACCCACTTCAACCATACGATTACATACAATGACTGACACCTTTGACCATCCTTTTTTTATATGCATTGGGGAGGCCTTTATAAGCCAGGCTGATGATTCCAACACGGAAGATCGTGTCCAGGCTATCTTTGGAAGTCGCGATGCTGCCGCCATCTTCAACTTAGCTGATGGAGTGCTGAGTTCGGGAGGCTGGATTCTAGGCCGTGACATGATAGAAGATCAAAGCCTCGGAGCTAAGCCCGTATATTGGTTCCGCGGGGAAGGGCGCTCTCAGGGGAATACTGTGGAACGATTGCGTACGGAGGACGGCTACGTTGTTTTAAGTTCGTGTAAGTACCACTCCTTGACACTAGGAGGATACTCGCTGCCGTCAGAAACTAAGAAAATCGTACAGCTTCACCTTTGATTGCAGTCCAGGGTCTAGCTTTTGCTGCTTTGCATCCGGGTAGTTATTCTCATCTGGAAATACAAACGGCTTTCGCGCGCTAATATATAACACTAGGGGACGCTAGACTGGCAGAGGCATTGTTAGCATAAGTGGGGGGTGACTTGGAGGGCAAAACTATGAAATATGACTTCAATTATGACTGGGTTTCTCTGGTTATGCTATTATCCAGTCAATTTATCATCGCTTTGTCCATTCCGGGTGTCGGCCTGGAGGAAGATAAGGGCGCATAGTCAAGAAGCTGTAACAAATCCGAGTACAGAAGAGAGTGGTTAAATCGTTGCGTATGCCGTGATGGCTGCTTCAGGCGTAGGGCCAAGACAGAGGAGTACTCTTGGTAGTAGGTCTCAAGGCTTTCCTAAATTCGTAGCTGTCTGACCTGTTCTGGATCATGCTGATCCTAGATGCAAGTTTTGAGAGCGTCTCTGGCGCGCATTGTGACCTATCCGACGTGGTCGTTTACTTCCATGGATTGGATTTCATTGGCCGATATTGTGTCCCATCCACAGTGGATAAGGCTCCAGGAGGCGGCGGATCTCGGGCAAGAACGCGAATAATGGCATTCTTTCCCTTTAATGGCTCACAGAGTGCTATTCTGTTTCACCCATTCCGCGGCACCGCTGCTTGCCTCTTGTGGGCACTTCTTGTATTGCAGCAGATAGCCCTGAAGTCGCGCCAGGCTGGCCGACTTTTCAGGGATCGACGACGCAAAGGTCGTCGCCAATGCATCTAGACTTGGCGCGGGGTCCTTGGTATCCTTGGACACGTCAGTCGGGACATCACTGTACATATTGACAAACAGCTCCCGCATCTGCTCCACTGAGGGGAGCTGAAAGTCCACGTGCATGTCTACTCTCCCCGGTCTAATAAGCGCGGCGTCGAGACTTTCCGGTGGGTTAGTGGTCATGATCAGGATTCATCCTTCTTGCGCCGACACCCCGTCGATCGCATTGAGCAGCCCCGACAGCGAGATTGTATTGACCGGTGTCTGAGCGCCTGAGGCGGGCGGCGTATATAACTGAGCCTCTGAGAAATCTCCAGGCTGGATTTGTTCACCCCTTAGACTCCTCCGGCCGAGTCCGGCTGCGTCAACGTTTTCCAGGAGGACAATGCACCGGGAGGGGATGTCGGACATGAGTTTCATCAACTTTGATTCGTTCCTCTTTGGGCCCAAAAGGCTCAGCACGTAGACGTTCAGTCCAAACAGGCCGCCGAGGGCGGAAGCCAGACTTGTCTTTCCCATTCCGGGCGCCCCGGAAAACAGATATCCTCGTCGGTAGGGAATTCCATGGTCTGAATACCACCGGCGCGTGCGTGGATGCAAATACTCATTGATGTCGTTGAGTAATTCATCCTTGTTCTTTCTGTCAAAGATGACGGTGGAGATGTTACGAGACGGTTGGGTGCTGTACCTTGACCATCGCCCGGCAGAGTCAGAACTACAGGTTGGCTGGTACACCGTAGTCGTTGTCATCGTTTTGTCCAGATTGTACGATTGTGCTTCCTAAAGCAGACCTTGTAAGGCATTAACGCATGAGCCGACACATTCAAGTTGGATGTAGCAGCGCTCTTTCATCAGCTGCGATATTGATTCTCAGATGCGACGGTATGGCGGAACAAAACCCATTTGCCATTGTAGCGAAAGAGATGCTTGCCCGTATGAGGCTGTAGCTTGATCACCGGTTGCTCCACAAGTTTTCGGTAACTAATAAATTTGCCTTGATTCTCGAACCCCCTACCCTTCATCGACCTAAGCAATGCTTCCTCCTCCACTAAGCTTGGGTCACCGCTTTTGGCCCGCATTGCCCAGAGTCTAGGGCTTGGGAGATGACGGTCTGTTACCCACTGCAAGACGAGTTGATATACGGGGTTATCATGATCAAGACGGACACTGGTGGTGAAACAGTCGACATAGCTTAACATCGATCTGGACAGATAATTCAGGAAGGTTAGTCCCGCCCCAATGGCAAAAGCGAGATTGACTAGCTTCGTTATATCCATCCCAGTTAGACCTAGGAGCTTGTCCAGCCCAAACGGAGCACCACCGGCTAGGCCTCCGGGAACTGCTGGCAAAACCATTTTCGCGTATCTGTGCCCTATCACCATTCACCAGGGACGTGATGGGAACCTGCTATTCAATTTATACCTTGCCTTGCGGCGGGCCTAGTCCCATGCGATGCGTATTCAAGCTCTGTGTACATTACGGCCAGATTACCGACACATCCTACGATCATAGGGGATTTATAGATCATATTAGATACATCGCCCGACGGGTCCATCTCTGCATTTGGGGTGTGCCCGGCAAAGTTTTCTATCCCTTACAGCCGCAAGGCCTGACGGGGTAGTGTTCCTTGCAAAAGGGAACACCACCAGTAGGGGATCTGCAAGTGCTAGTGGTCCGCCGAGCTATTGCTAAGACGAACGATTCTACGGAGTACAATCAAGGATTTTTCCCAGCTATTGTACCTTTCGCACCTCCCGTCTAACAATCATAGGAAAGCTGCTTCGGAATGCCACGTATCTTTCTTGGTGTCCCTTTCGTCAAGCAAAATATGACAAACCCAATACTGGTCCTCTTGATAGCATCGGAACTTCGTCCCTGTCCAATAATATTTGAGATGGGATCAAGCCCCCAGTGTGGAGTAGAATGATCACTGGGACTGCAGCCAGCCTTTCTAAAGTAAAGGATTTTCGAAGCGACTGTATATTGATTCACTGACACAATGCCTTTGTGAAGGCTACCACGGCCTGGGACTATCAGATCGATATCTGGAATGCTCACTGCCGAGCCGCCCATTGTTTTACCGCATGTATCGCAGTACAATATCTGACGGCTCAGGGCGTTCAGTAGTGAATAGCTCTCGCCGATATCATTGCAATGTGCTAAATAAAAACCAGAATGGCACAGCAAGGTATTGCAATGCTGGCGGACAAGATGAGCCACTGGGCTTTTGTCACCCTGTTGCAGGATCTTTCTTCAGATACCCATAATTCACCATGTCCGAGCGCCACCCCCTGAGTTTCTTTGACTGCCCATTCCAGAGGCTCAGCCATCATCATACACGCCAGAACCCTACTGTGGAGGTACCTCTCGTGGCGTGATGTTAGCTGTGTCGGGGCTTTCAAAGGACCTTTGCACAAAACTTGGAGATACCTCCATATGCTCCATTTCTACGATAGTATACCCACAGGTGGGAATCTAATTCGTTTCATAATGAGGATTATGATATTAAAGGGGACAAATAGTATAGCTAGTCTAGCAACTGAGTTAATAGACTCTCATTAACCATTAACATATATGTAGAGCGAACCTAAACTTCCAACACCGTACTTCCGGTAGAAACCCTGTTACCTACTCAAGCCTCAGACCCCGTGCCTTTTCCCTTTTCCTTGCCCTTCCCATAATCCAACTTCTCCCACCTCATCGCCAACCCACACACCAAGCAAAGCGCTCCACCAGCAACAACGAGATAGAACTCCCGAGCAAGCACATTCGCCACAGCCTCAACCCCACGCGCGAGCACCTCTGGATCCCCAGATTCCCACACAGCGGACGACACACCAGCCAAAGCCTCTCGCAGATCCTCTTCGGAGTACCCATTACTCCCAACGGCATCTGTCAAGAGATTGAATCCCACATTCTGGAAGATCGACCCCGCTACAGAAAGAATAATCGTAATACCGCCCATCTGCGACAGGTTGAACAGGACAACACTGTCTACCTTATCGCGCAGGTTTTTATTGATGACATTAGAGACACCAACGCCGTGTTGGTATGAACATCCGAGTCCGACTCCGATAAGAGCTTCTAGACCTAGCACCTGCGATTCTGGAACATTGGGGCTGAGTGTTGCGGCCATTGCTGCGCCTCCGGCGATGGTGACTGTGCCGGCGATGATGTAGATGATGTTGTAGCGGCCGAAGACCGGCAGGAGCGCGCCAACGAGCATGACTACTGCGATGAAGACTAGGACGAAAGGGAGCAGGCGGACAGTCTGTTGTAAAGCACTGTGGCCGCGAGCGAAGGCAAAGAAGAGCGGAGTGTAGTACAGCGTCACGGCGTATGATGCCCCTGCGCATCCGGATGCGATCCACAGCGGCAGTAAATCCAGGCGACTTAGCAAGTGGACGGGAATGGCACGTTCGTCGGGAGTGGTGCCAATGCACCAGTATTGTTGGACGATCCACCCGACCATCACGACGCCGAAGACTACCCACACTGCGATCGATGCAGCAGAGCCCCAGGCCCACACGGGGCCGGAGAACTCCAAGGCCAAGGCAAACAGTACCGGTGCCGCCATGTTCATGCTAATGCCAATAGGGTCGATTCTCGTGAGGCGAGACCATACGGGTATGTCTGGTCCTAGGTATTTGCTAGGCATACAGATAAAGGCCATAACTAGACCAAGGCCAGCCCATGGCAGGTTCATATAAAACGCCCATCGCCAGGTCGTGCTGCTGTTGGTGGCCAGGGCTGACCCGATCGGGCCGCCGATGACCAGGCCTGCAGCCCATAGTGCACCCAGGAGGCCAAAAAGACGAGGTGTCTCAGCCGGAGTGGCGAAGACGGCGACGAAGGTCAGATTGCTGCAATCTGGTCAGGCCATATGGACTTGCGGCAGAGATGAAGTATAACTCACGACTGATAGATGACGGAACCGCCGACACCCATGATGGTCCGCCCAACAATGACAGAGGAGAGATTATGGGCCGCTCCCGCGACCGCAGCCCCGGCCATGAAGACAACGATACTGATGATATAGATCCATTGCATGTCGAAGCAGTAGAGGATCTTCCGAGAAAACGATAGTAAGGCAAAGACGGCTAAACTGAACGACAGGCCGATCCATGGGAGGAGCTCAATGTTACCGAATGCCTCGTATAGTCGCGGCTGGATGTTCGCCACGTTGCTCACATCATATCCTAGAATACGGTAATCAGCAACTGGGCGTTGGTTCGAGACCATGTTCAACTAACCATTGATGACCGTTGTTAGCATGACAACGCCTAGACTTCCTTTCCATTTCCAATCGGCGATCTCATCCCGAGGCCGGGAAGTGTCTGGAGCTGTCTTCTGGAGGGCAGCCTCCTTCCCAGATGGCTGCGGAGAGATGGTGCTAGAAGATGTATCCGCCATGATGACTTTGGAATGGTCAATATCAGCATGAGAAATGGAAAAGGGGACGGCAAAGTGCCGTGCTGCAGATGACACGGGAGAGTATTTCAATAGAGATATACATGTTTGCTGTCAAATTGTGAATAGATGCTTTAAGCGATAGGTATTGTTAGGCCTCCTGCAGGACCTGTAGCTCCACTTCAGCCAGATACTTCCACGGCGGCAATTTGAGGGATCCACGCGGAGATAATCGGTCGCTGACAGCATCTGCAGGCATTTTTACACAACTGCCAATAACAATCGCCGCCATGCCACACTTTATCTTGTAGTGTGGTGTCCACCGCGGGTGAGTGGGTTGACCTTATCACACCCTAACGACGACTTGGTGTCTTATTTTGGGGGCGCATCATCAAATCTCACTGTCGACAGGAGTGATTGATGAGACATGAACTATATTCTATACCACATTCCACTGAAATTCGACCCCACGTGCCGGCTCCACTTGTAGATCAGGCCGGACACTCAGTGGCTCCGCACTCGCTGCCCATCGGATCGGTCTGCCTTGCCCAGTGACCGTCCACAGCGGCCATCCGTTGGCATGCACCATGCGGTTTGCTCGGTTAAAAATAGCCACGTATACATGACTCAGCTGCGTTCTGTCCAACCACATGGAAGCGAGTCAGTCATGTTGGCGACCTTCTTGCAGGCCTATCGTTGGGTTTCCAGCCGGATAGTGGGGAAGTTTATCGGTCGAAGCCCTATCCCTCGAGTCCCACAGAATTGTATCATGGGAACGACTGACTCCTGGATTTGAAATCTATGCTCAGACCCTCCGCAATTGGCAGCGGTGAAATATTATCAAGTCCACTGTTCATTTATCCCTTATTGAACGGATCATCTCATTGACTCCTACTATCCTCGGGCACATAATCTGGCATCGATATCTGACCACACGTCGTGGGTTTCGACCCCACGACTCAGACATGGTAGTAGACTTGAGCCGAGAGCTGTTGGTATCGCTGTCCTTCCGTAAACCTACGCGAAAGGGCTAGGTGAAACTTGGCGCCTTAGGAACCCGTTCCTCGAGTATGCACTGCCGAAACGCCGAGATGACTCCCAGAGATGCCAAGCAGGATCCAGCAACGGCTATACACCGCCAAAATAAGTATAATGTAGCGCTGATGTAGATCCCCATCACGGAAGGCCAATGAGGGCACCCTCCTACGCAATATCATTGTTATAAACATATGATCGATAATTCTCCGGTCCACCTGCGGCCGTGGGTCAAAGTACCTCGCAGGCTTAGCGGTTATATTATCATAGCGGAATCAGCCTAAACAACTGTACCGCAGTCTGTTACTGCTTCTACTGTCCGTGATGCAATGTCACAAATGGCTATTTGTGTAAAGCCCGCCCCATCTAAGCTTTCCATGAATGGCCGAGGCAAAGTTTTCAGGCGCTCCATGAGCCGATGGGTATCATCCGCTCTTCTTGGACGTCAGAGAACACGGTCGAGTGGCTTCTAATTATAGCATGGAACAATAACTATATGATATATAAGTTGATCTCGGGTACAATGTTAGGCTCTTGATTCATGTCTTGCTGATCATTCTCTGAAACCAAACCCTACATTTATCAGCTCGGAACCATGGCTGACGCTCGTACAACTCTAATGGAAACGTGGTTCATCCCCGCTCTCGTGGCCGCCATCGTTGCGGCCCGTCTGCTATTCTCCTTCTACTCGGCGTGGCGACATGCACACAGGGCTCGCAGCTTAAACTGCCGAGAGGCGCCGTTATATCCGACTCGGGATCCGTTCGGCATCTCCACCCTCCTCGAAGCATTGCAAGCGGATCGAGACAAGCTTCTCCCCGAGCTATCACAGAAACGGGTGGATTTACTTTCCCGTCGGCACAACAGATATGTTTCTACCTTTCGCGTGCGTCAGGCCGGTCGAGAAAACTTCTTCACGGTCGATCCCAAGAACATCCAAGCCATGCTAGCGACGCAATTCAATGACTTTGGCTTGGGGGATATGCGCCGCAACGCAGGAGCGCCTGTGATTGGTCGTGGAATAGTGAGTATTCCTAGCTATTATTCTTCTTTCTCTCCAGATTGCTGATACGCACATCGTTTGTACTTAGTTTATCTCCGACGGTGCGGATTGGTCCCATTCGAGATCACTACTACGACCCCAGTTTACGCGAACCCAAATCAATAACCTCGAGATGGAAGAACGCCATGTCCAGAATGCGTTAAGAGCAATGCCAACTCAATCAAATGGGTGGACATCTGACGTCGACATCCAGACGCTGTTCTTCCGCTTGACTCTCGACTCGGCCACGGAATTTCTTTTCGGCAAAAGCTGCGACAGCCAGGTAACTGCCCTAGGACAAGACGTCGGAGAGATGTCGGATAGCTTTCTCAACAGCTTTGACCGTTGTTCATGGTACCTAGCTGCTAGACTTCGCTTCGAGCGCCTATATTGGGTCGTTAACAACAAGGAGTTTCGGAAATGCATCCGCGTGGTGCATAATCTCGTCGACGGATATGTCCACTCAGCCCTGCAAAGGGCCCAACAAACGGAGAAGCCCGCAGACCGCGAAGGCGGACAACATTATGTTTTCCTGGATGCTCTCACCGAAACAACGACGGACCCCATTCAGCTACGAGACGAATGTCTGAATGTTCTGTTAGCCGGACGTGATACCACCGCCTCACTGCTCAGCTGGACTGTCCTTCTTCTCGCCCGCCACCCACACATTTTCCAGAGACTCCGCACGGAAATCATCGAACAATTCGGCGCCTACAGCGAGCCGCGCGATATCAACTTTTCCACGCTCAAGTCTTGTCAGTACCTTCAACACTTCATAAACGAGACCTTGCGTCTGCATCCAGTCGTACCCTTCAACCGCCGGTGTGCCAACAAAGACACCACATTGCCTACCGGGGGCGGCAAGGATGGGAACTCGCCAGTGTATCTCCAAAAGGGACAACCGGTCCTGTTTAGCAGTTATGTCTTGCAACGCCGGAAAGATATCTGGGGCGAAGATGCCGATGAGTTCAATCCCGACCGGTGGTTCGGGCGCAAGGTCATCTGGGAGCACATCCCGTTCAGCGGCGGGCCGAGAACCTGCATCGGCCAGCAGTTTGCCTTGATTAATACCAGCTATGTGTTGGTGCGCCTATTGCAGCGGTTCGATTCCATTGAGGATGTCTACCCTAATCGGCAGATCCGCTATGGTGTCACTCTCACGAGCTGTCCGGCGGATCGGGTTACTGTTAGGATGCACCAGGCCGAGCTATAAACCTTTGATTTTGTCTAGGGTATGCTGCCACAGGGGAGTCAGGCAGATGCTTGGATATCGTGTTAACTGGGCGGAGGATGACCTAGATGAATCAGGCGTGGTATGGGCGACATGCAGTCACGAACTTTTAATGGCGTTTCTTAGATATCCATTACGACGTTGGCGGAACTCAGCGTTGGTTGTTGTTTTCATTGATTTCTATATCTTTCTTTCTCTTAGCTCTTGACTGTCTTCCTTAATGATACGTTGCTTCGTGCAACTACCCATATATATAGTATTCCCTTGTATATCCTGGATAGATTTTCCCGCTTTACGTTGACCCAGCACTGCCCGGACTTAGTTTCCAAATTACACATATTTTAGGAATATACGAGAACTCTCTGTCTTGCTTCTGCAGACGTAGTATCATCAATGTAACTCTGAAGGTGCGGTTGCTATGAATGATCACTGAGGAGAAAGAAGGAAACTCTTATCTTCCAAAATGAACATAAAAAGAGCTTGTCTCGAAGTGACTGTATGATCTGAAACAAATAGAACCAACAAACACAAAATAACAGTAAAGAGGTAAGGTAAAAGAATGGTTATCGAAGATATACTCTCAAACCTACGTTTTTCTCGTCCACCAACCGGTTCGACCAAAGCCCTAGGCTAAGCTTTCGACAGGCTCCCGTGGTTCAATCCAGCACTTGTACTTCGGGTACACGAACCAAGCACACCACGCATCCCACGGATCCTTCTTCTCCTCAAACTTCAAATCAAATTTGCGGATAATCTGGGGCAAGACCTTGGTAATCTCCAAGAGGCTGATATTGCGACCAATACAGGTTCGGGACCCACTGCCGAACTACGAGTGCGAAGACTTGATGTCAGTTTCAACGATCCTCGCCAAACGACAGCTAAACAAAAATATCATCGGGTGCACAACTTACCGCAAACATCATCGAGTCTCGGTAATCAGGCTGCGGCTTGTCCTCCAGCCAGCGTTCGGGTCGGTATTGATCGGCGTCAGGGCCATAGACTTTCTCACTGTAGTGTAGGGGCCATGCATTCGTGCCAATGTGTGTCTAATATTGTGATCAGAATTAGCATAGCTGTAGGCAGGATTCCCAGTATGGGGTAGAGGGATGCTTAACTCCTTCAGGTACATAGTACCCTCCAGTAAGGGTCATGCCTCCTTTTGGTACAACTCTCGCCAATATCGTCCCAACACCAGGATGCACCCGTAGGGTTTCCTTGATGACAGCGTTGAGGTACGGCATCTCCTGGGCCTGTTTATATGTCACTGGATCTGAAATGCGGCCTTCTGCCGTCATTATGTCAACCTCATGACGCAGCTTGGCCAGCTTGTCAGGATTACGGTAGATGTACCACAAAGCGGCGCCGAGCGTGAGACCAGTTGTGTCCGAGCCAGCGCCGATGTTCGATCCACAGGAATCCAAGACATTATTGACTCCAACTTTATGAGCAGCCTCCAACTCAAGTACCTTTCGCAGAAAGGTGTCGTATTGGGACTTCTGCTTGGCGCCGCTGTTGGTGTTGCGATGCTTCCAATATTGGCTCCAGATGTATTCAGTCAGTTTACCTGTGGATGTCCCACGTAAAAAGACTCTCTGTATTGCTCGGAAGGTACTCTGTAACTCCGGTAATAACCCCATGATGCCAATCGTGTTGTTCATCGTGTGCAGCTCGTTGATTATGCCTTGAGTGTCGCCCATGTTTTCCATCATTCCGAAGTTTTGGTCAAACTGTATTCAAACTGTTAGTGGAAACTGCCCACCAAGAAGCAGACTCACAACGGAATTGATTATATCTGACTTACGGTAATCTCCCCAATCACATCGAACGCATAGAACTGCATGAACTTGGGTATGGAGACCAACTTTCGATTCGCTGCAAGCTCATTCATCTTCTTGATACAGAGGGTTGTCATCCGATCGACTGCGTCTTCGTAGGCTACCATGGCCGACATGGTGTACAAGGAAGCAACTTTCCTTCGTCGGTCTTTGTGGTCCTCGTTATCCCGCACTGTGAAGATGTTCTTTGGATTGCCTAAGGAGTCATAGAATTCGGACTTCGGAAAATCCGCGCCAAAGCCGTATATCTTCTTCACATCCTGTGGGTCGATGACGCTGTATCTCTTGGGGCTGACACGGACCACCGGACCTATGGCCTATTCTTAATATCACCGCTCGTTTGTAACAGCTCGCCAGTACTGACCATATTTCTTATGCAGTCTGATATATTCTTCATGCGAGCGGCCTTTCATCAACTGACAAAGTTCCCAGAGGATGGTGAAGCGAGCCCAGAATGGACCCGGTACGTTTCTTAACGGGGAGAAGAAAAGGTTGTATAGAAAAGGTACAACCCAGAATATGCCCAGAGATCCGATGAGTAGACCACCAACGGCTCCCATAGGATTACCTTGGACTGTGTCCAAGATCTCCCCTAGCATATTGGGTGTTTGTCTGTATGTCCAGAGTGAGTAATGAAGATGTTGGTTACCAAAACAGATACCAATGCCCCTTAGCAGATGATACCTGACTTGATTCCTGAAAAGTTTCCATTCTACATAGGTGCAACGGGTGGCTTTATACGTGAGCAGAATGCACGTCCATGCTCATCAACCGCCGGAGAGACAACGGACCTTCCGATGATGTGGAGAAAACAGGCGTCGCGAATGCAGAAGATGTGACCATGCAGGAGTCTGCATGATCTAGTGCTCCAAAGTCAGGCCCATATCTACCACAAAACCTTGGCTTATAAACATAATCCCTTCTTCCCTACATTCTCTACAACGCTATGCCCTTTCCAAGTGTTGAATATCCTGCAATAGGACCAAGTCAAGCTCTATACCCTTACTTCGCCCATCGATTTCTCTCTTTGTGCATTCGTATACACGAAATCCTTCCCCCACAGTACAACCCAGGTGTGGGGAAGTCGCGCTACCAAGGTCATGCTAACCGGCATCAAGGAGGGTAAAGATTATGCCTCCCTGCTACGGCCCACACTAGTTAGTAGGAAGGCGATTTTGTGGTTACTAAGCGGAAGCTGGCGAGGTTAGTTCCGATGTTGATCCTGCTTAGCCCCGTGTAGTTTCAGATTTTATTCTTCAGTATTCCTGGGTCATCACACTGTTATATCTACAAGGCCTGATTGGACTCCGTTGAATACGGTTATACGGGACTTATTTACCCTCGGAATGTACATACCATGGCTCAGGATACCTCCATATATTCTCCATATTCTATTTCGAGTAGCAAGAACACTGTTAGTTCGCATTCAGTTTCCTAAACAGATACCATGGGTATATTCCACCATGTTCGGCTAATAGCCAGCGGTAGATCAGTCCAATGGGCCCTTATTGCTATAAGGAGAGGTGGAAACTGTCAAGCCGATGTCAAGCATCGACTAGAGCGATGAAGACAGTGTAGTTCAACCCTGGTGCATCTGTCTTTTCCAAAATGCATCGTGCTATATACGTAGCTTGCTGGTTTTGTTCATGGATTAGGCTTATATCTAGACGCTGTAACTGCGGTTGGTTAACCGAAACTAGAAAGGTCCAAGCCGACCTACTGTTTGATCGGATCCCGCAAGTAGTACTTTTTGTTTTGTTTTGGCTCCCCATCACGACATACTTGGGTAATTCTGTATCTGCGAGATTATCGTACGTTGTATCTCCAGTGTCATTGCCACGAATTGGATATTTTTGATACTTGACGTGGTTTGTCAATCATAGCGTTACTAGAATATCAAGAGACTCGATATATATATATTTTGCATGCCATGCGTGTAGCACCTCTCGAAGGAAACATACTATATTTCAGCATGGACAGTCATCCCTTTATACTCTTTGATTGTTTTTCGAACGGTACTGCCAAGAGGCACTAGCCTACATAGGGAACATAACCGTAATAATGATATTCCGGGAATTTCGATGGTAATGTATTGACCCATACAATGACCGAAATAATATATTAATGTGTATGTAGTCCTTGCTACCCTGGTGACTTCTGTGGTGAACGACACAGGTCCCGAATATATACTTGAGGAGTTTTATACCCCCTTGTATCAATCCCAGACTAGTCAACTAGGATTCTTCTGAAAAGCCGAACAAGGAAGTGCGAGTTAATACAGAGAATGGTCTAGTATTTATTACACGATCAAATAGAAGATAATTAACTAGTTCTGAACAATCGAACTGTTCTGATAATAGATACCGAGCAAAATCTGGTTAAAGTACCGCATTCATAGTGGAAGAAAGATCAATCAAAATACTGAAAATAGTATTTATCGAAACATCCGCCGTAACCAGATGTTACTACTCCGGACCGTCAGAGGATCTGTACAATAAACGGGGACCAGTTGATCTTAAAAAACGCTTTGACGGTACCAAAATTGACCGGAACCCTATCTGATGTGGGGAAATCTATTTCCTCTTGGCAAGAAGCTCAGACTCTGTACATCTCTAAATTATATCGAGGATAGTCACTTGCCTCTTGCACGGGATGTAGGTAAAAGAGGGAAATTGGGAGTAATTAAAAGGATGTTTAACTACAGAGAGAGATGTTGAAATTGATACTGAGCAGGCTCCTGGACAATGCTCAGTTTGGCGAGAGGTGGATTGAATGATGTGTTGCCCTGAGCCAACCTGCCGCCATAATGGGCAGTACTGTTGACTGGACCCTGTTGGAAAGAGGCAGGTTAAACTTAGCACACACCACCTGAGAAGGCCTGTCGAACAAGCCGAGGGAGGAGGTATCTAAGAGACTCACGATGATGGACCTGTGATGTGTGTGAACAGCTTTATGCAGAGGAGGCAGAGCGCCTTGACAAACGACAGAGCCCGAGGTATCCCGCAAGCGGATCACTCTGTCCACCAATCAATATCAGTCCTCCCCTCTCGGTTATCAGACTCATCACAAACCCCAACGGACAGATCTACTACAGCTGAACAGTCGAGTCCAAGTCCCACGTGTCTTGTATCTGTTGGCATTTCGGGTTACTAAATGATCTGGTAGAGAGAAATACCAATGGGTATTTGTTATCGGTAGGCTGTAAGACTTCGACAGACTCTATAAAACCGTTATATAATAATGTATTAAGAAATCGATCAGACCCTAAACAGATTTCGGAAAAAAGACCCGGACTTCTTTGTCTAGTAAGATATAACGATCAATCCTATATCCCGGTTTATTTGTAATACCATAGAACTAACTATGGCACACAGTGGTGCCCAACAAATTCCGACCAGTGGTGCCTGAGTCTGCGGGTGATGGCTCGCCCATCCCACCAAATGTGGACACGCGGGGCTGAAAGGCATAAAATGCCGAATAACATCGATCAACGTACACCATGAGGTCATTGTGCGCATTTCGGTTACGATATTCAGGTCTGGACCGTGTGGCTGAAGGCAAGAGAGCTGAGCAGAGATGAATATGGACTTTTCCCGCCTATCCTGAATTCATCAGAGGTTACTAACATTGATCAGCTGAACGTGATATGATAGCGGTGGGGGAGCCGAAAAGGCCCTTGCGCTCTCGTTATGGCTTTTTTCTGGGATAGGTAAAGACTATATATATCCTTCCTTGATGGTAGCAAGTTCTTCTTTTCTTTCTATTCCATCCGATACTGCGTTCTGTTATTCTAGAAAACCCGGACAAATACAAAAATGGCTGTACGTAAAACCCAGATATATACGATTGGTTTTGGAATTTTTGCTGACCATAAACAATTAGACCAGTTTTCTATATCCTTCTAGTACTATACGCAAATGGCGATATCATATCAGACTGACTATATATCGGTCTAGCGTATACAAGTTTCCACCCTAGAGGCCCCCAAAGGCGAACTTCTCGGCCGTACAGGAGCCACGTGAGTATATTACCAAGCAAGCAATTATAGATCTTAGAGATAATATTACCTAACGAGTTCCCTAAATACAGTGAAGGTCCCGTCATCGATGTTATCCGGACTGCATTGTCCGGACGCGGTATCGAGTTAAAGGAAGCTCGATATTCCCCAAGTCCAAGGATTTTCCCTCCGTGGTATATCGTGATGTACGTTCTACCACGATTATCAATTGATGATAAACGAAAATTAGCCCCTTGGTTAACCAGATTATTCTGTCTAGTGTGGACACATCCGCCAGCATTAGTGAAGACGACTTCAAGGAAGCACTTGACGATAGTTGGAAGTCAGCGGTTGATCAAGATGGAAACTCTTTTCCTCGAGCTGATATTCGGATCAGGAGCCAAGACGAGTAATAGCCATATTCATGAGAATGAAGTGACTTGTTGGATTGATATGATTGGTATACAGTGAGGTGTCCACGGGTTGAAACTGGCCTATTATTGCCGCATCTCTCCGTCTTCAAGAGTCAGACATTCCAAGATTGCATGTACCTGTGTAATCTATATAGGTAACATAGTACCGGAATACCATACAGTACAACATGATGAAACGCAATAGCTGTGCTACCTTCCTATGCTGGACTAGTATACCTTGACATCAGGGTTCGAAAAAGAATCACAGAGTACACAGTATAAGGGGGTGACAGCGGTTTTGACCCCAACTGTCGAGAATACTTGACTCGTTCGAGAGACGATCGTTCTGGGGCATGAAGGCGCCAACCAATCGGACGGGATGAGGTAATCCTGTCCGAGATCAGCTTCTGCGGGAATTTCCCGAGTCAGGTGCCGAGCCCTGGCTGCCGTTGATCAGGCGAAGACATCTTGCTTTCTGAAACCTGCATGGTTTGCTAAACGATCTCTATCTTTATCTAACAAGAACCTATCCAGGCATGTTCAAACCACTAGAGCGCATCCGCGTGCAACCTTTGCGACTAGGACGTGCTATTGATTGAATGGATTACATGACGAAGACCGTCGTCCCGGTCCGCGTTTCTGTCTATCTGAAATTATGTCCTCTATACTACACCAGCGGCTCCCAATCAGTTGACTAGCTAACCGGTGTGAAGGATCCAAAAGTTACTCCATAAGTCGCTCCTTGCGCCTACTGCGCAGTAAAAGTCGGTGATGGATATTAACTTAGGGTATTGCGGTTCAATTCCCCACCCAACGACACTAAGCGGAGGAGACCCATGGCTGAAACATCTCTAATGACCCGCTTATGCCCATCGAACTTGGCACGGACTAGTGTCATATCCGCGTCAAGAACCGGCGCTGACGCGGCTACAGACCACCGGTGGCACCTGAATGATCGATCGTCCGCGACTAACGAGCCGTTACCAAGCAGGAATGGTTGTGTCCCATTTTTACTCTGCAGAATCTGTAGGACCGACACACCCAGGTGCTTTTGTTAGTCAACCCTGTCTCTTGTTCTGGCCAGTTTGCCATCTTGCCGGTGAGCCCGGCCCCACCTCAACCTGAGAGCCTATTTCCAGCGGCAATCTCACCATTCGGCATCATGCACCCCAGTGTTCGATACAAAATCGGGATTTTGGCACTGAGCGCATTCTTGATCTTCTACTCCCTACACCTGTACTGGAAAGCAGATGTGGAATTCGCTGAAGCTATTGAGGCCTCATCACTCCAAGCGCAACAAACACTTTTGTGGCAACAACTCAGCTCCCTGTTGGAGGACCATGCCCCGGAATGCCCTCCTCCAGAGAGAGACGACAGCTCCGGAGCAATACCCTTTAATGCTGTAAAAGGCGTGTCTCGGCCGGACCTGATTACCAATTCCGAGCGCATCCAAGGGCCGCTGCAGAGGGCGCATGACAGCTTCTTGGATGCAATAAGAGCCTCAAATATAGATAGAGCCTATAACCCCGGAACCAGCGGCATTGTGTCCAGCGCCGGGAAATCCTACCTTCCGCTGTTTGTCACGTCATTGCGCATGCTCCGACGGACGGGCTCAACTCTACCTGTGGAGCTCTTCGTTAAGGACGAAACGGAATATGAGGCCACGATCTGTGCAGACATCCTTCCCCAATATAACGCAAAATGCGTTATTCTCTCGGACATCGAGGCCAGCCGCAGCTACTCCACCCAGGAGATCGCCCACTACCAATTGAAGATTTTTGCTGTGTTGTTTTCTTCGTTCGAGAATGTCATCTGGATGGACTCCGATGGCTTCCCGCTTTATGAGCCCGAGTCGCTATTGCAGAACGAGCCGTTTGCCTCGACTGGTCTCGTCACATGGCCCGACTTCTGGGCTTCGACGGCCTCCCCTCTGTACTATAATGTATCTCGACAGTCCGTTCCATCGATGACGGAGCGGGCTTCCTCGGAGACGGGGGTGTTTCTTATCTCGAAGAAAACTCACTTCTTGACGTTGCTTCTGGCTGCTTATTACAACTATTATGGGCCGTCGCACTATTTCATGTTACTTTCACAAGGCGCCCCGGGAGAAGGGGACAAGGAAACCTTCACCCAAGCCGCAGCTGCCATGGGCGAGCCGTTCTATACAGTCAGTGAGAAGGTATCTGCTGTCGGCCACGCGAAGCCAGACGGCGGTATTTCAGGATCTGCCATGGTTCAAGCGGACCCGACCGAGGATTACCGATTGACCAGCGAAGGGAAATGGCGGGTTAAAGATCTATCGGTGGCGAAGGCGCCTCGGGTGTTCTTCGTCCATGCGCATTATCCCAAGTTTAACCCCGCAGAGCACCTGTTCGGCAACCAGTGGGAGACCGCACCGACGTTGAAGCCGGATGGTAGCGATGGGAGAGCGTGGCTTGTCGCTGAGAAAACATTGGAACGGTTTGGGTTCGACGCAGAGAAGAGCTATTGGGAGGAGATTAAATGGGTTAGCTGTAACTTGGAGCATGTATTCGAGTCTTGGAAGGGCAAGTCTGGGATCTGCGATCGCGTGTCGGAATATTGGCGCAATGTGTTCGAGAGTCCGGGTGAAGAAGCCCCAGTTTTCACGCAAAGTTAGGCAGGGGCTGTGCAGTGACACCTATATGCTATGTTGGCGATTATATGTCATGAAAAAGCTTGCTGTGCAAGGAGCGTATACACTTGTCAACTACCATGACGATCACATAGGAATTTGTCGAAGGATATCGCATATCATAGCTCTATGAGAGGAGCCCGTATTCTCTGGTAGTAAATAAAATACGTTGAAATCCAGTTAATAAAGCACAAGCCCTACTCCCCGCCTTCCCTTGGTGGGATTGAGTAGACAAAAAAAGTCCCAGGTTTTAACAACACACGTTGATCTTTCCCGTCCGAGGAGGCACATCTGCCAAGAGCTGAAGTACCCCCACGTAGCGCACAGACACATCATTCTACAGAGATACAAAAGTCAACTGGAAGAAGGTTTGATTGGATCTAGCCGTGAGTCTCGAGTGAGCTGAAAGGAGGGGCATGCATACAGGGGGTGAAAACATGACGCCATCAACTGCCGATGTTAGTGAATGAGACAAGTATAAATATCTCGTTTCCTGCTACGCTTATACTCTCTCTCTCCAAATCTACATCAATCATCCCTCGCAAAGATCGAAACATTCCATCAAAATGCCTGTATGCTATGCAGCAATACCATAACGGTTGACCGGTTCACGTTTCAGTGCTGATGTATCTTGCTTAGGTGGTCGTTGCATTTGAGGATCCTGAATTCTTCTATGATGATAACTCCCCCGTCCACCAGTAAGTGTATTCATGTCAACTAGGACCGTCATAAGCGCGCCTTTATCAACATTATGAGTTAGGGTCCTTGCAAGCAATGGCTTTCCACCAGGGTCATACCCTGTCGTCCGTGAGATGCCTCCACTGATATTGCTGCCACAGTAAGTGTTCACCTTTATAAAACAGGAAAGACAATGGAAAGTTTAGCAAATTGAAATCTCCCGCTTGGCATGTTATCTATGAGCTGACTAGTCGAGTAGATTGAGCGATGATGCTATTGTTGAACTTCGAGGATTTCCTGGAGTGGATATCGACGTTCAGGCTAATGAATAGAGATGCATCTGAATAAAACATTAACATTTGCATTACAAGTAGTCTACTGTACGTCAAGGTAGAACCGATGACATACTAGAGCTATCGTAATGGGTATTGAATTATAATAGTAGTTCGCAACTTGCCATGCAGAGCAGCAACACTATAAACAACGAATTGATCATGATTTATTGCGCAACCACCTGATGACCACGAGTTGGCACGAGCTTAGTCCCTTCGAAGACTACGTAGTCACGGAGAGTACCGCTGCTTTTAGAAGCCGGATAGGAGATCTCCACTACCGATTCTTTGTGAATATTAAATCATTTATGCTTACCCCTATAAACCCGAACGGGAACCCCTCTGGACTTTCCAGAAGCGGTTTGAGGGCGATGGATTCCCTCTGTCAAGGACTAAAGTGTATATTCTCATTATTCTGGCCGGCTCGGTTAGTTATACTCTGTCTGCGGGGTTGTCTACACTGGTAAGTATCTGAAATATACAATCTGAATATTGTCGAATATTAGATATTGTCCTTGGCTACGGTTGAAGTTTTAGTGTAGATATATAAATTTAGGATTTATGGTAAGATATATCTATATAAAACATGCGTTGTGATCTAGTATATATATGCAAAAATAGTTACTCACACTCTGCCATAGATATAGAATATAATTCAAGATACGGGGGCTCGGGTTTGATTCGTGAACAGACCACTCTGTGTACTGGTAGGAAGGTCAAACCAAAATGATCGGTCTTATATTTAGTGGTAAGATCTGGAATTTCTATAGGAGCCTGGTCATTGAATTGGAAGATATGTCTTGCGTAAGTAGGTTTTATTCTAATGTTAAACAGTGGCCACTTCCAGCCTGGTTGACTTCGGGAATAACATGAACCTTCTGGTTCCGAAGGCTCAAGATTATCCGCTGCTATGTACATAGTACAGAGGGATGGGAACACGAGCTTTGTCGAGGAGCAAAGAGATCGATGCGATAATGCTCTAGATGGCGGCCGCGGAGATAATGGTTAGCGACCATGTGTCCAAGTATAACTCGGATAGCAGTTGATTGCGAGGGTGAACAAAAGTGGATAAGAATTTATCAATCAACTTGGCGAGACGCCTCTTATTTACGGTGCTACGGCGTATTGACTAACATGGCTTCCGGAATCATAGCGTCGTAAAGTAGGACACTATATATTGAGACTACGTATATACCTGAATTAGACCAGGATCAGAGATACGATTTAGCCAAGACGGCCAGGCTAGCGGCCCGGGCTCTTTTAAAGGTATTTATATCTAAGCGCCGAAAGGCTCTGCACCGGCCAACACTAAATGAGTTCATCCCCCGCATCACAATACAAAGGAGCCATCCCTTAGTATGCAAGTATCGTTCATCCCACAACTTCTCTTTAAGTTAGATCAACGTCTATCACAATTCGACAAGTGAAATACACAACAGGATAACTGCCCGCTCGACACACGACCGGTTGCCCCGCCGAGAAATTCAACATGCATATTGCCATCTTCAACTGTCTCAAGCCCATCCAGGGCCGGACCTGCCCTGAGATGTTCAAAAACCTCATCCAACGCGGGCTAGGCTATAATACAGAGCACCCGGACACCTCGAACATCGCCATAACGTATGAAATCTATAACTGTGCCGCCGATGAGTTTCCAACATCTTTCGCTGACATAAACGCAATAATTATCACCGGATCATCCAAGTCAACATACGATCCATATCCCTGGATAAAACGGATGCAGGATGTTCTGCGAGGTATGGTTTGCCGTTCCCGGAAAATGCCATTCTCTACGAGACTAACACCACGCCAGATGTGTATAACAACCACCCACATGTTAAACTGTTCGGCTCATGCTTCGGACACCAGGTGATTGCATCAGCACTGCTGGAAGATTGTGGCGTACGGATCGAGAAGAACCCAAAGGGTTGGGAGATAGGTGTCCACGGTGTGCACTTTGAACCCGAGTTTTTAAGGTACTTTCAACAATTCACGAATGAGGACATTACTATCCAACGGAAACTTCAATTCATACACCAGGATAAAGTCGCTGTGTCGGATGAGTCTCTTCCCCCGGGTTGGATCGTAATGGGAAGGAACGATATCTGTGATGTGCAAGGTCTCTTTCAGCCAAATAGAGTGCTCACGTATCAGGGCCATGCTGAGTTTGATAGAACTACGACGAAGGCAGTTCTTGAAAAGGTCAATAATCCTGCGTGGTCAAAAGAGGATCGAGAGGCTGCTGATCAGATGGATGACGCGGATTATTATGCTGGAATCTTGGTGCATTTTCTCCTAGGCTAGGTACAAAGTTTGAGTGGTTGTCCGGTATTTTGGATTAGAAGTGAAAGTCATGTCATGTCCATCGTGACTGGCATGACCTCTAATTTGTACCTTCAATTAGTTGGTGGAGACTGACATATCCAGCCATACGTTAACATCGCAAAGGGGGGCAAATTGTGCTGTTTAATCCTGCAGCCGAGTGCTAAATTTTGGAGGGAATAATATACCCCATGCGACAGATATGCATCCAGCACGGGGCTAGTCGCGGAGAACAGTGACTAGGGTGGTGTGATAAGGGATTTATGAATGACAGTCGAGCGTATTAGACCTGGAGAATGAGAAGTATACGCAGTTCGTGAGTTAAATATACGTATAGGTCACTTTCTTCGCCACTGCAATAAATGGTAGTACACCGTCTGGTGTATACTGAAACTAACCGACTGGGGCGTTGTGAGCTCTAGTAGGTAAGGTAAATTTACTCACAGAATAACGATTGAGGTAGCATAAGATAAGATGTGACCTCTCCTTACATATTAATACTACCGTAGTAGTGTGTACACGTATCAATGCAGATACCCGACGGCAAGGGCTACTGAGGGTGCCATCGGAGGAATGTAGATCATCGATATCGCGCGGGGATCGGCGCATTCGGCCAATTAATATCCTCACCCCCTGGTTATATGTAGTAGTTGAAGGATTAGTCGGTGTTTGCTTACCCCGCTACTTATCGGGCGAGTTGACAATACATGATTTATAACCCTGCGAGTCCCAGGATGCCGTCTATGATAAATAGAGATATCACATAGCTGTTCATAGCTGAATTGGCTTCTTGCGCAACAACTTGTATATAGATCAGAAGACACTCTAAAATATGCGCTTCACAGCGAGATGGATACCTCTAGCGACTGCCTTGGCCAGCACCATGCCAACCCAAGTAGTCGCATCCATTGAAAATCCAAGCCTACTACCGACGCCGCCCATGGGATTCAACAACTGGGCCCGATTCATGTGCGACTTGAATGAGACCCTATTTGTCGACACTGCGGACGCAATGGCCTCCAGCGGTCTATTAGAAGCGGGCTATAACCGTATCAATCTCGACGACTGCTGGATGAACTATGATCGCGCGGACAATGGATCACTCGAATGGAACGTCACCAAGTTCCCACGCGGTCTTCCCTGGCTAGGGAAGTATGTCAAATCTAAAGGCTTCAACTTTGGCATCTACGAGGATTCAGGAAACCTGACCTGTGGCGGCTATCCCGGGTCTGAGGGCTTCGAGGAAATCGACGCGGAAACATTCGCGGCATGGGGCATCGACTACCTGAAATTGGATGGGTGCAATGTTTATCCGAAAGAAGGTCGTACTTTGCAAGAAGAATACAAATATCTCTACGGTCACTGGCACGAGATACTCAGCAAGATGCAGCAGCCACTGATATTTTCTGAGTCAGCGCCTGCGTACTTCTCCTTGACTGAGAATCTGACTGATTGGCATACGGTCATGGACTGGGTTCCCGAATATGGTGAGCTCGCCCGGCACTCGGTTGACATTCTCGTCTATGGTGGAGAAGGCAGTGCCTGGGACAGCATCATGACAAACTACAAGTTCAACACACTTGTAGCTCGGTATCAACGCCCTGGATATTATAATGACCCCGACTTCCTGATCTCCGACCATCCGGGGCTTTCGCTCGAAGAAAAGCGATCTCAGTTCGCACTTTGGGCATCCTTCTCGGCGCCTTTGATCATCAGTGCCCATATCCCTGACCTATCCTCCGAGGACCTGAAGTTCCTCACGAATCGAGCCCTAATTGAGGTTGATCAGGATCCATTGGCTCAACAGGCAACACTAGCGAGTCGGGATAGCTCTCTCGATGTCTTAACTCGGAGTCTTGCCGACGGTTCCAGATTAGCCACCATTCTGAACCACGGTAGCAATCCCATCGAAGCAGACATATCTCTGGATGTACTCGGCCTGTCCACTGATTGTACATATACGTCACATGATTTATGGGATAGGTCAACTCAAAACATCAAAGACGCTCTACATGTTAAGCTAAGCACACACGCAACCGCCGTGTACAAAATAGACATCGACCAAAAGTGTTCTACAGTTATTCCCACCGGCATCATCTTCAACACAGCCTCCGGGAAGTGCCTTACGGGTACCACATCATCCGTGGGATTTGAAGCTTGCAACGGGAGCAAATCCCAGATATGGGAAGTTGACGTGTCTGGGTTGATTCGCACATTGTCTGAGCAATCGAAGTGTTTGACGGCCGATGATACGACCGTCTCCCTACAGGATTGCAAAGAAGATGGTGCTCAGAAGTGGTCTTATGCAGTGACCGGGAATCTAAGGAACCATGACACCGGCAACTGCCTGACGGAGAACGGAGGTATTTCTGCTTGTGGCTTTGAAGTTAATAGCCAGGTGTTTGGGTTGCCTGCTGGTGTTGAGCTCACATCATGATTCTTAAGCCGTTCTGTATTCACCATGGTCAAGAGATAAATAACAGGCAGCCCTATGGTAAACTGGATGCTAGAATTGCAAGCAAGAATAGCCGAGATAATATCTAAAACCATGGAGCCTACGAGCCGACTGTCACATAATCCGGGTGAGCTAATGTTTTGTTAGATTGTCTATAGTATGCTTCTAACAAAATGACTCATACCTTTGCCAGGCCCCGTCCAAATGCATTCCCTCTTTAGGCCTCCTTTACCCGGCAGGAATCTAACTACGGACTCACCATAGTAGATTATTAATTATTTCCCCGTTTTATTAATTTCACACACCTCCAATAAATAGGGTAAATGAAACAGACAAAAATATTTGCAACGGCCGGAATAGTTAAAATTAGTGTACTAGAATCTAACTAGTATTTGTCCCGAGATATATCCAAACTCGATATCACCGACACAAACCTATATATAAGCAACGGCAGCGTGGAAAAGTGCCAACATTCCAATAATATTTTTCATTTTGGACAGCCTGACGTTAGAGTCCACGGTAGGAATTATACCAAACGAAGAAACTTGGCGATAGCAATGGACTTGCTGAAGATACAAGACCTCCTAGAATACCGACCCCTAGAGGGCTGAGCTTACTACAGTCAATTCATGCCCACATACTCCAGAGTATGCAACCAACGTCAACCTTGAAGGCCAAAGACAATGAAGATCAGCGAGAGTCATTGTATATCCGCTGTCTGGATGCTCCCCTTTTGCCTGTCGATGATGACCCTCTCTCCCAAACGGGCTTCGAGACCTGATGACCGCCCCCCATCGGAGCATCACGAGCGGGGTTGCAACCAGCACCAGCTTACCCACACAGTGTCTGCACCCTCCACAACCTATCTTCCTTCTTGATTCTGGCATTTGTATTAGTTCATTTGTCATGGTTTGCCCAGTCAGCTACTCTGGATCCTGATGTTGTCAGAAGAGTAACGTTTGCAACTTGAGGCAGCATATCAAAAGCCCCAATACATAGACACGCTCAATCATGAATAGTTTTTAGTCATGAATAGCCTTTCCATTAATGACCACTGTCAATCATATAAAGCACCTGAAGTATTACCATACATGAGGGGTTCTATGGTTTCCCCAATATGACGTCGGAATCCAGAGCCCCGCCATCTATATCTGAGGCACGAGACTACAACGACCCTGACACTATTAGTAGTGTTTATCGCCTTGATAGACATATGTAATTGAAACACGAAAAGCCCAGCTTTCTTCAACTGAGTGAGGCTATTCAAGCCGTGATGTCTGGAGACGGTGGTCTACATGCCCTCAGAAGAAGCTGCCTGCAAGCACTACTCTGTTCACCATAATAGCAAATAGCAAGCAGTACATATAGCAACCAATCTTTACGATCAGAGGGTGAGGAGCCCTTGAATAGGGAACAACAAAAAGTAATAAATATGCTATTTCTGCTGGCAATACTAGAAAACGACTTGGTGGTATCAGTAACTTTACGAAGCGGAAGGAATCTGCATCATTCTGCCCGCACAACGAGCCAAAAGAAATGCCGAATAGCGGCCTTAGGTTGCCGTAACAGATCTTGAAACAGTCATACCAATGTCATTCTGACATTATGATTTCGTAGATCAGGTAGAGACTTCCAAAGTTCTGCAGCTTGTCTTTGCTTGTTGCAAAACCACAGGATCTGTCTTTCGGTGTCTACCCTGAGTATCTCACTCTTTTGCTTACGGTTCCTGACCACCTTCGCAACGGATATCCCGATCTGAATCCTTTGGTTCTATATTACATTTAGTTAGTCTCGTTCAACATCTTGCGTTTATAACTGCATCCACGTTTACTTACACCTCACTTACTAGCATTCCCCACCGTGTCCAAGCTTCCCCACTTACAATGTCATTCCCCGGTTCTGAGTTTGAATTAGTGATCCGACAGCAGCCCACTCAGGCACGCATGGCCGGTGGGAGGGAAAGAGAACGCAGGCCAGTAGACCCCCCACCGGTAGTTCAGCTCCGGGTAAAAGAGGAGGGAAGTTACCTCGCGCAGCACTATCTCGAAAGTCCCTACTATTTCATGTGCTGCAGCTTGGTAAATCCCTCAGAGGGCATCGTGCCGCCATCAACAAGTTTGACCGGTACTTTAGTATCGTCACTTCACCAGCTGAAAGACGAAGATAACAACGAGGCGGGCTTTTTTGTCTTTGGAGACCTGTCGGTGAAAGTTGATGGGGACTTTCGTCTAAAGTTTACACTCTTCGAAATGGGTAAGGGTGCCGTCACTCATCTGCAGTCCATCATCTCGGACCGCTTCACCGTGTTTCGCCCAAAAAGCTTTCCTGGGATGGCGGAGTCAACGCCACTGTCCAGAGCACTCGTAGACCAGGGTATAAAACTGAGGCTGCGAAAGAAGCCGCGGACGTTGATAAAGCGACCAGTCCCGTCGCGCCTTGAGCATTGTCCCCAGCCGGCTCCTCCTTGTTCTCAACATCATGCTTCGCTGCAGTTACCAGGGGATGTCGTTAGAAGTCACCCAGGACCTGTAGCTGGAGCGAGTCATAGATCTAGTTATTATCCCGGCCAGGTAAAGCGGCAGTGCCTTTCATTCGGTTTTACTCACCCAGGCATGCATTATGATGGGCAGATGTATCAAGAAGATCATCGACAGAGCGTGGCTTTCCATGGAAACCAACCACATAGTTATCCAACTTCTATGGTCCAAGGAAGTCCCACAGAACACGCTGCTCTTCCAGATTATAAGATATTGTCCGGTGTTCCAACCTTGGCTCGGGTTCCACAAGGCTTGTGAACACGCTTCAAATCCCGAATGGCAATCATCTTAATGAAGCAATAGCTCGTTGGTTTGTCTCATTTGTTTCGTTATGTTGGCCTTTCCATCAGACTTTTGTTATAGGCTTTTGCGTCAGATAATCCCAACTCCTCTTACCACGTGTCCATTCCACTGAGATGTTTTATAGGCTTGTAGGTTCTTCGGGATCCACCAATTCGATGTCGCCTTGTTGCTGCCCACTGTAGTGGATTCTATTTTGTCAGAGCTCCTAAATCGTCTGAAGTCCTTTTTAGAGCACGGAGGTGAACACTATTTCCATATCAACTATTAATCTAGGAGTGAAATATGCCTTCCTATCGAACACACACCATTAATACTGGCATATACCTACCAGCTTCGGATTTATCTGGCTTCGCCCTAGATACCTCGATTCCAACATACCTTCCTTGCAATTACCTTATCCAGATAATGTAATTCAGCTTCCACGGTAGTGGTAAGACTTGGGAAACAAGTGATAGTGCCGAGGTCGGATAGTAATAATCTATTATCGTCCATATGTTCATGGTTTCCTTTGCGCCTTCCGAACAAGAAACCATCCCCACTCCGTCTTAGCCAGTACTACTCTTCATCACACCACAGCAAGTGTACCTTTGCAAGCCAATCAGATACCTATTAGTATTTCAGGAAGCCCCATCCCTGTAGTATTGTCTGAAATAGACACCATACCAAATCAATAACCCACAACTCCGCTGTTTTGCCGCATGTTTCTGAACGGAGACTACTCCTTTCATTCCCTGGCAGTGCCATTATAACACTTTGCGAACTCCGTGCGGTTATGGCAGTAATCTATCTTCCATTTCCGTGTAGGGTGTCCCTAACCAGCTCGCGCGCAGCATTATCACCAGTGACATCAATAGTAAGTGGTTTAAGTTCATACCCGAGGGTATAGACAGAGATCAATCCACGGCAACCAGGAGTATGATAACGATATAACACTGTGTCCTTTTAATATATCACGACTATAAGACTCTGTTCACCTACTCCTCCAGATCCACGTCTGCATCATCATGAAATATAACCGCCCCCCAATCCGGCCGATTGAACCTCTTTCCCTTTGGCACAGCCAAAGAATCCATTACCTCCATCTCCTGCTCCGTCAACTGAACATTTCCGACAAGATTTGCGAGAATCCTCTTCGGATTCGTACTTTTGGGAATAATACTCCACCCCTTCTGAATCCCCCAACTCAACATGACATTCCCAGTCTCACACCCTCTCCTAGCCGCAATATCCACAATAACCGGATGAGAATGCAACGTACTCCCAGACCCACCCAGCGGCCCAAACGCAGTTTGATGAATCCCCTTCTCCCGGCAATACGCGTTCAGCTTATCCTGCGGCAGCAACGGCTGGATCTCAGTCTGGTTCACGGCCGGCACCACGTTGGCCGTCTGGAGCAATCTTTCCAAGTTCACGGTCGAGAAATTCGCCACCCCGATTGCGCGCACTTTGCCGGTTTCCAATAGTTTCTCCATCTCCCGCCAGGTGTCGCTGAAGTCCCAGCCTGTTGCATGGACTTTGCGATTCTCTTTGCCATATTCAGTGGGGTTAGGAGATGGGTCCAGTGTTACTGGCCAGTGCATGAGATATAAATCCACATAGTCGAGGCCGAGATCCTCAAGCGATTTGTCGAGAGCAGGCTCTACCCGACGGTGGTCTGAGGACCATCTATCAACTTGCGTTAGTTAATGTAGACACGTTTGCTTATGGGTGTAAGGGAGGACCAACAGTTTAGTCGTGACAAAGTATTCACTTCGAGGGACCTGGGTGGTTCTAAACACTTCTCCGATCTCGCGCTCGTTCCCGTCTGCAGTGGAGATAGGGTTAGATATTCGTAACGTTCATGTTTCTGATGACAGTGACACATACATAACGGAGCACAGTCCTGTGATCTTACATTAGTTACACCTGTGCAAGCAAAGACAGGAAATATATGAACATGGCCCCACATACAAAATGCCGATAGCCAACCTCAAACGCTGTCTTCACTGCCGCAGCAGCTTCTCCGGGCGCTGCTTTCCATGTTCCGAATCCTACGGCCGGAATCTTGGCACCTGTGTTAAGAGTGAACGTTGCCATCGCGTGATAAATAATTAGTCGATCTGGTCACTGTAGAGCTTTGGACTATCGCCAATATGTGACTTAATATAGACCTGTTCATACCAAAGGTACATGGCGTTGCGTCGGGTGTAGGCTGTGGTGCGGGGATGCGTCGGAGAGAACACCGGCGGTGCGAAGCGACTCACCAGGATCTTCTAGTAGGATTCTACGTCGAATTAATGGCATGATCAATGAGCTTCGCTAATCAACCGATGGATATGAAGTTAACAGTATCAAAATTATCGTTGAAGTCTATCCTGCTGGCATTTTGGGTCAATCTATCCACTGAGCACAAGAGATATATTTCCGCTGGCTGTGACCCCTTCACTATACTCATCACAACGCTCAAGCTACAGAACAGACATCTAGACACAAGATGCTTATTCAGGCATTCTATGGCAGGATGAATAGCTTTATATAGGTCACAGTGCTAAAATTATCTAAGGAACAAAAAAGACGGTGTCGTAGAAAACAGCTGGCCCTAAGAGGAGATAGTTGTAGTATACACTGCCGAATATTTATGTACTATGTTTCGTAAGATAATACCGCTACAATTGTTCGCATTCATTGATAAGAGTGAGCCTTGATTCTGTAAATTCGACTGATATTGCATAGTTTCCATCAAAATCTCCAGATGAATAGCAGCCATTTACATACACCTTAAACTGACTCAACATGGACCGGACGATCCTTGTCCCCGTCCCTGTCATCCTCATTTCCACCTTTCATCAGTTGCGGAATGCCTTGTCGTGTCTTCTCTTCCTCTGTGGGGTAGGCATGTCTCCACATGCTCCACAGCGGTCTCTGGAACAGGTCATCTATACTTTCAAGAGAGCGTCCCTTGAGTTCAGGAAGGCAGAAGAAGATAAACACCACCCCGGCATAGGTTAATAGTGCGTAGAGCAGGAAGACGCCCCATCCCATCTCAGTAATCATATTTGGTGTGGCCCGCGTGATGCCGTAATCGACAATCCAATTGACAAAGAAGCAAATGGACATGCAGACGGACCTCTATAATTGTGTATGGTTAGCTGGCAATTCAAGATAGAAGGATACTAAGGGTATGGCGTACGATTCTAGTTGGGAATATCTCAGCAGCCACAACATAGCATGCCACGCTGTGTCCGAATGACCAGCCGAAGGCGTAAATGTAAATCCACACAATACCGACTATACCACCAGCGGGAGTGCCTCCCACTGTGTCGGTGTTCGTTCCGGCAAATCGGAGATACAATGCAAGGTATAACATTGCGGTCGCTTGTAAAGATGCACCAACGAGCAGAGGGAGGCGGCGACCAACGCGATCCACAAGGTAGGTCACATAGAAGATGGTGACGACGAATTTCACTACACCATAGACGCCAGTGGTCAGAAGTGTATTGGAGCTTCCTTTCACGCCGATTAACTCGAAGATCTCGGGTGCGTAGTACTAGAGGACGAATATGGTTAACCTGGATCACTGTAAGAGCCCCAAGAGCCGCACTCACATTCAACGAGTCCGTTCCCGTGAACTTATGAAATAGGAATAACATAACAGCGAGGAAAAATCGCCGAAAGTTGCTTTTGATTAGGAAGATATCCTGTAGCACCACCCAATAGCTGTGACCCTGGTAACACTCCTGTTCGTATCGTACCTGGGCCTCAATCTCCTGGTACTCTGTTTGGACGTAGGGGTGGTCAATCGGAAGTTTCCGTAGCCGGCATAGGTTCTTGATCCCCTCCTCTGAGCGGCCATGGTTAATCAGGTATCGAGGGGTTTCAGGGACAAAGGGTATCATTAGACACATCAGAGCCCCGGGAATGAGTTGAATTCCCATTGATGTTCTCCATTGCATGTTGTCATGCTCCACGCCGGGGAATGACCACAGCGATACTCCATAGTTAATCCAGAAGGCGAGCATTATACCGGCTAGGATCATCAAGTTATATGTTGCCGTCATCGATCCTCGGACAGACTTGGGGGAGTTCTCGGCCAGAAACTGTGGTGTGAGCATCGAACTGGCTCCCACCCCCATGCCGCCGATGAAGCGACCGGCAAGAAGGACATCATAATCAGCCACCATCTGCATTGCAGCACCAATTACGAAGACAAGTCCCCATAGAAAGACGGACCATTTGCGCCCCAGGAAGTCTGATGTCGGCGCAGCGCAGAGTGCCCCTGCCGAGCCACCAGCCGCAAGCATTGCAGCAATTGTTCCCTGTGCTCACATTAATGTCTGATTCAACTAGACCAGAAAATAGAACACGGCCCACCTTTCGATTGTCAATCTCTGCATCCGGTATGTTTGTCAGACCGAAAGCATTTTCAAATGAAGGCAAGGTGAGAATGCCTCCAATGTTGCCGGTGTCGAAGCCATAGAACCACCCACCCCAAGCAACCGACACAAGGAGATAAAGAAGCCGGAGGTTAAAGATCTCTCTCGGGTCGGTTCTTGCTTCCTTACTCGCCCAGATGCTAGTACCCCCTGCCATGGAGGATGCGTTTTAGGACGAGCACTTGATATTATGGATGCTATGAGTGACCGGAAGATAGTGTGGGGGAAAGAGGAAAACCACTGGTACTAATGGAAGTCTGATATAAACAATGACTCTCAGAACTCTTACACGGTGTGGACAATCAGCAGGGGGGAGAAGTGGGTCTCATGATGGATGATATGCTGCCATTTTATGGCTCAAGCAACGCTACATGTTCATTGCAATTACGAAGAAACACATTAAGCTTGTAGACACCAACCCCACATTTTCGCTGGCTGACGATCTGGGGAAGGTGGAGACGGTCTCAGAAGACAGTCGGACTATCCCCCGAACTTTCCATACCCTATCGGACGAGCCCCGAATTACTTTAGCCTTTTGCGTGGCAACCCCTCGGCAGAAGGCCACGCAATCCGGTCATTATATACTGCAGCATTCTGGTTGGATGCGGCACAGCCAGATTAAGATTAGAAAGCAGTCTAGCTCAAAAGTTATACCAAGAAGATTTGTTCCTGCCTGTCTGTTCAAACATGGCGGCGACTCCAGCACTTCCCCAAGACAGCTTGGTGCGCGAGACCAACAGACCATACTTTCACCGGGAGAGCTATCTTCCCGGCGCCACAGCACAAAGTCATGCCTCAAACCTACTGTTGCTCCCCAATGGGGATGTCCTCTGTGCCTGGTTCGGCGGCAGTATGGAGGGTAAACCGGACATCAGTATCTATCTATCCCGTCTGAGAGCGGGTGAGCAATCATGGTCAGAAGCTATACAAATGACCCACGACAATACCCGCAGCGAACAAAATCCGGTTTTGTTCCGTACACCAGCTGGCGCTCTCTGGCTTCTGTACACGTCACAGCACGCTGGAAACCAAGACTCGGCAATTGTGAAGCATCGCATTTCCAAAGATGACGGAATCACCTGGGGAAAAGAGGAAGTTCTCTTCCCGGACTCCGGCATCTTCATTCGCCAGCCACTCATCGTTCTGGACGATGGTGCATGGGTGATTCCCGTTTTCAAGTGTCGCGTAGAGCCGGGAGAGCGTTGGCTGGGGAATAACGACATTTCTTGTATCCGCGTCTCAAGAGACGAGGGACATACTTGGATAGAGTCTGCCATCCCAGAAAGTACAGGCTGCGTTCACATGGAAATCCAGCGTTTGAAAGACGGATCCTATCTTGGCTTGTTTCGCAGTCGATGGGCGGACCATATTTATCTAGCAACCTCGCCTGATGGCCTTTCCTGGAGTCCACCACAGGCCACCGTTCTTCCTAACGCCAACGCGGGCATTTGCTTCGATGTGCTACCTTCTGGGAGGGTGGTTCTGGTGTACAACCATTCTTCCAAGCTGGACGCCACAGGACGTCGACAGGGCCTGTACGATGACATTGGAGATGGCGTTGACGAGCGCCAAGATCAGAGATCTACAGAAGATGGCAGAGAATCATTCTGGGGAGCACCACGAGCACCGCTGTGTGTGGCCTGGAGCGACGATTCAGGGAAGACATGGGAACGACGGGTATTAGAAGACGGCGACGGATATTGTATGACGAACAACAGCGAGAAAAAGCTGAACCGTGAGTTGTCGTACCCGAGTATGGTGCTTGGTGGAGACAGGATTCACATTGCGTACACCTTCTGGAGACAAAGGATCAAATACGTGCAGATTCAGGATGATTTCTTTATGAGTTAGAGTAGTACTAGATTTGGGGAATATACACTCGCGTCTCATTGACTACAATATAATATCTCACTACCAGTCCACTAACACACTATATGACACTATAGTCGAGCCTTCAATACTTCATCTCTCATAGCGTCTATGACAGATTTAAAGGCAAATAAGGACATATAACTGTGGATATACTAGCCCATCATCCATTTCCTAGCAGCAAGCACCATAGCGAGTAATCTGGCTCATGGTGTGCTTTTATGATATAGACATACATTACTAGAGCGAAAGGCTTCAATAGGGTGTACTTCGATTTTCCTTTGGTCTATCTTGTTTTATTACATATTGTTTCTCACTGTGTCCTCCTGGGACCAGAGACATCAGGTAGAGAATTCTCAATCTCGACCAGATGTTGCATTGCACTCACAACCCAGTCTTGCATACCCTTTGGTGACGGTTTATATGGCCTTCGGGGCCAAAATGCCTTTTCTTCTGTAACGCCAGCCAAGGGCCCTGCAAAATGCGCTGCTGCAAACTTGGTTGGGGCGATACCCTCTTTACAGGCTTTTTCAGCTTGTGCAACTAAGCCTTGCAGCTTCATGGCCTCCTGTACGTTTCCATCCTTCCACAGAGTGTATAACCTGGCGACCGACTTGGGGAAGACATTGCCTATTCCCGTCACACAACCTGATCCTCCACCACTGAGGCAGGGAATAAGCCAATCTGATGAGCCCGCATAGACACTGAACTGCTCATGCGAGTACTCTTGCGTCAGTCGGGTCACCTTCCCCGCATTCCCACAGGTCAGCTTGACACCGACGATGTTGGGATGCTGGGCCAGCGTCGACATGACATCCGAATTCATATCAACGCCATTGCAGACAGCGGGGAACTGTGTCGTTAGTTATTTTCTGACACTGAAATAACATCGTGGGCGCATGTAACTTACACTGTAGATCACGATGGGGAGAATAGTCTCGTCTGCGACGTCCCTGTAAAAGTCGATGATCACGTCCTTCGTCATAGCTTTGGCCCAATAGCTCGGAGGCAGCAAGAGCCCGAAGTCTGCTCCTGCCTGTCGGGCCTCTTCTGCCAATCGTATTGATTCATTTGTCGATTGTCCACTAATACCCGCTACCAGTGGAAAGTGGTCAAATCCCAGGTCTACAGCGGCGCGTCGAGCGATCTTGATTAGCTCTTGCCGCTCTGTTGGGGACAGTAAAACTGCCTCCGCTGTTGTTCCACCCAGAACGAGGCCGTCAACACCTCCCCGGATCAGGTAGGAGAAGTATTTGTAGGAGGCTTCATAGTCAATTTCTTGGCGAGGGGTTGTTTTGTAAAGGGAGATTACCGGACAAAAGATTCCAGGGGGTAGGGGTCTAGTCTTTACCGCCAATGAGGATGTCATAGTGTCGACCGTGAGCCCTTCTTCAACGGATAGAGTTTATTTTATACAACTCAACGCGCTCTCCGGGTGATTTATATCCTGTGTTAGTAAGAAGCAACCGGTCATCGGGCATCCCCCGACATGCCCGGCTAGAGATCTACCGACAATGCGGGGTTACAAAGCCAGCCGATCCGATTTTATGATGACTCCGACAACACTGCGGGACCAATACACCCTCACTCCCTAATGCAGCAACGAGAATAATACAAGCGACAAACATTCATGGCTAAGCGTAAACGACAATGGAGTCCCACACGAGTGCCCAGCCAACCGGTAGCAGGCGGATCGAGTCCCAATGTAGAACAGCAGCAAAGCCCTTTCAGGATCCCTCAGTCGAATCATACATCGGAGAGAAACCCGCAACAAGAGCCGGGCGAGACAGCTGTAGCACCGCCACTGGTGGAAGTGTTACCTTCTATTACACGCAAGATCACTGCATGTGCGGCCTGTAGGAAGAACAAGGTTGGCTGTTCCTACACTTGCTCAACGCCAAATCTACTAATGCTCCGTTAGATCCGATGTGACATGCCGGAGGATGGCCCTCCCTGTATTCGGTGTCGACGCCGATCGCTTTCCTGCGTGTTGAATCGTAGTCTGCAGTCGCTGGTGGAAGACGTGAAGTGAGTTCCCCCCGCAAAGGTGATCTTGATTGCCATGCTCATGCTTACCCGTGGATCAGAAATGTGGAGCTGGTACAGTCTGACCTGCGGAACTTGCATGACACAGTCAACATCATTTGCCAACACTTGGATCTCGGACGACCAAAACCACTCGTAACCGGGCATAGAAAGGCGAGGGAGGACATCCCAGCCAGCGGAGAGCCCGATCGTGAGGAAAGCGAGGGATGCGAAGTGTCACCACCCGATTCCCCATCCGCCGTCCAGGCTCCCATTGACACGTTTCTCGATATCGCCAAACTCGGAAGTCCTAAATCGGTCGAGTCACCACCGGGTCGTCGCGCTAGTCGTGCGACTCATGGAGATGATCTCATCACTAAGGGCATCGTGTCCGTCGCAGTCGCAGAGCAGCTACTCCATCGGTACTTTTCGCGTCTGGACCATTACCTGTACGGAATATGTAGCGAGCATCACGACCTACAGCAGCTACGCACCACCTCTCCCATACTCCTTGCCGCGATATGTACCGTGTCAGCCCTGCATGACCCCCAGGACCAGAAATACTACGCAGCATGTAACAGGGAGTTCCGCTCCCTCGTGATGCGGTCCCTGTTTGAAAAGCGCGACGTCGAATATCTGCGGGCCTTGTGTATCGCTTCGTTCTGGCTGGCAGATGCGTCGCGAATCCTCTGTAGTGATGCCATTCGACGGACAGCAGACATCCGTCTTCACCGCAGCTTCGACTATCTCATCGGTGCTCGCGACCCTGAGTCCTGCTCGCCATCTGCAGCGAATCCGACTACATCTGTTGACCGAGTTCGATTATGGTATCTCCTGTTCGTATGCGACCAACATCTCTCGATTCTGCACAACCGGGACTCTCTCCTGCGCAGCGACAAAGACATCGCAGTGAGCTGGGAAACATACCTCCATCGCGCCGAGACCACGGAATCTGACGTTCGAATCCTCTCCCAAGTATCCCTATTATTAATCATGGGCCAGGTGCGAGATGTGCTAGGGTCGGATAACCAGACACAGCTCCCACCGACTCTGACGCACCATATCACGAATTACTCACGACAGCTAGATAAATGGTTTGCCAAATTCTCTGCGCTGTTCATCACGAACGCATACATTGGCGATTTTCCCCGAAAGGGTCTGGAGCTGCACTACCAGTTTGGCAAATTATATCTTGGCCATCAGGTATTCAAAGGACTCCATGGTAATGCTATCCCGATGCATTTCGTTTCTGCCGCGAACATGGCCCATGATGCAGCAGTTGGGATCTACGAGATGATTTTGAATGATAGCCAGCTTAAGAATAGTCTCGTTGGCATGCCGCATTACTTTCATATCATGATAGCTTTCGCCGGTCATCTGTTGCTGGAGATATGTCACAACCACCACGAACAACTGTCTATCAATGTACAGGACGAGTTCCATCTTATTAGCGCCGTCCTAGACCTATTGCGCAACCAAAGCTGTATTCCCCAACATCCAATCCGGCGCATGGCTCCTGGTCTCAGTCGGAAACTCGCCGGCTGTGCTGCCAGCCTAGGGATTAATAGTCTATCCGACAACCATCCAGCAATTCAGAATACGTACCTTGCAACAGCGGGCGGACAGAGCTTTGCAGATACAACTCAACCATTCGACAAAGAGCCAGTTCAGTTCCCTGTCGACTCCACGGCGCCCCAGATGGATGACTTTCTATTCGGCGACATTGGGGAATTCACGTTCCCGGACTTGACCTCCAGCTTTCTGCCGTAGGGCAAGACAAATATAACAATGTGATTAGGAGTAAATGTTGGCATTGTTGCATTGTTCATCTATATTTGATTTTGAAATTGCCCTAGAGACACCACTATGTATAAAATCTATTCCACTATTGCCAAATTGCAACTCACACTTGCTAAGATCAGAAGATTGTTCGGGTAAGCCTTTTCCCCACGATGCTGCCTGTTCTCAGGCTGGCTCCTTGGAGTCGGGGTGATCCAATCCGATACAGCCATCTCCAAGTAGCTCCACGACGCGTTGAAAGAGGAAATGGCAATAAGACGTCTCTGCTGTTATGGTGTACTGTTGATCCGCACTCAGTGCATATCATAACCATTCTCGGCCAAAACATACGGTACCCGCCATACGCAGAAAGGGGCATTGCACAATGTAACTGAAGTGAAAAAGCCAACGTCAATAACGGTGACCAATTCAACCAGCATAGTAGCCGAAGTCAACTAATAGGGCTTATAACCCAATCATGCCACGATATATCGGCTATCTCGAAAGGGCCGCCTACAACTTCGTGGCATCCAGGGCCCTTAAGTATCCTACAAATGTCTGAGTTACCCGCAGGAACGTTTTGCCATGGAATGTAAATTACAACTTGGCAGGATCTGCAGCGGCTTCTAGCGCTAACGAGAGTAACCTCCAGTAGCGCCATGGCCACCAGGATCTTCCGTTACAGTACCACGGACGGACAACCACCATGAGGGTTATCATCGTAGGCGCTGGTATAGGTGGTCTGACATGCGCTATTGCCTGCCGATGCGAAAACTTGGACGTGATTGTCCTCGAACGCAGTTCTGAACTCTTGCCTGTAAGTATTGACAACGCGTCATTTAGAGGTGACCAAATTGCGTAGACAGATCTGATAAGAGCGAGTTCGATATGATTAGGTCGGAGCAGGTATACAAATACCCCCCAATGGCGTGCGAGTATTGCAGGAGCTGGACCTCAAGCAAGAGGTCTTGCAGAAAGGAGCAATAGTCGAATCAATGGATCTTCGACGGTACAAGAACGGCGGACTTATAGCTCCATGGAATGTGGTGAGACGGTCGCTCGAGAGTACGGGGCACCGTGGATGTATGTATCCTGTGCTGTTACCTGGACTATTGAGTATGCTTGTCTCACATTTGTCTAGCATCATCCACCGAGCGGATTATCAGCAGATTCTGTTCGATAGGGCTATGATTATGGGTGTAACAGTGCGCTTCGGAGCTACTGTTGAGGACTTGGATTTCCAGGATATGCAGGTTGTTCTCAAGGGTGGCCAGACAGTAGCGGGTGATGTTATCATCGGTGCTGATGGTTTGTCGATCGTTCTGTCACTGGTATCCCCACTAAAATAGACTAATTCGGGCTCAGGGCTATGGTCAAAAGTCAGAGACACAATCTTCGATCGACATTTGCCGCCCATAGAGACCGGTGACATGGCCTACCGTGCAGTCTTTCCAAGAAAGCAACTTGAGGACCTCGGCGACCCGGAGATAGGCAGTCTTTGTAGTAAAACCTCGGTCACAGCCTGGCTAGGGCCAGAGAAACATGCCGTATTCTACCCGGTACGAGGAGGCGAAGAATTTAATCTAGTTCTGCTCCTACCTGACAATTTACCTGCTGGGGTGCGTACCATTGAAGGTGATTTGGAGGGAATGAAATCGGGCTTTCGGGATTGGGACGCGACGTAAGAATCTACGAGTTGATTTGTCCTGATACATTCCAATGCTGACTCTTATCATAGTCTTCAGAAGTTGATCTCTTGCATATCGTCGGTGGTAAGGTGGAAGCTATGTCACCTGCCCGAATTAGATACCTGGAGCAAGGTTTGTTACTCCTAGAGGACAGGAACATCCTAGGAATATCCGCTCATCTGTGCCGATTCACTAGAACTCGGTCACACTACTGGGAGACGCTTGTCACCCAACGCTCCCTTATCAAGCCCAGGGCGCTGCAATGGCTTCGGAGGACGGCGCTGTGCTGGGATTGCTATTGGGCTCAGTTGTAAAGCGCCTCGAGAGCCAAACGGACTCTTCGGACGTGACACTCAGGGACTTGGTTTCTGAATCGCTCACAGTCTACGAGGGCTTACGAAAAGCTCGCACTACAGCCAATGTCAATGGAGCCCTCAGAAACCGCGGCGCCTTCCACATGCAAGATGGTATTCTGCAATGGATGCGCGATCTGGTTTTAGGTTATTCTGGTATGACACATGAGACTGATTGGATTGGGCTGATGTCAAGGCGCCAATCGCACACTTTAGCATTTGATACTATACAAGATTGTAAGAGACGGATAAAAGAAGCGTAAATACAGTGCAACGACATGACCTGGATGGAAGCCATTCGGAAATACTTAACTGATAACCATTGATTTTGGGGTCAATTTTACAAATGTTCCTTTCTGACTCCGACGTAATAGTAAATGTGTACAAACGGCGCGAATAGCATACGGTGCCCGCTTCTGAATTCCCAGTCACTGAGGTCCATGTCCTGTCGATCCAAAAGCGCCCGAATCTCCTCTGGTGTCCGACAACGCATTGTCGACACCAGGCCATCAAAGGAAATGAGTAAAGATAACAAGGGAATCACATAGGTGAAAAGCAGATGCAGAGGGGAATTCCAATACCGACAAAGTGTGTACCAGAAAGGGAAAAGAAGCATGACTGGGATGTTAAGCAACGAAGTGAAATTGCGCTGGGCAAATTCAAAGATTCTACCAGTTGAACAATTAGAATTTCTTCCCTCTTCCTTTCATCTGCATTGAAGAACCTACATGAAAGAGTCAGCAGACTCCGTCGCCTTCCGCAATATAGTCGACGCAAGCATATCATCGAAATGATGAAAACACAAGTTGAAGATTCTGCACTCCTTCCGGTTCTCCGGCGCCACTCTCTCACATTCCGCAGCGTCCATAGGCTCAGAGATGAATGAGATATTCTCCTGACGTCTGCTAATGGCAGACCACTCCTCTAAGCGAGGGTGCAGGTCCGTAAGAACAAATCGCGCCGTTCGCCTGCCTTCCGCTCTAAGCTTCGCATTTAAGACATGCTCGAGGGTTCCGGTTGGCCCGCCTGCACCCGCGCAAAGATCAACAAATGTGAAGGAGTCTGGATCTTTCACATGTTCGAGAATAAGGTCGGCTGCTACACCTGCTGGAGAGGCCTTGCTGAAAGGCGGGATGTGTAGATTCCAGACGCGAGTTAGATATGATTGTATGTAAGCTCTCATCCATTCCGGGCACCAGGATTGATCCCCGATCTCGAAGAGATGGTACCGTGGGAACAGAATCATGGTGTTTTGCATGGAAATGTGCGCATCCCTTGATTCCCTATTTTCGTCGTTGGGTAGTGTTCTCCATTGGAAAACATTTGAGTCTCCTATCGTGAGATATGAAGACCCACTATACTATGTTAGGAAAGTGGTGAATCACCTGATCAGACCAGTAACATAGCCAGTACCACATATTTCCCTTTTCTGCACAACTACTTTCCTCTATATCTTTGATAGAACACTTGAACCATACACTGAACAGTCCAAATAGCTACCCTCGCTTAGTAGTCTCTTTGCCTATTCCCTGGCGCCTAAGAGAACACAGCTGCTCTAGTTCTATTACGCAGACGAACCGGTTTCCTCTTTTGGCTTAATTCATGCTCCTCGATAGGGTATAGTTACATCATGCTTCAAACGTCCACCGATGCATGCAAGTGTATCACCCATTATACTCTAAAGGATACAAGCAGGGTATATTAGTGTAAAGGGCTGAAGACTAATTAGGCCGACTGGTAAATTCTATCCGGCATTCTACTCGACACTACAAACCCTTCGGGTTGGTAACAACGGTCGGCTATAAGAATATATATAAAACCATGAATCTCTGAACAAGAAGCCTCATCTTCATTATCCACATCCTATAGTTCGAAGACAGGAATTAGATCGCTTGCACGGGAAGAGGCTTGTAATGCTCCTCAAGAAAGCTTATATCAGTATCACTTAAACGAACTGCCAGCGCCTCGGATGCCGACTCGATCCTCTCGATACTATTCAAGCCGACAATCGGACAAGCGCCCTTCGTCAACAACCATGCTATTGCAAGTGCACTCATGCTGCATCCCTTCAACCGCGCAAGCTGGACCACCCTTGTAATAATGTTCTGATCCTGCTCACCAGAAAACCACTTTGCAGTCTTTGCGTCCTTCACGGAGCGATCGGTTTTTACATTCCATGGTCTGGCCAATAAGCCACGAGCCAGAGGACTCCAAGGAATCAAACCAATCCCCTCCGCCTGACAGAATTTGTTTATCTCGCGCTCTTCTTCACGATACAGCAAGTTATAGAGACCCTGCATACTGGTGAATGTGGTCCAGTTGTTCATTTTTGCGGCATATTGTAGTCTGGCGAGCTGCCAGCAATACATACTTGATGCGCCGAGGTAATGAATTTTGCCCATATGAACAAGATCGTGCAGAGCGCGCATGACCTCTTCGGGGTTTGTATCATCGATGCGATGTAGCTGTAGGACATCTATATAGCTGGATTTGAGTCGAGCAAGAGATGCCTCCACCGCCTCAAAGATGTGCTTCCGACTGAGCCCCATTTGATTGACCAGGTCACCATCGTTGACAGCCGGATTGGGTCGAGCGTTTGAATCAGGGTCAAGAACCGGGTAGTACAGCTTGGTCATGATGACAACTTTACTCCGCGGAATATCATACTGCTCTAGAGCCTTTCCGATCAGGATCTCAGACATCCCGTTGGAATACGTGTTGGCAGTATCCCATGTGTTGATGCCGCAGTCGTATGCCTTTTTCAGGAGCGGGAGCGCTTCGGACTCTGGAAGGACCCATGGGCTGCCTTCCCATGACGGATTGCCGAATGTCATGCATCCTAGGATGATCTTCGACACTTTCAGTCCACTATTACCAAGTCGTTGGTACTGCATTTTCAGCCGTTTCTCGGGGCTTCCGCTTTTCCAATTCGTAACAAGACCTAGCAGCGCGTCTTCGTGGCCGACATTGCCGGGGAAAACGACGTATGGGATACCAGGAAACTTCGATGATGGTTCATCGCAGCGCCAGATAGGTACTCCCGCTGATGCTTGACCAATAATTTGAGCACGTCGCATGCGCATGCCTGTCGTGGCTATATCGGACGAAGTGATGCCGCCCTATACAACTCTAGATATGTTAGATAAGCATCATCCTTTTGCATGGAGGACCACTCGCCTTAACAATGATATATCGAGGCCGGGGAATTAGCAGCCGTAGAAACAAAGCCAACGCACTAGACACTATGCTTCCAATCTGCAAATTGGATAGTTCGCCACGGCTGCTAACCAGTTGTCTGCTTGTCATGAGTAGGACATCTTGTCCATCTAAAATATACCTACCAGCCTCATCAGCAGCACTAAGTACAGTAGTGTAGCTGCTTTCTGCACTACGAAGATTCTCCACGTTCAAAGTGATGACCTTTAGCTCGGGCCCACGGCCTGAAGTCAGAGCTTGAAGTTGATCGGTCGTTTTCGACACATAGGACCGTGCAATAATCAAGCCGCCTGGAGAAGATGCCTCAGCGTCCAGTCCCACGTCTCGTGCACTAAGAGGAGGCTGTGATCTCATCGCCAACCGCGTGGATATAAAGGCAGCTCCTGTTCTATAAAGATAGTGCCGACCAGCAGATTTCGCTGCAGAAGTATGTCAGCAAACATCTTTGACCGATTAGATCACTAGTGACGCGTACCCTGTAGTAGACCAAGCACAAAGACTTCCAGATCAGTATCAACTACGGCGTTGACGATGATAATAGATCTTGGAGCAAACTCGAGTAACTGCTGTGCCACAACAGATACACCACCCTCTCTGATATCCTGCAGAGAGATCGACCGCACACGGTGGCGAGGAATTGAGCCATTTGACTTCTCGACTACGTAGTCGATTAGATTGGAGCTTGTATACCGAGAGGCCGTATCCTTTGCAAAAACAGTTTGGGCGGCGGGAACTACATTCCCATCAGTATCGGCCACAGAGTGAACATTGTCAATGGTGAACCTGCCGCCTTGTCGGAAGAACGGTGCCAGTATCCAACCATCGACCTGCCCGATTACCTCCTCGGCTACCTGAACCTCATCGGGTAAATGTCCCCATAGGGTCGAGTCACCCCGTAGGACAATTTCAAACGTTTTCTGAGCTTGGGCTGCCGCTTGCTTCACAGCCGTACATATTTCGGATATAAGCCTCCGCGCTCCCGCGGTAGGGAGCGCGCGCGAATTGGTGAGTATGAAGAATCCACGATCGCATGTGTGAAACTCTTCTACCAAGGTTGCTTCATCCCACACTGTCAAGACATTGATTCCATGGCATGTCTGCGTGCCTGTGGGGTCGTCATCGAGGACCACGAGGATAGGAAGCTGATCCACCTGCTGATCGATTTCCTCGAGCAACTGACTGGATTCTACCGGAGGAGGGAGCCGTGCCTGGGCTTCCGATAAAGTAACAAGATAATCCGAAGTCGTCATCTTTACTTCCACGTTTGGTATCTATAACATAGTCTTAACCGTTTGATTTATTATGTTTCGTATTGCCGCAAGGCGACTCATGCGGAGATCCGATCATCCTCGGAAGCGGCCCGAGAGGAGTCTGGAAAGCATGCATCGGCTTTCTCTCCGTCCGATATATCACTACCATCTAACCGATTAACTAGCAACGGTGAACCCCAACCGTTCCTTTTAGGACACTCGATGACTGGCCGAGCTACCCCAGTGATTAAGGACAAGAAGCAGATAAACCAGGGCCAACTTGACTAGGTTTTCGGGAAGTATATATCTTAGCCCTAAGCTAAATGCGAAAGTGACGGGACGGGAATATGTAGGAAACACTATCTGATTAACATATCACGATCTACTCAAATTTATGTAAACAAAAAGAAAAGATTTCTAAGCATCGGTACTATATCTTACAAGTCCGCAGCCCACTACCAAGCACCTGTAGATCCAATGCCCAGGGCTATACTTAATCCGTGGGCTGGCACTGTAGATCGGAGATCCACAGTTTCTCCAGGACCTGAATACAGTCCTGGAAATGATTCAATTAGGTCATTTATGTTCGGGAAATCCCAGAAATTAAATGACCGTCACAGACGGAGTAGATGTTCGGGTTATTTCGTTCACTGTGACTGACTTGATGAAGAATGTCGAGGAAGCTAAGGTAACCGAGCCGCATGTTAAATGTACTGTCGGATATAACCAGTACGAGACCATATTTAATCCCAGACTGTGGTCCCAGACTTCTATGAACATTGCGGGGGAACAGAAGTAGCTAGCAGACCACTTTGTTAAGCAGCAGACTGTTGATTGCCCTCCTTGCTAAACTTGGGCTGGCCCTGCTGTCCTTTTAACATGCTATAATTGTGAGACTTTGATGTACTAGTTCGGTTACCTATGGATACTTTTAGGTAGTCACAATCTAGTATTGGCAGCAAAGATTACCACCCTAAATGTAGTGCCTAGTATTCGAATCACTCTCCCTCCCCGGCGGCTGGAGATGCCTTTTTGATTCCAAATCAGGTATAAGTAATTGGGATCTCCTACTTCTCAGCTGCGGTGGCTAAATGATCTCCCCTATTAATCCACCATCCCTGGCTTTATTCGCGAGAATTATTCCTGGTATCATCGTGGGTGGATTTGAACTGAACTAGATCAATATGTGTTGGTAAACAAGACCATATGGCAAGTTTAATCTGAGCACGAACACCGTTAATTTCACTGCCATCTCTATGATAAGCCAGACACATTTTAAGTAGTAAGGACACCAACATGAGGTTCAATCTATAGGGCGATGAAAGGTTCGCCCGGCACCACTACACATACTATATATTCCAGAGTTAAAGTTTGGCCAGTCCACCATTACATACTTTACCGTCTCCCAAACAGGCCTTTGGTTAACCTGCAGCATCCTATATTCTTTCTTGATTTGATTGGGTATGACTAATACAAACACACAGTCATCCAAATTTAATTATACATCTGCAATGTGCTCGGTGTTACCGGTACCATTGTATATAAAGTGTATGCCCGGTATATTCTTCAATTTGCTTTGAATATGGATGTTATTAATAAAGAAGTCAGACTGTACTTTTCTACATAAAGTAGTAGTAGTAGTTATAAGTAAGGCAATGAAAAGCATCGTAGTATAGTACTTTGACACTGACTAATTGCAAGTTCATTTAAGTAAAACGTCACATAACTTTACAGGACTTCATGAAGCCTGTTCCAGCACTGTGTGTTCCTTTTCATGTTTTCTTAAATATAGTAATAAGAAATATCCCAAGGCGCTCTCCACCCCCTAGGCGGGTGTTCGTTATTCCCTTTTTATGGATTCCTTGTAATGCTCGAAGTTCAGCACACAGACACCATCAATGTGTAGTGGTGGAATGGCAACCAATTTTACTATTGCGGATGCAGCATTCATCTGTGATACAATATGAGTGTCAGTAATGAACTCACCCTCCCCCAGACGGCTACGCCTACTGGCTATAATGAGCGTCCGATCAGGTAGCTTCGCTTTAATATCCCCTGGTTTGGCATTGTGAAGGCGCCTCCGAAATTCAATGGCAACTTCATTGAGCATATAGATAAAACACGATCGTCATCTTTCCCGAGCTGAAGGGCGATGACTCACAACTGATAGACAAGTACAAGTACTTACTACGGTGGACCCGATAGAGAGACGATTGATAAAAGCGCTGTCCTATTTCAACAGTACACTAAGGGTTCTGGAAGGACCAGGAACTGAAACCAAGGTGTCCCCCTTTTCATCAACTAGTCATAGCTAGCACCTTGCCTAAGCATCGGATTTTGTGTACATGTTACGTCAGTCACCTAGGAAGTGCTGGACGGGTTGCATGAGTTATCTTCATCGTCCGGGCCCGCCCAGCATCGATAGCAGTATTCGCTTGCAACAATTTCTTCGCCGTCTTTGCAAAGGAACAAGGTATGCGGCTCGCCGCCAGGAGGAACATCGACGCCCGAGACCTTGATGGCATCTACGAGGTCTTGGTCGGTATAGCCTAAAGTATAATAAGTATGATTTATTAAGTACCATCGGCTATCTTAAAGTGGAATTACATACCACCTTGCAGAGTCAGAATCCATCCACATCTTTTAAGATTTGCTGGGCAACTCTTCCCATACACCAAGGCCGGCATTGACCCAGCGAGTGCAGTAACAAGAGTGGGAAGCAACTTCATTTTTCCGTGTTCCAGGTGCTCTTGCGATTGTTGATAAGAGAAATGGAAGAGAATGGTGGGTGTCTTCAAGATGATGAATGTAGGCGGACTCAGATCCATGTGGAAGGGTTCAACCTCTCAATTTATATGTTGGTAAAAGCCCAGATCAGTTTATTCGAAGAATGACATTCTATCCATGACACAAGGCTGTCGTAATTCTGCTCTGATGGCTTCACTCGTCCTACTATTTCCGGAAAGCCAAAGTTGGGCGATGGATGTCACGTTCAGTCCAGATCTCATTAAGGACATGTACAGAGGACCAGCATTGTTAGTGGCATGCCGTGCAGACGAGAACCAAGGGATCTCGATATGTCGGATGATGATACTGAATTCACTTCACTGTTTTCAGCTCTTCAAGCTCTGGTCGTGAGGTCAACGATATTTCCTTCCATGGGCCATATTGACATGGTACTAGTTAGAGCTTCCCTTGGTGTTTGACCAACCTTACCAGTATAGAACGACTCCATGAGAACCAAGTATACAGTGCCATGAGTGCTAGGATCGATTTACTGGGCGCAGTAGAAGTAGGATGGAACCAGCAGACCAGTGAGTCTTCAGTTGAGTCGCAGTATGCGTTGTTTTGTCGTTGCCGAATTCTTTTGATCGATAAAGCATAATAGCCCCCTCTTGTCATGCCACGCTCGGCATTGCTGTTATGGTACAAGGCAGGAAATCATTTACGCCCCTAGGAATGATCGGCAGGTCCGGCAAAAAGTGGAGATTTGGAATGGAGCCACTGCTACCAGTGTTTGCTTCATCGGGTAAGAGAGCCCATCAAACGTAAACTTAAAGAGTCTATCATATTCGGAATTACATCCGAGGAGCCAGTCATCATTCCGAGTTGGAATACGTCAAGACATACGCTAGGGCTGAAGATGAAACCCAACTCTATCCAGGACTGCGCCAATCGGATCTCAGAAGTAGCTTAACCTCTTTTGGGCTGCAGTATGTCTTACTTATCCTTTTTTAGTAACACCGGGTCTGTATTTCCACCGTGACTTCGGGGGTTGGATGCTACTTTCTCCATGGTAAGATGAGATGATACCCGGTTGTCGTCATCGAAACATGCGGGTGAAAGGTTACTAGACGTCTATCTACGTATGTCACGGATTCTTGAAGCAATGTTACACGAAAGGGCGCACTCGGAATGAGTAGAGTAGTGTCCACATAACAGAGGATGATGCGGTATGCTGTAGAGGAGCAATATATCATTCAAGACCGAGGCAACGGCGTGTTCACAGCTAAGAACGGCAATGAACTTCAGAACGTCTGTAACGGAAGTCTAAAAACGCAAGATCTCCACATCTATCCCTGGCTGACGGCCGCATGTTGGATAACAATGTTACAATGATGTCCATGTCTGCAAACAGCTCATGCCCGACGTGGAAACAACCAACTCATGCAATATTGCAAAGAGAAAAGCAAAACTCTTTTTGTTAACAACATGCAGTGCCATTCCGCCAGTAGTACTCGCGATGCCACTTCATCTGATTCAAATATGTCTTCTGCGTCATCTTGTGGTTGTACCTTGGTTAAGACGGCCTTGCCTGTTCCAGAACAAACGTATCTGCTACCTTTCTTTATTCATCTACCATCCAATAACAGTGAACAATGTCGGAGTTCATGATTGCTTGATCCTCGTCATGACGAAAGGCTTAGATATGCTTTGTTAACACAACATGACGCCGAACATCATAGATTCGTGACGCCTTTCTCAACTCCTCAAAAAGTTTCAAACTGGCATCGATAGCGCTGTAAGAATGACTTATAAATATAAGAGACTGTACCCTCCCACACTACTTACTCATTTTCCTCTAGCATAGCCATTCTGACATCTATCGCTGACAGTACCTCTCTTCAGCCTTTAGCTGCCTACCAACGTTCACTGCCAAAATGTTCAATACTCTCAAGTCCTACCTCTCCGGCCACCCCGCGTCACAAGAAGATGGGCAGACCGCCCCAGGCGGTGCAACTGGTTTGACCATCAAGAAGCCATTGGGACAAAGCTCAAGCGCCAAAGGTACCGTTAGCATTGAAAGGCATGGCCAGTGGGATAGCCAACTGGCGATCAAGAACTTCCAAAACGAAAGCAACAACCCATTGACTGTCCAAAAGTTCCTCGCTTTCAAACTAGATGTCACGGCCAAGCCCTCTAGTTCATGGGTCACTTCTGACGGGACACTGACTCTCATCACCCATACACTACCGAATGGAAAGCTGTATATTAAGGGG